GTTGTGGTAAGGTTGTGGATTGGTAACGTCGTGATACAACGTGGTCACAACGTTATTATAATGTCACCGTGCAACGTTATTTCAAAACGTTATAACAGCGCTAGGTTGGTACAGTAGAATACAGTGGACATGGGTTGTAGGCTGGTACAGTAGAATTGGTGATGCTTGGCACTATCACTACATAGAATCTTTTCGCAGTGTGTGTGTGTGTGTGTGTGTGTGTGTGTTATGTTTACGAAAGCATGACATTGCAATTTAATATATACTTCAGTGTGAAAGACTTTTCTGAAGAGTTTTCTGAAGTTGTGAAAAGTGATATTTTCATTGCAGTGAACATATCAATAGATATTTCACTGCAGTGAACATAACACTTTGACGGAACTATTGTCATACAAGAGTTACCCCCCTTAAATTGTCTCCCTTTGTCGTAAGTGACCAGCCGGTACACAATTGTTGACGTCCTTTTTACGTTAGTTCCACATCGACAAGACAAATTAATGACAGACGGTCATTTGTGGAGTTAATTTCACTTCTTGCCGTTTATCTCTCGAAAATGTTTCGTTATAAACTGTAGATTGCTCATTTAACTCGATACATGAAATATCCCCTCTATGTAGATAGACATTGGTGTCTGTGTTGTGTTGTGCCGTTTCGATTGGTTCCATTTGAATGGTGGATGTTGTTTTATTGAATAAATAAAACAATAAGACAATCTTTCAAAATGAGTGAGTGAGTTGGGTTTAATGCCGCTTTTAACAGTATTACAGTTATATCACAGCGAGTCAGCTTAATGTGGGAGGAAAGCCCGAAGTGATGGAGGTCTCAGACGTTTACCACTTCGGTGAAACCCACGAGCACGGGTATGGTGCTGACAAACCTAGAAATATAATTTGGGCGAACCGGGATTCGAACCCACAATCATAGGTTTCTGGCATGCCCAAGGGACGCAACTCTGCACAGCGAATCGAAATATATACCCTCTAAATATGCTCTTATACAATTTAACTCTGTGTGGTCGCACTTCTTTTGAAAGAAACTCTATTTACAAGCCCATTTGATTTAACCGCCGTGTGGTATTGATATCATTCAAACATTCTGCACGTACCTTTGCACCACCACTCGGTCATTTCCGTGATGTTTCAGGTCGTCATTTGTCGTGTTCCCGATATACTGTATTGATTTAAATGTTTCTGAGGCCATCCATTGCATAAACAGGTGACGTGATTGCTGTTGTTCACAGTACAAGATCGTCTGAAGCGCCTTAAAATCACAAACGATGTTTTACTGTTAACATTAACATGTCTGAAACATACACTTTGCGTTAACGAATCGCCAAATCATTACGTGAGGTGAGGTGAGGGGAAATGGTATTTAACGTCGCCTTCAAGATTATTGCACTTATATAGCGACGTTCATGGACGTGTGTGTGTGTGTGGCTGCTTGTACTTGTCTCGACTTGTGCCGATTTTATAGCGATAACATGCCGCAGTTTAACATGTATACCCAACTCAGTATACAGTATACTGACCCCGAGCCGAACAGTCCTTGCTTTAGCAGTTTACCAAGCGCCAGGCGGGGTAACAACAAGTACCATATTTTAACGTCTTTTGGTATGACGCGACCGGGGATCGATCCCCGGACCTTCCGCTCTCCGGATGGACGCTACCACTAGACCACGGAGGCGGTCACAAATCATTATGTGTTCTGTCTGGCTACAGCATTGAAATTCAGTGATAAGCTGCACTATGTGAAGCGCTAGTCTAATGCAATCAGTCTCGCCGCGAAGAAGGGCTTGTTTATTAACGTGTCACTAGCTGTTTTGTTTGTTTGTTTGTTGTTTAGTGCCGCACTCAGCAATATGCCAGCTATATGACGACGGTCTGTAAATAATCGTGTCATACAACGTGATGAAGGAGGAAAACCGCGCGTCCACGTACAGGCTAACTCATCTATGGAATGAACAATTAAAACAAATATTAACATCAAGACTAATACATGCAGTTAATCCATTATCTATTGGGACAATTGTGTTTTATTCAGTCTGGAACCTATACAATTAACCCAGCTAACACCTAACATTTTCAAAATATTTTCGAAAGGCTTCATTTTAGTTTTAGAAAAACATTTTATTAACGTTTTAGTAATGTTTCACAAATATTCAAAATGTTATTGAAATGTTTTCAAAATGTTATTCAAAACATCATGCTGTAACATGGGCGAAACTATTTCATAACATATTATAACAATGTTTTCAACACATTGCAGAAATATTTTGCCAGAACATATTTCATGAAATGTTATCATCATGTTTTAAATACATTGAGTACACATACGTAAAATCACCCGAATTAGCTATAAATGTTTAATAATTATTCAAAATGTTATTAAAATGTTTTTAAAATATTATTCAAGAACATCATGCCATAAAATAGGCGAAACTATTTCATACCATCTTATTACAATGTTTTAAACAAGTCGTAGAAATGTTATTCCAGAACTTATGTCATGAAGTGTTATTGAAATGTTTTTTAAATGTTATTCAAGAACATCATGCCATAAAATAGGCGAAACTATTTCATACCATGTTATTACAATGTTTTCAACACGCTGCAGCAATGTTATGCCAGGAACTATGTCATGAAGTGTTATTGAAATGTTTTTAAAATGTTATCCAAGAACAGCATGCTCTAACACAGGCGAAACTATAACCTACTTGTGATTAGGTAACTCTTCATTTAAAGAAGAAAGACATAGAGAGGGAAACGTATTTTTAACAATGGCATGTTTGTCCATAACGTGCTCATCAACTTCGGAAGTAATAGTTAAGTGACTGAGAAATATGGTTCATTTGCTCCAAGAAGAATTTATATTTGCCCCGGGACATTTTATAACCCGGGTCACAAAGGACCTAAGTGCACTCGCGAAAGGCTGTAATGAAACAGGCATCACGCAAGGGTGGGTCTTACAGGGCTTACAGATAAAGCATACCTGAATATTTTTTTGAGTTTTTCAAAGAACTGTTCAAACATCCTACTTGCTTAAGTTCTTTGAATATTAATATTACTAAACATCGAGTTCTGCTCTAAACTTTACTCACTTTATGTTGTGGTGGGATTCTCTCCGATTATGATCCTCGGACTGTGCTCCGCCATGCCTTGTTATAATTTATATCCTGCCTAAATCAAAGACCACGATTCCGATAGTAGTCTTTAAAACAACTAAAACGAGGATCGGATGATTAAAATGCGTATTCTTGATTATTGTGTATATCTGGAGTTCATTGCTGCTCATGCTGTTAACAACTGGTTTTCCTGTTTCGATGGTATTACTCATGTCCGTGATATACACTGCCGGACAAAAGAAAGTATACACTTGAAAATAAGATTACAAATATCGTTTCCAGGCTGTAAACCTGTAAAGTGGAAACGTACGGCCCAAAACACAACTGTGACACCCGTATCAACCACATCAACATTAAATAACCTTTTTTTGTCTGTTTCATTTTGGCCATCACCAAACATGGATGTATATTTTCTTTTGTCCGGTAGTTTATGTTCGGTCGTGTCTGTTTCTCAAAATAGTTTTTTTACAGCAGTGGGAAAAGTGAGTGAGTGAGTGAGTGAGTGAGTATGGTTTTACGCCGCTTTTAGCAATATTCCAGCAATATCACGGCGGGGGACACCAGAAATGGGCTTCACACATTGTACCCATGTCGGGAATCGAACCCGGGTCTTCGGCGTGACGAGTGAACGCTTTAACCACTAGGCTACCCGACCGCCCCCAGTGGGAAAAGGCTAGCATGGACAGATACTTGGCGTTTTACACCTAAGCCTGCTGCTTTGGAAGATCGGGAAATCAGAAAACACAGTTGTATCATATTCGAGATAGCCCCTTAATCACCTTTGAATTTGTACCTATAACAATAGGTGCTGGACCAGCTTCCCGGGACAAGGGAGATAACTGACTTTAAAAGTCCAGTTTCTCACCTTGCCGAACTTGTTTGTTTGTTTCTTGTTTTACGCCGCACTCAGCAATATTGCAGCTATATGACGGTGATCTGTAAATAATCGAATCTGGACCAGACAATCTAGGTGATTCATTTCATGAGCACCGATCTACGCAAATGGGATACGATGACATGCATCAACCAAGTCAGCGAGCCTGACCACCCGATCCCATTAGTCGCCTCTTACGACAAGCATAGTCGCCTTTTACGGCAAGCATGGGTTGCCGAAGACCTATTCTAACCCGGATCTTTACGGGTTAAGATGCTTTATTGACTTTAATTGCTCTTTAATTAAGTAAATTAGTGTTTGCGGCACTACTTCATTGTTTCAGAAGGGTCCTTCTTAAAGCAAATGTTTGAGCTTACATGAAGCAAAATTCCGACCTAGATTTTCCTAATCATTACCTGGCAAAGTATGGTCAGCAGTTAGGTGAATGAAACCACATGAATGTCTCTAGAACCATTTGAGATTTTGCCATCCACGTCCCTTGTGAACCACATTTTGAACTTATAATTCGTCGTTCAGATGCCCCCTCGGCATTGAGGGACTAAAACAAGAACTGGTCGGCTTCGGCTTGGAAATTTTGTTGTCGAACACTATCTTGGATGGAGATCACGATCTTTTCTGACTGCATCATACTAAGGTGAGGTGAATGTTTAACGTCGCGTCCAAGATTATTGCACTTATATAGCGACGTGCATGCACGTGTATGTGTGGCTGCTTGTACTAGTCCGGACTGATGCCGATTTATAGTGCTAGCTCACTGAGATACCATGTCGCAGTTTAACATGAATACCCCACTCAGACACAGTATATACTGACTCCGAGCCGATCAGTCCTTGTTTTAGCCCCTTAATGCCGAGCGCCAGACAGGGTAACAAGTACCATCTTTTAACGTCTTTTGGTATGACGCGGCCGGGGATCGAACCCCGTACCTTCCGCTTTCCGGGCGGATGCTCTACCATTAGACCATGGAGGCGGTCTCATCATACTAAAAAATATTTAATCATATTTCGCCAATTTCTACGTACATATTCTTATAAGAATGCGTATCGGAATGGAAGTCCCCATGTCGCTCAACATAACCTGCCGTGTCAGTTCCGGTTTTTGACATAGTTACACGGAATTGTGGGTGCGTGAGATGTGTATCTCCGTGTGTCATTGTATCTTTCCGCGCATCGAACAGGCTAGCTGCCACACGTAGAAACTCGGTTTTTCGGTGATGGCTCCCCTCCCCGAAGAAGATGTCGTTAGATGTAAGGGCGTGGTCATAGCCTTCGTTTCCAAGAAGTGGTGTCTTGTTGGGGGAGAAGGTGACACTGCGAGTTTTCATGTTGATGCTGTCGCCCTCTGTCAGGTAGGATACAAACACGTTGCGCAAGCTGTAGTAGCGCTCTGCCGGATCGGTGTAGGATTTGGAGACGTCGAAGAAAGTAACGCCAAGCTCACCAAATACCTATCAACAAATTAATAAACATTATCTATGGAAAATATATAGCAAGATGATAGAAGGGGATAGGAAAGAAAGACATGCATAAAAATTGTTTTTGATTGTTGTTTTACGCCGCAGTAAGCAAAATTACCCGGAAAACCCGCGGTTTATATTATGAAAAGAAAAAGAGAGATACACAAAACACATCACTCAAGTACAATCGACCAATATATACTTATATGAACCGTCTAAATGCAAGAAATACCAAAAAGATAGCAAAACACAGGGATACTTTATGGTGAAACAATTCCGTAGTCGCTGTATAAAACGAATTTGATGGAAGCGGGCGAGGGAAAGACCACGTGCAGCATGCAGACAACTGTAGTCATGACATACACGATTGAGCACCGTTTCAATACCTGCTCCGGTGGTTCAATGGGAAATAATCATCATCAGATGCACACTAATAGCGACAAAATCCATATTCATAAGTCATCCCTTTTGTCATACAGTCTTGTGGACAGTGTTTTGTCGCTCTGAATCTGTATGCATAGATCTGAATATGAAACAGATGAAGGGTAAATTGGAATGAAGGGAATTGACTGTTTGATTGTTATTAAACAATAGCAGATCATAGATATACCTGAGGCTAAAGTGAAAATTCTTGGCAAAATGACCTTGTTTTAACTTTGCAAATCCGAACAGAAATTCTGATTCACATGCATAAAGAAACAGATTAGTAAGAAGGGGAGCGCAATTGGTGCCCATGGGGGATGCCTACTTCTTGCCTAAATGTCTTGCCTCCAAATTCGACCTTACTAGTGGGAAAAACTACAAACGTTTCACGAAGGGGAGCCAGGTCTTACAATTAAAACGGTTAAATCTATGTCGTGCAATTCAAATGTAAAACCCCCAGTCTGGTCTTAGAATTCAAATGTTAAACCTTTCAGCAGGTCTCACTTGAAAGTAGTACCTCTATCAAGGTTCTTATGAAACAGCAAGATACCTACAATAATACAGGCAAAGGTGGAAGTAGATTTAAATAAGTGTCGATTACATGTTTTACCTAAAGTTAAGTATTGTGGAAATGTATTTAAAGAACTGGGAATTTGATGTTCTCTTTGTAGACATTTGAAAGGCCTTCGATAGTGTGCTGAGAAAGACATTAATGAACCTTCGAATTCTAAATACCCGTGGTTTAAGTTGGTATGTAATATTTACGAAAATGTAGTCATCCCGGAGTAAGACAAGGGTCATTATGAAATCCTTTCCTGTTCCTTTTCTTTATAAACGAATTATCTACCAAGATTCAAGACAGGCACACATAATTATATTTCACATATTACACAGTTGTTCTGACCACCATTTTCAGATAACATAATTTTGTTTTCAAGAATTAATCTACTGAGACAGATTTGTGAAACAAAAATCGCAGTCTTTAAAAATGTTGGAAAGATATATATATAGCATTTAATGAAAACTAGTTCTATACAGGTGTGTGTGTGTGTATGTATGTATGTATGTATGTATGTATGTATGTATGTATGTATGTATGTATGTATGTATGTATGTATGTATGTATGTTCGTACATTAAGGTTATAAAGTATTAATACATTTCACAGGAAATATGACGTAAATTTGGAAATAGTAATTTATTTGAACAAATGTATTATTGTATAAGGTTGGATATGGCTATGTTTAGAATCATCAGCATCAGTATCTAAATCTTTATATACTGCTCACAAAAAGTAGGGGATATTGAAATTAAAATCAGTGGCACAAAGACAGTAATATAGAGGCCTACAAATAATTTATGTATGATTGAGGAAAAGCATAGGTCAGTCTGAGCATGCCTCACAATGACTACCAGATGCCCTTGCATCCAGGAAAATTGCACCCAGACGTACCAGGGGGTGTGGATGAGAAATCCCATCTTGTGTCACACGTGCAAATGACAAAATCCACGTGCCTCACGTGCAAAAATGGGTGTTAACATGGGTCTTGGACCAAGTTCATCCATCACTTCACCACTTTCCACAATGCGAAGGTTACGAGAAGACGAAAGATTGAGAGCAATTGGGATGATCCAGGCCGGAAGAACGCAGGCCTACACAGCAGCACAACTGCATGTCTCACAGTCAGTAGTTAGCCAGTTGTGGGCACGTTACATTGCCACTGGAAGGGTTCAAGACAGACCCCGAAGTGGTCGTCCAAAATGCACAACCAGACGTGATGACCGGCGGATCATCACTGGAGCCCTCCGTGATCGACGTTTAAATGCGACACAGCTGCAGCAGGTTCACAGACATGCCACTGGGAATCTCATCTCCACACAGACGGTACGAAACCGGCTCCATGCTGCAGAACTTCGAGCAAGGCGACCTTACATCACATTACCCCTAACAAACCGTCACAGACAAGCCCGGCGAGAGTGGGGTCGCCGTCACCAGAGGTGCAGCAATGCCAGGTGGTCCCATGTGATGTTCAGTGATGAGTCGAGGTTCTCTTTAGACTTCAATGATGGCCGTCATCGTGTCTGGCGTCGTCCTTGTGAGCGTCATCAGCCAGCTGCCATGATTCCACATGATCGGTATGGGAGGGGTTCTGTTATGGTGTGGGGTGGAATCACGGTGACAGGCAGAACCGATCTCCACATCTGCCAAGGAAGAGTTACGGATGTTTACTATCGGGACAACATCATCACGCCACATGTCCTGCCATTTGCACACCGTCACGGACAGGGTTTCATCTTCCAGGACGATAATGCCAGGGCTCACCGTGCGCACGTCGTCCTTAACCATTTGCGGCGGCACCAAATTGAAACTCTTCCATGGCCAGCGATGTCCCCCGACCTCTCCCCCATAGAGCATGTGTGGGATATGCTCGGAAGACGAGTACAGAGGCGGCATCCCCCATGTCCAGACTTGCAACAACTGGGCGTGGCACTCCAAGAGGAATGGCAGAGGATTCCCCAAGTTCACATTGGTCGCATAATTAGGAGTATGAGACGTGGGTGTAATGCTTGTTTGGCTGCTAATGGTGGGCCAACCCGGTATTAACCCATTTGTGACCTTTGGGTTTCTACCCCTCATGAACTTTCCAGTGTCTACAAAATGAAATTGCAGCTTGATCAAAGTCATTACTTTCAAAATTGTTTCTTAACATCCTTATTTCCACATTATTATTGTTTCCAAATGAAAATTAAACATAATTCTGAAACTTTTCGTCGTAACTTTTCAATATCCCCTACTTTGTGTGAGCAGTATATATCATGTCACGAACACACAGACTGAAGGATATATTTCAAACAGAATTGGGCTCAGTCCTTAATACTTTGAAATAAATGCATTGCTAGCAGGATATTGAAACGCATACAAACACTGGATATTATCATCTTCCCGAGGCAAGGGAGTTAACTGACTATAAAAGTCCAGTTTCCGCCCTTGCCGGACATGGCTGGTATTATGGAGTTACATTTTGGCTGGACTAACGAGTCTATGCGTAGTCCAATCAAAATCGCGCACCGAAATCGAAATCCGGTTTCTGTCATGCAGATTTCGGTCGATTGCACGATTTGCAAAGAATGTGCACCGCCAACTCGTTGTCAGTAGATATTTCCCAAATCTTTTCATGTTTTTAATCAAGGTGCTCACGTGATTTGATGCATTTCGCGATGTAAAACCCGTTTTATCACAATATAAGTCTTGATTATCGATCAGATCGTCCTGACCGGGCGCCACCATTTTGTGTGAAGCAAACGCAAGTGATACTAGAGGTGAAATCTGATTGGTCCATATGAGAGGCTTAGAAGGGACATAACTGGTAATAGACACTGGTGGCGCTACGATCGAGCCTAGGAATTCCATCCTAGTTCGGCAAGGGTGGAAGCTGGACTTTTAAAGTCAGTTAATTCTCTTGCCTCGGGAACATGGGATATTATGTGCCTATTGTAAATGTCAATGAATCAAGAACAGCTCAAACTAGATTTCGATATTCTTCGCATTATCTTTGGGTTGAAACTGTACGATATACAATATTCGGAGAAAAGAACGAATTTGTCTGTGATTTAATATAGATGTAGATGAGGATGAGTATTTCCTTCTTGTATGTCCAGCAGATGCATCATTAAGAAATATGTATATATCAGAATATTTCTTTGTTCATCACAAATTTGAATCTCTGTTCAATTCCTCCAGCAGTTTGCAACAATTGCCGATGTGTATATATCATACTATATATATATATATATATATATATATATATATATATATATATATATATATATATATTATATGATAGATAGATAGATAGATAGATAGATAGATAAAGATGTATATAGATATATCATACTATATATGAAAATTACTCATATGCAGACTTTTCTACCATATTTTATATCTATGTTAGTGAGTGAGGGATTATTGTTGAACGCTGCATCAGCATACTTGCAGCTGTCCGCGTTGATCGTATATGCGTACTGCTGGCCTGTCGCCCATTCCGTGAAGAAGGTATGTAGGTATCTAAATTTTTGGAGCGACTTGGACTGTTATTCAGAGCAGAAATATTGATTGATTACCTCCCCTAGTTCGTTGTTAGTGCCGACGTGAGTGACGACAAGCGCCGTGTTCTCGCTGACGCCGAGGCCGTAGTTGACGCCGTTGGACATGTGCCGTGTGTCCGACAGCAGGCGAATCATGCGTCCCTCCCGGCCTCGATTACTGAAAATGTATAACACTAGATATTGATAATCGATGATGTTGCTGTTGAAATTATCGGCGGACATAGTCGTACAATCAAACACCTGCAAATTGCTCCTACAGAACACAGCCACGAGAACTATTCAAGTGTAGTCCGACAATGTTTAATGCTATGACTAAACACATTTGTTTGTTTGTCTGTTGTTTAATGCTGCACGCATGAATGTTCCAGCTATATGACAGCGGCCTGTAAATATTCGAGTCGAGACGCCCAACGCTAACACCGTATTCGTGCGTGCGTGATTCCCGAATCCTGCACCGATTGTGTTTAAATGTAATATCCAGTTATGTATGACTGTTTTATAATCTCATACCACCTTTGACTGGAGTAGGTCCGATAGTTTTTCAGATATTGTAGTAAACGTCGGTACCTTAAATTACCTTCCAGACTATAATTTGGCTGACATAACTGTTACCTTACCTAACCTGTTGTCATGTAAAGACCCATTGTGTTTCCCTGTGGTGTACCTGAAGTGGGTGTCGAGAAGATACTCGGGGTAGATTCCGAAGCCCCCTGCCTTCCTGTAGGTGAGGTCGTGTGAGTGAGTCAACGACTCCTGAGCTCCGTAACGGAGGGCGTCCCAACTGCTTCCGCCTTGATGAACGAGATGGTTATCTTAGATGCGAAGGAGCCGAGGTGGTGAGGTAAAATGGGTTTCAACGTCACATCATTCAATATTACTGCACTTATATAGCGACGTACGTACAGAATATGCAGGCCACAAGGTCAACACAAGACCTGTACCAACAGCGGGTCAACACAAGACAAGTACCACCAGCGGGTCAACACAACACTTGTACCACCACAAGGTTAACACAAGACAAGTACCACCAGCGGGTCAACATAACTGTATGTATTTCTCTGTGTGTGCGTGCGTGCGTGCGTGCGTGCGTGCGTGCGTGCGTGTGTGTCTGTCTGTCTGTCTGCTTGATATCATCCGGACAAATGCCGATTTTATAGTGCTAGCCCACTGAGATACAATGCGGCAGTTAAACATGAATACCCCACTCATACACAGTGTACTGACTCCGAGCCGACAGTTCTTATTTTCGCCCTTAATGCCGATCGCCAGGCAGGGTAACAAGGAGTGCCATCATATTACGTCTTTTGGTATTCCGCGACTGGGAATCGAACCGACGACCTCACGCTCTCCTGGCAGATGCTCTATCCACTAGACCACGTAGCTAGTCTAGATGTGGAGAACGATGTTTCAGATTACTAGAACTTGCACTCGTAAACATAGTAGTCATTTCTATGGTACCTATACCAAAGTCACCTGCATTGTGTTTTCGAATCAACCACTGGCCCATAACGTAATCAATCCATTTGTTAAACCCCATTTCACCTCACCTGTACAGACAGGTATACGAAAACAGGGTGTAAACTATTGCTTTTAGGATTCTATCTCTTCAAAATATTATTGACATGAGGAAATATACTCAGCAGGTTATGGAATCCTAGAAGAGACGTTTTCGCATTGTTGCATTATCGCCCTTTACAAAAACAAACGTCTCAAAATTAAGCAACGCGCAAAAATATTGCCCCTTTGTCGCATTGTTGCGTTGTTGCGTTGTCGCGTTGTCCGCATCGTCGCGCCTTGGGTAATCATTTTTTTTATTTTACTAAAGGGAACCAATGCGAAAACGCGACAATGTCCCTTCTAGGATCCCAAGGCTATCGTTTTGGTTTCATTGTTCGATTGCACGCAATCGGAACTTTGACTATATCTCATTCATACCTGTTCACTGATTTCAACTTTACTGTCTTACTGCATTCGCAATTACAAAGTGAACTCATTTAAGAGCGTGCATGTCCGTTCACTTCTTGAGGGCAAGTGTTGTGATTCCTGTTTCACATTTCATTCCTGCATGTGCACGATAACACCAGGTGGAAGCACCTATATGCATGACATGATCATGTAGGTAACACTCCTGCATGCTTACCCGTTACCATGGGACCAGCGGTGAGAATTGCAGTGCCAGCACTGGAACCGGATATGACAGCACCACCGTTGTATTGATCCTTAATGGCCTGGAGAGCCGGGGACGGAAGGTTGCCCGCCAACATGTACCTGCTCAAAGGAAATGAAGGCGATGTGAACCACGATTTGAGGAAACTTTACCTGAAGAGTCTTGCAATACCTTCAGAATGTAGTCCTTATCACATTTAGTACTGTTAACTGGGCGTTGTTCAGGTTGTTTCCATGGTGACGACGACGGGTGTTCTATACACAGTAACACATCCTGAAAACAAACTAAAAATTAAGATACGTTCCTGCACCTGAACTAGGAACAGAGGAGGCCTGTGACACGCTTCATCCTTTTTAGATCCATGCATAAAGATTCAGAGTACCGAAACACTCTCCACAAGACTGTATGACAAGAGGGATGACTTCAACTTTTCAGTAGTCAACTTTCCCTTTATGTTGAGTAATATTCCAGCAGCTCCAGTTTCTGGTGTTAACATTTCACAACTTTTGAGGTACAACCGAGCATGCTCTTTCTACTAAGATTTCAAAGAGCCTCATACGACTCTTGCTCAGAAGCTGTTTGATCAAGGTTACAACATGCAAGGCTTCACTAAAGCTTTCGAAGAGTTTTATGGTAGACATGTGGCGGACATTTCCAAATCTGACGCGTCAGTGACAAAAATTATGTCCGATGCAATTCCTTATTTTGACATGTACCATTCATGTTCCCGTGTTTATTTTAGGTGAACAAGTGCCGCCGGTGGGGCAGGATACGCTAACCTTTTCGCGAACACCTGGTATCATCACTCTTTGATAGTGCTTATGAAAGTCGGAGTCGTACAACAAAGAGAACATCATCCAATCATCCGAACATCTCAAAACCAGGTGAACATCTCACAACTAGGTGAACATCTCATAAATAGGTGAACATCTCACAAATAGGCGAACATCTCACAACTAGGTGAACATCTCACAACTAGGTGAACATCTCACAACTAGGAGAACATCTCACAAATAGGCGAACATCTCACAACTAGGTGAACATCTCACAAAAAGGCGAACATCTCCAAACTTGGTGAATATCACACAGCTAGGTGAACATCTCACAAATAGGTGAACATCTCACAAATAGGCGAACATCTCACAACTAGGTGAACATCTCACAACTAGGTGAACATCTCACAAATATGAATATACAATGCCATTTAGAGTGATTAGGTGCCTCACTCTGGCAAGTGTGGGTTCGAATCCCGGACGGGTCTCAACCCCGAAAAAGTACGAGAATCTATATTTTACTAAGAAAGTGTTATCCCAAATATAACATTTGTTACATTTGACCACTAAATGGCATTGTGTATTCATAGCTTTCGGCCATGGGAGCCGTGTCAATTTATACTTGTCAGAGGGGTACTCAAAGTACGTGATCTAGACTACCTGTTGTCGGACTTTCATTTTTGTGGAGGTGAGGTCGGTGAGGTGAAATTTGGTTTAACGTCGCGTCCAAGATTATTGCATTTATATAGCGACGTGCATGCACGTGTGTGTGTTTGTGTGGCTGCTTGTACTAGTCCGGACTGATGCCGATTTATAGTGCTAGCCCACTGAGATACCATGCCGCAGTTTAACATGAATAGCCCACTCAGACACAGTATACTGACTCCGAGCCGACCAGTCCTTGTTCTAGCCCCTTAATGCCGAGCGCCAGACAGGGCAACAACAAGTACCATCTTTTAACGTCTTTTGGTCTGACACGGCCGGGGATCGAACCCCGGACCTTCCGCTCTCTGGGCGGACGCTCTACCACTAGACCACGGAGGCGGTTTCATTTTTGTGGAAGCCTTGGTGGCTGAGTGGGTTAGATCGCTGATTTTGTGTGCTTCCGATTAGGTGCCGGACGGGTCTCAACCCCAAAAAAGTACGAGAATTTGTACTTTACTAAGAAAGTGTTATCCAAAATATAACATTTATTACATCTCACAAATAGGTAAACATCTCACAAATAGGTGAACATCTCACAACTAGGTGAACATCTCACAAATAGGCGAACATCTCACAACTAGGTGAACATCTTCCAAATAGGCGAACATCTCACAACTAGGTGAACATCACACAACTAGGTGAACATCTGACAAATAGGCGAACATCTCACAACTAGGTGAACATCTCACAACTAGGTGAACTTCTCACAATTAGGTGAACATCTCACAAAAAGGCGAACATCTCACAACTAGGTGAACATCACACAACTAGGTGAACATTTCCCAAATAGGCGAACATCTCACAAATAGGCGAACATCCCACAACTAGATGAACATCTCACAACTAGATGAACATCTACCAAATAGGCGAACATCTCACAACTAGATGAACATCTCACAACTAGGTGAACATCTCACAACTAGGTGAACATCTCACAACTAGGTGAACATCTCCAAAATATACGAACATCTCACAACTAGGTGAACTTCTCACAACTAGGTGAACTTCTCACAACTAGGTGAACATCTCACAAAAAGGCGAACATCTCACAACTAGGTGAACATTTCAAAACTAGGTGAACATCTACCAAATAGGCGAACATCTCACAATTAGGTGAACATCTCACAACTAGGTGAACATCTACCTAATAGGCGAACATCTCACAACTAGGTGAACATCTCACAACTAGGTGAACATCTCACAACTAGGTGAACATCTCACAAATAGGCGAACATCTCACAACTAGGTGAACATCACACAACTAGCTATAGGTGAACATCTCCCAAATAGCCGAACATCTCACAACTAGGTTAACATCTCACAACTAGGTGAACATCTCACAACTAGGTTAACATCTACCAAATAGGCGAACATCTCACAACTAGGTGAACATCTCACAAATAGGTGAACATCTACCAAATAGGTGAACATCTCACAACTAGGTGAACATCTCACAACTAGGTGAACATCTCACAACTAGGTGAACATCTCACAACTAGGTGAACATCTCACAAATAGGCGAACATCTCACAACTAGGTGAACATCTCACAACTAGGTGAACATCTCACAAATAGGCGAACATCTCACAACTAGGTGAACATCTCACAACAAGGTGAACATCTCACTACTAGGCGAACATCTCACTAAAAGGCGAACATCTCACTACTAGGTGAACATCTCACAACTAGGTGAACATCTCACAAATAGGTGAACATCTCACAACAAGGTGAACATCTCACAACTAGGTGAACATCTCACAAAAAGGCGAACATCTGACAACTAGGTGAACATCTCACAACTAGGTGAACATCTCACAACTAGGCGAACATCTCACAATTAGGTGAACATCTCACAACTAGGTGAACATCTCACAAAAAGGCGAACATCTCACAACTAGGTGAACGTCTACCGAATAGGCGAACATCTCACAACTAGGTGAACATCTCACAACTAGGCGAACATCTCACAACTAGGTAAACATCTCACAACTAGGCGAACATCTCACAACTAGGCGAACATCTCACAACTAGGTGAACATCTCACAACTAGGTGAACATCTCAGAACTAGGTGAACATCTCAGAACTAGGTGAACATCTCCCAAATAGGTGAACATCTCAAACTAGGTGAACATCTCACTACTAGGCGAACATCTCACTACTAGGCGAACATCTCACAACTAGGTGAACATCTCACAACTAGGTGAACATCTCACAACTAGGTGAACATCTCACAACAAGGTGAACATCTCACAACTAGGTGAACATCTCACAACTAGGTGAACATCTCACAACTAGGCGAACATCTCACAACTAGGCGAACATCTCACAACTAGGTGAACATCTCACAACTAGGTGAACATCTCACAAAAAGGCGAACATCTCACAACTAGGTGAACATCTCACAACTAGGCGAACATCTCACAACTAGGTGAACGTCTACCGAATAGGCGAACATCTCACAACTAGGTGAACATCTCACAACTAGGTGAATATCTCACAACTAGGCGAACATCTCACAAAAAGGGGAACATCTCATAACTAGGTAAACATCTCACAACTAGGCGAACATCTCACAACTAGGTGAACATCTCACAACTAGGTGAACATCTCACAACTAGGTGAACATCTCACAACTAGGTGAACATCTCACAAATAGGTGAACATCTCAAACTAGGTGAACATCTCACAACTAGGTTAACATCTACCAAATAGGTGAACATCTCACAACTAGGTGAACATCTCACAAATAGGTGAACATCTCACAAATAGGCGAACATCTCACATCTAGGCGAACATCTCACAACTAGGTGAACATCTCACAACTAGGCGAACATCTCACAAATAGGTGAACATCTACCAAATAGGTGAACATCTCACAACTAGGTGAACATCTCACAAATAGGCCAACATCTCACAACTAGGTGAACATCTCACAAAAAGGCGAACATCTCCAAACTAGGCGAATATCACACAGCTAGGCGAACATCTCCCAAATAGGCGAACGTCTTCCATTTATCCGAACATTTCACAATCTCACAGCTGGGCGAACATCTCCCAAATAGGCGAAAATCTTCCATTTACCCGAACATTTCACAACTAGGCGAACATCTTCCAATTATCCGAACGTCCCCAAACTGGGATAATGGAGGTACACGGGAACTTTCCATGAGTCAGACATACATCCAATGGCGAGATGTTTGGGGTTTGTATGGCTTCACCAGGATATTGGGAATTTCTCCAAATTCAGTTCAATATTTAAACAAAGGTTACAGGATTTTGGCAATCAAACTATTCAGTGAGTGGGCGGCACATGTATAACACATATACGTACCACCAGGACTTACAACAAACATGGTCCAAGATTTACATAATAATGTACAACTACACCAAACACGGTTGACATATTCCAGGCAAATTGACACTTGTGACGACAGGTCTCCGTAGCACAGGTGATAGCTTGAAGGATTACAAAAGAATAGGTCGTAGGTTCGTATCCCGCCCAGGTTTAAACTGACTGACTGAGTATGGTTTTACGCCGCTTTTAGCAATATTCCAGCAATATCACGGCGGGGGACACCAGAAATTGGCTTCACAAATTGTACCCATGTCGGGAACGCTTTAACCACTAGGCTACCCAACCGCCCCTACGAAGAATACATGATACCCATCTTCAATTTAAAAGGGATCACAAAAAGAACATACACACAAAACTTTCTTGTGCATCATTGGTGGCAAAGTTTCGTAACAAGTTAACCTTGAAATCATGAAGAAATATCCTAACTTTACAGGAGCATCTCACGATTTATCAAAGATCGAGGTCGTAGTTGTTGTATGACTAATAGTATTTCTCTATAACAGGAAGCTGACAATAAAAGGATGTCTGATTACTTCGATAGAACATTCACCTTTTTATAGTTACCACCATCCACTCCAAAATTAATCCATTTATACTGCTGAAATAACATTTTTTGTAGCGGTAGCGAGCACTAAGATCTTATTTTTATGAGATTGCACGACACAAATACGCCCCACATTCCACCTACGCCTGCACAAGACGCATCTGGTCCCCGCCGGAAATGAAGAATCCAGTCTGCTGTTTGATGAGTTTGACGACATTCGGATCACTATTTTTGGCGACATCGTCAACAGTGACAGGAATGAAGGTGGCTTCCAAGGCGGTGTAGTTGTTGACCAAGAGGTCCACGTAGTATTTGGCCGAGGTAGCCGGGGTGTCTGATGCTGCTGAAATTACTCCAATGCGCGCCTTTGCTTTGCCTCCCTGTGAAGTGGATGAGTGAGTGAATGAGTGAGCTTGGATCCCCACTTTATGAATAATAAAAGCGACAAAACCATTTTCATAATTATATTTCATCTCTGCTGAACACAAAGTCATTTGTACTATTCCGAGTGTATCATAAGCATGTGTTTATGAATCAGTATCAAATAGTGATGATACCAGGTGAACGTACCCTGCATCACCGGGGCAACTGTCACAAACACATGCAAAGGCATATTAATTGTTCACCTGAAAAACGCGGGTCATATGGTACAGGCAAACCATTGGTTGTCCAGCTGTAGGAATCTTTACCTCGCGACAGTTAAAAACTTCTTCTAAGGCCACGCCACATTTAAGAACGAATATCTCCATGGGAACTCCGGATCCCCATTAATCTAACCTGGCCGTAAGAGGAGGTTTAATGCTTCGGGTTGTCAGGCTCGGTTGATTGCATATCATCGTACCCAGACGGGATGGGATTGTTGCTGACAATATCGTGACTGGATTGTCTGGTACAGACTCGTATATATATATATATATACAGACCGCCGCCATATGCAGCACTACGGTCCACGGCAATGAACTGTGGGAATGTGAATACCATCAGGATGAACCTGAGACTCAGAGGTCTCTGGGCAAAGGGATGCAACTCTGGTAAAGGAAGCAACTCGACTACAACAAACTTTACAGTGCCTACTACTGCTGCTACTACTACTACTACTACTACTACTAATAATAATAATAATAATAATAATAATAATAATACAATAGACTTGCACAAGTCTATAAGGCAATAATTATTAGCTTAAATCCTAAGTTCTAGATTATGTTAATAATAAGAACAAGTTGTCCCTATTAGGGACTGGAGTCTTTAGATGTACTGTCCACATATCTAGACTAGCCTATTAGGAAGATAGAATTACTACTCATCCATTGACCTTTCTTTAAGTTCAGCCTTGAAGCAAGGCTACTACCACTACTACTACTACTACTGCTGCTGCTACTGCTGCTGCTGCTACTGCTACTCCTATTGCCACCACCACCACGACTACCACTACCAGCACCACCACCACAGCCACTACAACTATCATTACTACCACCGCCGCTCCCACTACCTCCATCGCTACTAATACGGCTACGAGTACTACTACTACTACTACTACTACTACTACTACTACTACTACTACTACTACTTCTACAGTAATTATTCTTCAGTTTACAATCTCTAATACAATCATGTCTACGACCGTACTACTAAAGTACTCACGGAAATGGAAAAAAAACTGTTTTTTCGATCTCATATTCTAAATAAATGCAGTAAATATACAAAATATATAAATATTCAAACAACTCAATTAGTACTAATTGGGCATTGGCACAAATACAGCGTATCAAAGGTTTTTATGTCTTTTTACACGTAAAAGTGTGTAAAAATATGAACAAAACAGACTATTGAGAAACTGAGCATAAACAGGTGTTAGTAGATCAAGGTGAATGTCCATGACCTATGACACCTTGACGACAGGTGAAAACAGGTGCTTGAAACCCACGTGCATGTGATTTGTCAGTGGTTAGTGATTTGTGAGTGGTATTGTGGGATAGTGAATCATCGTCAAAATATCAGAACGTAAAAGTAACACATTCCCTTCTCAAACAACAACTTACATGTCATTATTATTATGTACATAAATTATTATTATGTACATAAACAAAGCTGTTATTTTTATTTATTTTTTTCCAGGCTAATTTGCATAATGCCTATAGCCTGTTTCTGCCATGTCAATTTGGACTTAGTTTTATTTTTGAATGTTGAAAGTGCCTACAAATTACCTCCTGTAACGTACATTTTGTATTGAGCACTGAGATAAAACTAGCAAATCCAGACTAGTACTTTTCCAGTTGTTTTGTTATTTCGTATTTTCATCTACTTAATGCTTTGTGCCGATTATTAAATCCAGCAAAACAGGTTTTTTTTCATTTCCATGAGTACTTTAATATATGGTCCAAGGTTCACCTACACCCAACCCTGCTATTTCAAGTATAATGCTAGACGTCGATAAAAAGAATTCACCCAACTAACAAAGAAGAAACATCTATTATTCATTGTGAGTCTAAGAAGATTTAAACTGTATCAACACATATACTATTCTTAATACTACCAACGCTGACAAATATGCTAAGCTTCTGCCTTTGGGACAATTTTGAGATGACCTTTTCAATAATCGTAAAATCAATGAAGTAATTGAAGCAAGGAGTTGTATATTATATGTAAACATATTTTTATTTATCGATTTGTTAGATTAATAAAATGTTGACCTTCCTTCACTTAAAAGGGACGGTTACCGTATTCGACGTAATAAGCGCCCAGGGCGCTCTCAAAATTAGAAATAGGGGTCTCTTATTGGAATATTATTTTGGTGGAAAAAAGAAGAGTTGAAAGATAAATTTCGTGGTTTATGCTTACACACTGAAATGCTTATATGCGACAGATACATTTTTCCAGAATTTAATTGCCCATAATTAAGAATGCATATACCACACGAGTACGTATTATGCGCGAATAAATACGTCTTGTGTACACTGATCAATCGGAAGGAGTGCTAATTGGGATTGTTCACTAGGCAACACTATTAGCAAATATCGCCGTGGGCGCTTGTTAGAGCGGGGCGCTTGTTACGTCGAATACGGTAATATGATTTAAGGAATATGTTCAGGGTAGAATCAAAGAGCGAAAGAGTAATAAACAGATATGTTTTGAAACGATTTAATATCAAGGCCCAAATTGTTTTGACCAAAGGAATTTGCAGAGATACAGGAAATAGGTTCTAAAGGTTTGATAACGTGAGACGCACTTGGAGAACTCAACTGCCTTTTCCGTAAAGAGTTGATATTAATGATAATTATTATTATTAATAATAAACCGTAATAATAACCTAAGGACTTAACGGTTTCACAAACATTGGAAATCGTTAACCTTGACGTTTATGTAAATATGCTCTAAAACATGAAAACAAAATCAATTATTTTGGGAATAACTGATTGAGTGAATGGTGTTTAACGCCACCCGAGCAGTTTTGCTCTTGTGGTTATTGAGCTGGTTATTTCAGCTCCGAATCCCCTACACGGCCCACTCTGTCTACTGTATACTCCTTACCGCCATGTCAACTATCCTTGACCAGACGTGCGCATTGTCGTCCATCAAAACTCCCCCTCCAAGAACAAGACTCTTGCCATATTTGGTATACTGCGGGAGTCGAACATTTGCGTTGACTACGACACAAACAGCCGCCAAACACAGCAGCAGTTGCGTCATCGCTGTAGAGCACGTAGACATGAAGTCACTGACACTGCCCAGGTGCGTAAACACAGGTGGTTGTTATCTGGGTCGACGACAGTACCTAGGCTTTTACGGTTGCCCATAAGGGACATGGAGTCTGTTTTTTTCATATTTTGATATTTCACTTACTTTTATCGTAACCTTTTGCAAATTAACACGATTTGTCTTACAAATTTGTGATAAATCATGTGTAAAGAAGATATTGAATCGCTGAAAAGAGAAACGAAAATGTCAAAAACTAAAATGAAAATGTCAAAAACAAAAGCGAAAATGTCAAAAACTAAAATGAAAATACAGAAAACTATTTCCACCGCGGTGATAATATTTATACCGCGGTGGAAATAGTTTTCTGTGGTTAAATTTTAGTTTTTGACATTTTCGTTTAAGTTTTTGACATTTTCGTTTTGGTTTTTCACATTTCCATTTTAGTTTTTGACATTTTCGCTTCACATTTCAGCGACTCAATAGCTACTTGAAAGTACATTTTCCATGTTTTCGGTTGTCTTTATCACATATTTGTATGACAAATTGTGTTAATTTGCAAAAGGTTATGTTAAAAGTAAGTGAAACATCAAAATATTGAAAAACAGAATCCATGTCCCTTATGGGCCACCGTAGAAAATGTACCAATCGGACGATTTTCTGGCATGCTTTTTCAACTCCTCACCTAATTTCTTTCTTCACAATGGCTATTTCAAACTATTTCTCTACTGGGGTTAAACTGTTAGCACCGTCATGAGTGAAAGTTGAGGTGAGAATGTCCTGTCCTACAAGTAACACCGTCATGAGTGAATGTTGAGGTGAGAATGTCCTGTCCTACAAGTAACACCGTCATGAGTGAATGTTGAGGAGAGAATGTCCTGCTTTAAAGGTAACACCGTCATGAGTGAATGTTGAGATGAGAATGTCCTGCTTTACAGGTACCATCGTCATGAGTGAATGTTGAGGTGAGAATGTCCCGCTTTACAGGTAACACCGTCATGAGTGAATGTTGAGGTGAGAATGTCCTGCTTTACAGGTACCACCGTCATGAATGAATGTTGAGGTGAGAATGTCCTGCTTTACAGGTAACACCGTCATGAGTGAATGTTGAGGTGAGAATATCCCGCCCCACAGGTGACGGTGTCTAGCCGGGAGAGCCACATTTCAGAAATGGCTATTGCCGGTAGAGCCACATTTTCAGCTGAGTGCATTTCACCTATTCTAGCGGGTAATTAATTAATCCGATTACCGATACCTTTATATGAGTGTCCCACATTTAAATCTTCACTACAGACAAGAACATTGAACATTTGTGTGCTGCAGACATTGTATTTTGTGATGGTACATTTTATGCCTGTCCCAAGTTGTTTGATCAGATTTATTGTTTACATGCTGAGGTGTTTGGCCATATGTTTCCATTAGTTTACTGTTTGTTGTCCAATCGAACAAAAGAGTGTTATGTCAACATGTTTCAGTACCTATGCGGTTTTGCTAGTAGAGGAGGTCTAGAGTTTGCTCCACTTACAATTAAGTTGGACTTTGAACGTACAGCTCACAATGCCGTGACTGATGTATTTCCTTGGACATTAGTTAGAGGGTGTTTCTTTCACTTCACCCAATGTATCTGGAGGAGAGTGCAGAAAGATTGTCTGGGGGTGGACTATAAGGAAGATGAGGAGGCGAAGAAGCTGATGAGAAGAGCTGCTGCCCTCCCTCTAGTACCTCGTGACAAAGTGGATGAGGTGTGGCTTGATGCCATTGCTGACTCTCCTGCTGGCCCTAAAGTGACTGCGTTCTTGGACTACGTGACAACCAGTTGGGTTCAAGGAGGGGCCTTCATGCCAGAGATTTGGAATCATTTCGAAAACCAAGGCCACCGTACCAACAATCACCTGGAAGGGTGGCACAACAAGATAAAGAAACGTGCCAAGAAGTGCCACCCGAACATCTACGAGGTAGTGAAGCTATTTCAGCGAGAGCAGTCACTCAAAGAGGTTGCAGTCCTGAGACTCTCTCACCAGTGGTCAGAACCTTCACGAAGAAAGAAGTACAAGGCAATCGATGCACGTATTGCGTCCCTCAAGATCAAACTCCCGAAAAAACACCTGAGTGAGATGGAATATGCTGACCACGTGGGCGACCTCCTTCATCTGCAGTAATGACATTAAATCCATTATGATATTCATATTCATCAATGTAAAGTGTTGATGAATATGTTATCCTTGTTGAATAAAAAATGAGAAAACAAAACTTGTTATGTTATATACGGTAACCTGCTAGAATCACAAAGAATGTTTTGAAAGCATAGCCGCGAGAGCCACATTATACAATCACGCAACCATAACCATTGCCGCGAGAGCCACATCAATTTGGGCTATCTATTTTCGAAATGTGGCTTTGCTGGCCTGTAACCCAGGTGACACCGTCATGAGTAAATGCTGGCTGAGAATGTCCCGCCCTACAGGTGACACCGTCATGAGTGAATGTTGAGGTGAGAATGTCCTGCTTTACAGGTAACACCGTCATGAGTGAATGTTGAGGTGAGAATATCCCGCCCTACAGGTGACACCGTCATGAGTAAATGCTGGCTGAGAATGTCCCGCCCTACAGGTGACACCGTCATGAGTGAATGTTGAGGTGAGAATGTCCTGCTTTACAGGTAACACCGTCATGAGTGAATGTTGAGGTGAGAATGTCCTGCTTTACAGGTAACACCGTCATGAGTGAATGTTGAGGTGAGAATGTCCTGCTTTACAGGTATCACCGTCATGAGTGAATGTTGAGGTGAGAATATCCCGCCCTACAGGTGACACCGTCATGAGTGAATGTTGAGGTGAGAATGTCCCGCCCTACAGGTAACACCGTCATGAGTGAATGTTGAGGTGAGAATGTCCTGCTTTACAGGTAACACCGTCATGAGTGAATGTTGAGGTGAGAATGTCCTGCTTTACAGGTAACACCGTCATGAGTGAATGTTGAGGTGAGAATGTCCTGCTTTACAGGTAACACCGTCATGAATGAATGTTGAGGTGAGAATGTCCTGCTTTACAGGTATCACCGTCATGAGTGAATGTTGAGGTGAGAATGTCCTGCTTTACAGGTAACACCGTCATGAGTGAATGTTGAGGTGAGAATGTCCTGCTTTACAGGTATCACCGTCATGAGTGAATGTTGAGGTGAGAATATCCCGCCCTACAGGTGACACCGTCATGAGTGAATGTTGAGGTGAGAATGTCCCGCCCTACAGGTAACACCGTCATGAGTGAATGTTGAGGTGAGAATGTCCTGCTTTACAGGTAACACCGTCATGAGTGAATGTTGAGGTGAGAATGTCCTGCTTTACAGGTAACACCGTCATGAGTGAATGTTGAGGTGAGAATGTCCTGCTTTACAGGTATCACCGTCATGAGTGAATGTTGAGGTGAGAATATCCCGCCCTACAGGTGACACCGTCATGAGTGAATGTTGAGGTGAGAACGTCCCGCCCTACAGGTAACACCGTCATGAGTGAATGTTGAGGTGAGAATGTCCCGCCCTACAGGTGACACCGTCATGAGTGAATGTTGAGGAGAGAATGTCCTACTTTAAAGGTAACACCGTCATGAGTGAATGTTGAGGTGAGAATGTCCTGCTTTACAGGTACCATCGTCATGAGTGAATGTTGAGGTGAGAATGTCCCGCTTTACAGGTAACACCGTCATGAGTGAATGTTGAGGTGAGAATGTCCTGCTTTACAGGTACCACCGTCATGAATGAATGTTGAGGTGAGAATGTCCTGCTTTACAGGTAACACCGTCATGAGTGAATGTTGAGGTGAGAATATCCCGCCCTACAGGTGACACCGTCATGAGTAAATGCTGGCTGAGAATGTCCCGCCCTACAGGTGACACCGTCATGAGTGAATGTTGAGGTGAGAATATCCTGCTTTACAGGTAACACCGTCATGAGTGAATGCTGGGGTGAAAATATCCCGCCCTACAGGTAACACCGTCATGAGTGAATGCTGGGGTGAGAATGTCCCGCCCTTCAGGTAACACCGTTGTGAGTGAATGTTGAGGTGATATTTCAGGTGAATATACTGTGTCTCAGTGGGGTATTCATGTTATGGGCTAGCACTATAAATCGGCATTAGTACGGACTGGCACACACACACACACACACACACACACACACACACACACACACACACACACACACACACACACACACACACACACACACTCTCACTCACTCACTCACTCACTCACTCACTCACTCACTCACTCACTCACTCACTCACTCACACACACACACACACACACACACACACACACACTCACTCACTCACTCACTCACTCACTCACTCACTCACTCACACACACACACACACACACACACACTCACTCACTCACTCACTCACTCACTCACTCACTCACTCACTCACACACTCACTCACTCACACTCACACACACACACATGCACGTCGCTATATGACGAGGGCTAGCAACATGTTTTGTTAACAAGCTAACTTTACTATTTTCGTAAAAACTGAAACATTGAATTATCAACATTTTTTTGCAACATGCGATGTTTAAGACTGCGGTACAAATTGTTTCAAAGCAGAAGCAGGAAAAAGGTTCATTACTGACAACGCCAACATGTTTCTCACCATGGGTTTGCGTGCTGACGGCGCCAGTGAATGTCACCGGAACATTCAGTGTATTGGCTTTAACTGCGAAGGCAACGGGAACGTGCGAGATGATAATTATATGAGTTTAAATCCTCTTTGGATCATCTGACCAACGCTCACGGGTGGGCATATTATGGATATAATGTCTGTTGACTACTATTCCTTCAATATCCTATAGACTGTCTTTACATTTGATGGGGCACAGGTGACCCTGTCGTCTAAGACAACAAACAAACAACAATCTATCAGAATATATCACTGACCGACTTGTCTGTCTGTCTGTCTGTTGTTTAACGCCGCACTCAGCAATATTCCAGCTATATGATGGCGGTCTGTAAATAATCGAGTCTAAACCAGACAATCCAGTGATTGACATCATGAGCATCGATCCACGCAATTGTACTGTATATTGACTGTCCGCTGTATTTTGACTCACTTTTGAAAACATAGTTCCATTGCATTTCATTACCATAAATAATCTTACAAAACGCTAGTTTCTCTTTGATAGATGTTTTAAACACACTGTTAACTAATATTGTTGATAACCGGAAGTCAGGTTCAAGGCATCTTCCCGAGGCAAGGGAGTTTAACTGACTGTAAAAGTCCAGTTTCCACTTTTATAGTCAGTTAACGCCCTTGCCTCGTGAAGATGGGTTCATTGTGAACACTACGTAAGTGTAGTATTGGTCAGTTTCAGATCGTGAGATGTATGAAGGGGACACATATGACGACAGGGATGGAAACATTGTCTAATGAGGAGGGGGCGGTGGGGTAGCTTAGTGGTTAAAGCGTTCGCTCGTCACGCCGAAGACCCAAGTTCGATTCCCGACATGGGTACAATGAGTGAAGCCCATTTCTGGTGTCCCCCGCCGTGATATTGCTGGAATATTGCTAAAAGTGACGTAAGACCTCACTCACTCACTCACTCGCTAATGAGGAGATGAATGTGTACTCACGTCTTGTTGTAGCCATTACGCGGCCATTTGTGTTCAAAATGAAATGAAATTTGGTATGAGACAGAGTGGGGTCTGGGGGTGGCCAGCAATCTTTTTTACATCTGATAACATTTTGTATGCACATTACATACCATGATACACTTATCCCATCCCCCACCCAAACACACACAACAACAACAACAACAGCAACCCACTACCATAACCACCAGTATATTACACAGTCGTGCTCCCGAAAAAATAATATGAACCTATTTTAATAGTTAGGTGAAATAGAGTTTTAGGTGTGATATTGTTTTATTGCCCAGTACACTATTGTTGAACCAATGCTGACACAGTATGTTGATATCATAATGACGTCACGTTCTGTTATTATAGACGAGCATTTCGACATTGCTTTCAATATACATCTCAAGACAATTGCTAGTCCACAGCGGCTAAATACAATAAGAAAGAGTTAAATTCATGTGGTCTTTCATATTGATTTTGCGAAATTTAGAAGTCATGAATTTCCCTAACTCTTGCTTAAAATAAACATTATGACATTTGTTTTGTAAAAACTGTTTGTCCCACATAATAATCAGTATATTCTTCATAATAATCTACATGATAATCTACCTCTCTATAGATATACATGTATATATATTGCGGTAACCCTAGTCTCACATCTGTTTTTAATTAACAATTTTTTGGGGGAAAACATTTTATAAAGGTACGATTTTTTTATTAAATTTGATATTATTATCGTCTAAAAGCATTATTTTATCTTTAATTAGCATTAATTTCGAGATACATATTCTTATAAGAAATTATATCGGAGTTGAAAGTTCCACGTCGTTCAACCCAACTCTCTGTATGTGTTCCCGTCTTCGACATCGTCACTCGGAAACGGGGGTGTTTTTCGTTAGTGTCTCCGTACGAATACAAGTCTTTTCTCGCGTCGACAATGCTCGCCGCCACTCGGAGAAACTCGGTTTTCTTCGTAGGGCTGCTCTCACCGTAGAATATATCACTGGAGGTGACGGCGTGGGTGTGAGACTCGTTTCCAGTCAGCAGTGTTTTGGTCGATGAGACAGAGACGTTGTGCGACACCAGGCTTATTGTGTCTCCGGCTGTCAAGTAGGACATGTACACGTTACGAATGTCGAAGTACGTATGGAAGGGGTCAACGTATGATTTGGATACGTCTACCAAAGAGACTCCATGTGTACCGACGACCTGAAAGTAATAAGTAGAACATTAAAGGGAGTCTTGGCTTGGGATAATTAGCGGTCCTTGCAAGCATCATTCAGGGGTTCAAAATCCAATTTGTTTGTCCGCTTAGTCCAACTGTATGACGTGCCATATAACTAGGAGGGAAATGAGAATTTTAGAAAGTGGAACATAGTCTCTCCCCCCTCCCCCGCCCGCCCCCAATGGTAGCATTTTTTAACACCATAAAATATTATAATATATAATGGTGAAATGGGGTTTAACGTCGCGTCCAGGATTATTGCACTTATATAGCGACGTGCATGTAAGTGGGTGTGTTTGTGTGGCTGCTTGTACTAGTCCGGACTGATGCCGATTTATAGTGCTAGCCCACTGAGATACCATGCCGCAGTTTAACATGAATACCCCACTCAGACACAGTATACTGACTCCGAGTCGACCAGTCCTTGTTTTAGCCCCTTAATGCCGAGCACCAGGCAGGGTAACAACAAGTACCATCTTTTAACGTCTTTTGGTCTGACGCGGCCGGGGATCGAACCCCAGACCTTCCGCTCTCCGAGCGGACGCTCTACAACTAGACCACGGAGGCGGTCTTATAATATATAAATATATATATATATATATATATAGAGAGAGAGAGAGAGAGAGAGAGAGAGAGAGAGAGAGAGAGAGAGAGAGAGAGAGGGTGAGTGAGAGAGAGAGGGAGAGCGATAACATGACTTTAACGAGATATGCATAACTGCAGCAATTATTATAGTTTCAAAATAGGTTCAAAATAAATACACATGACGCTTCTTCGCATTATCTCACAGTTGACCTGGCATTTTAATAATTCCAATGACAATTGTAGTGTACAGCATAGCCCTCGCATGAAGATGGTGCTGTGCACATAAGCCGAACGTTGAAACACATCCTAACGACGAGGTGGTTTCGGTTTTAGGTTTATTGTGCGAGATATATAAATGTATCTTTCTGAAAGCCATGTGTCACGGACCGCACTATTATTGCTGCTTTTACCTACTTGGATTGTTATTATTTACTTTTACTTGTTTGCCATTTTAGCATATCTGTTATCGAGCTACAGTTACGCGCAAACCGATTTTATCGTGTAAAAATGTCTGGGTTGCGAGCTTTAAATCGAACTTTAGAAACATACTCAACAACTATCACGCGGCTGCTTATATCAGTTGGTGACTCCACCCTTCCCCGACTATCACTTTGACCTGTTGTTATCACTGGCAAATTGGTCAATCACGGGTTATTTCTGGAACTTTCTGGCTCCATGTCCTTTTTCCATTCATTTGTCATTTCAACAGAACAGTCAAAAAAGTTTCAGAATGTTTCACATGAATCTTACACATTTTTTTGTATTTTTCTCGGAGGCATTTTACCTTAACAATAATGTTGATTCAGGTCTGTGTGAAAGACGTGAAAGTAAATTTGAGTGTTACTTTAACATAAGAGCGAATGAATCTCAAGAACAAAAATGGGAGTTTGGGGGGCTAAAACACAAGGACACGCGTTCCAGCTTCAAAATACATGGAATAGTCTTCGATTAAGGAGGAAGGATCTCACCTCCCCTCTCTCGTTACTTGTTCCGGCTTCTGTGACGACGAGGGCAGTGTTTGGGTCGACTCCGATGCCGTAGAGGACACCATGAGGTAGATGTTGTGTGTCAGACAAAAGCCGTATAAGGCGTCCTTCACGTCCACGGGATCTACACATAGAACACATGGGACTTACTTTGACACAACGCAATAGTGAGTTATATCGTAGTCAGAAATATCTCAGTTACATCACGACGGCCTCAACGTGTTGTCAGCAATATTGCAGCTACATCACGACGGCTTCAACGTGTTCTCAGCAACATTGCAGCTACATCACGACGGCTTCAACGTGTTGTCAGCAATATTGCAGCTACATCACGACGGCTTCAACGTGTTGTCAGTAATATTGCAGTTACATCACAACGGCTACAATGTGTTGTCAGCAATGTTGCAGTTACATCACGACGGCTTCAACGTGTGGTCAGCAATATCACAGTTACATTACTACGGGCTTCAACGTGTTGTCACCAATACCACAGTTTCATTACGACAGGCTTCGACGTGTGGTCAGCAATATCACAGATACATTAGGACGGCTTCAACGTGTTGTCAGCAATATCACAGTAACATTACGACGGGCTTCAACGTGTTGTCAGTTATATCACAGATACATTACGACGGGCTTCAAAGTGTTGTCAGTTTTATCACAGTAACATTACGACGGGCTTCAACGTGTTGTCAGTTATATCACAGATACATTACGACGGGCTTCAACGTGTTGTCAGTTATATCACAGATACATTACGACGGGCTTCAACGTGTTGTCACCAATACCACAGTTTCATTACGACAGGCTTCAACGTGTGGTCAGCAATATCACAGATACATTAGGACGGCTTCAACGTGTTGTCAGCAATATCACAGTAACATTACGACGGGCTTCAACGTGTTGTCAGTTATATCACAGATACATTACGACGGGCTTCAAAGTGTTGTCAGTTTTATCACAGTAACATTACGACGGGCTTCAACGTGTTGTCAGTTATATCACAGATACATTACGACGGGCTTCAACGTGTTGTCAGTTATATCACAGATACATTACGACGGGCTTCAACGTGTTATCAGTTATATCACAGATACATTACGACGGGCTTCAACGTGTTGTCAGTTATATCACAGTTACATTACGACGGGCTTCAACGTGTTGTCAGTTATATCACAGCTACATTACGACGGGCTTCAACGTGTTGTCAGTTATATCACAGCTACATTACGACGGACTTCAACGTGTTGTCAGTTATATCACAGCTACATTACGACGGGCTTCAACGTGTTGTCAGTTATATCACAGATACATTACGACGGACTTCAACGTGTTGTCAGTTATATCACAGTAACATTACGACGGACTGCAACGTGTTGTCAGTTATATCACAGATACATTACGACGTGCTTCAACGTGTTGTCAGTTATATCACAGATACATTACGACGGGCTTCAACGTGTTGTCAGCAATATCACTGCTACATTACGACGGGCTTCAACGTGTTGTCAGTTATATCACAGTAACATTACGACGGACTGCAACGTGTTGTCAGTTATATCACAGATACATTACGACGTGCTTCAACGTGTTGTCAGTTATATCACAGCTACATTACGACGGGCTTCAACGTGTTGTCAGCAATATCACTGCTACATTACGACGGGCTTCAACGTGTTGTCAGTTATATCACAGCTACATTACGACGGGCCTCAACGTATAAGTAGCAATATCACTGCTACATTACGACGGACTTCAACGTGTTGTCAGTTATATCACAGCTACATTACGACGGGCTTCAACGTGTTGTCAGTTATATCACAGATACATTACGACGGACTTCAACGTGTTGTCAGTTATATCACAGTAACATTACGACGGACTGCAACGTGTTGTCAGTTATATCACAGATACATTACGACGTGCTTCAACGTGTTGTCAGTTATATCACAGCTACATTACGACGGGCTTCAACGTGTTGTCAGCAATATCACTGCTACATTACGACGGGCTTCAACGTGTTGTCAGTTATATCACAGCTACATTACGACGGGCGTCAACGTATAAGTAGCAATATCACAGTTACATTATGACGGACTTTAACGTGTTGTCAGTTATATCACAGTAACATTACGACGTGCTTCCACGTGTTGTCAGTTATATCACAGCTACATTACGACGTGCTTCAACGTGTTGTCAGTTATATCACAGTAACATTACGACGGGCTTCAACGTGTTGTCAGTTATATCACAGCTACATTACGACGGACTTCAACGTGTTGTCAGTTATATCACAGTTACATTACGACGGACTTCAACGTGTTGTCAGTTATATCACAGCTACATTACGACGGGCCTCAACGTATAAGCAGAAATATCACAGTTACATTACGACGGTCTTCAACGTGTTGTCAGTTATATCACAGATACATTACGACGGGCTTCAACGTATAAGCAGCAATATCACAGTTACATTACGACGGACTTCAACGTGTTGTCAGTTATATCACAGCTACATTACGACGGGCTTCAACGTATAAGCAGCAATATCACAGTTACATTACGACGGACTTCAACGTGTTGTCAGTTATATCACAGCTACATTACGACGGGCTTCAACGTGTTGTCAGTTATATCACAGATACATTACGACGGACTTCAACGTGTAAGCAGCAATATCACAGTTACATTACGACGGGCTTCAACGTGTTGTCAGCAATATCACAGATACATTACGACGGACTTCAACGTGTTATCAGCAATATCACAGCTACATTACGACGGACTTCAACGTGTTGTCAGTTATATCACAGATACATTACGACGGGCTTCAACGTATAAGCAGCAATATCACAGTTACATTACGACGGACTTCAACGTGTTGTCAGTTATATCACAGCTACATTACGACGGGCTTCAACGTGTTGTCAGTTATATCACAGATACATTACGACGGACTTCAACGTGTAAGCAGCAATATCACAGTTACATTACGACGGGCTTCAACGTGTTGTCAGCAATATCACAGATACATTACGACGGACTTCAACGTGTTATCAGCAATATCACAGCTACATTACGACGGACTTCAACGTGTTGTCAGCAATATCACTGCTACATTACGACGGACTTCAACGTGTTGTCAGTTATATCACAGATACATTACGACGGGCTTCAACGTATAAGCAGCAATATCACAGTTACATTACGACGGGCTTCAACGTGTTGTCAGCAATATCACAGATACATTACGACGGACTTCAACGTGTTATCAGCAATATCACAGCTACATTACGACGGACTTCAACGTGTTGTCAGCAATATCACTGCTACATTACGACGGACTTCAACGTGTTGTCAGTTATATCACAGATACATTACGACGGGCTTCAACGTGTTGTCAGTTATATCACAGATACATTACGACCGACTTCAGCGTGTTGTCAGTTATATCACAGTTACATTACGACGGGCTTCAACGTGTTGTCAGTTATATCACAGATACATTACAACGGGCTTCAACGTATAAGCAGCAATATCACAGCTACATTACGACGGACTTCAACGTGTTGTCAGTTATATCACAGCTACATTACGACCGACTTCAGCGTGTTGTCAGTTATATCACAGTTACATTACGACGGGCTTCAACGTGTTGTCAGTTATATCACAGCTACATTACGACCGACTTCAACGTGTTGTCAGCAATATCGCAAGTACACTACGACCGAATTCAACGTGTTGTCAGTTATATCACAGCTACATTGCGACGGACTTCAACGTGTTGTCAGTTATATCACATTTACATCACGACTGGTTTCAGTGTACAGTCAGCAATATCATTGTTACATCACGACGTGTAGGCAGGAAATCCGTTACTCCTTATGACCATTGCTTTGTGTCAAGGTGACACTTAACTATAATACGGGTAGCCACTTTGCGTTGACAGACACCCATCTGTAGTAACGACATGCGGTGGCGCTTTCACAATATTTTCAATCCTAGGTCAGTTGTGTTTATAAGCTGATTTACCATGTTGATCTGACACATTCTCCGGAAGAGATATCATCACCAAAGTGACGCTACAATAAATACACATCTGCCAGTCGTATATATCATTATCCAACTAACGAAGTACATTTAATTTCTATAAGCCAAAAGTTTATTAGTCGGGTCTGTTGCTGTTTGTTCAAGGCCACACTCAACAATATACTAGCTATAGACAGCAGTCTGTAAATAATCGAGTCTGGACTAGACAATCCAGCGATTGACATCATGAGCTTCGATCTACACAACTGGTGACATGCATCAACCAAGTCAGCGAGTCTGACCACCCGATCCCGTTAGTCGCCTCTTACAAGCACATTCGCCTCTTCCGACAAACATTGGTTGCTGAAGACTTATTCTAGCCCGGAGGTCTCCAACACGTAGTCCTACGTCCAGTATACGGCAAGCATATACCTTATACAGAACATTTTTCTTCAGGTTATAGACCGCCTCGGTGGTCTAGTGGTAGAGCGTCCGCCCGGAGAGCGGAAGGTCCGGGGTTCGATCCCTGGCCGCGTCATACCAAAAGACGTTAAAAAGACAATACTGGTTATTACCCTGTCTGGCGTTCGGCATTAAGGGCGCTAAAACAAGGACTGGTCGGCTCGGAGTCAGTATACTGTGTCTGAGTGGGGTATTCCTGTTAAAACTGCGACATGGTATCTCAGTGGGCTAGCACTATAAAATCGGTATTACAAACGCACGCACGCACGCACGCAAGCACACACACATGCATGTACACACACGCACACACACCATAATTGCAATAATCTTGGACGCGACGTTAAACCCCATATCACCTCACCTCACCTTCTTCAGGGTGTACATACCCGAAATGTGTATCCAGTATATATCCATCGTATATACCGATTCCTCCATGTTGCCTGTATGTAAGAACGTTTCGGTCAGAGGACGTCTCGTGGGCCCCGTACGTCAGGGCATTCCAACTAACGCCGCCTACAGTAAACAGCGAGTAAATGTTCTTTACCGCCGTAGTCAGTAATATCATAGCTGTATCACGTTACATAATATAAATAATCTGAATCAGGCAAACCAGTGACCGAAATCATGAGCAACCATCCACGCCATCTGGGCATGATAACACACAACCAGGCAGGTCACTGGGATACCCTAATCTCTTAAGTCGGTTCCAAAATCAAGCATGGGATACTGGGGGCCTCGTTGCTCACAATATCAATCGCTGGATTGTCTGCTTTGTATCGTTCAAAAGTAACAACTCAGTGTGTGTGTGGGCGTGCGTGCGTGCGTGCGTGCGTGTGCGTGTGCGTGTGTGTGTGTGTGTGTGTGTGCACATGGTCAATAAAGGAAATTCGATGGGAGTGATCTCCCCTTAAATAAGAATGTCATGGTTCATATTCGATTATTCACAGACAGCCATCATATAGCCGCCACACACAGGCTCACATTAGGCAGTTGTTCAGGAATTCGGAGTTATTTAGGCTATTACAAACAAACTTCAATCAAAGCGACCATCAGTAATACGAGGGGTGGCTGAAAAGTTATTAGCCCAACTATGATGAACTGGGTTGGAGTTGGTTGCAAATTATTATAATTCTCACGGAGGCCCATACTCTTCTGTCAACAATGCTAGAGTGCCTGGATCCCATTGCTGCCCACTTCTTGACAGTAGCAAAAGGAAGAAGCATCACCCTCTAAAGTTGACACTATGTCCGCATGGAAGGCATCTTCCCGAGGCAAGAGAGTTAACTGACTTTAAAAGTCCAGTTTCCACCCTTGCTGAACTGGGCTGGAATTCCCGGGCTCGATCATGGCGCATCAGTGGCTATTACGAATTCTATGCCTCTCCTATGGACGAATCAGATTCCACCTCTCGTATCACTTGCATTTGCTTCAAACAAAACGGTGGCGCCTCGTAAAGACGTCAAATCCTCCAATCGACCGAAATCTGCATGACAGTTACGAACCGGATTTCGATTTCGGGGCGCGATTTTGATTGGACTATGCATAGACTCGTTAGTCCAGCCAAAATGTAACTCCATAATACCAGCCTAGATCGGCAAGGGTGGAAACTGGACTTGTAAAGTCAGTTGACTCTCTTTCCTCGGGAAGATGCAGGGATGGCTGTTGGGGATGCTTGGTGACAGCTCGGTAGCCATTTCTTTTTCCATTTTCATCAACAAAGAATGCCTTGTCACTTTGGTGACTGTAGAAGTATGCTGCCTGTTTGAGTGCTTGGTTCAAAGCAGGTCGTAAGCATGGTATATTTTACACATTCATACTGTTAAGGGTTTGCTATACATCCTTCCAACATTTCAGCCAACCCTCGTATTATCTTTACGTTTATATAATGTAACAATGACTAAGTACAATGTACGTATATTTAGGTATTTCGGTCTTGATTAAAACAAGTGGCACATGTATCCAATAGCTCAATTAACCTCTATTGCTACAGTTATATATCCAACGGCTCGGAGTCGTTTAATCGCCATTTTTATCTGAACGCTATGATCGTGTAACCCTGGCGAAGCACGTGTATTCTACGCTACCTGTTACCATGACGGCGGAGGAGAGACAAGCTGTCCCGGCACTAGAGCCTGCTACGACGGCCCCGAGGTCCCACCGGTCCTTGATGGCCTGCAACGCTGGGGAGGGAACGTTGCCAGCCAGAAGAAAACTACAATTGGTAAGTCAATTACTTTAACGCCATGGACGTCGGTGAAAACAATCGAATCTGAGGCAGGTGATTTAGAGATAAATCAATTTTTGTTTGAAATTAGAGGACTGTAAAATAAATTTGAATTGATCCCGCTGAATATGTCATTTGAAACCGAACATTTTAGAATCAATGGTTGACAGCACGATCGTCGCTTCCAGTGTACGATAACACACTACATAGTCGAACAATCATCACTTTAGTCGGTTCTTAAACTATAAACCAGGGTGATGAGTGAAAGATGGTGATGGCGGAGCCGGGGTAGGGGATAAGTCTTTTCTGGAATCCCGACAAGCCCATCAGGCGACAGGCGCCAAGTTAAATAAGGATACAAGATTCTGTCGGGAAGCGACATCGTCTTAAAACCTTGTTCAAGTGATTGAAGTTCGACTTAAAGTTTGACTTTACATTTTTGTTTTAAAACTATTGAATAGCCAGTGGTTTCTGTTATCCGTTTCATGTACAATGAAACCCTATCATACCGTAGGATAAGGTGAAATCTTGATAAAACATATTTCAGGATTAACGAATCATTGGTACGGAGTATTGTCCATTCGTATCTCTACAGACGTTCCTAGCAGTACTCACAGGGTATCCTGACTAACGTCGCCCGGAATAATGGCGTTTTACTGTGAGATTGCGTTTGTTTTACGTCAGTTTTAACATAATGAGGCTGAATCAGTGAAGAAATCAATAAGCGAGGTGGTTCATATTAACATTGCACGGATAATGCCAGCAGACTAAGGATCATCATTGGGTGAATCTAGTTGATGGTGACGGGGATGAAGTTTGTTTCAAGAGCCCCGTACGTCTTGGTGAAGAGGTCGTGGTAGTAGTTGTAGGAGTCAGCAGGGTCGGCGGAGGCAGCGTTGATGATGCCAAGCTTGGCTATGCCCTTACCACCCTGATGAAATAAGTGAGTTGAGTTCTTTGGCTATGGTATCGTGCTACCTCATATCACGAAAGGGGCGGTCGGGTAGCCTAGTGGTTAAAGTGTTCGCTCGTCACGTCGAAGACCCGGGTTCGATTCCCGACATGGGTACAATGTGTGAAGCCCATTTCTGGTGTCCCCCGCCGTGATATTGCTGGAATATTGCTAAAAGCGGCGTAAAACCAAACTCACTCACTCACTCATATCACGAAGGTCACAGACCATAACCACGGGAATAGCGCTGACAGACAAGGTGAGGTGAAATGGGGTTAAACCTGGCGTCGAAGATTTTTGCACTTTTATAGCGACATGCATGAACGTGTGTGTGTGGCTGCTTGTACTAGTCCGGACTAATGCCGATTTTATAGTGCTAACCCACTGAGATACAATCTTAGTAAAATCAGATCTTAGTTCTTGCTATCGCTAAACAAAGATCTGAGGACATCCCATTACGGATCAAGTCAGAAAGACCTTTCATCCGACCAATCAAAGCGTCTCTTACCAGATCACGAAAGTGACCGTCGGAATGTGTTTTCTAATCATGCAACCTCGAAAACGTTAACACGGGGTATTCGGAACGACAGTTACGGCCCGTACAAACTGATTCCGTCAAAATTATCGTCTATCTCTCGCTTCCGTGGGATAAACATTTGAACGGAGGAGGCGTTGCACAGTACGTGGGAAGCACTGCCATACAATCGCAACCATATATTAGGCATTACGGAATGTTCGTTTGTTCAGTTTTCAAAACTGTGTCAACATATTATTCAAGGATAGTCTGAAATGGAAGTCGCCAGGTTGAAACCATTCGTCACCACTCGCCCCTTTCCGTAACCTGCGAGAAGACTCGTCCCCCAATCGATGAATGTTCATTCGTCACCACTCGCCCCTTTCCGTAACCTGCAAGAGGACTCGTCCCCCAATCGATGAATGTTCATTCGTCACCACTCGCCCCTTTCCGTAACCTGCAAGAGGACTCGTCCCCCTATCGATGAATGTTCATTCGTCACCACTCGCCCCTTTCCGTAACCTGCAAGAGGACTCGTCCCCCAATCGATGAATGTCCATTCGTCACCACTCGCCCCTTTCCGTAACCTGCAAGAAGACTCGTCCCCCAATCGATGAATGTCCATTCGTCACCACTCGCCCCTTTCCGTAACCTGCAAGAGGACTCGTCCCCCAATCGATGAATGTCCATTCGTCACCACTCGCCCCTTTCCGTAACCTGCAGGAAGACTCGTCCCCCTATCGATGAATGTTATGTGCGAAAATACGACAAACAATGCAAGTATGATTTCAAGTTCTTCGTCAAAGAATCCCTCAGAAATGATATTTGATATTTGATCTAAAAATATACCCAAGACACAGTTAAATGTGTTAAATCATACTGTATAATTCCGCAAGTCCCAATGTGCTTTAAATTGCATCTGAAATATATATAATATATGGGGAAATATATGTGAACCATTACGCAACGAGTTTTAGGTTTTAAACGTCTTTTGGTATGACGCGGTCGGGAATCGAACCCCGGACCTTCCGCTTTCCGGATTGACGCTCTACCACTAGACTAAGGATCATAACCAGGAGGGGCGGTCGGGTAGCCTAGTGGTTAAAGCGTTCGCTCGTCACGCCGAAGACCCAGGTTCGATTCCCGACATGGGTACAATGTGTGAAGCCCATTTCTGGTGTCCCCTGCCGTGAAATTGCTGGAATATTGCTAAAAGCGGCGAAAACCATACTCACTCACTCACTCATAACCAGGAACACTCTCGTATTTGAACCCACCTCAGAAATAAACATCAACTGAAAGGACAATATACACTGTTGGAAAGAACAGGTTATCAATACACGAGGACAAAGAGACTACACTTCCACCAGCAATGTGATGCCTTCAAAATACTGGGAAAATACTGATTAGTCGTCTAAAGCGGCGCGGTTTAGCTGTGCAGAGTTGCATCCGTTGGGCACGCCAGAAACCTGTGATTGTGGGTTCGAATTCCGGTTCGCCCCGATTATGTTTCTAGGCTTGTCAGCACCATACCTGTGCTTGTGGGTTTCACCGAAGTGGTAAACGTCTGAGACCTGTATCACTTCGGGCTTTCCTCCCACATTAAGCTGACACGCCGCGATATAACTGCAATACTGTTAAAAGCGGCGTTACGCCCAACTCACTCAGATTGCGTCAAATTCACTCCATAAAATGTAAATAATATCTCACTGAAATGTTAATTTGTTTACCTTTCGACAACTTAAGATATTTGCTTCAACTTACAGCCATCGCCACAACTCGACCAAAGATGTCCGCGTTGTTGTCCTCGACCGCTCCCCCGGCCAAGATCAGACTCTTCCCATACTGAGGAAACTGAGGTAGCTTGGCAGTGGTTTTCACTGACGTTATTACCTTCATGGCACAGACAACTGTGACTAGCTTCAATATTTCCTTCATATTGTGTATGCTAGCTTTCTCGAGAAGTATGTTACAATACACGTATATATAGACTAGTTTATCTCCAAACCAAGATTGCCGGCCTTATCATGGAAACTAGACCAAACAGCCAGATGAAACAACTGTAACAGAATTCACCGTAGACATCAGCGTCAATGAATGCTTAAATGAATTGTTGGTTTGTCACTATTACGAGGCGGGTTGATGAGGGTTCTATTTTCATTTTCTGTCGGTTCATGTTTGATAATATACTTCTCGACATTATATAGGGATATTGAGGCATTTCGTTCTGTTACGAATCGCAGTCCAAAATGTATGAAGTTTTAGTTACAACACGACTCCGAGTGTTTTCCCTTACTTATGAACAGTCTAAACACAAGAAAGAATAGAAAATCATCGGGATACCTTATAGTGGAACAATACCGTCAACAAAAGACCTGTGCCACCACAACTTCAACACAAGACCTGTACCACCACAAGATCAACACAAGACCTGTACCACCACAAGGTCAACACAAGACCTGTACCACCACAAGGTCAACACAAGACCTGTACCACCACAAGGTCAACACAAGACCTGTACCACCACAAGATCAACACAAGACCTGTACCACCACAAGGTCAACACAAGACCTGTACCACCACAAGGTCAACACAAGACCTGTACCACCACAAGGTCAACACAAGACCTGTACCACCACAAGGTCAACACAAGACCTGTACCTCCACAAGGTCAACACAAGACCTGTACCACCACAAGGTCAACACAAGACCTGTACCACCACAAGGTCAACACAAGACCTGTACCACCACAAGGTCAACACAAGACATGTACCACCACAAGGTCAACACAAGACCTGTACCTCCACAAGGTCAACACAAGACATGTACCACCACAAGGTCAACACAAGACCTGTACCACCACAAGGTCAACACAGGACCTGTACCACCACAAGGTCAACACAAGACCTGTACCACCACAAGGTCAACACAAGACCTGTACCACCACAAGGTCAACAAGGTCTTCCTCTTTGTGTATGTGTGTGTCTGGTGTCTGTATGCGTATGTGTGTGTGTGTGTGTGTATGTGTGTGTGTGTGTGTGTCTGTGCCTTTCTGTGTCTATGTCTGTCTGTGCCTGTGCGTCTGTGTTTATGTCTGTATGTGTGTGTGTCTTTCTATGTATGTGCGCGTGCGCGTGTTTGTATGAGCCATGTGTTATTCTCCCTTGTAACAGCTAATTACATGAGACAATGTAAACTCTGTCACAAATAATGGGTTTCAAATATTGCAGCAATGTAGGATTCAACTTGTGTGTGATGTGAGACAGTTTGTCGAACTCACTGATAGGCGTTTTCACAATGTTAGTCTAACACACTGGAAATCTGCCCTCGTCATCTCCAATGAGTACATGAAGAGTGATTGGGGACAGTTTCAGCTACACATGGCTCTGAAATATTTCCTGACGCAGGAAATTGTACTCTTTGTGATTCTCCTGGAGCGTGTTAAAGCCTGTCACGTGACGTCTACTCGACGTGCGCAGATGACATCAACCATGTATGTTGAGTGCCGGAAAGTTAAAACATCTTAAACATTGTCATCCTTAAGATGGTGTCAAAATACTGCCACGTTAAACATGCCGCATTGTCATCCTCAAGATGGTGTCAAAATACTGCCACGTTAAACATGCTGCATTGTCATCCTCAAGATGGTGTCAAAATACTGCCACGTTAAACATGCCGCATTGTCATCCTTAAGATGGTGTCAAAATACTGCCACGTTAAACATGCTGCATTGTCATCCTCAAGATGGTGTCAAAATACTGCCACGTTAAACATGCTGCATTGTCATCCTCAAGATGGTGTCAAAATACTGCCACGTTAAACATGCTGCATTGTCATCCTCAAGATGGTGTCAATATATTGTCACGTTAAACATGCTGCATTGTCATCTTCAAGATGGTGTCAAAATACTGCCACGTTAAACATGCTGCATTGTCATCCTCAAGATGGTGTCAATATATTGCCACGTTAAACATGCTGCATTGTCATCCTCAAGATGGTGTCAATATATTGCCACGTTAAACATGCTGCATTGTCATCCTTAAGATGGTGTCAAAATACTGCCACGTTAAACATGCTGCATTGTCATCCTCAAGATGGTGTCAAAATACTGCCACGTTAAACATGCTGCATTGTCATCCTCAAGATGGTGTAAAAATACTGCCACGTTAAACATGCTGCATTGTCATCCTCAAGATGGTGTCAAAATACTGCCACGTTAAACATGCTGCATTGTCATCCTCAAGATAGTGTCAATATATTGTCACGTTAAACATGCTGCATTGTCATCTTCAAGATGGTGTCAAAATACTGCCACGTTAAACATGCTGCATTGTCATCCTCAAGATGGTGTCAATATATTGCCACGTTAAACATGCTGCATTGTCATCCTCAAGATGGTGTCAATATATTGCCATGTTAAACATGCTGCATTGTCATCCTTAAGATGGTGTCAATATATTGCCACGTTAAACATGCTGCATTGTCATCCTCAAGATGGTGTCAATATATTGCCACGTTAAACATGCTGCATTGTCATTTTCAAGATGGTGTCAATATATTGCCACGTTAAACATGCTGCATTGTCATCCTCAAGATGGTGTCAATATATTGCCGCGTTAAACATGCTTTATTGTCATCCTCAAGATGGTGTCAATATATTGCCACGTTAAATGTGCTGCATTGTCATCCTCAAGATGGTGACAAAATACTGCCACGTTAAACATGCCGCATTGTCATCCTTAAGATGGTGTCAAAATACTGCCACGTTAAACATGCTGCATTGTCATCCTCAAGATGGTGTCAAAATACTGCCACGTTAAACATGCCGCATTGTCATCCTTAAGATGGTGTCAAAATACTGCCACGTTAAACATGCTGCATTGTCATCCTCAAGATGGTGTCAAAATACTGCCACGTTAAACATGCTGCATTGTCATCCTCAAGATGGTGTCAAAATACTGCCACGTTAAACATGCTGCATTGTCATCCTCAAGATGGTGTCAATATATTGTCACGTTAAACATGCTGCATTGTCATCTTCAAGATGGTGTCAAAATACTGCCACGTTAAACATGCTGCATTGTCATCCTCAAGATGGTGTCAATATATTGCCACGTTAAACATGCTGCATTGTCATCCTCAAGATGGTGTCAATATATTGCCACGTTAAACATGCTGCATTGTCATCCTTAAGATGGTGTCAAAATACTGCCACGTTAAACGTGCTGCATTGTCATCCTCAAGATGGTGTCAAAATACTGCCACGTTAAACATGCTGCATTGTCATCCTCAAGATGGTGTAAAAATACTGCCACGTTAAACATGCTGCATTGTCATCCTCAAGATGGTGTCAAAATACTGCCACGTTAAACATGCTGCATTGTCATCCTCAAGATAGTGTCAATATATTGTCACGTTAAACATGCTGCATTGTCATCTTCAAGATGGTGTCAAAATACTGCCACGTTAAACATGCTGCATTGTCATCCTCAAGATGGTGTCAATATATTGCCACGTTAAACATGCTGCATTGTCATCCTCAAGATGGTGTCAATATATTGCCATGTTAAACATGCTGCATTGTCATCCTTAAGATGGTGTCAATATATTGCCACGTTAAACATGCTGCATTGTCATCCTCAAGATGGTGTCAATATATTGCCACGTTAAACATGCTGCATTGTCATTTTCAAGATGGTGTCAATATATTGCCACGTTAAACATGCTGCATTGTCATCCTCAAGATGGTGTCAATATATTGCCGCGTTAAACATGCTTTATTGTCATCCTCAAGATGGTGTCAATATATTGCCACGTTAAATGTGCTGCATTGTCATCCTCAAGATGGTGTCAATATATTGCCACGTTAAATATGTTGCATTGTCATCCTCAAGATGATGTAAATATATTGCCACGTTAAACATATGCATTGTCATCCCGAAGGTGTTGTTAATATATTGCCGCGTTAAACATGCTGCATTGTCATCCTCAAGATGGTCTTAATATATTGCTATATTAAGTATGTTGCATTGTCATCCACAAGATGGTGTCAGTATATTGCCGCGTTAAATATGTTGCATTGTCATCCCAAAGATGGTGTCAATATATTGCCACATTCAGCATGCTGCACTGTCTTTCTCAAGATGGTGTCAATATATTGCCACGTTAAACATGTTGCATTGTCATCCTCAAGATGATGTAAATATATTGCCACGTTAAACATGCTGCATTGTCTTTCTCAAGAAGGTGTCAATATATTGCCGCGTTAAACATGTTGCATTGTCATCCTCAAGATGGTGTTAATATATTGCCGCGTTAAACATGTTGCATTGTCATCCTCAAGATGGTGTCAATATATTGCTATATTAAGTATGCTGCATTGTCATCCACAAGATGGTGTCAGTGTATTGCCACGTCAAACATGCTGCTTTGTCATCCTCAAGATGGTGTCAATATATTGCCACGTTAAACATGCTCCATTGTCATCTTCAAGATGGTGTCAATATATTGCCACGTTAAACATGCTTCATTGTCATCCTCAAGATGGTGTCAATATATTGTCACGTTAAACATGCTGCATTGTCATCCTCAAGATGGTGTCAATATATTGCCACGTTAAATATGTTGCATTGTCATCCCCAAGATGGTGTAAATATATTGCCGCGTTAAATATGCTGCATTGTCTTTCTCAAGAAGGTGTCAATATATTGCCACGTTAAACATGCTGCATTGTCATCCTCAAGATGGTGTCAATATATTGCCACGTAAAACATGCTGCATTGTCTTTCTCAAGATGGTGTAAATATATTGCCGCGTTAAATATGCTGCATTGTCTTTCTCAAGAAGGTGTCAATATATTGCCACGTTAAACATGCTGCATTGTCATCCTCAAGATGGTGTCAATATATTGCCACGTAAAACATGCTGCATTGTCTTTCTCAAGATGGTGTAAATATATTGCCACGTTAAACATATGCATTGTCATCCCCAAGATGTTGTTAATATATTGCCGCGTTAAACATGCTGCATTGTCATCCTCAAGATGGTGTCAGTATATTGCCACGTCAAACATGCTGCATTGTCATCCTCAAGATGGTGTCAATATATTGCCACTAAATCATAACCCAAAATATCTTCAGATCATTGCCAGGACAATCAGACAATCAAATGAACCGATGTGAGACTCTGCATGGAACACGCATGTTGCAATGCCATCGTTAACCACGGGTCTTCCATCATATTTCTTTAAGGCTTTACTGAGGCTTTGAATGATGTAACCTGTATAAAAAAAACAAAATTTAAGCCAGAATCACATGACGCTCTTTGAAATCTTCATAGAATCAATAGGTAATAGATAACAAGTAGCACACATAATATTATTGCACAGTACAGCATAACTTAAATTATATAGTGATTGAGTATGGTTTTATGCCACTTTAAGCAATACTCAAGCAATTTTAGGGGCATCATATTATAGCCATGAGGGGAATCGAACCCGGGCCATTAAAGAAAGCTTCAACCACTGGACTACCCGACCGCCTCGTCTTAAAGAATAATTATTATTCAAACATAAACTGCCGAGCAAAAGAAAGTACACACACACGTTTGATGGTAGCTAAAAATGGAACGAACAAGAAATGTTTTTCAATAGTGATATTTTTGATAGAGGTATCATAGTTGTGTTTTGGTCATTAAGATTTTAGTGTTTCGGCGACTTTTTTCAGCCTAGTAACGTTTTGATTACTTTTGTATTTGTTTGGTTAAATCCAAATTCAAGTGTATATTTTCTTTTTCTCTCAGTTTATGTATAGGATCAAAACGAAAGTGTGCCCCGAATATGGTCAACTTAACCTGATCTACATCCTCTTGTCAAGGTCCCTTTCGTCGCGCGCTTGGGACATGTGCCTTCACATCCTGAACAAAATGACAGTGCTGTTTAGTAACAGAACGAATATCATAGAGAATGTAACACGTCTGGTATCTAAAGACAGGTTTACAGCCGGATTTTTCGTGTGCAGTTGATGCTTCGCGACCAAGGTAGGACATTTTTTGTTATTTAAATGTCTTGTCCAAATTACTTTTTAGACTTCGGTGGTCGTAGAATTACCCTTCGTTGCGTGCATTGTTTCATAGGGTTTCTATGTTTATGAAATGTAGAATTGAATATTATGTTATTTGAGTCTACCTCAATGTTGCTAAATTTGTGACTTTTAAGTGATAAAATACTTCAGGAATAGAATATCAGACTTTTCTTGTCATGTTTAGATCATCTAGTTGATCCTTCGTGGATGGCATAGCCAGGTCACGAGATTTGACAAACATGCTGTTTGACAAGACACCCCTTTTTAGTAGACAAAAGATACACTGAAGATGAGTAGATTAATCAACATCCAACCAAAAGTTACACTGTTATAAAATATATCACATATCGTCGAATATACATTGAAACCTGGTTGAGTCGAATTCCAAGTGAAACCTGGTTGAGTCGAATTCCAATTGAAAATTGGTTCAGTCGAATCCTAATTGAAATCTTGTCGAGTCAAATTCCAATTTAAACCTGGTTGAGTCGAGTTCCAATTGAAACCTGGTTGAGTCGAATTCCAATTGAAACCTGGTTGAGTCGAATTCGATTTATCCATATACTCATATAGGTCATGAAATAATGAGATTCTCGACAAATTAAATGCAAATCAACAACACCAGCTGTTCTTCTGAGTCTTATCCGTCTCTGAATAAACTACCAGGTCGCTATTTGTCAAGTGGATACATGGAAGACGAAACTATTGTGATAACAATACGACAGTTTCCTTCAAACCCTTTTGAATTGCATTGAAATATGATATAACACTTATAATATTGCAAATATCTGAAGTATAAATTGCGATGGTTACTGAACAATATTGTTTCCATTGACTGAAATACTCAGGCTATATTATATCACTATGTATGTTATGTAAAATGATATATAAACTATATATGATATGGTATAATTGGTTGAGATTCGGCGGGTGAGTCCCAGCTATGTCCAGAGGCAAGCTCCACCTTTCCTATTATACTTACTGTATATATAACGTTATTAAAGGTACTTTTTAGCCCAGGTAATATACAACGATAGGAAAAGATGGGACTAAGGCTGAATCTTATCTACCGGACATAATACCTGTTAAGCATCAACTTTATTCATGTGGTTATGGTAATATATGGACAGAACATGATACGTATATACCAGATCATTTCATAGATGCTTTTACTCAGACCCTGAAACATATGTACAGTAAAGTACGGTTATAACGAACTCAAAGGGACCATTAATTTTAGTTCGTTATAACCGTAGTTCGTTCTAAGCATATATACAGCATAACTACAGCAAATAGTCGGGACTAAAAGAGTAAGTTCGTTATATCCGCCAGTTCGTTATAAGCGTGTTCGTTATAACCGTAGTTTACTGTAAATACAAAATTGGCATTTTTCCTTATCAGTATCTAAGAAACTATCAAGTTATTCCCTCTGTAAAAACAGTTTCTGCGGAGAGCAATACTTATTAGATGTGACCCTAAAATTATTTCGAATTGCGCTTGCAAGATTTAGATGTGATTCACACGAACTCTTTTTATTGAGACGGGAAGATATATGGGGACCGTGAGAGAACACAGAATTTGTCAGTTTTATGATTTAAACACTGTAGAAAGTGGATACCATTTCTTACTACTTTGTCCCTTGAATGCTGAACTCAGAAAACAGCTCATTGATAAATATTATATCCGTTATCAAAGCTTACAGAAATTTGTTACATTAATGTCCAGTAAAAATGGAGTAATAACGAAAAAACTGTCAATGTACAATGTCAATGCATGCAATGAAGCTAAGAAGTTCCAAATGTGTTACCTTATAAATGTATATACACCCATTACTATATAATATGTACTATAGGCCTATGGCCTCTCAGTATTATGAATAAAACCCATTCATGTATATGAGCAATAATGAAGTTTTTGGTCATTACATTGATATTTCACTTCTTCTTCTTCTTCTTTTTTTTTGGGGGGGGGGGGGAATATTTTTCCTTTTATAAAGAAAAGACTCGTTCGCTCCTCAAAATACCCCTTCCCTCCTAATTTTAGGCTTCTGGAAATTTAAATAATGGTTTCGCTCACTTTTCCGCTCTGGAAGGGACGGCACTATCATATTCCTTCCCCGGGGAAAGTTTAGCCCAGGCTATTTCATCCCCGTGGAAGAACTGTCTCAGGCCTAACCGTTCCCGGGGGAAAAATTGTCTGTTGTTTAACTCCGCTCCTAGCAATAATCCAGCTATATGACGGCGGTCTGTAAACGCAATAGGGATACGATGATATGCATCAACCAAGTCAGCGAGCCTGACCACCAGATCCCAGTAGTCGCCTACCCCGAATCTTCATGGGTCTCTACAGTTGAAACAATTTAATAATGCCATAGGTGTATTTTAATAAACATGAAGTTCAGAAGCCACCATTTGTACTGCCGTTGTGTGGCCGGCAATTAGGAGGCTCAGACGCGCTCTCTGACTCGCATAGCCGTGCGAGGTTCTCGAAGTCCAGAAGTAATGAGTCCGAAGATCGTAGCTCCTAATTACCTACACCGTCGACCCGTGAAGATTCCGGGGTAGAATAGGTCTTCAGCTTTTGTGATTTAAACCGTAAACGGTGACTGTGCTTGTCGTAAAAGGCGACTAATGGGATCGGGTGGTCAGGCTCGCTGACTTGGTTGATGCATGTCATCGATCCCAACTGGGTGGATCGATGCTCATGATATCAATCACTGGATTGTCTGGTCCAGACTCGATTATTTACAGACCGCCGTCATATAGCTGGAATATTGTTGAGTGCGGCGTTAAACATCAAACCAACCAACCTACACCGTCAAACACGTACAGTCGGGGTCTCCTCACTCTGCCACCACCTATGGTTTGGAATAGGTGATGCAGTCATGTGTGTTGATTGGAAGAACAATCAGAGTCACCAGGGCTCATCGCCACATTTTATTGCACATTGGTAGATAACTACACATGTTATACTGCATGTTTATACAGACTATTTTAAGAATTCATACATTCATACATTGCACAGCAAATAATCTGATGTGTCTTCATGTCATTATCAATTGTTAATACATGTATTAATACATACACTACACAGTACATAATCAAATTTAAAATTTAAAATTTAAACTAAAAACTAAAGTCCAACAAGTTGTGAAACGGAATCTGCATATTGTACAGGTGTCTTCACATACACCAGAAGCTGATCCTTTTCGCGTTGGATAACTTGAATAGATTCGGATGTGGATGACCATTTGTGCTCATGTTGGCATGCCAACCCTCTACATGATTTGTGGTTCTGGGACCCGTTCAACAAAGCGATCTTAGTGCTATGACTTTCGTAAGTCAGTGTTAAAGAATAGGAGTTACGACCGACTTAGCGCTAAGATAGCTTTGTGGAACTGGGCCCTGGCCCCATCGTTTTGCTGAAATTGTTCCACATTGTTCTATCAGGTTTCTCCCACTGCATATGTCACGTAGTCCGCAAACTGAAGTAGTGCAGGGTCGGCGGCTGGGTTGGCAAGGTCGGTGTCTTCAATGGCATGCCACCAGACGTTGTCCATGTCACCAATCCTCACCAACAGCAAGGCACAAGCACGTCTGACAAACAGGTTCACGACTGGATCAGTATTGAATCTTGTCTGTAGTCCAAATCTCGGAACATTTCGCCATGATTTAATACTTTCATATAGTGAAAACTATTTATCTTCCATCAACCGGCTGGCTCATGAGGTTAACCGTGTTCACTGTTAGGGACCTCTAGCTGTTGATTGTCTAAGTGAGATCAGTTCACCTGCCACCTTTGGACATGCTCCCTTTCCTTGTGAAAACACCACCGCTGTTAATCCCCACCACCTGGTGGCAAAGTAAGGATAATCCCATACATACACGAATTAACCCGACTCAAGGTTTGATACTCTCATAAACTTTACTGCACTTAGTTCATCTCTGAATACACAACGGGACAGGATATTCTTGTCACTGAATGGGCAACTGGAGGCGACCGAGCTTCGAGTCGATCTCAAGACCGCAAAGCCCGCATAACCATGAGAAGGTCTTTTCAATGTGTTCGAACCTGGCTTGCCTGTCACGTGCCCTGAGACACCATTTTGAAATGTTACAAAAAAATCAGACCATGATCATATATTGTTTTTGCCGTGATGGAATGATTCATGGCCGGTCATTCCTTAGCCTTATTTAATAAGGGGAGGTGGGATAGCTTAGTGGTTAAAGCGTTAGCTTGTCACGACGAAGACCCGGGTTCGATTCCCCACATGGGTACAATGTGTGAAGACCACTTTCCGGTGTCCCCCGCAGTGAATGTGTTGGAATACTGCTATAAGCGGCGTAAAACCATATTCACTCTCACTCACTTATCTCTTAACTTTCTGTTTCCAATGTTTCCAAATTCAGTAACACTCAAGAAAAGCAAACACAGCATCGAAGCTATTGAGAAGGTAGCCGCCATTTTCGACCTCCATTTTGTATGAATTTACAAAGAATTTTTTAATGCTTTCGTGCCTTATAATAGATTCAAACCAGCCAAGGATTCCATCATTTACAGGCCGTTGTGATACAGCTGAAATACTGCTGAATGTTGTATCATTGATTACCTTTTCTCAGAAAATGTGTAAGATAATGGATATGTATAAATATAAATAAAAGCGACAACATTTCCATGATCATACGAAGTCTCGGCAAAAACCATCCATATCAAAAGCATGACATTGTGTTTATGAATCATTATCACATAGCGATGATACCAGATATTCGCGAAAAGATAAGCGTATCCTGCCCCACCAGCGGTACCCGTCACAAAAACATGCAAAGGCAAGTCAATTGTTCATCTGAAAAAAAACGGGAATATATTGTGTAAGTCAAAAAAGGGAATTGCATCGGACACCGTCAAATTTGGAAATGTCCTTCACACGTCTACCACAAAATGCTTGAAACCTTTAATGTTGTAACAAATACTAACACTGTATTTTTGTTTGGAAACAGAATGAAGACTTCACTACTACTGGTGGTCCTTGTGAGTTTTGCAAATGCAGCCAGGAAGCTCCCAAAGTACTGTTATGGTAAGCGTCCAAGGATGTCCTGCAATGGCAAGGGAAACCATCTTAACTACATCCCTAGAGCTCCTCCAGACATTACAGATGTCCTCTTGACAAACATAAACTTGGGCGTGGTCACCGGGGCCATGACTGCCAACTTGACCTTCTGCAATCTGACTTCGTTTTACCTGAAAGGAAACAACATCACAGGAGTATCACCCGATGCCTTTCGGGACTTGGATGACCTTGAGGTTCTGGATTGGCAACAGACATACCTGCCGCTCACAGACGTCATTACAGCTCTGCAGGGAGTGTCTAGTCCTCTTAAAACTCTCCGACTTAAAGCAAACAAAGTGCCTGAACAAACCCTTAATGCAACAGTGTTTCGACATCTGAACAGCTTGAGCAGGCTCTCCATTGCTCTGGGAAGTCTGAGGACTTTCAACGCAACTGCATTTTCGCACATGATGAATTTACAGTATGTTGATTTCTCACAGAACAATTTGAGACAGTTAATCCTGGAACAAATCATTCCCAATATGACACGTTTGACTCTTGCTGAGAATAATTTAGTTGCTGTTCCACAACTGTGTTTGTCGGATATTAGACCGTTAACTCCACGGTTACGAAGCTTAGATCTTGGAAATAATGCCATCAGAAACCTGGATGTCTCATCAATTACGTGCCTGAAGAATCTATTGAAACTCAGCATTGGTCACAACAGAATTGAAGAACTTCCGGATAATGTGTTTGCTAACCTCCACAACCTCCAGAGCTTACATATATCCAATTTAGGGTCACTGAAAAGAATTGGAGATCTTGCTTTCAACTCCACAAGTTTGTACAAGTTCTACTTTGCAAATAACCGTATTCTATCACCGAAACGTTTTAACCCGGTGACTCTTTTCAAACACACACCAAACCTTGGAATACTGGACATGACCAGCACGAAGATAGACATAAGTGTGTACCTTCTGAAGGACTTTCTCCTGAATCTGAAGGCCATTGAAAAACTAGTACTGCAAGACACTTTCATCAAGGAACTTCCATCGGGGACCTTCTCCCAGCTGACAAAACTTCGGGAGCTTTTTCTGAATGGTAATTTTTTGTCCAAATGGAAAAGTGATGTATTCGAAAATGTCACAAGTATAAAAAAGATCTCTTTCGATGGCTGCAACATCAAAATGATTAAGGAGGAGACCTTTCCCCTTGAGTTCCGCCTCAGCGTCCGAGAGATTAATTTGTCGAACAACCCCTTTACTTGCACGTGCGAACTACTCTGGTTCCGGAACTGGATGAAAAAAAACATAGACAACCACAGTATCAAGTTTACACAGTATCCACGCAGATACGAGTGTCGGGCCCCGAATGTTCACCCTCTGCAGCTCAAAGATTTTAACCCAACTGCCAAGTCCTGTTCACCCAGAAAGGAATACACTGTGCTTCTCTCAATAATCATAAGCATTGCCTTGGTGTTCATCATCACAGCTGTAGTGGCCTATCGATACCGATGGTATCTCTTCTACTGGATATCGCTACTGAGACGACGGCGTCAACGAGGACAGGCTGTTCCACTGCTTGAGATGAAGTACGACGCCTTCATCTCCTACAGCAACCCCGACGGTGACTGGGTGTACGACGAGCTGATGGGGTACCTGGAGGGCGAGGCGGGATTACGACTGTGTGAACACAGCAGAGACTTTGAAAGCGGTAAACTCATTGTGGACAACGTGTTTGAAGCTCTGGATTCAAGCAGGAAGACTGTCCTCGTCATCTCCAATGAGTACATGAAGAGTGACTGGTGTCAGTTTGAGCTACAGATGGCTCTGAATTCTTTCCTGAAGCAGGAAATTAAACTCGTTGTGATCCTACTGGAACACGTTAAAGCCTGTCACGTGACGTCTTCTCTGCGCGCGTTGATGACGTCAACAACATATATTGAGTGGCCGAATGTTCCTGCAGCCCAAAAGGTTTTTAAACAGCGCCTGAGAAACTGTCTAGAGGAATAAAGTGTGTTTCTATGTCGACAAGCAAACGTATTTACTTTAACATACTTCCTTCCTATCATTTTCACAAAGTAACATTGGATTTGGTAAGAGATTTAAGCGTTAAATCATCACGCAAAAACTCAATTCGAGTTTAAAGCCCATTTCTGGTGCATTGTCATCCTCAAGCTGGTGTAAATTTATTTCCACTTTGAACATGCTTTAATGTATTCCTAAATCTGGTGTAAATATAATGCCACGTTAAACATGCTTCATTGTCAATATCAAGCTGGTGTCAATATATTCCATGTTGAACGTGCTGCATTGTCATCCTCAAGATGGTGTTAATATATTGCCATGTTAAACATGATTCATTGTCAATATCAAGCTGGTGTCAATATATTCCATGTTGAACGTGCTGCATTGTCAATATCAAGCTTGTGTCAATATATTGTCACGTTAAATATGCTGCATTGTCATCCTCAAGATGATGTAAATATATTGCCACATTGTACATGTCGCATTGTCATCATCAAGATGGTGTCGATATATTGCCACGTTAAACATGCCTCATTTTTCTCCTCAGACTGATGTTAATATATTGCCATCTTAAACATGCTTCATTGTCAACCTCAATATGGTGTTAATATATTTCCACGTTAAACATGTTGCATTGTCATCCTCAAGATGGTGTAAATACATTGTTATGTTAAACATGCTGCATTGTCATCCTTAGGATGGTGTAAATATATTGTTATGTTAAACATGCTTCATTGTCCACCTCACTATTGAGTTAATATATTTCCACGTTAAACATGTTGCATTGTCATCTTCAAGATGGTGTAAATACATTGTTATGTTAAACATGCTGCATTGTCATCCTTAGGATGGTGTAAATATATTGTTATGTTAAACATGTTGCATTGTCATCCTCAAGATGGTGTAAATATATTGTTATGTTAAACATGCTGAATTGTCAACATCAATCTGGTGTAAATATACACATGCACAAAAGTTAAGCGCCACCCACCATATTTGTGAGCTGTTACTTTTGGCACTTTATGATGACTATTATAACGAGATGTACGATTGTTATCAGCCGTATATGTAAACCTCATGTGATGCAAAAGTTGTCCCAAAGCAAGTTTATCTTGTGTTCCAAAAGAATATGAGCAGAATGGAATTTTACCGAAGACCAGAAATTGAAGGATTAGAAAACATTGAAAAACTTTTTTTGTCATGTAACTGTCATGATATCAGCAGACCATATCAGGTGTCACATAGACACCCTGAGGAGTGCAGAGTCTATTGCAAAATAAAAACGTCAGTAACGTGTGTATGATCTACGGACATTGACCACAGCTTCAACCCTACGCCGCATACTCATACAAGTCGTTGAATGCTTCTCTGAGGCAAACGGATCCATTCTTCATGAAGTGTGGCTTCAAGTCCAGCGAGATTTTGAACTGGGGGATCACGATGTCTGATATTCCGGCCAAGAATGTCCCAGAGATGCTCAATCGGATTAAGATCCGGACTACAGGCCGGCCAAGGAAGAGTGGCAATAGCTTCTTGGCGCAAATAAGCCAAAACTGCCCGAGATCTGTGTTGTCTAGCATTGTCGTCCATGTAAACAGGTCTTGTCTGAAGAGGATGGTTGTCAAAAGGAGGGACTACCACTGGACGAAGAACGGCATCTTGGTATTGTTGGCCATTCAGGTTTCCACGAATTGTCACCAGCGGAAGTTTGCAGCCGAAGGAAACACAACCCCATTTCATGACAGACCCCCCGCCACATGCTAAGGTCTTCTGGATGTTCCTTGGTGCAAAACGAGTGTTACGTTGCCTACAAACACATATTCGACCATCAACAGTTCGTAGCAGCATTCGACACTCGTCAGACCAATGGATCCTTCTCCAGTTGGCCAAGTTCCATTGACTACGGGCACGACACCATATCAGACGATTCCGCATGTGCCTCTCAGTCAGTTGAGGACGTTTTACTGGTCTTCTGGCGTTATAACCAGCCGCTCTGAGGCGACGCCTTACGGTCATCGTCGAGAGTCTCTGATGGGTAATCCACTGCAGTCTTAAATCTGTTGAAGTGGCAAATGGATTTCGTCTTACTATCCTGAAAAGACGTCTATCCTCTCTGTTAGAGGTCTTTCTTGGCCTACCAGACCTATGCCTGTCATTGACATCATTGGTTTGACCATGTTTGATAATCAAGCGAGTGATAACACTGTGATGACGACCCATTTGTCTTGCAATGGCCCTGGGTGACATGCCAGAATTTTTCATGCCTATCACTTGCCATATTTCAGCGTTCGTTAACTTTCTCCTCACCATGGCTGGTTTTCAACCTCTATTGGAAGGGGAATCTCACACAGGAGCAAAATGCAACCACGTGTCTGAAACTTGAATTTCACTATTTATAGGGTAGGGGAACTGCAGCAACACGTAAAGCACGCTTTCCTTGTGGTATCTGGACAAATTTGGGTTCATGAAACTATGGAAGCCTAATTCAGTCATACATCATCATATTTCGTATTTCTGATTCCCACACGTGAAATCAAGAGACTATGAATATGGTGGCGCTTAACTTTTGTGCATGTGTATATATTGCCACGTTGAACATATTGCATTGTCATCCTAAATCTGGTGTAAATATATTGCCTCGTTGAACATATTGCATTGTCATCCTAAATCTGGTGTAAATATATTAGCACGTTAAACATGCTTCATTGTCATCCTCAAGTCGATGAAAATACATTGCCACGTTGAACATGCTTTATTGTTATTTAGACCATAAATGATGGGTGTTCTGTGTGATGTGTGCCAAAAGGTTAACGTATATATATTGTAATTTGGTATTTTTTTATAATAATAATAATAATTGATTTGCAAAGCGCCTAATATCCATCGACAGTTGCTCACTGGCGCTGTGACAAAGTTAAAAAGTAATGTCCATGTACATATGCCAACAATCAGGAGATCTATTGAAAAGCTGAGGTGAAGAAGTGGGTTTTGAGGAGAGACTTAAACGTTTCCTTAGAAGCAGAGTTTCTCAGATTCAAAGGCAAAGAGTTCCATAACTGTGGACTGCAAAAGGAGAAGGCACGGTCAGACATAGCAGAAGTAGACAGAGGCTGATACAGTAGAGTTCCACCAGAGGATCGGAGAGCACGCTCTGGAGAGTACAGGGATATAAGATCTTTGAGATAGTCTGGATAGTCGCTATTGTTTAGGCAGTCGTGAGTGATGATACATATCTTATAGTTTATACGAAAGGAGACTGGAAGCCAATGTAGTGCTTTGAGGACAGGACTGATGTGATTGGATCTTGGAACTTTAGAGATGCATCTAGCTGCAGAGTTCTGAATGCGTTGTAGCTTTGATATGGCTATCATGGGAAGATTAGCATACAATGCATTGCAGTAATCTAGTTTGGAGGTCACAAAACATTGCATCAACAATTTAACTGTTGGAGTATCAAGTAGATTGCGGACTTTACTGATGTTATAGATGCTATGGTAGCATGCTCTGCTGGTTAGTGAAATATGAGTGTCCATGGCCATTGTTAAATCAAAGGTGATTCCCAGATTACGGGCACTGGCAGTTGGGTACACAGTGGTATCACCAATATGAAGGTATACAGAGTCAGGGTAAAGCTTTCTGACTTGCTGTCGCGAACCAAGAATTAAAAACTCAGTCTTCTCTTCATTGAGTTTGAGATAATTGAAGCTCATCAAGGATCGTATGTCATCAATACAGCGCTCAAGGGCGGCGAGGTTCAGAAACAGTTCGGAAGTTTTAAAGGAAATGTAGATCTGGTTATCGTCCGCATAGAGGTGCAAGTTAAGAGCATGTTTCTGGATGATATCTCCAATTGGCAGGATGTAAATTGTGAAAAGCAGAGGTCCAAGGACTGAACCCTGTGGTACACCATAGTGACTTTTGCATGTTGTAGTGAGTGAGTGAGTTGGGTTTAACGCCGCTTTTAACAGTATTCCAGTTATATCACGGCGTGTCAGCTTAATGTGGGAGGAAAGCCCGAAGTGATGCAGGTCTCAGACGTTTACCACTTCGGTGAAACCCACGAGCACGGGTATGGTGCTGACAAACCTAGAAACATAATTGGGGCGAACCGGGATTCGAACCCACAATCATAGGTTTCTGGCGTGCCCAAGGGACGCAACTCTGCACAGCGAATCGCGGCGCCTTAGACGACTGGGCCACCCGTGCCCCCTTTTGCATGTTGTAGAATTACGATCATGGATCTTAACAGACATGGTTCGGTCAGACAGGTAGGACTGGATCCACTGGAGAGCTGTTCCCCGAATGCCAAGTCGTGTGTTGAGTCGTGTGTTGTGTAATAAAATTGCATGATCAATAGTATCAAAAGCAGGGCTAACTTGTATACTGAGATAATTTGACTTAGTGGTGGTGGTGCACTTGCGAATGCAAGTAATATAAACGTCAACTTCCCGAGGCAAGAGAGTTAACTGACTATAAAAGTCCAGTTTCCACCTTTGATGAACTAGACTGGTATTATGTAGTTACATTTTGGCTTGACTAACGAGTCTATGCATAGTCCAATCTAAATCGCGCAACGAAATCGAAATCCAGTTCATAAACTTCCGTGCAGATTTCGGTTGATTGCAAGATTTGTAAAGCGTGTGCACCGCCAACTCGTTGCCAACAGATATTATTCAAATCTTTTCATCTTTTTTCAACATGGTGCTCACGTGATTTGATGCACTTTGCGACGTAAGACCCGTTTTATCACAATAAGGATCTTGGTTATCGATCATATCGTCCTGACTCGACGCCGCCATTTTGTTTGAAACAAATGCAAGTGATACTAGAGGTGGAATCTGATTGGTCCATAGGAGAGGCTTAGAAGGGACATAACTCATAATAACCACTGGTGGCGCTACGATCAAGCCCAGGAATTTCAGCCTGGTTCAGCAAGGGTGGAAACTGGACTTTTCAAGTCAGTTAACTATCTTGACTCGGGAAGATGTATCAACGTCTGAGTTGATGCTGGGTTAACGTGACCATAAGAAATGTTTATTTTGCATTTGAAAATACAAATTATTCCCTGTTAGTATTCTGGGTTACAACCTGAGTACCCATGTTCCTCTTGTTTGTTAAAAGCGTTGACTCTGGTGAAATGGGGTAACCGTCGCGTTCAAGATTATTGCATGAATATTTCGACGTACGTTTACGTGTTTGGCTGCTTCTAGTAATGGGGACTAACCGGTTTTACACTGCTAGCCCACAGAGATACCATGCAGTTTAACTTGATACCCATCATCGGACAAACGATGCGGACTGCGAGTCGACCATGCTTTATTTTATACCCCCAATGCCGACTGCCAGGCAAGTAAGAGAGTGTCATCTTTCACCGACGTACCATCCATTACACCACGGAGGCGGTCAAGAGATGACTTATAATGGGGGACGTGTGATCTGGCTCTGGAACCAGCTGTGCGTCATCGTGCATCAAAGGGCGTTGAGTTGCGTTTAAGTCAAGTCTCAGGTTTGTCCGGTCCAGAATAGATTTTTTAGAGGCCACCTTGATTTGCTGGACTAGTGTTGACTTCATTCATTCCCTTACTTGTTATTATCGATTTAGCAGTTGTAGCTTTCTTGGCTGTGTAATTTCTGTGACACAAGACTGGTACCATCAGAAGGTCAAAGCAAGACTGGTACAACCCAAGGCCCACACAAGACTGGAACCATCACAAGGCCCACACAAGACTGGTACCATTGTGAGGCCCACACAAGACTGGTACCATTGTGAGGCCAACACAAGACTGGTACCACCACAAGGCCCACACAAGACTGGTACCACTGTAAGGCCAACACAAGGCTGGAACCACCACAAGGCCCACACAAGGCTGGAACCACCACAAGGCCCAAACAAGACTGGTACCACCACAAGGCCCACACAAGAATGGAACTACCACAAGGCCCACACAAGACTGGTACCATTGTGAGGCCAACACAAGACTGGTACCATTGTGAGGCCCACACAAGACTGGTACCATTGTGAGGCCAACACAAGCCTAGTACCATTGTGAGGCCAACACACGGCTGGAACCAGCACAAGGCCCACACAAGACTGGTACCACCACAAGGCCCACACAAGACTGGTACCATTGTCAGGCCAACACAAGACTGGTACCACCACAAGGCCCACACAAGACTGGTACCACTGTGAGGCCAACACAAGGCTGGAACCACCACAAGGCCCACACAAGGCTGGAACCACCACAAGGCCCAAACAAGACTGGTACCATCACAAGGCCCACACAAGAATGGAACTACCACAAGGCCCACACAAGACTGGTACCATTGTGAGGCCAACACAAGACTGGTACCATTGTGAGGCCCACACAAGACTGGTACCATTGTGAGGCCAACACAAGCCTAGTACCATTGTGAGGCCAACACAAGGCTGGAACCAGCACAAGGCCCACACAAGACTGGTACCACCACAAGGCCCACACAAGACTGGTACCATTGTGAGGCCAACGCAAGACTGGTACCATTGTGAGGCCAACGCAAGACTGCTACCATTGTGAGGCCCACACAAGACTGGTACCATTGTGAGGCCCACACAAGACTGGTACCATTGTGAGGCCAACGCAAGACTGGTACCATTGTGAGGCCAACGCAAGACTGGTACCACTGTAAGGCCAACGCAAGACTGGTACCATTGTGAGGCCAACAGAAGACTGGTACCACCACAAGGCCAACAGAAGACTGTTACCATTGTGAGGCCCACACAAGACTGGTACCATTGTGAGGCCCACACAAGACTGGTACCATTGTGAGGCCCACACAAGACTGGTACCATTGTGAGGCCTACACAAGACTGGTACCATTGTGAGGCCAACACAAGGCTGGAACCACCACAAGGCCCACACAAGACTGGTACCATTGTGAGGCCCACACAAGACTGGTACCACCACAAGGCCAACACAAGACTGGTACCACCACAAGGCCAACACAATACTGCCATATGTTAGTTCTCCCTTGTGAGTGAGTGAGTGAGTGAGTATGGTTTTACGCCGCTTTTAGCAATATTCCAGCAATATCACGGCGGGGGACACCAGAAATGGGCTTCACACATTGTACCCATGTCGGGATTCGAACCCGGGTCTTCGGCGTGACGAGCGAACGCTTTAACCACTAGGCTACCCGACCGCCCTAGTTCTCCCTTGTAACAGCAACTTGCCTTTGACCACACAGTTACCTGAACCCATGTAAACTCAAGTCACCAATAATGGGTTTCACATATTGCAGCCTCATGGGGTTCAAGTCGTGTGTGATGTGAGACACCTGTATTACCAGTGTGCTGTCTCATGAGGATGATACAACAGGCACCTTTGGCCCCTGATCTCATAAACTGTAACATCTAAACATTCCAACAAACAACAAAAGTGAATTCTTTCTTCATGATTATATTTGTTAAACATTTATAAATGAATAAATGAAACAATAACACAAGATATTATGGCGTACATGTCAAAATTATGTTGATAGATAAAACTCTAGTGGTGTAAAAACCTGAATAAACATATAAAATTGCGGAGAAAATAGATGAATCAATACATAAAATTCTATACCACCCTGTAGTATTGTGGCTATATAGAAGCACATCCAGCACTAGCCCACCCCACGTTTGCAAACAGCACACCTCACACAGACCAACCAGACCAGCCAAGCTGACAAGTAACAGATGTAATCACTGAAACATTTACCAGACAATTTATTTTTTATTCTTTTTTGCTATACATCCAAATAAAATCAGTATCTTAGACAAATGCCAAGGTTACATATTAAGACTTTCAATACAATCAATATTTATCAGTCTTGTCACTGCTCGTCATATACCCATAGAAATGGGCCTATTCTTGCGCCACTAGGGCGCCACTATGGGCATAATAGAAATTGTGAAGTCATGAGCCATAAATCAAGAAAAATGTGGCTGTTATGCAGGTCCTCATGTTCTTCTGATCAAGGAACTGGAGTAGTATAGGTAATGATGGTTCTGCCGCAACTCCACTGGAGCTGGATTTATTTACCAATACTGCTACTACAGATGGAATTTTTTATGCGTAAACGCTAATGCGATTCAATGATAGTCATGAGATTAAGTTAAATTGGCTCTAGCTCACCAATACCTGGGGCCAATCATTGCTTCTATTAGTATAAAAATGATGATGCGATTCAACGATAGTCGTATTAAAAGAAACATCAATATTAATTAATAATGGATAAAATTTACTATAGCCCACGAGGATATTGAATATCGCTTTATTGATAAAAATAATAAAAAAAAAATTTTATTACCATTTAAACTCATCTAAAGCAATGATTGGCCCCAGGTATTGGTGAGCTAGAGCCAATTTAACTTAATCTAATGACTATCATTGAATTGCATAGTCATTTTGGCATAAAAAATTCCATCTGTAGTAGCAGTATTGGTAAATAAATCCAGCTCCAGTGGAGTTGCGGCAGAACCATCATTACCTATACTACTACTGGTCATTTATTATCTGGGTGGTGGTGTATCATATTTCACTAAAGCCTAGCCCGACCACCACCCCACAATCCAAGTAACATTTTTCCATGCCCCCAATACACTGACACTTTTGCATGACATCCCCCCAACACCACCAACGCCGCTTCCAATAATAAATAAACAGTCCCTAAATAATATTCAAATTTTATAACTTTTGGATTGAAACAATAGAACTGTCATGTTTTCATGTCACATTACTGAGCAAAGGAAACCATCACGGAACACATTTACAGGGGCAATTGCGGTAGGAACTACCACACTCTCAGTGGGTGGAACTTATACGAGTCATCTCCCAGGTCAATATGACGTCATGTAGACTAACATCTAGTCTCTGAAATGAACATATCGTACAGAAAAAACCAGTTGTTCAGTTATCTAAATAAAAATAAAGTAAAAGGAGCCCAGTGACTCTCTTCATTTTCTGCACTTTGACTTGCCAAACATTATAGACTTGCATGGGCTGTATTTGATATATTTGTATCAGGGTCTGTAAGACAGACTATGACGTCATGCTGACACACAAATTTCATTGGTTAATGCCGTAAATATATACCCCACAATACACTTTGACCACAAATGCTTTGAATGTGTCACATGTACACATGACCATTTGCTTTGCTATATACAGCACAACCCTAAATAAGCTCTGCCCACTGTGATTGATGCAGACACCATTCACGGTCGATTCTAATGGAGGTCTACTTGTTGTACCTGCCTACCCAATATTTGCATGTTGATATCAGTCCCTGATAAAAAATTGTTTATCAAGAATGTTTCAAAATAAATACAAATATCCTAATTTCAGCAAGCATTTTCAAAATATTACCATGTAATCTGAGTTTTCTTTCTTCACCATCCAGGCTTATTGACCTGGAAATATGTGGTGAGGGAAAATCTAGTCTGACGTTACACCATTATTATCTATAAAACATATTAATCAATTCAATAAATGGTTACTTTACTACTGCAAGGAAACAATCAACATTGTAGATTTCTTCTGGAATTAACTATACAGTGACCTTGACAACTCGAACTGCTAAGGTGACTTTGGCTTTGACAACTTGCAACTGCTAAGGTGACCTTGGCCTTGACAACTCGAACTGCTAAGGTGGCCTTGACAACTCGCAACTGCTAAGGTGACCTTGGCCTTGACAACTCGAACTGCTAAGGTGGCCTTGACAACTCGCAACTGCTAAGGTGACCTTGGCCTTGTCAACTCAAATTGCTAAGCATGGTGAGGTGAAATGGGGTTTAACATTGTGTTAAAGACTATTGCACTAACATAACAACATGCATGCTCACTTGTGTTTGGCTGCTCTTACTTGTTCAGACTTCTACCATTTTTATAATGCTAGCCCACTTTACTGATCCCCTGAATGCTAGAGTGCCATGCAGGGTAACAACAAGTACCATTTTTTAACATCTTTTAGTAAGATGCAGCCAGGGATCTAACTACTGACCTTCTGCTCTCCGGGCAGATGCACATCCATTAGACAAAGGAGGTCAACTGCTAACCGAAAACAGCTTTGGAGTTTTTGGTTTCTTCCAAAATTTAAAACAATAAGCAACAACTATGAAACACAATAAAAATTCCTTTTCTTAAAGTAAAAACCCCTGGATGTATTTATCCAGCAAACAAACATGAAAGAAACAATAAATACTTGAACAAGTGGGTATTTCAACAAACAAAATGAAAAACAAACAAAATGAAAAACAACAGTCAAACCAAAGTCAGTCACATGAGGGCATGATGGGAACCCTTGCAAGAACCATCACACTGTTGGTTGCAAAAATCCTCTGATGCTCATGCTTTCAATCACTGGTTTGCCTGGTCCAGACTAAAAACAAATCTCATCAGTGTGAAGGCTGTAATATTCCTGACTGCACCTCAAAACAACTTGCATTCATCAACTCTCATACATCTATAGACTATGCGTTTAGTTTCTTCATGACCTCATCAGAGGTTGTGATAATAACAAGCCCCTGCTTCGCTCGTGTGGCCAGGTTGACAATGAACTTGTTGATGTCTGCATGCTCCTCATTGATGCGAGGATCGAGACCAATGACGATAGGTTTGTCTAACCCACTGAATCTACGAACTGTATCAACTATCATCCCTCTCCCAAAACCCTTCCCAAGCTCATCCTTAACACAGTCATCAGCATCAGTAGTCCCTACTTCCCGAATCCCCTCCTTCTCCAGATCCACCTCTGCACCTTTCTCCCTCTCCACCTGTCGAACCATGTCCTCAAGCTTGTCCTTGAAATGACCTTCTACCTTCTCAGCATCCATCTTCTTCCCCAGCAGAACGGCCATGTCCTCCAATTTGACTCCGTCCTCTGCACATGTCCTGATGACCTTCATGAGCGTGTCCTCCACTGAGGACTTCTCACACTTAATAATACTCACCCCAGGACCGGAGGTATCACTATGTCCTAATCGGGGAGAATCTTTCATGTAGCTGTCGTCTTCATTTGACTCATTCAGCCTCATAAACTTGGAAGCATATTCAAATATTTCTTTGGAGTTTCTAGAAATCTCACTTAACATGTAATTATTTTTCCCAATTAGCCCAGGTAACCCTGCTTTAAACTTATGAACTTTTTGAGCATAGTCCATGAACACCCAGAAATAACCTTCTGTCTGGTCCAGTTTGTCTCGGAAGTTACCATTGGCTAAACTCTGAGCCAATGAATACCAGTCCCCATCTCGGTCCTTGAAGTTCTGTGCCTCGTCCACCACAACGTTGAGCACAGAAAAGAACCTGAGACGGAAGTTGTCGGGGTCTTGTGCAGTCTGCATCAAGTCTCGCCTCGTCACAACGTCACATAGTTCAAAGGACCTGGAGAAAACAGAGTTATGGAAATAAATACAGATAAAATCATAAAACCAATCTCTGATTTAAGAATTGACTTCAATATTATTTGCGGTTATGTAAAGCCATGCACATGATTTTCATGTTTAGAAACTTCATAAATGCCAAAACACATTGAAGTCATTTCTTATAAATAAATACATCAACAATAATAACTTCACAGACTGCTTATTTAATCATTACCGGGTAATGCAAAAAAATGCAGCACTAACTAAAAGTACAACGATCAGAAGAAATTAGTTGTGAAACTTATTGAACTAGGAACAAACTATTTAACAAACTAAATTCATAAGGCCATGAATTATTCAAGCTTTCCCCTCCCCAACTTATTTAGGCTACGAAGACGTTAAAATCGCTATGTTTGTTCGTTTGTTGTTTAAAGCTGCACTTAGCAATATTCCAGCTATATGAAGGCAGTCTGTAAATAATCAAGATGCTAGGGGTCAGGTGGAATGGGGTTTAACATCACGTTCAAGATTATTGAACTTACATCGCGACGTTTGTTTGTTGTTTAATGCCGCACTCAGCAATATTCCAGCCATTTGACAGCAGTCTGTAAATAATCTAGTCTGGAACAGACAATCCAGTGATTGACATTATGAGCTTTGATCCACGCAACTGGGATACGATGACATGCATCAACCAAGTCAGTAAGCCTATCCACCCCATCCCGTTAGTCAACTCTTTGGACAAGGTTAGTCACAAGCATAGTTTTACGGCAAGCATTGGTTGCTGAAGACCTATTCTACCCCAAATCTTCACGGGTCGTAAAATCGCTATGAGATTCCCCTTCTTCTCCTCTTGTTGAAATAGACCATATACATATTCCAATCAAACATACTTCATGTGAATCACATCCATCCACAGTTGATGTTTAGAAATAGCTTCAACAGTGTTCACAAATAATAAAACATTCTTTTCTAGAATTTAATTGCCTATAATTAAGGGTGCACATAACACATGAGTGCCTATTGTACGCAAATAAATAAGTCTTGTGAACATTGACCAATTGGAAGGGGTGCTAATTGGGATTGTTCACTAGCCAATATATTAGCAAATTCCGCCATGGGCGCTTATTGGAGTGGGGCGCTTATTATGTCAAATACGGTAATTCATTGTATCCTAAGATGACGAAAGGATCAAGTGATCCGTTGGCATGTACTGACCGGGTTTAAGAGAGAATGTATGGATGTCAACTTCTTTATTATGAGGAACGCAAAATTTCAGAGAATATGCTTGCTCCTTCAACAGGTGAATAATAATCTTTCTCATCATAAAGAAGTTGATATCCATATTATCTCTCTCTCATGTGTATCACTTCTAAATGCCATTCAAGGACTTGAGACAGGGGTTTACCCGAATGCGCATCTTGACACTCACCTGACATAAGAGCACAAGAGTTCATTCTCGGCAATATAGAGAATGTTGCGGTAAGTACATCCACGGCGACACAGTTCTCTGATCATCTGCAGAGCCACGACCGTCTTCCCTGCCCCCGGAGGACCGTGTACCCACAATTCCCTGGTGAACTGGTGCTGACACAGCAGCTCAAACTGATCGCACGTCAACAGGAAGTAGTACTCTTCTTGCTCCGTTCCAGCTTCATGAGGCTTGTATGTTGCCATGGCAATAATCAGAGACGTCAAGATGTGGTCCAACTTCCCTGTATTTGCATGGAAGGTGGATGGATACCAGGATGTTTCTAAATCCATCCGAATTTCCTGGACGAAGAGCGGATCCTCAATGTCTACAACATGGACACAGATGCCAAATCTCTCAGTACATCCCCCATTGTGAACTAGCTTCTTCTTCAAAGACTCTGCGACCTGCTGGCAGCGGTGGAAGTAGCAAGACTTATCTCGGGGCAGATCTTCGGCCAGGCAGAGCAAGTGAAGGCCATGGGTATGACTGAGGACAAGAATGTCTGCGACAAAGTCAGATTTGAATTCTGGAACACTGCCAATGCCGAATGTATGTAAAGCCAGAGCGAGGTGAGGCTCGGCGGCAAACATTGCAAGGATGTCCTTTATGGCAGTCTTGATTCCTGGAGATCCTACTGTGTTCAGGAAATGCTTGGGATAAAGATTGGATCCTGTCCTCACTGAAACAGTAATCATACTCAAAATGATGGCCTGCTATAAATGCACCTTGGATTATCAAGCATATCACAGCCTTCGTTTGTTTGTTTGTTTGTTTGTTGTTTAAAGCCACACTAAGCAATATGCCAGCTATATCACGGCAGTCGTAAATAATCGAGTCTGGACCAGACAATCTAGTGATTGGTATTATGAGCATCGATCCATGCAATTGAGATACGATGACATGCCTCAACTAAGTCAGCGAGCCTGACCACCCTATCCCTTTAGTCGCCTTTTAAGACAAGCATAGTTGCCTCTTACTGCAAGCATGGGTTGCTGAAGACCTATTCTATCCCGGATCTTCATGGGTCTCACAGCCTTTGAAATTCACACTAGTCCCCTAGCCCAAGACTTCTAAATTGTGCTGGGGACAAGAAAAAATGCAATGATGGTAGTCCTCACTTACTAGTAACATTTGAGGGCTATAATTCTGAACCAGTTCTCAAAGCTTCATTTTTGCGACAAATGGAAGCTGAAGAAAACTGACAGAAGAGCAAAGTAGTGAACATGAGACCCGTGAAGATTCCGGGGTAGAATAGGTCTTCAGCAACCCATGCTTGCCGTAAAAGGTGACTATGCTTGTCGTAAAAGGCAACTAACAGGATCGGGCGGTCAGGCTCGCTGACTTGGTTGATGCATGTCATCGATCCCAATTGCGTGGATCGATGTTCATGATATCAATCACTGGATTGTCTGGTCCAGACTTGATTTTTTTACAGACTGCCATCATATAGCTGGAATATTGCTGAGTGCGGCATAAAACAACAAACCAAACCAAAAGTAAACCTGAGTCTGAGTGAGTGAGTGAGTGTGGTTTAACGCCGCTTTTAGCAATATTCCAGCAATATCACGGCGGGGGACACAAGAAATGGGCTTCACACATTGTACCCATGTCGGGAATCGAACCCGGTCTTCGGCGTGACGAGCGAACGCTTTAACCACAAGGCTACCTGACCACCCCTGAGTCTGAGTCAAGCAGAGTTAGCTACAAACTCTGAGGACTAGTGAGATGATGTTTCTCCTAGTCCTCTGGATTAATTCAGCATGCTTTCTATTCCCTTATTTCTGTTAAGCTAGAAGTGCCCAGTGCATCAGACTGCCAGAAGACCCAGGGTATTTTCCTATGAAAGAATTAAATAATCCCCCATTAGAAATTAATATGGGAGCTTATGTGTTTATTGATCAACTGACAAATCAGAATTGACAATAATCTAAGTCTTGACTGCTTAAAGATTTCTGAACTTAATTGTTCATTCCAAATGCCAAGCACCCTCTAGCAATTAATTTGTTGTTTATCAACGCACTCAACAATATTCCAGCAATATGGTGGCAGTCTGTAAATACTCAAGTCTGGACCAGTCAATCCAGTGAGTGTCTTCATGAGCATCAATCTAAGTAATTAAGATACGACGACATGCATCAACCAAGTCAGCGAGTCCGACCCCGGATCCCGTTAGTCGCCCCTTACGACAAGCATGGTTGCTGAAGCCCAACCTCTGACAAAGAGTTGCTACAGAGAACACGTACAGTTCAACACCTTTTCCTTGATTCTGGGTATAGTGTGAGGCAGTCCAAACACAAGACGTGATCCAGGCGTCAGCAGGGGCAGCTTCATGAACCGGCTGTGCAACTCCAGCTTGTCTGTACAGCGACAAAAATAATGAGTCTTCATGACCAAATCTATCTGACATGTCTGTAGGATCAAAACACACTGGGACACATCATCACTTCAGTTCTCGGTAAAATGAAAGGACAAACGCTGAGTAAGTTTATACATTATACAGCTAAAATATGCAAATATAAAAGGTCAGTTGAAACTACTTTCAGTGTTTACGCACAACATGGATCTGGGATCCAGACAAATTACTGGAATAATTGTAATCATTATCAAAATAAGTGTGTAGGATACCGAAAATTAGTGTCAAACAAGGACGTAGCTGTGGCATTTAACAAGTTTGGGCACAAGCTGGATCAGTTTCGACACTTGTGCTTCTAAACCTTTGACCTCCCCAACATAAAACAGTTGGATTTGGCCGAAATATGTCCGAATTGTTACCTTGTTTCATTTTGTCGCTGTGTGGACATCTGACTGCCGAGGTTCAATAAACACAACGTTAATTCCTAATACAGGATATTTAACACCAAAAACAAACTCGTGTGATAACCTCTATGTATGAGGCCATCACATTTCCCTGTGAGAAAATAATTTCACAAAAAGTACACGCAAAATCAAAATATACTGATGTTCAAGGTCTTTTGAGAATGACAGAGCATGGTGAAAATCCTGGGCACGACTATATGACTATGACTGAATTTTTCACTTTCATAAACAGTGATAAATCTAAAATGCACCCCAAGCACAATCACCTGATGCACACACAGTGGAAGGGTTCAGACGTCAAATTTCACACCAGTCTGCTGGTTTGAAACTACAACAAACAATTCCCAAGATGGTTGCCTAAAATTCAGAACCAGTTCTCAATTTTTTTTCTACAAATTGGAAGTGAACAAAACTGACAGAAAATGTAAACACAGTAAACTTAAAAGCCTTGTTCAAGAAGTGAAATATGGTTTCCAGTCGACTTAAAAAAATAATTATTGCTGTATGTTTGGATTATGTTATCACCAATTCACCATTTGTTCTTTGGTACTATTCCTGGATTGCAACCTCTGACCATTCCTGGCGAAAAAATGACATGACCTTCAATATTCCTACGTAACAGTGTATATCTTACACCCAATCTGCACAACTGTGCAATGCATGCAATGGGCAATGACGTGTATGAGTTTTAAAATCTTATTCACAGAAGTCAAAAGGACAAAGTTATTTTAGGCTAAAAAAATAATAGTCTTGGTTCTCAGGCACCACCTGCATCATTATAAAGCCTGCAGCATGTTTTGTTTTTATTTCCATTTTCAAAATAATATAAAAATCCTAATACATAAACACAATGCACAAAAATAATTGAAAATGGAAACAAAAACGAAATGTGCAATGAACTTTATGATGATGTGGGCAGTGCCTGAGAACCAAGACTATTATTTTTTTAGCCTTATAAGGATCTGTTCACCAAGTTTTTTTCCAAAGATCTGTTCACTGAATTGTTCTTACACACACAATTATATCCACTCAAATTGAGAGAGTTTGCTTGTCAAAAGTTACTTGAGATCACATATTTGTTTGGTTGTTATTTATTACAGAATATTCACTTAATAATAGAGTTTACTTTATTGAAAACAAAACATGTAAAACAATACCAATTTCAGTTGCATGCTTTGGGCAGAACAGTTACCTGCCCATTGCGTGAACTGAGCAAGCAGGTTGCTCATATTGTGAAATATTTGGAAAAATATTTTTCATTCACAACTATTGCCCACTGCAAGCAATGAGCAGAGAATTGTTTGCACGTTGCATGCATTGGGCAGTTGCACATGTAGCAGGACGTGGAGTCATCCCACAGATGACATCCTTACCTTGTCAGATAGCTGACGGGGTTAACCTCTTTGGTCATGTGGACAAGGCGTCCAACCTCTGATCAGAAGATCCGTGGTTCGAATCCCCTAACTGGACTCGGAAATTTTATGGCCACTACATTGGCGCCCAACGTGGGGCTGAGCATGTTCATGTTAAATTTGAGCAAAATAAGCCTCAGTACCCTACTATGCGGCCCGGGACGTGCCTTCTGTTGATGAGGGAGTATGTAGCAGGGTGTGTAGTCATCCCACAGATGACATCCTTACCTTGTCAGATTGCTGACTGGGTTAAACTCTTTGGTCATGTGGACAAGGCGTCCGACCTCTGATCAGAAGGTCCGTGGTTCAAATCTCATCACGATTTTATGGCACCTACACACAGATTGGTTGAAACATAAGCACACCAAGCAAGCAAAGGGAGACAATTACCCCTGACTTGATTCAGCACAGCAAGCTTCCACTGGGTGTAGGTGAAAGCCTTCACCTGGCCTGACTTATCTAGGTAGTAGCTCTCTGGGCAGGAGGTGAACACTCCCCCTGGGAACCTGCACACAGATATCACCACCACCACTCGACGCTCCTGGAAGTACAGCATTTCAAATACTTATTATTACTGTTTGTTTGTATATTTGTTGTTTAATACCACTCTCAGCAATATTCCAGATATATGACAGTGGCCTGTAAATAACAAGTCTGGACCAGATAATCCAGTGATCGATATTATGAGAAATGATCCACGCCACCAGGGTACAATGACACACTATTGTAAGCAAGGATTATATCCTACCTAAATATTATCCCGGGGGAAGTTTTACCCTAGAGTGTAGTGTCCTACCTTAGTGCCACACTAGTATGGGTTCAAATGCACTAGGGAGAATCATCTTGACACTAGAGAATTTCATTCCAGGGATAAAAAATAGGGTAGGATAATATTCACTCTTACACTATCAACCACCGAGCCTGACCACCCGATCCATTGGGTCACGTCATACAACAAGCATGGGTTGTTTGGGACCTGTTCTCACAAAGAAGTCCCATGTTGGGACTATGCTTGTCATAAGAGGCGACTATGCTTGTCATAAGAGGCGACTATGCTTGTCATCAGAGGCGATTATGCTTGTCATCAGAGGTGACTATGCTTGTCATAAGAGGCGACTATGCTTGTCATAAGAGGCGACTATGCTTGTCATAAGAGGCGACTATGCTTGTGATAAGAGGTGACTATGCTTGTCATAAGAGGTGACTATGCTTGTCATAAGAGGCAACTATGCTTGTCATGGAGGCGACTATGTTTGTCATAGTGGCAACTAATAGGATTGGGTGGTCGGGCTTGCTGACTTGGTTGATGCATGTCATCATATCCCAATTGCTAGATCAATGCTCACGATGACAATCACTGGAATGTCTGGTCCAAAATCGTTTATTTACTGTGCACTCTGTATTTTCTTATTATTTGTTTTTAATTTTGCCGCAGCATTTCGAATCCAGTAAATCCCCAAACACATGTGCTTAATTCTTTGAAAAGCTATATACATGTACTATATAATAGCATTGACAATAGTGTCTTCAACAGCCCTTTGCAAAATTATAGAAATATAAATGTGTCATAAAAAACACAACTTCAGAGTATTTGGCGCGAAGTTAACTTGAGTGAGTGAGTGAGTGAATATGTTTTTTTACGCCGCTTTTAGCAATATTCCAGCAATATCACGGCGGGGGACACCAGAAATGGGCTTCACACATTGTACCAATGTCGGGAATCGAACCCGGGTCTTCGGCATGAAGAGCGAACGCTATAACCACTAGGCTACCCGACCGCCCTGAAGTTAACTTGAACAGGATCAATATGTAACAGAAGGAGTAGCTATCAGTACCAGGGGAACTCCCTCACTCACCCTGGCGCTGCAGCCCAGTATGTTGTGGAATGTGATGTCCCAGTGTCGGCCACGCTCCGCCACGAAACCCTCGTCCCCCCAGATCACACTCTTCATCTTATTGTTGATCTTCTCAACTGAAACAAACAAAAATTTCATGAAATTTTCTTCCACTCAATTCCAAAAGGACACCAAAGAGGTGACAAAAAGTGCAATAAAATTTAGATGCTCTTACTCTTATAAATTGATACTTTTGCAGTTTTGTATTGACAAATATACAACAAATATATCAAATAATGAAATTTAATACCAAAGTGTACTATCATTCATTATATATACATGAAGACCTGTACAAGCTTGCTAGTATGAGTCAGTTAGTTTAATGATGAACTTATCCTGAGGGAACAATTTCATTCTTTTTCTAGGTATGTCCATATCTGTTATCAGTATTTGGGCTAAGAAACATTTCAGTATATTTCTACAGCTATTTTTTTACTATTATATATCTTGGTTTGTTTGATTTTGAATGCCACTCTCAGAAATATTCCAGCTATATGACGGCAGGCTGTGAATAATTGAGTTTGGACCAAACAAGCTAGTGATCGACATCATGAGCATATGTTTCTTCTGGAGTCAAAAGGGGGCACGGGTGGCCCAGTCGTCTAAGGCGCTGCGATTCGCTGTGCAGAGTTGCGTCCCTTGGGCACACCAGAAACCTATGATTGTGGGTTCGAATCCCAGTTCGCCCCGATTATGTTTCTAGGTTTGTCAGCACCATACCCGTGCTCGTGGGTTTCACCAAAGTGGTAAATGTCTGAAACCTGCATCACTTTAGGCTTTCCTCCCACATTAAGCTGACACGCCGTGATATGACTGGAATACTGTTTAAAATTTGTTAAACCCAACTCACTCACTTACTCTGGAGTCATAAACATATAAACCTGTGTGCAGTACATCTTTTATGTTAAAAACTCCAGAAATGTAAAACATATTTAAGTCACAAGTTAATCAAAATGTCTTAGATCATGAAATTCAATCAAACAGGTTCAACATTAATCAGGAATCACCTGTCTTGTCTTGTTCCTCTTCTGTCATTGCTTCTCCTAACACAGCGGCAGACGTGTCTTCAATCCCAAAATAGATATGCCCCCCTTGATGGTTGGCAAAAGCAGAAATATATTTGGTACAGTAATACCTAATCTTGTCCGGCATGGACTTCGCATGGGAGTCTCTCCCCGATGTCAGCATCTTGAACTGAATCTGTTTCCCTTCCTGCTTCAAAGTGTCCTCTGTCTTTTTCCACTGAAATGACCTTGGGATAGGTGGAAGAGTCTTCAAATATCCTACCTCTCCAGTATTGGTGAGAATCTTCAGTGCGGACCGATACGAAACCTCGTGTGTGGCAGTGTCTGTAGGAAGTCGGCAGTGGTAGTCTATAGTACACAGGTGTTCAGCAGCCTTCACAAAGAGGTACAGATCCTTGTCATCATAGTTACCGATCAGATCAAAGTAGTTGCATATATCATCCCCAGAAAGGATGTCGGCGATGTTGCTCTCCATCCCGCCCCACCAAGTGTCGAGGTCTTTGGGCTGTATATGCCGATCGTGGTCGAGGTTTTTCATGTGGAGCAGTCCTCCGGCAGAGTTGAGGAGTGCACAGGCAAAGTGCATGACAATGTGGTTCCCGTGCTCGTGGATGCGTCGCGATATGTGGACAGAACAGTGCAGAACTGTCTCTCCATACCTGTCCAACATCGCAGTGCTGGAGAAGGAAAGGGAAAGAACTTTTGATTTTCTCTCATTACAGGTAGAATCACCTGGGTTCACTTGCACAAAGCAATCTTAGCGCTACGACTATTGCAAGACTATGTTAAAGTATGAGAGTTACGATCCTCTTAGCGCTAAGATCACTTTGTGCAAGCAGGCCCTGGATTAACAAATTACTGAAGTGAGGTGAGATTAGCTGAAATGGAGTTTAATGTGGCTTAAGGTCCCATAAATTTATCTAAATAACAGAGCTAAAGATAAGCAGCTTATTTGCGTAAAATACCCCCCAACCCCCCAACCCCCCTGACAAAAACAAAATATCCAAAAGCCAATTACGTTCAATTAACCTGCATACAGAAATGCATGCATTAAATGAAAAACTCAAATGTATAAAAACAGCTAGCGTAAATACCCAATGAAGCTTTTTCAACATGCGTACAAAGGAGCTAATTTCCGAAACACCATTACGAGCTAATCTACTTTCGAGTCAAGCCTATAAATTTAAAACAGTTATATACATCTAAAATTCATTTCATTCTTTTTAAATCTTAAAATGTTCATTAATGTGGGGAAAAAAACAATAAAGTGATAAATAGATGAGTGAAAAAAAATTGGTTACCCAATGAAAAATGTAATAAAAATCAAATGCTCAAAAAGTTATCTGGAGCTCTGAAAAAAACAAAATCTCCGATCTCTGATAACTGTCATGATTTATAATACAGCTAGAGTGAGTGAGTGAGTGAGTATGGTTTGACGCCGCTTTTAGCAATATTCCAGCAATATCACGGCTGGGCACACCAGAAATGGGCTTCACACATTGTACCCATGTCGGAATCAAACCCGGGTCTTCGGCGTGATGAGCGAACGCTTTAACCACTAGGCTACCAGACTGCCCCTAATACAGCTAGAACTTACACTTAGAGTACTCATGTGGCAATGGTAATGGCAACCCCCATATAATACACTACACACACATGCATGCACATCGCTATATAAGTGCAATAATCTTGTACGTGTCGTCAAACCCAATTTCACCTACCTCACATTACCATAATAACATGGCTTGGCAAATTTTTAATTCCAATTTGGGAATTGTTACGAGCATTTGCTTCTCAGCAGGTTTAGATAAATCTATGCTTGAAACAGAAACTTACACATCCTGGGAGGTTAGAACGTTGTTCATCTTGAAAGTGATAGTCCTGTTTGCCCATTCCACACTAAGGGTTGTTATACCTGAAATATATGTTAGAAGCATCTTCAGCTATGAGTGAGTGACATTTTCCACTGCTTTTAACAATATCAATCATTATGCAACAAAACTAGGCATGACTAGCCAACACTTCATGACTAGCCATCACCACGCTCCTCCACCACCCAACCACCCGCGTAGTGTAGTGGTAGAGTGTCTGCCCAGAGAGCGGAAGGTCCGGGGTTCGATCCCCGGCCGCGTCATACCAAAAGACGTTAAAAGATGGTACTTGTCGTTACCATGTCTAGCGCTGGGCATTAAGGGGCTAAAACAAGGACTGGTCTGCTAAGAGTCAGTATACTGTGTCTGAGTGGGGTATTCATGTCAAACTGCAGCAAGGTATTTCCGTGGGCTAGCACTATACATGGGAATCAGAAGGGACTATAATAATAAAGTGCTAGCCTCCATGTAGCAGTTCATGCTCAAAGCGCTACATTATTACCCCGGTGAGCATTCATTTTCATTCTCAGCTCCCTGGAGAGTATACAACCCAAAGCTGCCTGTAAGGTGCTAGAAGGTTAACAGCCACATTACCATCTCATCCTACTGGGTACCCACTTACTACTGGGTGAACAGAGGCACATTTCGAATAAGTAGAAACCACATGTACAAGCAGCCCCATACTCACACACACACACACACACACACACACTCACACACACACACACACACACACACACACACACACACACACACATTTTTCACAAATGGTCAAAACTGACAACCTTTTTACCTCATAAGTAATAACAAACAAAGTCAGCACCAGTTCCAAATGGATTTTAACAAAATCAAATAACACTGATCAGTCAAAACTAGGAGCTTATATTAAAACTTTTTTTGCAGTTATTAAATACCTCAACAATGAGAGAAGCCTCTGTTCCACTGATCATCAAACAATGTCTGTCCTCAATGAAGGTTTTTACCATAGTTGTATTAATTCTGCCTCTTTAACATAGTGTTAATCAAGCCCTGGTGTTCCCGCCGTGATATTGCTTAAATATTGCTCAAACAGCGTAAAACCATACTCACTCACTCACTGTCAATGCATGGTGCTCAAGCCTCAAGGTGCTTCCTTTGTCGGTGTTACATGAATGCATTTGAATCTACTACTGTTATGTCATGATTTGATTTTACATGAATTTTTGATGAAATTTATTTTTGAAAGAAGCGGAAGTCCAAGGCTCTGAAACATCATGACAAAGAATAAAAGAAGTTTCTATCCATATAAAAGTGTCATGTATTCATGTTCTTCCAACTTCTAAATGCCTATCAAAGATTTCCTACGTTCATATTGTCATCAATAGGTTACAGACTATATAGTACTCATGTAAGGGGAACTGGACAATCCGTACCTACATAGGTCCATGCGTTGAATATATTTTGGCAGACATGTACACAGACGTTGGCTAACCCATACTAGGGCTGGGACAGGTAACTCGGGTACTCGGGTTGGGTGGGTCCTGTGATAATGGTTAAATGGCAATAATAACAATATTCCATGGTTACACCAGTACAAGTCGCTAATGTTCACATTTCATTCTGACTATGCACGCATTCCTTCTGACTTTTATATGTATTAGTAAAGACAAAGCTTTAGTCAACTTCAGTGTATACACAATCAGATCGTTTTATACCATATCTTAACACTTTTTTCCAGGGCTCCGGTGACACAATCCCCAACTGAACATTTTGTGCCCAACTTATGACCTACAGCAGGTACCCGGGTAGGGGTGGGGAATAGGGGGCAGGTACCCGGGTAGTATATTTGGACTTGTCCCAACCCTAACCTATACCCACCCGTACTAAGTCAACTTGACGACTCATACCCCAATAATTGGATTTGTACACATTGAAAATTTAATATGATTTTAAACTTCTATTGTTATCTGTAGCAATTACCTGTAAAGTACATTTGACACTGTAGATGCTGTAGTGACACAGGATGTTTTAATGAAAGAATAGCATGAAAGATTCAGGAAAATCTGCTTTGTACTTCTATTAATTCTGAAAAGTATAAGCTCTACCACAAAACAATGATTAAACTGGTTTTCAATTAAGGTATTGTTTGTTTAGTGTTTCATATAACAACACATGCTAAGTCCAATTACTGACTGTAAACTTCTTGGTAACCCAAGAATTCCAAGAACTTGTGTGGACTGTGTGAAAAAAATATTGCTATGAATATATTGTTTACCTTGAAAGTGTCCATAAATGTTTATTGAATTAAAAGTGACCAAAATGTATGGTGGAATAATATGTGAATCAATGATTATGAACAAATATGAAAATACGGGTACTGGTCGTCCAAATGGGTTTTGGAGTCAGCCAAATAAAGTACGAAAGCTCAAAATCAGTTACAGATCGGACGTGAATATTTGGTACGGTTTAGCCATTTAGTGATTATTAAACCAAGGGGAAATCGACCATCGGTGTATATCAATGAAATTTATCACATTTGTTTAAACACAAATACAACTTCGACGTTCACCAAATATAACGCACCAAACGAGCATGGTTTTTAAGGCATGCATTGGTCTGACTGTCACTTGGTGAATATCGATAAATAATTAAACAACATGAAAATAAAACAGCATGTTATTGTAGTCAAAGCTCACCAATGGTCCATATTGTGAAACCTTCTCACGACGCTTCGTTAGAATTGAGAGCACTACACGCGAGTCCTGTCACGCAGTATGGAGTTTTGACAGCTCCTTGCAGAGATGCATGAACACATATGCTGTGCAGAGTTCTTGCAGACCTCGAAGGGAAGAAAACTAAACATTTTCCCACGGAAGCCTAACAACTTTGGCCTCTGGTCTGGCTTATCCGTACCTGGAATTCGGTACCTTATCCTGTTTTATATCACATTCGGATCTAAATTGATTGATTTCTAAAATTCACCATTATTTCATGACAGTCATAAATAGAATAATTATTATCACTTATTCGAGTATTAGATCTAGATCGATAGACCCAGATCTATATCCAAACATTATTGATATCGAAAAATTGAATTTATGGTATCAAAAAAGATATATAGATATATATATTCAATTTAGTGATATCATAAAATACATTTTTAGATATTACGAAATACATTTAAGATCCGAATTTGTGACATCAATAATTATTTCATGATATCACTAATTGTTTCATATAATTAATTATAATTTGTTCATATCAATAATTCATTTTGTGATATCAATACATTAATTATTAATAATCATTAAATCAGGAATAAATACTAAAAGTGCGTCTCACAGGGAATGCAGTTGTAAAAGTGCTACGTTGGGGGCCCTCTACGTTGTGATAAGATAATTAAAAACAATATCCTGGCAAATTTGTGATTATCAAATCTGGGAAAATTTTCTATGCGCAGAAACTGAAACCTATGATTGTGGGTTCGAATCCCGTTCTCCCCGATTATGTTTCTAGGTTTGTCAGCACCAATACCCGTGCTCGTGAGTTTCACCGAAGTGGTAAACATCTGAGACCTGCATCACTTTGGGCTTTCCCTCCCACATTAAGCGGACACGCCGCGATATAACTGGAATACTGTTAAAAGCGGCGTTAGAATCCAACTCGCTCTCACTCACAGTCTAACAAAGTCGTACGTTGTAAACCACGCTTTGCTCTCTGCACCTGTCAACCAAAGACTTTCCGTTTACAGGTACCTATGTATTTATGCTTCCATCGAACTTTCTTCTAGGTTCTTTACACTTACTCCACTTCTTTAGCGTTATACACAGATCATTCCATTAAGTATATCAGATAATTCTGATGTCCTCCACTCCTTGCGACTGCACCGTTTTTTATGACTGTTTTTGGCATTTAAAAGAATCCTTTCACTTGGTACTTGCTCATTTCACAACACGATATCCACAAATTTATTATAGGCTATGTCAATTCTATTTTGTTGCATCTGCCGTTAGTTTACAGATAGAATGACGTAAAGACTGAGATACATTATCAGAATACATAACAGTATCTCACCCGTGAAGATCCGGGGTAGAATAGGTCTTCAACAATCCATGCTTGCCGTAAAAGGTGAATATGCTTGTAAGAGGCGACAAACGGGATCGGGTGGTCAGGCTCGCTGACTTGGTTGATGCATGTCATCGTTTCCCAATTGCGTGGATTGATGCTCATGACGTCAATCACTGGATTGTCGTGTCCAGACTCGATTATTTACAGACCGCCGTCATATAGCTAGACTACTGCTGAGTACGGCGTTAAACAACAAACAAGAAACAAGCATAACAGTATCTGGTATGACCGATGAGCCAAACTTAAATCTGACTTGAGGTTGACTTGCACTCGCCTCACTCTTTTTTATCTGAATGTCACAGTGTACTGACCATGTGAGTACATTCTGAAAACATTCTGCGGATTAATATCACCCACACAACCAGCGTTATTAAAAACATCATCAGGCCTCACCACATTAAAGTTACTAAAGTTCTCGTAGGGCAGTAGTGAACCACAGACGGACCGCAAGGTGACACACACATTCATATGACAATAGCTTGCATTCACCAAGAAGTCTGAAAGCAATCGGCCATAGTTATTGATTGTATTATCTATCACATCTCGCAAGTAAAATATCCACTCCCTCAATAAAGTCTATAATATTACCAAAAGCGGATACTATCTGATTAAGTGGGCACGGGTGGCACAGTCGCCTCAAGCACCGCGATTCGCTGTGCAGAGTTGCGTCCCTTGGGCACGCCAGAAACCTATGATTGTGGGTTCGAATCCCGTTCGCCCCGATTATGTTTCTAGGTTTGTCAACACCATACCCGTGCTCGTGGGTTTCACCGAAGTGGTAAACGTCTGAGACCTGCATCACTTCGGGCTTTCCTCCCACATTAAGTTGCATGACACGCCGCGACATAACTGGAATACTGTTAAAAGCGGCGTTAAACCCAACTCACTCACTCACTATCTGATTAAAGTCTCCGCAAATGAATGTCTCACCAGGGCAGTGATGAATGTAGTCACATGAGTATATGCTTACGGAGTATATGTTTCGGAGTATATGCTTACTCCTTTATTAGGTGATGAAGGAGTAAGCATATACTCCGAAACGTTGTGTTCCTCATTATAAAGAAATTGACATTCATAAATTCTCTTCCTTATTATTTTCATCCTCGCTGACGATTATGGATGATATCGGGTACCACAACTCGGAAATAAAAACTCCAAACGTTTAATGTACATAAGCAATAAAAATACATGGGGGCGAGCTGGAGCTGGATCGGTTGGTCAGGCTCGGTGACTGGGTTGATGCATGTCATAGTATCCCAATTGTGTAGATGCTCATGATGTTAATCACTGGACTGTCTGGTCCAGGCTCGATTATATACATATCACCGCCATATAGCCAGAATATTGCTGAATGCGACTCAGCAAACAAACAAACAAACTTTGGTCTAAAGCTAATAGAAGGAGAGGAAACTTTGAAAATACTTAAGGTGAGGTGAGTTGAAATGGAGTTTAGCGTCGCGTCCAAGATTATTGCACTTATATAGCGACGTGAATGCACGTGTATGTGTGTGTGTGGCTGCTTGTACTAGTCCGGACTGATGCCGATTTATACTGTTAGCACACTGAGATACCATGCCGCAGTTTAACATGAATACCCCACTCAGACACAGTATACTGACTCCGAGCCGACCATTGTTTTAGCCCCTTAATGCCGAGCGCCAGACAGGGTAACAACAAGTACCATCTTTTAACGTCTTTTGGTATGACGCGGCTGGGGATCGAGCCCCGGACCTTCCGCTCTCCGGGCGGACGGACGCTCTACCATTAGATCACGGAGGCGGTCTGAAAATACTTAAGGCCTTGCAAAGGGGAGAATAACTTTTGTTCACATACATAGTAATACAATCTGTAACCAAACACTCTCCCCTGTGCGCCTCTATGTGTATGTGTGGCTTCCTGCAACCTTTGCTCCATCTAAAACAAATGTGTCATGCATCTGACGTGTGATGTGTCCACTGATTGAGACTAGTTACAAACTGAAACCGTTCCTGTCATTCAGAAACCAGTCCAAAGTCTCATAGTCATGTGCTAGGGGTATGACAATGTACAGTGTAACCACACCAGGCGCTCGATTAGAGATCCCATTGGTTCTGATGCGCACAACTGAACATTCGATTTGTTGGAATATGCCAATCTGCTATCAGTGACTGAAGGGGTACCATGTTGTTATCCCAGGGACAAGTGTACTGACAGTAGTGAAACACATTAATAATATGATATGATATTGTTTCCTACCTCTGTACCACGAAGAGTCGCCAAAAACCGATGAAGATGACGATGCTGCATGTTTGATGGGCGATTTTGTTTATTACAGCGTAAGAATGGCAATGCTGCATATTTAACGTTACAACATATTTACACCATCTTGATGATGACAATGCAGCATGTTTAACGTGGCAATATACTCACACGCAAAAGAAGCGCAAGTGGTTTTACGCAAATAGGTATTAAACACGGAACCATAAATTGATACGAGTTTTAGCATGTAGTGAAGCCTGATGGTGTTGTCAATATTTTTGGTTGCATTTTGGAAGCCCCGAGTAAAAACGCAACATAAAAAACGAATCGCCAAAACGCACCATTTCAATGAATATGTGGGTATCATGCACCCATTTCTCGCGAAATCGAAAATGCACGAACTGTCACGAACTGTAATGGGTATAAAACTGTGGCCGATTCTTGGACCTACCACTCCTTGGTCAACAATGCCACGCCTAACTCAAATTCAGAGAAACCAGGCTATCGGACGTTTGGAAGCTGGAGAGTCTGTCCAAGGTGTTGCCCGTCATTTCAACGTTAACATAACCACAATTTACTGTCTCCTGCATCTATACAATGCTACACAGACAACAGATGACCTTCCTCGGAGCGGTCGTCCTAGGGTCACCACACCTCGACAAGATCGGCATATTACCCGTCAACACCAGCGACATCCGTTCCTAAATGCAAGTGAAAGTGCTCGACAGACCAAAGGAACACATAATCGACACATTAGCCGGGACACTGTGATCCGACGTCTCCGTTCCAGCAACCGCAGATGTCGCCGACCAGCACGTCATCCTGTTCTCCAACCACTGCATCAACAAGCACGACTTCAGTCCGCACAGGGTCATCACAATTGGCGTCATCGTGAGTGGAGGCGTGTCATCTTCTCTGATGAAAGTTCCCTTTCGTGTCTCCCATGCAGACGGAAGAGTCAGAATTTGGCGGCGTCGAGGTGATCGTTTCGCTGACAGAAACGTTGTGGAAAGGGATCCATGGGGTGGACCTAGCGTCATGATATGGGCAGGGATTGGACTTAATGCGAGACTTGGACCCATGTGCTTTCTGAATGTTGGTCAAGGTCGGGGACACGGCGTCACTGCTCAGCGGTATATCGACCAAGTGATCAGACCCCGAATTGTTCTATTTTTGGCACAACATCAACAACACATTTTCCAGCAGGACAATGCTCGTCCCCATGTTGCCAGAGCTACCATGGCCTTTCTGCAACAACACAACATCCGTGTTCTACCGTGGCCAGCCCTCAGCCCTCAGCCCTGATCTGAACCCCATCGAACACTTGTGGGATGAGGTTCAAAGGCGTCTGCACAATGTGCGCCCAGTCCCTACAACTGCCGATGAACTACGCACAGCTGTTCTGGATGTGTGCAGGAGGATCCCTAGGGGCCTTCACAAATCGTCTGATCCACTCAATGTACAAGAGATGTGTGGCAGTGATCAATGCTAATGGTGGTCACACCAGGTATTGACTGACATTTTGGGTATTGACCCGAAACTGTGTAAGCCCTTAACATTTAAAAAACAACATCAATTATGTCATCTGCATTTTAATCCATTTAACTGTCTTCAGTCACAATTTTGTCAATCTTGCCCTATTAGTATTTCTTGTCTTTACTGTTGAATATAAATAACATGTGTACTGCATACTCGACTTGCGTTTCTTTTGCGTGTGAGTATATTTAACCCATCATCAGATGATAATGCAGCATGTTTAACGTGACAATATATTTACACCATCTTCAGATGACAATGCAGCATGTTTAACGCGGCAATATATTTACACCATCTTCAGATGACAATGCAGCATGTTTAACGTGACAATATATTTACACCATCTTCAGATGACAATGCAGCATGTTTAACGTGACAATATATTTACACCATCTTCAGATGACAATGCAGCATGTTTAACGTGACAATATATTTACACCATCTTCAGATGACAATGCAGCATGTTTAACGTGACAATATATTTACACCATCTTCAGATGACAATGCAGCATGTTTAACGTGACAATATATTTACACCATCTTCAGATGACAATGCAGCATGTTTAACGTGTCAATATATTTACACCATCTTCAGATGACAATGCAGCATGTTTAACGTGACAATATATTTACACCATCTTCAGATGACAATGCAGCATGTTTAACGTGGCAATATATCGACACCATCTTCAGATGACAATGCAGCATGTTTAACGTGACAATATATTTACACCATCTTCAGATGACAATGCAGCATGTTTAACGTGACAATATATTTACACCATCTTCAGATGACAATGCAGCATGTTTAACGTGGCAATATATCGACACCATCTTCAGATGACAATGCAGCATGTTTAACGTGACAATATATTTACACCATCTTCAGATGACAATGCAGCATGTTTAACGTGACAATATATTTACACCATCTTCAGATGACAATGCAGCATGTTTAACGTGACAATATATTTACACCATCTTCAGATGACAATGCAGCATGTTTAACGTGACAATATATTTACACCATCTTCAGATGACAATGCAGCATGTTTAACGTGACAATATATTTACACCATCTTCAGATGACAATGCAGCATGTTTAACGTGACAATATATTTACACCATCTTCAGATGACAATGCAGCATGTTTAACGTGACAATATATTTACACCAGTTTGAGGATGACAATGCAGCATGTTTAACGCGGCAATATATTTACACCAGTTTGAGGATGACAATGCAGCATGTTTAACGTGGCAGTATATTTACACCAGTTTGAGGATGACAATGGAGCATGTTTAACATGACAATATATTTACACGCGCTTGAGTATGCCGCATGTTTAACTTAGCAATGTACGCTGATGGAAATGAATAAGGGAAACTTAGTATTTGACACAGTTAAATTATATGCTACCATGGGTTTTCAGCCTTGTTTACAAAATACGCTTTGGAAATCATGCACACAAACACATCTCAAAATTTGATTCTGACATGCGTTGAATTTGTTTGTGCGCTATTTCAAATGTACCGACAGACAGCATATTTCCCAATATTTTTCAATGTTCCCTTATTCGTTTCCATATATATATTTATAATGCTTGAGGATGACAATACAGCATGTTTAACACGGCAATATATTAACACCATCTTGACGATGACAATGCAGCATGTTTAACGTGGCAATATATTTACACCATCTTGAAGATAACAATGCAGCATTTTTAATTTTGAGTCCGTGAATATAGCCCCTTTTAGCAATGTTCCAACAATATCACGGCTGGGGACACCAGAAATTGACTTTTCAAATATCAGAAATGTGAGGAATCCAGGCTTTGGCGTGACGATTGGACACTTAAATCGCAAGGCTGCCCAACCTTACCAATTATTTTGTGAAAATGATAGAGGGTTAATATTTCAAGAACATAGCCACACACTTTATTCCTCTAGATAGTTTCTCAGGCGCTGTTTAAAAACCTGTTGAGCTGCAGGAACATTCGGCCACTCAATATATGTGGTCGACGTCATCAACGCGCGCAGAGTGGACGTCACGTGACAGGCTTTAACGTGTTCCAGTAGGATCACAACGAGTTTAATTTCCTGCTTCAGGAAAGAATTCAGAGCCATCTGTAGCTCAAACTGACACCAGTCACTCTTCATGTACTCATTGGAGATGACGAGGACAGTCTTCCTGCTTGAATCCAGAGCTTCAAACACGTTGTCCACAATGAGTTTACCGCTTTCAAAGTCTCTGCTGTGTTCACACAGTCGTAATCCCGCCTCGCCCTCCAGGTACCCCATCAGCTCGTCGTACACCCAGTCACCGTCGGGGTTGCTGTAGGAGATGAAGGCGTCGTACTTCATCTCAAGCAGTGGAGCAGCCTGTCCTCGTTGACGCCGTCGTCTCAGTAGCGATATCCAGTAGAAGAGATACCATCGGTATCGATAGGCCACTACTGCTGTGATGATGAACACCAAGGTAATGCTTAAGATTATTGAGAGAAGCACAGTGTATTCCTTTCTGGGTGAACAGGACTTGGCAGTTGGGTTAAAATCTTTGAGCTGCAGAGGGTGAACATTCGGGGCCCGACACTCGTATCTGCGTGGATACTGTGTAAACTTGATACTGTGGTTGGCCATGGTCTTCTTCATCCAGTTCCGGAACCAGAGTAGTTCGCACGTGCAAGTAAAGGGGTTGTTCGACAAATTAATCTCTCGGACGCTGAGGCGGAACTCAAGGGGAAAGGTCTCCTCTTTAATCAGTTTGATGTTGCAGCCATCGAAAGAGATCTTTTTTATACTTGTGACATTTTCGAACACATCACTTTTCCATTTGGACACATAGTTACCATTGAGAATAAGCTCCCTGAGTTTTGTCAGCTGGGAGAAGGTCCCCGATGGAAGTTCCTTGATGAAAGTGTCTTGCAGTACTAGTTTTTCAATGGCCTTCAGATTCAGGAGAAAGTCCTTCAGAAGGTACACACTTATGTCTATCTTCGTGCTGGTCATGTCCAGTATCCCAAGGTTTGGTGTGTGTTTGAAAAGAGTCACCGGGTTAAAGTGTTTCGGTGACAGAAGTCGGTTTTTTGCAAAGTAAAACTTGTACAAACTTGTGGAGTTGAAAGCAAGATCTCCAATTCTTTTCAGTGACCCTGAATTGGATATATGTAAACTCTGGAGCTTGTGGAGGTTAGCAAACACATTATCCGGAAGTACTTCAATTCTGTTTTGCGAAAGGCTGAGTTTCAATAGATTCTTCAGGCACGTAATTGATGAGACATCCAGGTTTCTGATGGCATTATTTCCAAGATCTAAGCTTCGTAACCGTGGAGTTAACGGTCTAATATCCGACAAACACAGTTGTGGAACATCAACTAAATTATTCTCAGCAAGAGTCAAACGTGTCATATTTGGAATGATTTGCTCCAGGATCAACTGGCTCATATTGTTCTGTGAGAAATCAACATACTGTAAATTCATCATGTGCGAAAATGCAGTTGCGTTGAAAGTCCTCAGACTTCCCAGAGCAATGGTGAGCCTGCTCAAGCTGTTCAGATGTTGAAACACTGTTGCATTAAGAGTTTGTTCAGGCACACTGTTTGCTTTAAGTCGGAGAGTTTTAAGAGGACTAGACACTCCCTGCAGGGCTGTAATGACGTCTGTGAGCGGCAGGTATGTCTGTTGCCAATCCAGAACCTCAAGGTCATCCAAGTCCCGAAAGGCATCGGGTGATACTCCTATGATGTTGTTTCCTTTCAGGTAAAACGAAGTCAGATTGCAGAAGGTCAAGTTGGCAGTCATGGCCCTGGTGACCACGCCCAAGTTTATGTTTGTCAAGAGGACATCTGTAATGTCTGGAGGAGCTCTAGGGATGTAGTTAAGATGGTTTCCCTTGCCATCGCAGGACATCCTTGGATGCTTACCCTCACAGTACTTTGGGAGCTTCCTAGTTGCACTTGCCAAACTCACAAGGACGACTAGTAGTAATGAAGTCTTCATTCTGTTTCAACAAAAAATACTGTATCACTAATTGTTACAACATCAAGGACTCAGTAAAACTTTTAGACGGTTTAATTGCAGACACGTGGAGGACATTTCCAAATTTGACGCATCAGTGACCAAAATGGTGTCCGATGCAATCCTCTATTTTGACTTACAATAAGTTCCCATGTTTTTTCAGATGAACGATTGACTTGCATTTGCATACGTTTGTGACGGGTGCCACTGGCGGGACAGGATATGTTTATCTTTTAGCGAATACCTAGTTTCATCACTATTTGGCAGTAATTAAAAAACACAGTTTTTGATATATGATTCTGGAAATTGGTTTCGCCGCTTTATTTACAAGTTCTCCAATAAACGTGGGGAACATAAATACGAATGTTATGATCGGTCGTCAGAAGAAAGATAAGCTTTGAAAAATGACTGCCAGAGATGAAACGGTTTCGAAAGTAAACCCTAACGCAACAACACCCTCGAAACATTGCACGTGGACCAAGAGTAGGGGACAAGACTGCTTCAGATTGTCACCGGGAGATTGATTCGGACCATTCCGTGACATATCGTGGAGACCAATACTGGGAACATGACTTATTATAGATGAAGTCATATCAAACGTTCACTTTGTGACTACACACCCCTGTCGTCTTTCATGATTGTAACGTGACACCTATTCCTTCCTTTTTCTTATCCACCCATTACCACCTCTAAATGTATATTTCTGTGATCATATGTTTTTTCTATATATAGTCCTTGAAAGCTATGATAATCATTTTATTACCGTCCTCGCCATACTTGTGGTTTTGACACAGAGGTCCATCCATGGTACGACCGGGAATATGTAGAGGGCGTCATGGAAAATGATAAATACAAAATTCTTTGGAACAGGTCCCTATACAGCCTTAGGCGTATCCAGGCCAACAAACCTGATCTTGTCCTTTTTTTATAAATCCATTGAAATCATTTATATCATTGAATTTTCTGTCCCCCTTGACATTAATGTGATTGACAAGATTGGGGAAAAACATGGCAAATATGCCCACCTCGCTTTCGAAATATCACGCTTGCATCCCAAGTACCAAGTCTCCGACCCCCATTGTTTTCAGTGCCTTAGGTTTGGTACCTCCCAATCTGTTGCCTGACATTAGGAGTGTACCCGCGTTTGCTACCAGAAAACCTGACAATCTGGGTAATGCAGAAGGCTGCAGTGTTGGGGAGTCTCCATATTGGGGAGTTTTGGGTGGATTTGACTAGGCAGCGCTTCCTGGGAGAAGTCCCCTTCGCTTTCTGGGCTGCGCGTGGAGGGGGGTAAGGGACCTGAGCTGACGATGATCCTAACCAGTCTGACTGTGCCAGGATCACCCAAACCCTCTTTGCTGCATTTTCCATTTTAATCTGTACATTATAATAACAAGAAGGAGAATGTTGTGTTACAGCAGGCTTTGTTGCTGCAGATTCTAAATAATAGTTTGAGCTATCCCTAAACCATTGGTTGATAGTATGAGCAGCAATCCACATTCAGCTGGACACACATTACTCTTTACTTACATCAGCCGTTGCAAAAACCTTTGTGGCCCCATTTAACCTGGAACCGTTTCCTGAAACCCCTTTTCTCTGGAATCCTTTCTCCCTGAAATCCCTTCTCTCTTGCGCCCCTTCTCCCTGGAACCCCTTCTTCCTGGAACCCCTACTCTCTGGAAACCCTTCTCCCTGGAACCCCTTCTTCCTGGAACCCCTACTCTCTGAAGCCCCTTCTCCCTGGAGCCCCTTCTCTCTGGAACCCCGACTCTCTGGAATCCTTTCTCCCTGAAATCCCTTCTCTCTGGAGCCCCTTCTCCCTGGAACCCCTACTCCCTGGAACCCCTTCTCCATGGATCCCCTACTCTCATGAGCCCCTTCTCCCTGGAACCCTTTCTCCCTGGAACCCCTTCTCCGTGGAACCCCTACTCTCTGGAACCCCTACTCCCTGGAACCCCTTCTCCATGGAACCCCCTTCATTTGGAGCCCCTTCTCCCTGGAACCCCTACTCCAAGGAACCCCTTCTCCATGGAATCCCTACTCTCTGGAGCCCCTTCTCCCTGGAGCCCCTTCTCTCTGGAACCCCTACTCCCTGGAACCCCTTCTCCATGGATCCCCTACTCTCATGAGCCCTTTCTCCATGGAACCCTTTCTCCCTGGAACCCCTTCTCTGTGGAACCCCTACTCTCTGGAGCCCCTTCTCCCTGGAACCCCTTCTCTCTGTACAGTTCCTTATTCCTGTGGTTTGACGAGAACACGGAAAATTGTCCTAGGTAACAGGAAGGTCTCTGTGTTCTTATTACCGTCTTGTGTTTGATTCGGGACCTGGTGAACATTATTGTAGGGCTGGCACTCATTAATCTAAAAAGTCATGAAAGAAATTTCAAATATTCCTGCAAGGTTTAAATATTCAATTTCTTGGCACAATTGTTTTGGGGGGTATTTTTAAACTAAAGTGTTTCCATTGAATATTCAGTCTCTTTCGGGAAAATATTTATATATTCAATAAAAAAACTCCTGGTGAGAGGGAAATTACTCTACTTATCTCTCATAAATCTTTAATCTACTAAAAAGAGGATATGCACCTAGTCTTGCCAAACAACAGGTTTATTTAACCTCGGAACCTAATCAACATTCAAAATTCTCACTCCTGACTGTGCCAACCATTTATAAAGGATCGAGGTCGCTTGATAAGCTAGACTTATTTGACAAGGAAATCCCGATAGTTTATTCGCGAAGCACATTCAATACAAATAACACCGAGGCAGACTGAAATTTTTAAAAATATTCAACGTGAAATTATCAGTTTACATAGAAACAATGTGCACGTTGCATGAAAAATTCTACAACAACCCAGTTCTAAAATTTACAAGTTTAAGTGAGTGAGTGAGTGAGTGAGTATGGTTTTATGCCGCTTTTAGCAATATTCCAGAAATATCACGGCGGGGGACACCAGAAAGGGCTTCACACATTGTACCCATGTCGGGAATCGAACCCGGGTCTTCGGCGTGACGAGCGAACGCTTTATCCACAAGGCTACCCGACCGCCCCAACAAGTTTTAAACTAAATGAGACAAAACATTTAAATAACACAAACTACTCACCTTGGCCGCGAGGCATCAACTGAACGGGAAAATCCTGCTTGTCTACAGATACAAGCCGTGTTACGTTCTCTATGACGTTCGTTGCGTTGCTAAACAGTTCTGTCATTTTGATCACACTTTACAGGCCACATTTCCTGTCACGAGTGTTCATAGTTACCCCCAGACAATGCAAGGGACTTTGACAGAAGGAAGTACATGTACCGTATTTCCTCTACTAGACGCCCTGGAGTCCATAAATTTCGCACAAGCCGTTGACCATGCGTGTACTGCAGTCCCGGCGTCTAAAAGAGGCCGGCTCCAATGTTTTGGACAGAGCGTGTGGCCCGGCGTCATTTAGAGGTAGGCGTGTATTTGAGGCCCTATTACTACACTGACGGGCAAAAGAAACTTCCACTCATGAATGCCAGTGTAAGAAAATGAAAGACATATAGAGAATCTCACCCTCGTGTCTTTTGATATCAAATATATCAACACGAGTTGATAAAAGTGGAAAAATTCCGAGGCTTGCCGAGGATTTTTGCCACTTTTATCAACGAGTGTTGATATATTTGATATCAAAAGACACGAGGGTGAGATTTTATTTATCATCCAACATCATTCTTTCAACTTTTTCAATTTGTAGACAGTAATTAGCAGTGTCTTCAGTGTAAAAAGTACTGCAAACAGCTTCAGTAGCAGAGCCATAAGTGATGTCATTTGATTGTGACGTCATGTAACCAGTGACGTCACAATGGTTTGCAAAGCATTGTGATGTAATTTCATTGCAGCGATATCTACAGTGTAGATATCGCTTGATCTCATCCAAGCGATATCTCCTGTGGGAGCCAGTTTTGGACGATAAATATTTTTATCAAAACAAGTCTACTAGTATGTTTAATGTTGCATAATATCCCTTTATTACTTGCCCCCGAAGAGATCACCCGTTTAATAAACATACAGCTGTATTACACATTGTGTAATACCAAAACGCGTGCTTATGTACTCTCGGAACACGTTTCTAGAACAAATATTGAAAGCTCTCAACATCCCTTGGCTTATTCAACGACATTGCGTGTGGAGATGATAGATCACTGAGAGGAGCTCATGCACACTCGATGACCCAAGCAACCGTGTTGCTAGGCTGACGTCACATGGCATTGTTTCGCCGAAGGATCTTGCAACAAAATTCCACAAATTACGTCATCGGGTATTGTGACGTGATTGTAAACTTTGAGGTGCAAGGCCCCGTTCCACAAGGCGATCGTACGGTAGCGCAACGACAGTCGTTGGTCTAAGTTAAAGTATGTGAGTTGCGATAACCTTAACGCTACGATAATTTTGTAGAACGGACGCCTGAATTCTAAAGGTGTGCCGTTGTATGGTATTAAATTCATACGTTTCAACTTTTGACGTGTGTGAAGTATTATTGTGTTAAACTCAATTGTATTATGCCGTGGATCGTGTAGGTGTCAGCCTATTCACACTCAACAGTATAATTCTAAAAACGTTATAAATGGCAAGTAATAAATAAAATACTAAACTCGCTTCCGTGTAAAACCAATTTTATGAAACTCGTGAACTCGTCACTCGTTTCATAAAATTGGTATTACACGGGAGCTCGTTTAGTATTCTATATTTATATAAACAGTAAACCAAACATGTAATGAACCGCTTTGAAATGAGGTTTGAGTGAGTGAGTGAGTATGGTTTCACGCCGCTTTTAGCAATATTCCAGCAATATCACGGCGGGGGACACCAGAAATGGGCTTGACGAGCGAACGCTTTAACCACGAGGCTACCCGACCGTCCTGAAATGAGGTTTGAACACAGGTGGGGTCCAAAAAGACATAGAAATAACAGGTTTATTGTAGAGCTCTTTGGGGGGATTTTCTAGTGCCTAATATCATGTGTGTCTTCGTGCGTCTATGCATGCTCATACACGTCGTCGTCCTGACGTCAGTCTCCCGATGACGTCATGGGGATTCTGCGCCATTCCTCCAAAAGACCTTGTTCCAGTTGCCTTCATTTGACTGTTTGGTGTTGACGGTTTCAAGTTGTCTGTTCAAGTGGTCACACAAGTGTTCAATAGGGTTTTTATCCGGGAAACATGCCTGCGATAGCAGAACATGAACATTGTTGTTGGGCAAGGTGAGGTGAGGTGAAATGGGGTTAAACGTCGCGTCCAAGATTATTGCACTTATATAGCGACGTGCATGCACGTGTGTGTGTTTGTGTGGCTGCTTGTACTAGTCCGGACTGATGCCGATTTATAGTGCTAGCTCACTAAAATATACAATGCCGCAGTTTAACATGAATACCCCACTCAGACACAGTATACTGACTCCGAGCCGACCAGTCCTTGTTTTAGCCCCTTAATGCCGAGCGCCAGACAGGGTAACAACAAGTACCATCATTTAACGTCTTTTGGTATGACGCGACCGGGGATCGAACCCCGGACCTTCCGCTCTCCGGGTGGACGCTCTACCACTAGACCACGGAGGCGGTCGGTTGGGCAAGGTAATCCTGAACAATTCGATCAGTATGTGGTCTGGCATTGTCTTGCTGCACAATGGTTCCCTGTGGCTGTCCATGAAAGAACCTTGTCTCGATACCTTTGTGGGCGCTGGGGTAGCCTAGTGGGTAAAGCGTTGGCTCGTAACGCCGAAGACCCGGGTTCGATTCCACACATGGGTACAATGTGTGAAGCCCATTTTCCGGTGTCCCCGGCCGTGATATATCTGGAATTATGGTTACCATTTATGATCACTAGGCGCGTTTTCTGATAACCGTAAATTCCTCCCCATACCATAACCCCACCTCGTCAATTTGGGTTGTCCTCTTGGTCGCACACAGGTTCCAGTCGGTCACCTCCTCTTCTGTAAAACCGCCTCCATGGTCTTGTGGTAGAGCGTCCGCCCGGAGAGCGGAAGGTCCGGGATTCGATCCTCGGTCGCGTCATACCAAAAGACGTTAAATGATGGTACTTGTTGTTACCCTGTCTGGCGCTCGGCATGAAGGGGCTAAAACAAGGACTTGTCGGCTGGGAGTCAGTATACTGTGTCTGAGTGGGGTATTCATGTTAAACTGCGACATGGTATCTCAGTGAGCTAGCACTATAAATCGGCATCAGTCCGGATTAGTACAAGCAGCCACACACACACACGTGCATGCTATATAAGTGCAATAATCTTGGACGCGACGTTAAACCCAATTTCACCTCACCTCACCTCCTCTTCTGTATACACGGATTCTTCCATTAGTGTGGTCGAGTTAGAATCGACTTTCACGCTGCATTGACGTTGCTGCCAACGTCGAACAGACCTTGCCCAGCGTAACCGTTCGGTGTCGGTGTCTGAGAGTCGAACCAATTCCACGCAGTCGACGATAAGCCCTGATACCCAAAGCACGTATACGTCGTTTGACTGTGGATCGGCTGGTCCATTTGTGGGACGACCCAATCGTCAGACAGACCAGTCAAGTGTGACCAGTGTAGCTGCCTGGTCTTACCTACTAATTAATGAGCTGCTCCCAACTGTGGGCAGAGTATGCTGCTCCAACACATAAAGTGATACAGTTTAACCAGATTATGATTGTGTTTATAAGTTGCGTTCGATCTGTGTCGGGTTGCGTGTGTTTTATTAGCAAAGATTTAGAGAAGTTTTTCGAATGATATAGAATATAGGAAACTCAGTGAAGATTAACAAACAATACTAAATACAATGTTAGGTAGAATAAGAACACATTAGATAGATTAGACTTCTCCATGTATAATCTCACATGTACTATAGGTACCGTACTATATTACATGAAGTCTAAGTCAGTAAGGTATCACCACCATTGCTGTGTCATAGCTTTCTTCTAATACCAGCCTTCTCTGTTCTTCAAGGTGATAGCCAGTCGTGACCGCTACTACCGCTAATTCCCCCGATTAAGTAGTACACCCAAAGGACAAGCTACGTCAACTCAAAGACGCGCTACGTCAGCTGTATCAGAGAGGAACCCCACAAGTATTCCTTGATGGGTTCACTTACTCAAAGAATCGAACCAGAGGCCAGACCACACACGGGAAATGTATCATCAAGACCCGACGTGGGAAATGTTCCACTGTTGTGGACTTCCTTTAGGGTGTCTCGCACCACTGCCACCCACCTAGAGATCAGACTCCTGTCAAGTGTGTCAGAACTTTGAGTGAGTGTGAGTGAGTTGGGTTTAACGCTGCTTTTAACAGTATTCCATTCATCTCGCGGCGTGTCAGCTTAATGTGGGAGGAAAGCCCGAAGTGATGCAGGTCTCAGACGTTTACCACTTCGTTGAAACCCACGAGCACGGGTATGGTGCTGACAAACCTAGAAACCTAATCAGGGCGAACCGGCATTCGAACCCACAATCATAGGTTTCTGGCGTGTCCACCCCCCACCCCCACCCCGTCAGAACTTTGAGGAAACGGGCCAGGGAAGAAGCAACGCATGTCCATGCTATCTACAATGCAGAAGTAGGCCGCCAGACTCCAGAAACCGTTCTCCATCTTCCTTCGTTCCCAAGCTTGAAGAGTTCCCTCTATCGACATCCCCAAACAACAATCCCTGTCCTGCTACAGACCAGAGCTGATGTTCACCTTTAGGGGCTGTGGACCACTACCAGGGATGGCAGAAGATTCCTCCTCCGCGCAGACGGTGAAGAAGACAAGATCCTGATCTTTTCCACTGATGAGCAGTTGAGGTGTCTTGCTGAAGTTGATACGGTCTACATGGATGGTACGTGTTCCTGCTGACCTCACCTGTGGAACCAGCTGTACCCTGTACATGCCCGCAGTGGATACACCATGTACCCGCTTGCCTTCCCCCTGCCGCCCAACCGACAACAGACGACATAAGCCAGATTCTTCACTTTGAGGAAAACAGAAGCAAAGCAGACTCTCAATCGACTCTTCTCACCAGCTACCGTAAAGACAGACTTTGAGATGGCGGCCATTCGAGCGAATGAATGTGAATTCCCAACAGCAGACATCAAAGGGTGTTTCTTCCACTACACCCAGGCTATAGGGAGGAAGACTCAAGACATTGGCTTAGCTGTCCAGTACAAGGAAGATCCCCAGGTGATTTCTGGTATGATTTGATGATTAAAGATGCAAATGAAAGGTAAACAGGAAACTATTGATTGACTAACCAACCTTGACTTATCCTGGTATAAGCTGTTACATGCGATATGTTACCAGGAAGAGGAACACAGTCCTAACCAGGTAGTATTCCCCCACTGTGCAGTCATTGAAGGAACTCGTTGCCAAGTGTCATAGCTATCTTAAAACACCAATTTCCTATTAGAAAATATATATCAATCAACTTATATGCGTCAACTAATATGACTATTCTTAAAGTAAATTCAATGTAGTGACAGCACTAACTGACCACCTCATACAAGATATTTTATGTTTCACATATGCGGCTAAACACACGGTCACTGTAGCTGTGGGCAAGTGGCCAGTTATGCAAGTCTCCACTGCCGCTCTCTCAGGGAACCAGTGATAAGTGTGTTAACTTCACGTCACAGGGTCGACACACATTGTCAGTCCGACTGTGAGATGAGGGTATCTTAGGCAATATGACAACCTCATTAAATACTGGCACAACCACCCATGGTTATAGTCGATCAACCGCTGACATCTTGGATGTTGTGATCTTTAGTCATGTAACTTAACGAAGGCCTGAGTTGTATATATACGGCGGTCGGTGGTAGCAACTTCACTCTGTTACCACCGATTAAACGCAAACAGTTCAGCAGCCTTCTCTGTTTTTCAAGGTGATGGCCAGTCTTGGCCGCTCTACAACTGCTAATTCCCACGATTAAGTTGTGACACCCAAAAGATGTCTAATTCGCACAAGGGGTACGGGTGGCACGCGATTCGCTTCACAGAGTTGCGTCCCTTGGGCACGCCAGAAACCTGTGATTGTGTGTTCGAATTCCGTTTCGCCCCAATTATGTTTCTAGGTTTGTCAGCACCATACCCGTGCTCGTGGGTTTAACCGAAGTGGTAAACGTCTAAGATCTGCATCATTTCGGGCTTTCCTCCCACATTAAGCTGACACCGTGATATAACTGGAATACTGTTAAAAGCAGCGTTAAACCCAACTCACTCCCTCACTCTAAGGTAAGGTGGGCATGCTCACTGGTGTCATCACTGCTTTTCTGTGATCCATTCATATAATTGTCACTGCTAGTTTGCCTTGGAATGTTTTGGTGGACAATCAAGAATGTTCATTCTCCAGTGTTAACGTCTTATATTTCTCGACCCGCTCACATCTTAGAAGGCTTTGGTTTGAAAATATTTTTACAGTATTTTTTTTCAAAACTTCTTCAAAAAATTGTTACCAAAATTGACATAATCAAATTTTCAATGTTGAACAATTCCCCATATATTAGTATCATTACTTCAAGTTATAAAAGCAATTTAGGTAAGAGCATTATATTTTATTGTTTCATTATAATAAAGTTTTTGTGGAAAGTTAATTAATGGACACTAGACAAAACCAAACTACAAACAAAAATACCCCCAAACCTAAGAGTTTTCTGAAATGCTTCTGTTAGGCTACGGATTGCAGCACTTCTTACTCAGACAGTAACGTATAGTATGACATAAACACGAATTTATAATGTTCTATTTATTACCGAAGAAGCTGTCGACATACACAGACGAATTTAAGTGTTTACTTATTAGGACAGCAAGTCGCAACAGCAGCGGAACAAATAAAACAATTTTGATTCCAGGACCTTTATATTTCTTGTCAAGAATTTGCTACAATGTATACTAATGTGCGTCCCTTGGGGTGCAATACTTTTCTTTTCTGCATCCATTCTCTCCACTTGTTTGACCTGTAGTCTAAAACCTTGCAGTGAATGAGTGAATATAGTTTTACGCCACTTTGAGCAATACTCCTGCAGGTGGGGAATCAAACCTGGGCCTTCTGTGTGATGATCCAACATCTTAATCACTAGGCTAACCCACAAGTGATAAAACATTTGAAGGATGAAGATGCTCTTCCCCCCTCCCCCCCTCTCCATATGTTACCATATTGATATGAAACACAAAAAATTTCATTGTGGAGTTTAATTTTTTATTTCAAATTTATTTACAGAAGTATACATGTCGGGTCAGTGGTTCCTCTTCTTGTTCTTCGTCCCCTTGGCAGCCCCCTTCCGGGCCCCCCGAACCAGCCCCTGGAACTGGCCCTGCATCTTGGCCTGCTTCCTGCAACACAACAAACCAGTTACTCAGGAGAGATCATGTAGAATTTGAGGTACCATTTATCTTACAATGTTTGTTTGTTTGTTGTTGGATAACGCCACATTCGGCAATATTTCGGCAATATTTCAGCTATTTCAGCTATTTCAGCGGTCTGTAAATAATCTGCTGACAAACCAAGGATCACAGTCGTGCTAAATCTGGGATTCGAATTGTTTGTTTGTTTGTTGTTTAACGTCGCACTTAGCAATATTACAGTGATATGACGGCGGTCTGTAAATAATCGAGTCTGGACCAGACAATCAAGTGATTGACATCATGAGCATCGATCCAAGCAATTAGGATACGATGACATGCATCAACCAAGTCATCGAGCCTGACCACCCGATCCCGTTAGTTGCCTCTTACGACAAGCATAATCGCTTTTTACGGCAAGCATGGGTCACTGAAGACCTATTTTACGACGGATCTTCACGGGTCTATCTTACAATGAGTACAGTTGGCTTATCACTGCGTTGTTCCCCTACAGGTGAGGTACAAACCACCTACCGTCCACTCTCTGGGCATACACTCTATCCACTTGAATACTGAGGCATATGGGTCAACTTAGGAACAATTTTGGTTAAAAAAAAGCTTTTGAAGAATAATTAAATTATGAACATATCTCAATAGGGTGTGAGTGACATAAGTTTAATGCTGCATCCAACAGTTTTCAGCTTGACATGGAGGGAAGCCCAGTGACAGTACATTGACCTTCACTTCAGTCAAACCCACAAACACTGGTGCTGACAACGTAATATAATCACAGCAAATAAGTGGATTCAAACCCATGACAACAGTTCTCACACTCAACACAGCGCTAAGGAACCCTAAGCTTGGTTTCCCATTCCATGTCAAACAAGAGACGAGATGTTACCTTCTATTCAGTGTCTGTCTGTTCAGGGCAACGTAGGCGTAGGGGTCGTGTTTGCCTGTCTTCTTCACATCACCGCCAGCCTTCTGGAAAACAAAGTTCCTACACATGTTAGTACACGCTGGTTGAAACAAGTCTCATGTAGTATTACAACCCAATCATCAAGATTCCAGCGGCCAGCAACGTCGGAGAAATTGGACGGGTGACCACATTCGGCAGCTCCACCCCTGGGAGTTTCTAGGGTTCTGTCCTGCTGGACATTTAAGTCATGTAACACATGTGGTGTCTCTTTAGGCAAGTGACTTTGTTCAAAATATGCCTCTGATCACCCAGCAGTAATGAAGTGTATGAAGGCTAGAGCAACAAGTACACACATTATTGTCATTACAATGAGTGAGTGAGTTGGGTTTAACGCCGCTTTTAACAGTATTCCAGTTATATCACGGCGTGTCAGCTTAAAGTGGGAGGAAAGCCCGAAGTGATGCAGGTCTCAGACGTTTACCACTTCGGTGAAACCCACGAGCACAGGTACGGTACTGACAAACCTAGAAACATAATCGGGCCAAACCGGCATTCGAACCTACAATCATAAGTTTCTGGCATGCCCAAGGGACGCAATTCTGCACAGCGAATCGCGGCGCCTTAGACGACTGGGCCACCCGTGTCCCCCTCATTACAATGAAGTCTGGGTCAGGCAAACCAGTTGTTGGCAGCATGAACTAAGATAGATTTGCTTGTTTGTTTGTTTGTTTGTTTGTTTGTTGTTTAACGCCGCACTCAGCAATATTCCAGCTATATGACGGCGGTCTGTCTGGACCAGACAATCCAGTGGTTGACATCATGAGCATCGATCCACACAAGTCAGCAGGCCTGACCACCCGATCCCGTTAGTCGCCTTTTACGGCATACATGGGTTGCTGTAGACCTATTCTACCCCGGATCTTCACAGGTCGAACAAACACCTGTCACATGATCGCAATTGACTAACCAATTCTCACTAGTAGGCTCTTTATTGCGGTATTAGGGGCCTAATCCGCCCTGAAATCCTCATTGGGGTTGCCCCTTTGTTTTGTTTGTGTGTTTGTTTGTGTGTTTGTTTGAACCATCTCTTATGACCATCAGAGGCTGCTGGGGACCCATTCTAACCCGCAACTCCCCTGGGGGTGCACCTTTGTAAATTAATTTGAGCGAAATAGATTTCACTATTCCAACATTACTCACCTTTGCCTTGTATTCTTTGCCAAATCCTTTTGCTCCAGGGTTTGAACCCGTCTTTGTGAGCGGTCTGTGTATCCCACCTCCACCAGCTACAACATGATATTAGTATTTCACAGAAGTCTTTGATAACTTTTTGATTTTATTACCTATTCTAGAAATTGTTGTAGAGTACATGAGTGCAGTCATGAATAAATGTAAGTGAAAAATTCTGGACCAGGCAAAACAATTGACTGAAAGACTGATCATATCTACTCTTATGACAATCCTAGGTTACTTAGGACCACTGTATTTTAGAATCCAAACAGGGTTAAACACAATGAAAATATTAACACTTCGAACGGCAATATGGAAGCTTTCTTGGACAATAATGGTAATATGGAAGCTTTCTTGGACAATAATGGCAATATGGAAGCTTTCTTGGACAATAACGGCTTAATGGAAGCTTTCTTGGACAATAATGGCAATATGGAAGCTTTCTTGGACAATAACGGCAATATGGAAGCTTTCTTGGACAATAACTTTGAAAAGTAATCAGTTTGGTATCATGGACAGCCCTATCAATGTTTGAGAAATAGTAATCCTGATTCTTCAGAACTCTTAACTTTTGGTTTCTATGACAACTCGCCTTTGTATTTGGATTTTCCCGGCTCCTCCTCCTCATCTGAATCAGCCTCCAGCTTCCTCTTGGGGGCTCTCCTCCGCTGGAGACACAGACACATCTTAATACATCCTGTCCATCATACTTCAAAGGCTTGTGGAATTTCAAACTATACATGTGCAGACATAAACTGGACGGTACAGATCCATCTCAATACAACACAAAGCATCAGAATGCAGCATTGGGCAGCAGAGAAACAATTGTTAGAAGTGACAAAATAAAATATTGTTAGATTATTATTATGACACCAGGATCACATAAAGTGAGGTGAGGTGAAATTGGCTTTAACACCTTAATGCCGAGCGCCCGACAGGGTAACAACAAGTACCATCTTTTAACGTCTTTTGGTATGACTAGCCGGGGATCAAACTCCAGACCTTCCGCTCTGCGGGCGGACGCTCTACATCTAGACCACGGAGGCGGTCGATCACATAAAGTTTTCACATTGAAGGGTAACACCTGTGTTCACATTAAGGGATGACAAGTGTTCATATTAAGGGATCACAATTGTCCACATTGAGGGATCTCATGTGTTCATATGAAGCAGTCACAACTGTTCACGTGAAGGGACCCTAAGTGTGTACATTAACAAGGGGTGATATAGAAGAGACTGAGATACCAGCCCTCACCTTGGCAATTCCTCCTTCAAAAGCAGCGAAGAGGTCATCAAGGTCATCTTCATCCGCAGAATCCATCTTCTCTCCTGCACATATTAATGTAGAGTACTGGCATATACCTGACAATGCTGTGTCCAGACACTGAGATAACTCTCAAAACGTGTTCCCAGGCACAGATGTAACGTAACACAAAGCCTTGCGAGTGGCCAACAACGGATATTTATGTCGGCCTTCTCAGAGTTATTCCCCTATGTTATTTAAAGTCTTTCTAAATCCCATAACAGTCAATGGCCATGGTTGGTTGGTTGGTTTGTTGTTTAACGCCACACTCAGCAATATTCCACCTATAAGACGGTGGTCTGTAAACAATTGAGTCTGGACCAGACAATCCAGTGATTAATATCATGAGCATCGATCCACGCAATTGCGATCAATGACATGCATCAACCAAGTCAGCGAGCCTGACCACCGGATCCCGTTAGACGCCTTTTACGACAAGCATAGTCACCTTTTACGGCAAGCATGGGTTGCTGAAGACCTATTCTACCCCAGAATCTTCACATGGAATGCAACTATTCTAGTTACTGGCAATTGAGGAATGATGGTACAAGAGAGACTACTGATTACCCTGATGCATCACTGAAGGTGAAATCATTGATAATCAATAATATCTACACATTTCCTTACCTTTGTCATCACCCATATCCGTGACAACCAGACGGCCATCGGCAGACATCTTGAAATCAGAGTCTTTTTTGGTTTTGTCTGTTTTCTTGCCTGGCTTGGTTGCTGAAATGTAATTGGAAGATCATCAAGATTTCGTTCCATTTAGATATAAGGTGATAATTGGATCTCATCCCACCGGGTACCCACTGCTACTGGGTGAACACATGCAAATTTAGTATACAGTTTTTGGCCAAAGGAGACACCACCTGTAATGTGTGTAATGCTAACATCATAAATCTGATGGGGGTCACGGTTGGCCCAGTAGTCTAAGGCACCGTGATTCGCTGTGCAGAGTTGCGTCCCTTGGGCACACCAGAAACCAATGATTGTGGGTACGAATCCCGGTTCGCCCCCATTATGTTTCTAGGTTTGTCAGCACCATACCCATGCTCGTGGGTTTCACCGAAGTGGTAAACGTCTGAGACCTGCATCACTTCGGGCTTTCCTCCCACATTAAGCTGACACGCCGCGATATAACTGGAATACTGTTAAAAGCGGTGTTAAACCCAACTCACTCATAAATCTGATTCAACTGAGACAATTAGCCAGGACCTTGTTCCACAAAGTGATCTTAGCGCTACGACTGTTGTAAGTCTATGTTAAAGTATGAGAGTTACAATCACCTTAGGACTAACACTGCTTTGCGGAATGTGGCCAACTACACATATAGCTATAGTCTGGAAGTTAATTTAAGGTACTGACTTTTACTACAATATCTGAACAACTATCGGACCTACTCCAGTCAAAGTTGGTATGAGATTATTAAACAGTCATACATAACTGGATATTACATTTAAAGACAATCGGTGCATGAATATCTGCAAAATATCTGTCAATACCCAGTTGAAAGTACTCATGCTTTGCAAATCCTACAGTTGACTAAAGTCTGCATGTTGAAATCCGTGTGCATGTTGTTACGCGATTTTGATTGGACTATGCATAGACTCGTTAGTTCAGCCAAAATTGAATCCCAGAATTCCAGCCTAGATTGCCAGGAGGGTAGAAACGAGACTTATATAGTCAGTTAATGCCCTTGCCTCAGGAAGATGCTCACAACAAGCACAAGAGGTACATGGAATCGGTATCAACTCGAGTACTTCAGACTACACAAGCCTACCCAGGACTTTCTTGGCTGCACTGGCATCAAGGAAATCCACTATCTGGTCATCCCCGCCTTCTTTCAGCCACGCCCCCTTCCCTTGTCGAGACTTCTGATTGGCTGCTTTCTTCTTCTTCTTGTCCTGATCCTCTTCCATCTCCGAGTCTGTGTCCTGGAGTAAATCTTCCACGCTGGCAAATAACACAAGTAACAGTCATACAGGAAATGTGACGACTGAATGAACAGCAAAAACTTTAACCATGAACGCATCATCATATGACCAAAAACTGATCAGTGACTTAACATTATTTCATGTACTATGTTTACCATTTATATAGTATTCCAAACAAAGTTACCATGGTGACTTTGGAAGAAAAATGGGTTTTTCAGATTAAAAACGATGTTTTATTGGTCTGTTTTCAGTCGTACAAATGGGTATCTCTCATACCCTCACGTCTAGTCGCACGTTTAGAGGAAGCCAGAAGCTGGAATGTAAACATTAAACTTGTTTCCGTCCGGTTGCGCACGCACCTCCCTATGACATGTCACAAATCTCGAAGAATAAGCCATCAAGCAAAACTGGACTGGATTACTTCCCTGTGGGGATGGCTGGGTGGGAACGTACGACTGAAAACAGACCAATAAAACATCGTTTTTAATCTGAAAAACCCATGTTTTAGTCTGTTTTCAGTCGTACAAATGGGTAGAATTCGACGGAACACTGGAAGGAGGGTCGGGAAAGTAATCAAGCAGTGACCACTTTCACGTCGAATGTACCAAGTTCCTCACCCCTGTAGTGACAATAGAACATTCGACCAGATGCACGGACGAGACAAGTTGTTTATCACGAACGCACAGCATGGTTAATGCTCTTCGACACACAACTAATTATCGATGCGACAGGCCAACTGCACGCGTCAGTTGAACTGCGATCGAAGTGTGGTCGACGAATAGTTTAGTTACAGAGCAACTCGCAGTATACAAGGTAACTAAAACAGCATGTTTAATGCTCTTCGACTCACAACTAATTATCGAAGCGACAGGACAACTGCACACGTCAGTTGAATTGCGATCGAAATGTGGTCGGCGTATAATTTAGTTACAGAACTCGCCGTAGACAAGGTAACTAAAATAGCATAGGTAATGCTCATCGACACACAACTAATTATCGATGCGACAGTACAACTGCACACGTCAGTTGAACCCGGATCGAAGTGTGGTCGGCGCATAATTTAGTTACAGAGCAACTCGCAGTATACAAAGTAACTAAAAAATACGAGCAGTATTACAATGTATGGGAAGACGATGCATACACCGAATAACCATAATAAAAAACAGAAGTACTACACGCAACAAAAAACCATAAGAATGCTTACATTCACCAACAGCTTTTATTGTAACCTGTTATATGTCACGAAGTGTCGAGCAAAAACTCCAAAGTGAATAAAACACAAATTCACTGTCTTTTCTGAGAGATCTGTTGTGCCACCACGAGTGGACCAAACTGTTTGAGTCCTTCAACATCTTCTGTGGAGATATCTCTAAGATAATGCGAAGCAAACACTGAAGTAGATCTCCAAAAGCAGCCCTCCATAATAGCTTGTAGCGAACAATTACTGTGGAGTGCTAATGTTGAAGCGATGGCTCGAACTTCGTGCGGATGAGAGGAGGTGGGAGGTGCGAGTCCTTGCGCCTCGTAAGCTCTGAGAATTACCGCTCTCAACCAAAATGAGAGAGTATTACGTGTAATCTCTTTCTTTGCATTGGTTGAGAGCGGTATGAACAGCCGTCGAAAATGTTGTCTTCGCTGTTCAGAACGCTGCAGGTAAATACGAAACGCACGAACTGGGCACAAGGTGAGATCAGTGTGATCACGAGGGCCCATAATGGCAGACAAGGAAGGAATGTTGAACATTCTCGGATCTTGGCCAGGAAGTTAATTTTTCGCTAAAAAATCCCATCGGAGACCAAGATGGACGTCACAATCCATCGTCGACGTTGAGTGTGGAGGCGTAGATGAAGGAGCTGCTGTACTAGTTGACGGGCCATGGACCCCTGACGTAGTCGTATCCTTCTTGGTCGACGCCGTCGAGGCGAGGACCGCCGCCGTGTCTGGGCTATCAAAGCCGGGTCGATATGAAAGTGAGACGAGGTCGTCGTTCTGTCACTATCTTCACTACGACGCTGAACCCCCAAACTCTCCCTGCGAGAACGTCGCACGTCCCCGTGGGGACGAGGGCTACGATCTCTAACCGTAGAAGTACTACGATCCCCATCGTAGAATAGTTGACAGGCCATGGACCCCTGACGTAGTCGTATCCTTCTTGGTCGACGCTGTCGAGGCGAGGACCGCCGCCGTGATCTGGGCTATCAAAGCCGGGTCGATATGAAAGTGAGACGAGGTCGTCGTTCTGTCACTATCTTCACTACGACGCTGAACCCCCAAATTCTCCCTGCGAGAACGTCGCACGTCCCCATGGGGACGAGAGCTACGATCTCTAACTGTAGAAGTACTACGATCCCCATCGTAGTTATCGTTGCCATGGTTACGCTGATCGAACGTAATCCGACCAACGTCAATGGCATGTATTTCCGTAATTCTCGCAGCCGTAGCCAGCGAGAGAAGGAAAAACCGTTTTCTGAGACAATAAGTCGAACGCGACCTGATCGAGAGGCTCGTAAGCCTGACTAGACAGGATGCGCAGAATGACATTCAGGTCCCAGGCCGGCGGTCGGAATTTACGTGACTGATCTTCAACCATGAAGGCACGTAGAATCTTCTGCAACTCCGGTACGGTAGTGAGACGGCACTACTGAAGCCAAAGCTGCCAGATATGTCGAGATCGTCGACCCTTTCAGACGCCGAGATGACCGGAGAGAGACTAGGAACTCCGCCACCTGTGGTGGGGTCGCTACTGCCGGGTTGAAGCCATGAGACCTGGCGAAAATGGAGAAAGTGGTCCACTTGTCATCTTACAGCTTACGAGTCGTAACTGGATGTGCCGACGAGACAAGCGCTGCCGCTTTAGCCGAATAGCCTTTCTTCATTAACAAGGTCTTAAGCAAACCCAGGCGTGAAGCTGGAAGTTCTTTATCCCCGGATGCAAGTCGTCGGTGTGAGGATGAAGAAGGAGGTCGTCTCGATCTGGCAACGGGAACGGTGGTTGAACGATGATCTGAAGAAGTTCCGGGAACCATGTTCTGGCCGGCCAATAAGGCGCGACCAAAAGCAGACGTAGGTTGGCCGTTTGACGAACTTTCACCGGTTGCGATGGTAACAGCACCGTTGGTGGAAACGCATAAGCGTCTAGACCCCCCACGATATCGCTAGAGCGTCGTGGTCCCATGCCCATGGGTCTGGAACCGGCGACACGAATCGAGGGAGGCGGTTGTTGTACGGGGCAGCAAAGAGATCTACTTGGGGCAACCAGAGTCGATCTGTCAGCAGATGAAAGACTGTCGGATGGATCATCCACTCCGTGGGAGACGGCCTCGATGGTCTCGACAGGGCTTCGGCAATCACATTCTTGGCCCCCGGGATGTGATGGGCGCGTACGCCCATGTCCAAGTCGTCGACGAGGGCGAAGAACCTGAATGTCCAGTCCAGAAGGGCCGCCGACTGAGTTGTTCCCTGTTTGTTGACGCAGAGGACGACTGTGGAGTTGTCCGACTGTATCATCAGCCGTTTCCGACGGAGTCGAAGTTTCCAAAACTCGACCGCCCGAATCACTGCTTCCATCTCGAGGTAGTTGATGTGGAGGACCTTTTCTACTGGCGACCACCGCCCGGCCGCTTGGTCGTCCCCGAAGTGCGCTCCCCAGCCTTCCAATGACGCGTCTACGAATAGGTGTAGTATGAACGGAGGCTCGCTCATAAAGACGCCCTCGCAAACGTTCGACGGCTGGAGCCACCACTCCAAATGACAACGTAGCTGCGCCGGAAGTGGAACCAGGAGATTGGGAAACTCCAGGTGGGGGTACAGCAATCTCTGCAGTGGACGAAGTTGAAGACGACCTCGACGGGTCAAGTCTTGGGCCGATGTCAACAGACCGAGGACTTCCTGTCACGTGTGCACCGACGACGAGGCATGTAGACGTCACGGATCGCTGCTGACAATCTTGTCCCAACGGTCTTGAGGTACCTGGACCAGATTGACTCCCGTCTGGAAGCGTATCCTAATGTACTGTAGAACCCGAGGTGGTACCAAGTCCGACTTTTGAAAGTTGACGATCCACCCGAGGTACCGTAGTAGACTCAGGGTGGTCGCCAACTCACCTTGAAGGGCTACTGTAAACTGGTGAGCTTGGAGCCGGACGTCTAGGTAGAAGGCGACCCTGATCGCCTGCCGATGGAGCCATTCTACGACCGTCTTCTTGATCCGTGTGAAAAAGCACGGGGCCATAGAAATTCCAATCGGGAGGGCCGCCCACTGGTAATGAATACCTTGGCATTCGAATCGGAGGTACTTCTGGAACTCGGAAGCTATTGGTACATGTAGATACGCGTCCTGAAGGTCTAACGAGACGAGGAAGTCGTTCGGTAATATCATCCGACGCAGAGAGCTGAGGGATGTCAAGTGGAATGTGTCGGGTGGTTGGAGGTATGTTGCGCTGAGGAAAACCCACTTGTGGGCATAGTGACGAAGTCGCCCCCCTACCGGTAGCTCGTCCAAAGGGGGAGACTCCAACCACGGCGACGGCGGGGGAAGGGACCTCACTTCCTCCCCCGCTGGTACTTTCCCCCCCTGGGAAACTTGGAAAAGGAGACCTGGCGACCTTTCCTGTCGGAACCTCCCTTGCGGGACGGCTGTCGAGGCACGTCCCTACGGAAAGCCCGTTGCACATTCTCGTTTCGGTAACGTCGTCGTGGGGCGTTCGAAACCGGTGGCCGTCTGGACAGGTTGGGTGAAGCCGAAATGATGATGTCACGCTCGGCTTCCCTGGAGTACTTGTCCAGAACGTCGTTGGTACGACCGTCGAACAACTGTTGCGATGTCCACGGGGCCCGTAAGAGTGACCTGCCATGACGATCAGGTAGGTCAGTGCAGTCGATGTAACCATGGCGACGCGCCGTAGTAATCTGGCCCGATACATATCGGGACTGGGCGAGGACGTCCTAGATCCACCGTTGCATACAGGTGAGGACCGATGGCACCGTCCTGTCGTCCTCGTCCTGGGGTTCTTTCACCTCAAAGTACACTGAGAGGGCCTTGATCGCTGTCGACAGCATAGCAAGCGTTTGCAGCTGGTGACGAACAGCAGTGCCCATGGATTCCAAATGTGGAGGGTGCTGGTCTCTTGAAGAGCAGCCCCCAGTCCAAATCCCTAGTCATGGGTGACGAAAACGGCATGCCATAGATCGGGTAACGAGATCGACCAGGCGGCTTGCAGAAGCTCTGCCCAGGCAGAGCAGAGCCAAAGTTCTGGTCCATATCGTGAGCCATGGCTCTGAAGACATCGGGAGGAGAAAACTGAAGAGACTGCGGTGTATCCGAATCGTACATTCGACGACCACGATGACGATGAACGCCCTCGTGTCGTGTACTGTCTCACGACGAGGCACTCATCCTGTCGTCCCGACTTGAACAGGAACGACTTCTGTGTCCACTGTCGTCCCGCACGACGTCCCTATCGTCGTTGGTAGAACGAGATGCGGACCGACTGGGGACCGTAGTCCCCTCATGGTCCTCGTCACCACCCGGTCCCGTCGTAACGGGGGAGGCTGAGTGACGCTCTCGATCAACCGAATGACGAAGACCAGTCGTGCGGGTAGTATCATCAGCAGGCGAACGGTCACGTGTCGAAAGCTGAAGTTGACTGAGGCGGGTCTTTTTCAACTATTTCTGAGGTGTGGTCGACTCGCCACCCCCAGGGCCTGATGCGGAGGGTGCAGAGTCCAAGGATCCAACCGATGACCATATCCGCTTGTAGCGCTGGTCAGCGGCCTGCTTCGGCAACGCACGAAGATACAAGTTAAAGTTTATTGAACAGTTTTCGTTGACATGAGGCACAAATGCCCGACATATTGCCACGTGTAGAATCACTGTCAAACAGCGAAACACGCGTTGAACACAAACAATAGATTACCAAGGATTACATTCCAGGAGTCTACAGGTAAGACATATTATGACTTTATTAGAACAACTGTAGATAAGCGATAAGTACTAGTAGAATACAAACTAGCAGTCTACCGCGAAAGACTTTCTCGAGCGACCAGCGCAGAGGCGCGCTGAGAGATTTGTGACATGTCATAGGGAGGTGCGTGCGCAACCGGACGGAAACAAGTTTAATGTTTACATTCCAGCTTCTGGCTTCCTCTAAACGTGCGACTAGACGTGAGGGTATGAGAGATACCCATTTGTACGACTGAAAACAGACTAAAACAAAGAAAAAATAGTCATCGACAATTGGAATTATCTTTTAGAACATAAAATTCAATGCAATAAGGCATACTTCTCAAAAGAATTTAAAGAGCACTAACTATTTTTTCATCTGATTGAGTGAGTATGGTTTTACGCCGCTTTTAGCAATATTCCAGCAATATCACGGCGGGGGACACCAGAAATGGGCTTCACACTTTTTCATATGACTATAGTTGTCATGTCATGAAAGATTAAGCATCATCCTAAGAAAAAATCATGTGTTCTTTATCTTTTTTTTCAGTAATACATTAATAGTAGTACATTGCTAAGTAGCAACGTCTTTTCCTCTTGATCAGTAAAATACCAGTCACCTTTGCATAGCTATGACAATAATTACAATGGTAATACCCTGAAATATTTAATTATAATTTGGTCATGTATTTTACAGGCATTTGCAGTAGATTTCAGAACCCCTTGTGCAAATCCTTTCTTACTATACTGAATTATGATCAGGAAAACTCTGATCTTGAAAAACAGTAAATTATTGCATAGCTTGCCATGAAGAGATAGCCCTGTTATTACAACATTTTGATATCCCTTCTATCCATCCAACTTGAAATACTCACTTCTCGGGTTTATTCTTCGGAACACCCATGTCGTCATCTGACTCCTCCTCGTCATCAGCCAACTTCTTCCTCTTGGCTCTCTCCTGTGTCTTGCGGATGTTGTTGAGAAGCTTGTGGACGCGGGCTGGGGTCATCCCATGGATTGTGTCATACCTACAAGGAGAAAGTCATACCATGGATTGTGTCATACCTACAAGGAGAAAGTCATACCATGGATTGTGTCATACCTACAAGGAAAATGTCATCCCATGGATTGTGTCATACCTACAAGGAGAAAGTCATACCATGGATTGTGTCATACTCTCAAGGAGAATGTCATCCCATGGATTGTGTCATACCTACAAGGAGAATGTCATCCCATGGATTGTGTCATACCTACAAGGAGAATGTCATACCATGGATTGTGTCATACCTACAAGGAGAATGTCATCCCATGGATTGTGTCATACCTACAAGGAGAGCATCATACCATGGATTGTGTCATACCTACAAGGAGAAAGTCATCCCATGGATTGTGTCATACCTACAAGGAGAAAGTCATCCCATGGATTGTGTCATACCTACAAGGAGAAAGTCATACCATGGATTGTGTCATACCTACAAGGAAAATGTCATACCATGGATTGTGTCATACCTACAAGGAAAAAGTCATCCCATGGATTGTGTCATACCTACAAGGAGAAAGTCATCCCATGGATTGTGTCATACCTACAAGGAGAAAGTCATACCATGGATTGTGTCATACCTACAAGGAGAAAGTCATCCCATGGATTGTGTCAAACCTACAAGGAGAAAGTCATACCATGGATTGTGTCATACCTACAAGGAGAAAGTCATCCCATGGATTGTGTCATACCTACAAGGAGAAAGTCATACCATGGATTGTGTCATACCTACAAGGAGAAAGTCATCCCATGGATTGTGTCATACCTACAAGGAGAATGTCATACCATGGATTGTGTCATACCTACAAGGAAAATTTCATATCATGGATTGTGTCATACCTACAAGGAGAATGTCATACCATGGATTGTGTCATACTCTCAAGGAGAATGTCATACCATGGATTGTGTCATACCTACAAGGAGAAAGTCATACCATGGATTGTGTCATACCTTCAAGGAGAATGTCATACCATGGATTCTGCCATACCTACAAGGAGAACTTCATACCATGGATTGTGTCATACTCTCAAGGAGAGCATCATACCATGGATTGTGTCATACCTTCAAGGAGAAAGTCATACCATGGATTGTGTCATACCTACAAGGAGAATGTCATACCATGGATTGTGTCATACCTACAAGGAGAAAGTCATACCATGGATTGTGTCATACCTACAAGGAAAATGTCATACCATAGATTCTGCCATACCTACAAGGAGAACTTCATACCATGGATTGTGTCATACTCTCAAGGAGAGCGTCATACCATGGATTCTGCCATACCTACAAGGAGAATGTCATACCATGGATTGTGTCATACCTTCAAGAAGAATGTCATACCATGGATTGTGTCATACCTACAAGGAGAAAGTCATACCATGGATTGTGTCATACCTACAAGGAGAACATCTCAGCTGTGTCATACAAAGGGAAACATGAGACCCACCATGTTTGTCATTCCTCACAGGGGGTATCACTGCTAAAGCAATATATAACACCAACTTTGACACCACTTCCTTCAATATGAAAAGTACATTTACAACTGTTTCGTATTCGCAGTGTTTCAGAAGGCAAGTAAGGGAGTGAATAATATTTTATGTTGCGTCAGCAGTATTCTTTCTTATGGCAGGCTGGTCATACTGGAGTCTGGGCCAGCAAAACCAGTGATTGAAAGCATGAGCATGGTGAGGCACAATCATCCAGGATGCACACTGTAATGATGAGCTCATCAGTGGTTTCTAACATTTGTTTGCAGTTAAATGCTGCACTCGGCAATGTTCCACATATATGACAGCAGTCTGTAATAATCGAGTCTGTACAAGACAATCCAGTGATTGACATCATGAGCATTGATATATATGCAATTGGGATACAATGACATGCATCAACCAAGTCAGTGAGCCTGACCATCCAATCCTGTTAGTCATCTCTTACGGCAAGCATGAGTTGCTGAAAACCAATTCTAATCAGGGGGTTTCTGACAAGCATGGGGTAGTGGTAACATAATCTGTCCTAGAATTACCACAGAGCACTTCAACAATGCTGTATGTGTTACATAAACGATTCTTGTTACAGTTGTTTTGAACCCAGTGGCCTTCATCTTCTTGCGGCAAGGGAGTCAGCTGACTGTAAAATTCCAGTTTCCACCCTGCCGGAATTTCTTGGTCCGATCGTAGAGCTACCAGTGATAATTACAAGTTACGTCACTGCTATGTCCCTCCAAATGACTAATCAGATTCAACCTATGATACCACTTGCATGTGCTTAAAATAAAAAAAGGGGGTTCCCAGTGGAGTTTTCTGATCAATAATCAAGATCTATATTGTAATAAAACAGGTCCTACTTTGCGAAAGTGCATCAAATCGTGTGAACACCTTAATTAAAAACAGGAAAAGATCTGGAAAATATCTGTAGATGCTGAGTTGATGGTACACATGTTTTGCAAATCCTGCAATCGACCAAAATCTACACTGGAGTTTACGGTTATGTGATATTGATTGGACTATGCATAGACTTGTAAGGCCAGCCAAAGTATAACTTTATAATTCCAGCCAAATTCGGCAAGGGTGGAAATTGGACTTTTATAGTCAGTTAACTCCCCAGCCCTGGGAAGGACTTCAGCAGTATTCCTGCAATGTAACGGCTTGGGACACACTGTGGCTTGGGTCTCCACATGCAATGGCTGATGAATCCTACCCGAACTTCCTGATGAGCTTGCTGTAGATCTGTTTGACGCGGGTGTGGCAGTGATGACGACAGTCCTCCTTCATCCCCACCAGACTTGACACCTGCACAGATTAAAAACTGCATATGAACAGTTTGATTGTTTGTTGTTTAACACTGCACTCAGCAATATTGCAGCTATATGACGGCAGCCAGTGCTTAATCTAGTCTGGACCAGACAATCTTGTGATAAATATTGTCAGCAACTATCCACTCAGCAGGGTATGATGACATGCTATCATCAAAGTCACTGAGTCTGACCACCCGATCCATTGATTTAACAGGCTTCAGACCACCGAGTGAAGAACACACCTCTGGAAAAACTGCTTTGACAGATCAACTTCATGGAGGTATTAAATCACACAAAAATTGTTAAAAGTTACTCTTAGATGCCAAGATCTGGTGGTCTTTTGTTCAAATCCCAGAAACAATTCACTAACTAGCAACGTTATCCTCCATTTATCAGAATCACTAGCTGCACAATCATTATTTTGGGACCCTAAAAAGGATGTATTCTTCTGAAGATAAACAGCAGTCACTGTGTAAGGCTAGTACTGACCAGTGTCTTGAGTTGTCCTGCCAGTCTGGTCTCTGTGTAGGCCGACAGCATGACCTTGATGAAACCCAGTCCACTCTTGACCACCTCCCTCGTCTTGGATGAAAGCAGCAGACACACACTCTCCACCAGCATGTCCAGCAAGTCACTCGACACCTTGTCTGAAACACATAACAGTTACAACACTTGACACCTTGTCTGAAACACACAACAGTTACAACACTCGACACCTTGTTTGAAACACACAACAGTTACAACACTCAACACCTAGTCTAAAACACACAACAGTTACAACACTCGACACCTTGTTTGAAACATACAACAGTTACAACATTCGACACCTTGTTTGAAACACACAACAGTACAAGACTCGACACCTTGTTTGAAACATAACAGTTACAACACTCGACACCTTGTTTGAAACACACAACAGTTACAACACTCGACACCTTGACTAAAACACACAACAGTTACAACACTCGACACCTTGTCTGAAACACACAACAGTTACAACACTCGACACCTTGTCTGAAACACACAACAGTTACAACACTCGACACCTTGTCTGAAACACACAACAGTTACAACACTCGACACCTTGTCTGAAACACACAACAGTTACAACACTCGACACCTTGTTTTAAACACACAACAGTTACACCCTCAACACCTAGTCTAAAACACACAACAGTTACAACACTCGACACCTTGTCTGAAACACACAACAGTTACAACACTCGACACCTTGTCTGAAACACACAACAGTTACAACACTTGACACCTTGTCTGAAACACACAACAGTTACAACACTCGACACCTTGTCTGAAACACACAACAGTTACAACACTCGACACCTTGTCTGAAACACACAACAGTTACAACACTCGACACCTTGTCTGAAACACACAACAGTTACAACACTTGACACCTTGTCTGAAACACACAACAGTTACAACACTCGACACCTTGTCTGAAACACAACAGTTACAACACTCAACACCTTGTCTGAAACACACATCAGTTACAACACTCGACACCTTGTCTGAAACACACAACAGTTACAACACTCGACACCTTGTCTGAAACACAACAGTTACAACACTCTACACCTTGTCTGAAACACACATCAGTTACAACACTCGACACCTTGTCTGAAACACAACAGTTACAACACTCGACACCTTGATTGAAACACACCCAAAGTAAGAACACTCAACACCTTGGCTACACAGATTTACACTGTGAGCACATGTTTTTTACATTTATACCTCCAAAAACACAAACATATTGAAGTCAATTCTTAAAGGAACTCTGTGTGACTGCTACCTTTATGGCCATACAACAGCCTGGTGAGAGCCAGGAGAGTTCCACTGATCATCTGCGGGGACCCAGCAAGCCCGGCCAGCACCATCTTGAACAGGTTGCCCACTGACTCTGCAAACATCAAAGAAACAGAGGGTTAAATATTGCATAGAATTCACTTCAAAACATCTTGCACCAACTTACTTCTTCGTCATTCCTTCACATCGAGCTTTGGAATATTTATTTATTCAACGAACTTTTAGCCCTCATATAAACTCAACTTAATTTGAGAAGGATTCAAGCACTGCAGCAAAGGAACATGTTTTCAGGAAACATATGATGCATCACACCATTCACCGCCTCAATGATAATTCATTGGAACAATTCCATAGTTATTTGACAATTCCATGAAAAACCAGAGCATGAAGAATTATTGGTAACATTGGAGCAGAACTGGAAACTGTTTCAGAATATTTATCTTTTGCAATCATGACTTGAATCAGTTGCTGTATTGTTTGAAGAGTTTTGAACCATGTACAATGACATCCCTGAAAGTGTTCCTGAAAGTGTTCGTGAACCACGGGAGAGAATGTGGCAGACCACTAGGACAGAAAAAGCCCACACACCTGACTCTGGCTTGTCGGGGTACCATCTAACCATGGTGTCTGCCATAACCATTAGGAGGTCGTAGGCTGCCACTCGAGCCCTCTCAGCAATCTCCTTGGTACACAACATGGCCTACAACACAGATGTACACAAACAATCTACACATGACCTCAAATCATGAGGTATATATGTAATTTAAAGTGTTAAATTCAGTTTATGTAGTGGGAATAGGAGTTATCTCCCTTTGTATGATTGGAGTTATTTCCCTTTGTATCATTAACGTAATTTCCCCTGTTTGTCACAACACTGCTTAGAGCTAGCTGGCATTGAATGTTGGTCTGCCTACTCACCCCATAATATTATTGGCTTGGCGATTGTGACTATTAGCAGGAATTCACACACTATTTTTAGGATGTTAACTACTAGCAATGTCAGTAATTCTGAAATTATGGTCTGGTTACGATAACACACATTGCTCACATGCTGTTGCTACCAATCCTCCTTCGTAGTCCCTGATGACAACCCCGTAAAGATTCATGCTTGTCGTAAGAGGGAACCAACGGAATATGATGGTCAGGCTCGATGACTGATGCATGTTATCGTATCCCAATTGCATAGAACGATGCTCATGAGGTAAATCACTGGATTGTCTGATCCAGACTTGATTATTTAACGACCGCTGTCATATAGCTGGAATTCTGCAGCATTTAAACTCAAACTCCTGCCAATAACTACAGCAGGTTGCAAAAATAACATCATAAAAACAAGTTCCAAAAGGCATCTGACCTCAGGTACAACAGCCAAGAAGAATTCCATGTGCGGCTTCTCCAGTTGTTGCAGGAGACTGATGAGGCATCGCAGCCTTGGCTGGGGACAGACAAACAATGGTCGGCATTATGTATGGGGGACAGACAAACAATGGTCGGCATTATGTATGGGGGACAGACAAACAATGGTCGGCAATATGTATGGGGGACAGACAAACAATGGTCGGCATTATGTATGGGGGACAGACAAACAATGGTCGGCATTATGTATGGGGGACAGACAAACAATGGTCGGCATTATGTATGGGGGACAGACAAACAATGGTCGGCATTATGTATGGGGGACAGACAAACAATGGTCGGCATTATGTATGGGGGACAGACAAACAATGGTCGGCATTATGTATGGGGGACAGACAAACAATGGTCGGCAATATGTATGGGGGACAGACAAACAATGGTCGGCAATATGTATGGGGGACAGACAAACAATGGTCGGCAATATGTATGGGGGACAGACAAACAATGGTAGGCAATATGTATGGGGGACAGACAAACAATGGTCGGCATTATGTATGGGGGACAGACAAACAATGGTCGGCATTATGTATGGGGGACAGACAAACAATGGTCGGCATTATGTATGGGGGACAGACGAACAATGGTCGGCAATATGTATGGGGGACAGACAAACAATGGTCGGCAATATGTATGGGGGACAGACAAACAATGGTCGGCAATATGTATGGGGGACAGACAAACAATGGTCGGCAATATGTATGGGGGACAGACAAACAATGGTCGGCAATATGTATGGGGGACAGACAAACAATGGTCGGCAATATGTATGGGGGACAGACAAACAATGGTCGGCATTATGTATGGGGGACAGACAAACAATGGTCGGCATTATGTATGGGGGACAGACAAACAATGGTCGGCATTATGTATGGGGGACAGACAAACAATGGTCGGCAATATGTATGGGGGACAGACAAACAATGGTCGGCAATATGTATGGGGGACAGACAAACAATGGTCGGCATTATGTATGGGGGACAGACAAACAATGGTCGGCATTATGTATGGGGGACAGACAAACAATGGTCGGCATTATGTATGGGGGACAGACAAACAATGGTCGGCATTATGTATGGGGGACAGACAAACAATGGTCGGCAATATGTATGGGGGACAGACAAACAATGGTCGGCATTATGTATGGGGGACAGACAAACAATGGTCGGCATTATGTATGGGGGACAGACAAACAATGGTCGGCATTATGTAAAAATGGTCGGCAATATGTATGGGGGACAGACAAACAATGGTCGGCATTATGTATTGGGGACAGACAAACAATGGTCGGCATTATGTATGGGGGACAGACAAACAATGGTCGGCAATATGTATGGGGGACAGACAAACAATGGTCGGCATTATGTATGGGGGACAGACAAACAATGGTCGGCATTATGTATGGGGGACAGACAAACAATGGTCGGCATTATGTAAAAATGGTCGGCAATATGTATGGGGGACAGACAAACAATGGTCGGCATTATGTAAAAATGGTCGGCAATATGTATGGGGGACAGACAAACAATGGTCGGCATTATGTAAACAATGGTCGGCAATATGTATGGGGGACAGACAAACAATGGTCAGCATTATGTAAACAATGGTCGGCAATATGTATGGGGGACAGACAAACAATGGTCAGCATTATGTAAACAATGGTCGGCAATATGTATGGGGGACAGACAAACAATGGTCAGCATTATGTAAACAATGGCTGGCAATATGTATGGGGGACAGACAAACAATGGTCGGCATTATGTAAAAATGGTCGGCAATATGTATGGGGGACAGACAAACAATGGTCGGCATTATGTAAACAATGGCTGGCAATATGTATGGGGGACAGACAAACAATGGTCAGCATTATGTAAACAATGGTCGGCAATATGTATGGGGGACAGACAAACAATGGTCAGCATTATGTAAACAATGGTCGGCAATATGTATGGGGGACAGACAAACAATGGTCGGCATTATGTAAACAATGGTCGGCAATATGTATGGGGGACAGACAAACAATGGTCGGCATTATGTAAAAATGGTCGGCAATATGTATGGGGGACAGACAAACAATGGTCGGCATTATGTAAACAATGGTCGGCAATATGTATTGGGGACAGACAAACAATGGTCAGCATTATGTAAACAATGGTCGGCAATATGTATGGGGGACAGACAAACAATGGTCGGCATTATGTAAAAATGGTCGGCAATATGTATGGGGGACAGACAAACAATGGTCGGCATTATGTAAAAATGGTCGGCAATATGTATGGGGGACAGACAAACAATGGTCAGCATTATGTAAACAATGGTCGGCAATATGTATGGGGGACAGACAAACAATGGTCAGCATTATGTAAACAATGGTCGGCAATATGTATGGGGGGCGACAAATAATGGTCAGCATTATGTAAACAATGGTCGGCAATATGTATGGGGGACAGACAAACAATGGTCAGCATTATGTAAACAATGGTCGGCAATATGTATGGGGGGCGACAAATAATGGTCAGCATTATGTAAACAATGGTCGGCAATATGTATGGGGGACAGACAAACAATGGTCAGCATTATGTAAACAATGGTCGGCAATATGTATGGGGGACAGACAAACAATGGTCGGCATTATGTAAAAATGGTCGGCAATATGTATGGGGGACAGACAAACAATGGTCGGCATTATGTAAAAATGGTCGGCAATATGTATGGGGGACAGACAAACAATGGTCAGCATTATGTAAACAATGGTCGGCAATATGTATGGGGGACAGACAAACAATGGTCAGCATTATGTAAACAATGGTCGGCAATATGTATGGGGGACAGACAAACAATGGTCAGCATTATGTAAACAATGGTCGGCAATATGTATGGGGGACAGACAAACAATGGTCAGCATTATGTAAACAATGGTCGGCAATATGTATGGGGGGCGACAAATAATGGTCAGCATTATGTAAACAATGGTCGGCAATATGTATGGGGGGCGACAAATAATGGTCAGCATTATGTATGGTGACAGATGAACATTGGTTGATATTATGTTTGGTGACAGATAAACAATGATTGGCATTATGTATGGTGAGAGACAAATAATAGTCTGGCTACTCAGCTATTTGGGAATCAACCAAGCCATGTGCATGACAAGCTTAAGTCTACCCTGTAACACTATGTATTCTACTCAAAAGAAGTTAAGGATCTTTCATATGGTAATGTTAATCTGTCACGGCATGAGAGATTAACTATTGTAATATTGAAGAATCAGGTGGTCCTTAACTTCTTTTGAGTAATATATATATATACAACTGATTAGATATGTTTCTTTGTGACTGTGGCTACTCACAGCCTTGGATGCTGGACTGGATTTGGCCAATGAGGTCACAAGCAATTTCTGGACTTTCTTCAGATGTTTTCTTGTAAAGTCCTGACTCGCAGGAGACTTGCCCGAGCAGATTTCCTGCAGGATTCGATATGACTTTTTCTGTAGGGTCTTGTCCAAGCTCTGTAAGTGGCATCATATATAAAGAGATAAACCGACAGCATTTTGAAGGTAAAGTTGAGTTAAGTTCATTTGAGTTGAACCACAAGCATTAACTAAAATCTACATGTTTCTTCAAGAATAGAAAACAGGGCCACCTCACAAATTTGCTGTCTGTATTGATATTCAGATATTTCCTGCATAAATACTGAGCAGCAAAAAATAACTCATTTCTTAAATTCGCCTGGTCCTGACAAACCTAGAAACATAATAAGGGCGATCCATGATTCAAAGACACAATCACAGGTTTCTGGCGTGCCCAAGGGACACAACTCTGCACATTGAATTGAAGCGCTTTGGACGACTGGGCGAACCATGACTCCTCATACCTACTGACCAAATTTGGGTGTCATAATTGGTGGGAAAATGCAAGGGATGTCGAAGCTTCATTGTTCAGTAGTTGCTGAGAAGATGTTTACAGATGCTGATGCCAATGTCGCCAGACAGGCAGGCCATGACAGAAGCTCAGGTGACCTAAAAATCTTAATCTTGTTGTTATGTCAAGAGTCCTCAGAGTGTATAGCTAGTCCTGTCGAATGAGACAAACATGTTATTTTTGTCAGTTTTGTCCATTTCCAATTTGTAGCAAAATTTAAATATTGAGAACTGGTTTGGAATCATAGCCCTCAAATGCTACTAGTGTAGGAGGTCTTATGAGTGAATTTCGAAAGGTGAATAAACTCACCGTCAGATTAGGAACACACAAATCGAAAGCTGTCTTGAGCTGATCTTCACCCACAGATGACAGTAGAGCTATCATCAAGTCAGTCAAAGCAAGTCTGCAACAAACAATAAATGTTCTTAAACATGTTGATTTGAGCCTCAAATGGGGTTGGCTCTTGCGTTTGCGCAGTCTTAGCAAGATGGCAGCAAGTCATGTAGAACAACGCTTGTCATATCTGATATCTCTATTTGAATAAAACATTATCTTGTAATCCTAGTTACACAAATTGCTCATGGCACAATGTCCACAATACTACTGTTTTGTTTTTTTTGTTTTTTTTGTTTAATGCATCACCCAGAAATATTCCAACTATATAACATCAGCCTGTAGATAATTGAGTCTGGACCAGACAATCATGTGATCGATATTGCGAGCAATGATCCACTCTGCCAGGGTACGATGACAATTGACCAGGTCACCGAGCCTGACCACCCGATGCATGTGGTCACCTCTTACGACCAGCACAGGTTGCTGGAGGTAATTCTAACCCGGCATCCCCAGTAGGTACATCAGCACTGAAAGTGGGTACCAAATCATGGAACCTTACCCATCTCAAACACAGGGTAATATTGAACTAGATATTAAACAATGTCTGCAAAGTTACTGCTCACTTTTTTACGGCTGTGGAGTCCTCTTCATCCATCTTGGAACAACTCTTGTCAAAAAATGATACCACTAGCTGAAATAAAAACAAAGGGGACATGTATTGAAATCAATGATGATATACTTAAAAATGCTCTCCTCCCAAAACATTCCTGTTCCACACACACACTCCAACATTTCCCACATACTTTCCCAACAAGTGTTCCTGGTCTGTAAACAATTGAGTCTCGACCAGACAATCCAGTGATTGACATCATCAGCATTGATCCACGCAACAGGAATTGATGACATGCATCAACCAAGTCAGCGAACCTGGCCAACCGATCCAGTTAGTCACCTCTTACGACAAGCATAGTCACCTTTTATGGCAAGAAAGGGTTGATGAAGACCTATTCTACCCCGGATCTTCACAAGTCAGATACTGTTATGTGAAATATAAATTTTTAAAGCAACCCAAACTATCAAAAGGCACCAGTTCACCACTAGACCCATCTTTGTGCCAAGTTTGGTAAACGCAACTGTTAGTCTACTGTCACACATCCTCAGCCTGGCGCAGGGACTCACCTGTTGATCACAGATCTGTATATAGGCTCGGACAGTCTCCAGCACCGCCAGCCTCTGGGCCTTGTCCCCCTTCTCCTGATCCTGTGTGAACAGGTTGAAGAGGATGGGGAGGAAGTTCTTCCCAAACCGGGCCAACTCGGCCTTGTTGCTGTCTGGAAAAATAAATGGATACACACATCAACAGTGCTTAATATGGAAATAAATATCAAAGATGTATTACTTTTATAAAACGTTTTATGGAAGACATTTCTAAATTTGACATATCAGTGACAAAAATGCAATTCCGATGCAATTCCGTATTTTGACTTGTACCATATATCCCTGTGTTTCTTCAAGGGAACAATTGACTTGCCTTTGCATGTGTTTGGGATGGGTGCCAGCGGTGGGGCAGGGTTTCCCAAAGAGCTGGTATCACTATTTGATAGTAATTCATAAAAACATTCTCATGATACAGTTGGAAACTTCAATGGATTTCTTAGGATTATGGAAAAGGATTTGTCACTTTTATATATATTTTAGCATTTTGATCAGAGGTCTGTTTCACACAATTAGCTACGAGTGTTGGAAGTCACTTGACTGACATTGACATATTGACTGTTATAAGTATTATTTTAAAGTTCATATCCTTTTAATTTCAGAGATATCGTAACATTGTATGTAAGCATTGCATTCAATAATGTAAAATTAAAGAGAAAAGATTCTTTCCCCTTTTGCTCCTGTTATGAGCGAAGTACAAGTCACCTCGACCAAGTGAGTGAGTGAGTGAGTGAGTATGGTTTTACCCCGCTTTTAGCAATATTCCAGCAATATCACGGCGGGGGACACCAGAAATGGGCTTCACACATTGTACCCATGTCGGGAATCAAACCCGGGTCTTCGGCGTGACGAGCGAACGCTTTAACCACCAGGCTAACCGACCCACCCTCACCTCAACCAAGCATCACCCCATTGATTATAACCATGTTAACATGAACTGGTTATTTTTTACTTTCCATGTAGTCAGCAGTATTACAAATGACAACTATTGACTGATCTGTGGTAATTGTGCCTGGACCAGACAAACCAGTAAAGCTACAATCCATCAAGGCTAACAGACATAAACTCGATCACAGATGGTCACATGACAACCTTCTACTGTCCACACACATTAGTATTTTGTACCACCTAATCCCTATTTAAATCACTTTTATAAAAGACAAGGAGTACTGTGTCAAAACTTGAATCCAATAGAGGCTAGAAAACAGAAATCTTGACTAACAGTGTAAAAGTTTGTTTACCGTTGTCCACGTTCTGTGTGATGAGTGACCTCAGCGAGGCCAGGACCTTCATACGAAGGTCAGGCCTCTCCGTTATGGCGCTGCCAAGTACTTTCGCAATGCCTTTGAAGGACTGTAACCCAAAAGTGCAAAAATGTGAAGTAAAAAAACAACACAGATACTTGTACCTAATCTAAGACATAGCATTCATCAACAATGTCTTCATAGTACTGATTTCTGGAGGCAGTACATTAAAAAAATAAACATTATAGTTGAATTGAGATTAATTGTTCAAAATGACTTGTAATAAAAGCTACATGACAACAAAAGAATGCTCTAAAAATATTTTTCCAAACCAACAGGTGTTGTTTCTCATTTTTTGTTTAATCTTTTGCATTAAGTCTACACTAAACAAGGAAATATATATGATTTGTTTCGTTTGTTGTTTAACGCTGCACTCAGTAACATTCCAGCCACATGTCAGCTGTCTGTAAATTATAGAAGTGAGGTGAGGTGAAATTGGGTTTAACGTCGCGTCCAAGATTATTGCACTTAAATAGCGACGTGCATGCACGTGTGTGTGTGGCTGCTTGTACTAGTCCGGACTGATGCCGATTTATAGTGCTAGCCCACTGAGATACCATGCCGCAGTTTAACATGAATACCCCACTCAGACACAGTATACTGACTCCAAGCCAACCAGTCCTTGTTTTAGCCCCTTAATGCCGAGTGCCAGACAGGGTAACAACAAGTACCATCTTTAAACGTCTTTTGGTATGACGCGGCCAGGGATCGAACCCCGGACCTTCCGCTCTCCGGGCGGACGCTCTACCACTAGACCACAGAGGCGGTTGTAAATTATAGAATCCGGACAAGACAATCAAGTGATTGATATTGTGGGCAACAATGACACATAATCAACCAAGTCACCAAGCCTGACCACCTTCTCCATTTGGTATCTCTTATGACCAGCATAGTTTCCTGGGTTCCTATAGCAACCCAGAATCCCCAGGGGAAATATGAAGTTCAGTCACTAGGATCAAGTTAAGTCACGAAGTCTGACTTACCTGTGCAATGTCTGTGGGATGTTTACAGAATCCAGGCAACAAGGACCAGATCTGTTGCTGTAAGGCCTCGTAGCTTTTAGCGGCAACGACATTCTGCTCCGCAGCACACTGCTGGGCTGCAGAAGGACAAGACAAGTAGCAGTCGTTGGAGAGTGAGGAGGTTTGATGTAGCCTGTATTAATATTCCAGCACTATCAACGCAGGGACACTTAGAATGGACTTCACACATTGTACCCATGTGGGGAAGTGAGTAAAGGCTGGTGAATTTTTATGATGCTTGTTTAGTGTAGACACGAACCATTATTGCAAAATGAGACTGGGGTTGGGATTTGATGTGTATTGTATGGTTCCTCCCCATCCTGGCTCTCCACATCTCGCTCTCTCTCTCTCTCACTGACTGCCTCACACACACAGACACATACAGAGACACATACCACAACATTGTCCTAGAGGCAAGAATTATGAAGTGAAGAACCACATGTTTGTGTTCGTCCCCTCTCCCTCTCCAAACACCACCCTCACCTCTCTCTGTGAACCATGCAGCTAGAGGCACGAAGTAGGACGTGAAGAAGCCCAGCTCTGTGTTGCTGACGTTGTCCCCATCACCCCCAACCCCCTCCAACACACACGTCGACCAAACACCACCCTCACCTCTCTCTGTGAACCGTGCTGCTAGAGGCAGGAAGTTGTCCCCATCCCCCTCCAACACACACGTCGACCAAACACCACCCTCACCTCTCTCTGTGAACCGTGCTGCTAGAGGCAGGAAGTTGTCCCCCCAGCCCCCTCCCACACACACGTCGACCAAACACCACCCTCACCTCTCTCTGTGAACCATGCTGCTAGAGGCAGGAAGTTGTCCCCACCCCCCTCCAACACACGTCCACCCAACACCACCCTCACCTCTCTGTCTGAACCATGGTGCTAGAGGCAGGAAGTTGTCCCCACCCCCCTCTAACACACGTCCACCCAACACCACCCTCACCTCTCTGTCTGAACCGTGCTGCTAGAGGCAGGAAGTTGTCCCCACTCCCCTCCAACACACACGTCCACCCAACACCACCCTCACCTCTCTGTCTGAACCGTGCTGCTAGAGGCAGGAAGTTGTCCCCCCAGCCCCCTCCCACACACACGTCCACCCAACATCACCCCTCTGTCTGAACCGTGCTGCTAGAGGCAGGAAGTTGTCCCCCCAGCCCCCTCCCACACACACGTCCACCCAACATCACCCCTCTGTCTGAACCGTGCTGCTAGAGGCAGGAAGTTGTCCCCCCACCCCCCTCCCACACACACGTCCACCCAACATCACCCTCACCTCTCTGTCTGAACCGTGCTGCTAGAGGCAGGAAGTTGTCCCCCCAGCCCCCTCCCACACACATGTCCACCCAACATCACCCTCACCTCTCTGTCTGAACCGTGCTGCTAGAGGCAGGAAGTTGTCCCCACCACCTTCCCCCCACCCCCCTCCCACACACACGTCGACCCAACACCACCCTCACCTCTCTGTCTGAACCGTGCTGCTGGAGGCAGGAAGTTGTCCCCACCACCTTCCCCCCACACACACCTCCACCCAACACCACTCTCACCTCTCTGTCTGAACCGTGCTGCTAGAGGCAGGAAGTAGGACGTGAAAAAACCCAGCTCTGTGTTGCTAACGTTATCCCGGAACACAGGAATCAGCCAACTTCGAGGGAAGTCCGGGTCATCTCTGGAACAAGCCAACACTAATCAAGGCAATACTGAGCAAAGAATAGTTCTGGGTTGACAAATCAAACATATCAGTCAGAAAAAGAACACTGAAAGTTAAAAACATAAGTATTTGCAAAATACGGCAGTCAAACACCAGCCTTACCGGGCTTACTAGCTAAAACAACTGAAACTTTCTTTCATGATAAATATTGATGAGATGAGTATGAACACTGTAGCTAGGTTACCAGTACTGGCAGGTTTAGAAGCACATATTAAACTTCCAACCATAAACTTTTAGTACTATCTCAACAGGTCCACTAAAAGTAACGGGTTGGTGTCTTCATACTAAATGACTGCATCTTTCATAATGACCATCTCCTGATATCATGTTGTTGATCTGCAGATGTTATTAAAGTCCAGCGATAGAGTTTGGCTTAATGCCACATGTCTTTCAATTTTAGCACGTCATGTCAGCTTGATGTTGGAGCAGAGGATGAAGTGATACTGATCTTTTTACCGCTTTCCTGAAACCCATTACCAAAAGTATGGTGCCGACAAACCAAGAAACATAATCTGGGATTCGAACCCATGACCATAGACTTCTGGCACGCCTAAGGGACGCAACTCTGTACAGCGAATTTGCTTTGACAACTGGGCCACCTATCAACCTTCCCATGCAAGAATGGCTGACAATGTCCACATATAAAAGCCTTCACCACAACAACTATATTGATCCCCATTGCAACCTCACTTTGTACCAAACCCCAGATTATATCTCTGGTCAAAACCGCTTTCATTCAGCTAAGATTTTATCAACATATCACAATCAAAACAGAGTCTGAAATGAAACTATAACTGTTGAGACATCTTACCCATCACCAGAAATCTGAAGAGGTACAGCGTCTAAAAAGAGACGAGGTCCCATGGCCTTGACTGCTGACCCCAGAGCAATGTCAAGGTCAACTCTGTAGGCAAAATGAGGTGTTTCCCTCAGATCAGCCATAGACAGGAGACACTACAAAGAAATGTCACAACCAATGAACGCAGAGCATCTTCAGTAAAAGTGCGTAAATACAATTACACACTTTTCAGGGGGTCAATACATGGTTTTTTGGACACGAGAAAAACAATATCTCAACTACAATTTCGAACATGATGAAAGAGCACTTACTTTCTTCAAGAGAGAGTGACACTGTTTCCCAAATGCCTGAAAGTACAATGAGATACAATTCATGCTATGGCTTCATTTCATTTTCCTGTATATAATGCGCGCCCGGGCATAATGTATGCACTCCATTCTTGGGTACAAGTCTCGGGGAAAAATTGCTATTCCACTTATGTGACCCGCCAGGAGAAAAGGCAGACTATGGGTACTGGGATACATTTGTACTGTGACGTCATAAAGAAAGACGTTTGACGTCAACTTACTTCCGTAAAAATTGCTATTAGTGCAGATGGTAAAAGAATATCATATTTTTCTCTCGTAATGTAATTAAAACAATATTTCAAAGCATTTCAGCACACATGTCCACTTTCAGGTAATCAGAGAATATATCGAAAAACTGCCATTATTACATAAACAGTAAAAGGCCTGAAAAATGAGTCCAAACGTGGATGCCATGTTACTCTATAGTGAATATGAATTGAAACTGATTAATGGTGCTTTTGTGGTCCTAAGATACTGTAACTTTAAAATGCAGTAAGAAGTCAAAATGTGAGTTTTCATCCATAAGGTCCCTTTATCTCATGGTTGGTCACATATAGCGATAGTCAAAAACTACATTGCATCGCTTCAGGTCAACGAACAAACTTGAAAATTGTAAATGTGACATTTGCGATAAAACACTCGACATGATGATTTACAATTTCAAAAGTGTATTTTATGTTTTGCAAGGCAGTAAATACAGCAGAAACAGCAATCAGCAGTACACACATTTTCTCCCCGATCTACCAGTGATTAATCACTGCTGTTAACAGATACCCAATATTACCCCCTCTAAACAGGTATAGTTTATAGTTTAAGAAAATATGGTACTCCTTTAGGCCATGAAAAACCCACTAAAGTTTCAAACTAACCACTACAACAATATTCCTAAGTTCTATTCATAATCTCAACGAATAAAGGGGAATCTATCATGGACGCACAATGATTCCGAACCAGTTATCAATGTTCTAAGTTTGCCACATATTGGAACTGAACAAAACTGACAGAAAATGTAACTCTTGTAAATATGTTTGTCTTGTTCAAGCAGGACTAGCTACAAACTCTGAAGGCCAGTGAAATAAGGTTTACACTAGTGATCTGGGCTAGTCTTAAGAAGAAAACAATGAGCTTTAACAAAACCATGACAGATCAGTTCCTGCTGCTACCGGTAGTTCGCTCACCTGGAAGGCCGCCGCCCACACCTGCAGTACCGGCCCCCATGCGGAGTGATACTGGTAACTAAGGCCAGTCTCCAGGGCCTTCACAATCTTGTGCACAGGAGAGCTGGATCCAGTCTGAACCAGTTGAGTCAGGATATCACCAGATGGAGCCAGACATTCTTGTAGTAACAGCTAGGGACAAGACAATCAACATATTCAAATAACAACAGGGTTTTTTCCAACCTTCCAGGGGTGACAATAACTAATTGACAGACTGGATTGTCTAGCATGGATGAATGAGCGAGTCAGTCAGTCAGTCAGTCAGTCAGTCAGTCAGTCAGCATGGTTTTATGCCACTTCAAGCAATATCACAGCGGGGAACACCATAAATGGGCTTCACACATTTTAACCATTTGGGGAATCAAACCCAAGCCTTGAGCATGACGGTCGAACCCTTTAACCATTAGGCTACCTCACAGACCCTTGCAGATGTGACCATTTAGGATGAAAGTAAAGGAATTCTTGACATAATCATGAACAATAATGAGGATGTCTTGAACATGTAAGGCCTAAGTAAAGAGGTATTACAAAAATGCTAGGATTCACTTATGGCTCCCGGGTGGAGCCTGCTAATGAATTTTGATAATTTTTATTCATAGAAACACATGAAAATAATTATGTATCCGAATATTACCTTGAGTGTGGCAGATGCACACTTGACAACATCCAGTCTGTCAGAGAGGAGGCAGGCCATACAAGCCGACACCAGTTTGGGCAGATGACTCACACACAGCCGTGGGTCCAGTCTGAAGACATCAACACATGTCCAGTTAGTTCACACTTCATCAATGATGAACCCAAGCCAACCATGATGACACCAGAGGTACAGGAGCTCACCTTTACTAAGTGACACAACAATCGGATAGTTTTGAGTGAGGGAGTTGGGTTTAAACCCGCTTTTAACATTATTCCTGTTATATCGCGGCGTGTCAGCTTAATGTGGGAGGACAGGCTGAAGTGATGCAGGTCTCAGACCCACGAGCACGGGTATTGAGCTGACAAATCTAGAAACATAACCAAACCTACAATCATAGGTTTCTGTCGTGCCCAAAGGAGGCAACTCTGCTCAGCGAATCGCGACTTAGACGACTGGTCCACTCGTGCCCCCTCTGATAATTTTATGAAAGTGAGCTAAATTTGGAGAAACCATGAAAATTGAATGAATCCAATTGAGTGCATGCAAATTGAATGAATCCAATTGAGTGCAAATGTAGCAGTGAGTGAGTGAGTGAGTGAGTGAGTGAGTGAGTGAGTGAGTGAGTGAGTGAGTGAGTGAGTGAGTGAGTGAGTGAGTGAGTGAGTGAGTGAGTGTGAGATAGATGGGTTGGGTTTAACGCTGCTTTTAACAGTATTCCAGTTATATCACGGCATGTCAGCTCGATGTGGGAGGAAAGCCCAAAGTGATGCAGGTCTTAGAAGTTTACCACTTTGATGAAACCCATAAGGGTAAGGAGCTGACAAACCTAGAACCGGGATTCGAACCCACAATCATAAGTTTCTGGTGTGTCCAAGGGAAGCAACTCTGCACAGTGAATTGCGGCGCCTTAGACGACTGGGCCACCCGTGCCCCCGATAGCATGTACAAAGTTCTACACTCCAATTTTCTCTCCTCAAAACGTAAGGAAGGAATCATGATAATTTATATATTATCTTTGTTTTCACAACTGTCATACAGTCAAGGCAAAGGTGTGTTTCATAGTCAAGTCAACAAATAAGTGATTTTTTTTGTGTCTGTAGATGCTTAAGGGCAATAATTTACGTGAGGTTGGTGTTAGGTAGTGAGACGACGGGCATGAAATATTTTCAATATGTTTGCCTCAAAGGGGAATAGCCATTTTACACAAAGTACAATTTTTTTTACACCAATAACTCCATAAATGTAAAAACATATAGAAGTCAATTATTATAAATAAATATGTCAACAACAACTTCACTGACTGCTTATCGAATCATTAAAACAAGAAAACTGTAGACAACAATAGGAAATCAGTGACATCGCAATAATGAACACAAGCCCCACCCATTCTATTTTCAGCCAACCAGAAATCAGTAGTGGGCGTGGCCTAGTTGTCTTTGGTTTAGGAAACGAACACACAAAAAATGCTTGTTTAGCCAATCAAATGCCACGGAATTGCTTGCAATTTAGTTATTAATTATTGATTGGCTGAGACACTAATGATCAGTTGTTAGCTCACCTGTACAGGTTGACATGAGCCCTCTCCATGACGGCGAGCCACGCTCGGACCGGCTGGCTGTCACTCTCCGATGGCTGGTAGTCATACATAGCCTGTAAACACAACATTGTTACAGACTGTACCAGGTTTTGTGACACAGAACGCTTCATACCATGTGAACTACCAAGGTCTTCATACCATGTGAACTACCAAGCTCTTCATACCATGTGAGCTACCAAGGTCTTCATACCATGTGAACTACCAAGGTCTTCATACCATGTGAGTGAGTGAGTGAGTTGGAATTAACGCTGCTTTTAACATTATTCCAGTTATATCACGACGTGCCAGTTTAATGTGGGAGGAAAGACCGAAGTAATGCAGGTCTCAGACGTTTACCACTTCGGTGAAACCCACGAGCACGGGTATGGTGTTGACAAACCTAGAAACATAATCTAGGCGAACCGGGATTCGAACCCACAATCATAGGTTTCTGGCGTGCCCAAGGGATGCAACTCTGCACAGCATATCATGGCGCCTTAGACGACTGGGCCACCCATGCCCCCCATGCAATCAACTAATCCACCTCATCCACATTGACAAGCAATTGAGTTTATAACCCAAATTATAACTAATCGCCAGAAGCGGAATGGTTGGCATCTCTAGTTTTCCCCTCCTCCCATTTGAATTGGAACATATGGATGAACGTACCGTGATGATCTGTGCATTAAGCTCTGCGGACAGGCATGAAGATTTAGGTTGGGAACTGAACAGACCATGTAGAGCCTGAAGACCACACGACCGTATCAGCTGAAAATAAACAGTAGTAACAATGGTAAACAATCAGATGTCTTACACGTTTTGATTGGTTTGTTGGTTTGTTGTTTAACGCCGCACTCAGCAATATTCCAGCTATATGACGGCGGTCTGTAAATAATCGAGTCTGAACCAGACAATCCAGTGATTAATATCATAAGCATCGATCCACGCAATTGGGATCGATTCTTACACGTTTTGAAAGACTGCTTATATTGGAATACAATCAATGATGTTTTACATTGGAGTCAGGCTACTTTCACTATTTGTAAAAAAGTAGACATGAATTGATATGCACCTAATTTTGAGGGATAATCCTTTCTTTCTTTATCGTTTAACGCCACACACAGCAATATTCCAGCCATAAGATGGCGGTCTGTAAGTTATCAAGCCTGGACCAGACAAACCAGTGACTGACATCATGAGCATCAATGACATGCATCAAACAAGTCAACAATCCTGACCACCTGAATCAAAAAGTTGCCCCTTCCAACCAGTATAGGTTGCTGGGGACCAATTCTAACCCGGAAATCAACACAAAGGGTCTCCCACTTACCACATTGCTGACAGTCATGACCTTGAGAATTGTCTCACAAACGACTTTGACGCTTGACTGAGCGAACTCTCCTATTATCTCCTTCAGCAGCGTCAACACATGCAAGCTGTCTACAGCATCTCCAGTACCTATAAGAGAACATGGTTGATTTCAACAGCACAGACAATTTCGAATGAATAAATTCAGCCATAATTCATAATAATCAGTGAACCGTAGTTCCATTCACACTTGATACAGAGCTCATGATAACTTTTTGAGTAATTGAGTTTTAACTCGAAGGTTTCTATTTTAATTGGGTTATTACATTTTTCATTGGGTAACCAATATTTTATTCACTCACCTATTTATCACCCTATTGGGTTTTCCCCCAAATGTGTAAATGTGTAATGAGTAAATAAGCTTGTAATTGTGTTTTGGAAATTAGCTCCGTTGTACGCATGCTGAAAAAGTTTCATTGGGTATTTACGCGTGCTGTTTTCAAACAATTCAGTTTTCCATTTAATGCATGCATTTCTTTACGCAAGTTAATTGAAAGTAAATGGGTTTTGAATAATTTTGGGGAGTCTTTTACACAAATACTCAGCATCTCTGTAGCTCTGTTTATAAGACGCCTTAGTACAGATACTGTCCTATTTCTGTGAACAGAATATGCCCTGGCCTTATAGTTGACTATTTTGTTTGCTCGTCAGCAATATATTCCGGCTAAATGATGGCAGCAAATAAATGATTAAATCTGCACCAGACAAGCAAGTGATTGATAATATGTGCAACATCCCATGCTATGGTGGTACAATCACATGATGTCAACTACCGTATTTTCTTGAGTATAGTGCGCACCCATGTATAATGCACACCCCCCTCTAGCGGGTTCAATATTTTGGAAAAAAAGAAATTTGAATATTATGCGCAGAAAATGTTTACACCGTACCCTTTCAGCGAAGTCCGGCAAAAACGGGTGCTGAGAAACTTCGTCAGTACAAATTCGAAATTTGAGATAAAAAATCACCAGACATGTTTATTTACCGTTTAAATAGTATTTATTGTTCTGCTAGGCATTGTTTTATATTTAGGGATTAGGATTACCTTGCGTATTTTCTCGTAAACTAAGCTGGAAACAGCAATCAGCTGTACACACGTTTTCTTGGAATCGACCGGTGATTCGGTCAAGACACACCCAATGATATAACTTTATAAGATTTTTAATGCAAGGATCGGCAACAATTGTATCTGAAACTATTTTATTTATCAGGAATAATATATTCCATTTTTTTCTTAATTATATGCAACCTTTACTAAACATATTTAAAATAATAATAACCCTAAGCGAAGCAGCTGATCGCTATTCCCGGGTATTATTTTTTACATGGAACATGTCTGACCAGTCACCGTCAAGGCTCACGCGCACGTGATCACGTGATCGCGAGAATTTTATGTTGACATAGAATCGTCAAACAAAAACAAATATGACTTTTAACGAGTCAAAGTATGTCATTTATGATATATGTATCCATTCTCTATCAACTAAAGTTTGTTTCAAGGCGTCAATAGCGGTATTCTGACCGTGGTTGCTGTTAATAACGGTGAGTTGTGCGATCTTCCGATCGCTTCACACACGATTTCGCCGAAATTAATAAAAACAATATTATAAGGAATTTTGAATAAAATCAATGAAATAAGTTACAAACATAAGTCCAGATATACAAAGAACACTTTTTATAGCCAGACAGTGTAATTACATAATTATTTTGCATACTTCAGTGTGGATTTGTTGACATGGTATTTCCTGTGTTTCGTGCTCACGGTAATGTCTTTCCATGGGGGACAAAAAACATCCAAACTCATAATTCGTGTATAATGCGCACCCCCTTCTACACAGCTGTGTTTTTTCGAAAAAAAGTGCGCACTATACTCAAGAAAATACGGTAGTTAGTGAGTTAGGTTTAACGCCGCTTTTAACATTATTCCAGTTATATCATGGCTTGTGAATGGGGCCTACCGGGATTCAAACCCACAATCATAGGTTTCTGGCGTGCCCAAGGGACGCAACTCTGCATAGCGAAACGTGGCTCCTCAGACGACTGGACCACACATGCCCCCCATGCAATCAACTAATCCACCCTTTTCCTTAAATCACCTCTTTCGATAGGCATATGTTGTTATTCCAACCTGGGAGCCCCCATAAATTTATTCTAATACATAATGAGTGAGTTTTACGCCACTCTTTGCAAAATTCCAGCAATAACACGGCGGGTGTCTCAGTGGGCTAGCACTATAGCAACTGCATAAGTCTGGGTTAGTAGAATTAGTCAGACAGACTTGTCCAGAGGTACCAACATCATCCACCCACTCCAGCCTTACCTCCACTCTCCTCAATCTGCTGCACACAGTACTTGGCTGTGAGGGAGGCCACAGGGTGATGGGGGGGCGGAGTCTCTCCCTGGGTCATACACAGACTGGCTTTCAGCACGATGTTAACCGCATGGTGTGCTGACTTTCTCACCTAGAGACACAAACAGTGACAATGTAGGACAATTGGGAGAGCAAACTTGAAACGCAGGGTTATTAACAGGTCGCCTTGACATAGCTCAAATACAACCGCAGCATTGAACAAGTCATTCCCGGTGTTGCTAGTGTTACCATGACTACGACAGTGTTGCTACAGTGTTATCATGATTGCTCCAGTGTTGCTACAGGGTTCCTAGTGTTGCTACTAAATTACTCCTACAGTGTTACTACAGGGTTACTACAGTTACAACTTACAACAGTGTTACTACTGGTTACTACAGTATTATGAGCATTACTACAGTGTTACTAGTGTTACTACAGTTACAACTTACAACAGTGTTACTACTGGTTACTACAGTATTATGAGCATTACTACAGTGTTACTAGTGTTACTACAGGGTTACTACAGTTACAACTTACAACAATGTTACTACTGGTTACTACACTTTTATGAGCATTACTACAGTGTTACTAGTGTTACTACAGGGTTACTACAGTTACAACTTACGACAGTGTTACTACTGGTTACTACAGTATTATGAGCATTACTACAGTGTTACTACAGTGTTACTACAGTTACAACTTACAACAGTGTTACTACAGAATTATGAGCATTACTACAGTGTTACTACAGCTAAAACTTATGACAGTGTTACTACTGATTACTACAGTGTTACTAGTGTTACTTCAGTTAAAACTTATGACAGTGTTACTACAGAGTTACTACAGTGTTATGAGCATTACTACAGTGTTACTAGTGTTACTGTGTTATTATAGGGTTACTACAGTTACAACTTACGACAGTGTTACTAGAGGGATACTACAGCATTACCACAGTGTTACTACAGGGTTACTACAGTGTTACTAGACATACCTTTGGTTTCCTGTGTGTGATGAAGGTAAGAAGCCCTGTGTATATCTGTTGTGTAGAGGCGTTCGACCACACGGCGACCTCTTGCACTCGCAGAACGGCTGCCAGACTTAGAAGCAACTGAAATGTATATCATCTCAGCTGCTGATTGCACATGATACAGCTTATATATCTATAATAAAGATTTGATTAATAATATGACAAATAATTACATATTTCATTAATAACATGGTCTGAGATTACAGGCTTTATTGACAGCATGATCTATATAGAGATTTCATAAATAATATGATATATAATTACAGATTTCAAAGACAAAATAATCACTACCTACAAATTTACACTTGTCAGAGGTGTACTCAAAGTACGTGATCTAGACTACCAGTTATCTTTCATTTTTTGTGGAAGCCTGAGTGGCTGAGTGGGTTAGATCACTGACTTTGTGTGCTGGCAATTAGGTGCCTCACTCTGGAAAGTGTGGGTTCGAATACCAGACGGGACTCAACCCAAAAAAAGTACAAGAATCTGTACTTTACTAAGAAAGCGTTATCCCAAATATAACATTTGTTACAATTTTAAATGATAAAATGAGAGTTTTCAATAAAAATGTGATGAATGATAACTAATTCCAATGACAATATTATCAACAATTATTAATTTCATTGCAAATATTATCTAATATTACCGATTTCAACAATGAAGTTGAACTGGCATCACTGTATTTTGCAAGCATATCAAGTATCTGCTTGGCTACTTGGGAGAATCGACTTCTCAAGACTTGTACGGGAACTCTGTTGATAAAAAGTATAAAGTATATTAGTTCACAAAATTACCCTGATTGGGGTTGGCCAGAGATTTTTCATCCATGAGCTAGAGAAGAAAGATAACCCTTTTCATGTGTATTTCGACAGCTTGTGTGACACTCCCATGGGCTTCTATCACTGCCAAAGGCCCAAAACATTTGTTATTATGAATATCAGTGAGTGAGTGAGTGAGTGAGTGAGTGCGTGAGTGAGTGAGTGAGTGAGTGAGTGAGTGAGTGAGTGAGTGAGTGAGTGAGTGAGTGAGTGAGTGAGTGAGTGAGCTTTGAACAGTATTCCTGTTATACTACGACGTGTAAACTTGATGTTGAGGAAAGCCTGAGAGATACAGATATTAGATGTTTACCACTTTGGGGAAACCCAAGAGCATGGATATGATGATATGAAACATAATCAGGGCCAACCAGGATTCGAACGTACCATTATAGGTTTCTGACCAAGGGACACAACTCTCCACAGCCAATTGTGGCACTTAAGATGAAGACTAGCAATGACATAACCCAGTTCGTAACATGCATCACTGGCATGGTTGATGCATGTCATCATATCACAACTGCATGAATCAATCCCAATCGCTCAATTAATCAAATCACTAAACAGGCCGAGTTTGACCACACAAGGAGCGGTGGGGTAGTGGTTGAAGCGTTCGCTCGTCACACCAAAGGCCCAGGTTTGTTCCCCACATGGGTACAATGTGTGAAGAGGGGTAAAACAATTGCAATCTGGAATTCCACATGTTTCTACATTTTCACAGAGAAGGGACCATGGGTATTATGTAAAAAAAAACTGGTCATAACATTCCTGTTTGATGATGGCTGCTCATCTGTCCCTCATACAATGGTGAGTGAGTTGGGTTTAACGCCGCTTTTAACATTATTCCAGTTATATCACGGCGTGCCAGCTTAATGTCGGAGGAAAGCCCGAAGTGATGCAGGTTTCAGAAGTTTACCACTTCGGTGAAACCCACGAGCACTGGTATGGTGCTGTCAAACCTAGAAACATAATTGGGGCGAACCGGGATTCAAACCCACAATCATAGGTTTCTGGTGTGCCAAAGGGACGCAACTCTGCACAGCGAATCGCGGCGCCTTAAACGACTGGGCCACCCGTGCCCCGCCACATACAATACTGGGTATTATAGCTAAAATGGATAGAATTATCACTGAACTGCCCGCATGTTATCAGAAATGAGCGGGCCACTGCAACTTGATAGTGCCCTCATATTGCTTGACGACGGGCCAATATCATTTCTTTCTGACTATGCACCCATTTCTTCTGATTTTTCATATGGTTGAATAAATATATAACTTAATTCAACTTCAGTGTATGAATGACCAGATTGTTTAATACGTGTATCTAAATACGTTTTGCTAGGGCTATGCTAAAAATGTTCCGATTCGGACATTTTGAGACAGTGGGTACCCGGGTAGGGTCGGGTAATAGGGGGACGGGTACCCGGGTAGTAAATTTGGACTCGTCACAGCCCTAACACTCACCTTTTCATGACAAGACTAAGGAGGTATCCAATCGCAGCCATTGACTCTTCCCCTTCCGCTGTCTCCAGGGCCGTCATCTACAACAAAATGCTCAACATCTGCATCTAACAAAAAGTCTATAAAAAGCCAAGTCGTCTAAACTCAGAGCAAACATAACAATGTTGCTCTGAATGCTTTGCTCTTAGTAACCTCGACGGCGACTGGCTGATTAGAAAGTTCACCTGATGCGACCTTCTTTCGACCTCCCACAGAGAGGTATTGTATTGGAGATTGTATGAGTTAGTTGCTGAGACGGTTATTCAAAATATTGAGTGAGTAAGTGAGTTTGATTTTACGCCGCTCTTAAAAATATTCCAGCAATATCACGGCGGGGGGCACCAGAAATGAGCTGAACAAATTGTACCCATGTCGGGAATCGAACCTGGGTCTTCGGCGTGACGAGCCAACGCTTATACCACTAAGGAACCACACCACCCCCAGAATGATGCATCAGAGTCGAGAAAAATAAATTGAGTGATCCTAATGTGCGACCTGGCTTGCTACTTGTACTGATCCTAATGTGCGACCTGGCTTGCTACTTGTACTGATCCTAACGTGCAACCTGGCTTTCTACTTGTACTGATCCTAATGTGCGACCTGGCTTGCTACTTGTGCTGATCCTAACGTGCAACCTGGCTTTCTACTTGTACTGATCCTAATGTGCGACCTGGCTTGCTACTTGTGCTGATCCTAATGTGCGACCTGGCTTGCTACTTGTGCTGATCCTAATGTGCGACCTGGCTTCCTACTTGTACTGATCCTAGTGTGCGACCTGGCTTGCTACTTGTGCTGATCCTAATGTGCGACCTGGCTTGCTACTTGTGCTGATCCTAATGTGCGACCTGGCTTGCTACTTGTGCTGATCCTAATGTGCGACCTGGCTTGCTACTTGTACTGATCCTAGTGTGCGACCTGGCTTGCTACTTGTGCTGATCCTAATGTGCGACCTGGCTTGCTACTTGTACTGATCCTAGTGTGCGACCTGGCTTGCTACTTGTGCTGATCCTAATGTGCGACCTGGCTTACTACTTGTACTGATCCTAATGTGCGACCTGGCTTGCTACTTGTGCTGATCCTAATGTGCAACCTGGCTTGCTACTTGTACTGATCCTAATGTGCAACCTGGCTTGCTACTTGTACTGATCCTAATGTGCGACCGGGCTTCCTACTTGTACTGATCCTAGTGTGCGACCTGGCTTGCTACTTGTGCTGATCCTAATGTGTGACCTGGCTTACTACTTGTACTGATCCTAATGTGCGACCTGGCTTGCTACTTGTACTGATCCTAATGTGCGACCGGGCTTCCTACTTGTACTGATCCTAGTGTGCGACCTGGCTTTCTACTTGTACTGATCCTAATGTGCGACCTGGCTTGCTACTTGTGCTGATCCTAGTGTGCGACCTGGCTTGCTACTTGTACTGATCCTAGTGTGCGACCTGGCTTGCTACTTGTGCTGATCCTAATGTGCGACCTGGCTTCCTACTTGTACTGATCCTAATGTGCGACCTGGCTTTCTACTTGTGCTGATCCTAATGTGCGACCTGGCTTCCTACTTGTACTGATCCTAATGTGCGACCTGGCTTTCTACTTGTGCTGATCCTAATGTGCGACCTGGCTTCCTACTTGTACTGATCCTAATGTGCGACCTGGCTTTCTACTTGTGCTGATCCTAACGTGCGACCTGGCTTGCTACTTGTGCTGATCCTAAAGTGCGACCTGGCTTCCTACTTGTGCTGATCCTAATGTGCGACCTGGCTTCCTACTTGTACTGATCCTAATGTGCGACCTGGCTTACTACTTGTACTGATCCTAGTGTGCGACCTGGCTTGCTACTTGTACTGATCCTAATGTGCGACCTGGCTTACTACTTGTACTGATCCTAATGTGCGACCTGGCTTGCTACTTGTACTGATCCTAGTGTGCGACCTGGCTTGCTACTTGTGCTGATCCTAATGTGCAACCTGGCTTGCTACTTGTGCTGATCCTAATGTGCAACCTGGCTTGCTACTTGTGCTGATCCTAATGTGGGACCTGGCTTGCTACTTGTACTGATCCTAGTGTGCGACCTGGCTTGCTACTTGTACTGATCCTAGTGTGCGACCTGGCTTGCTACTTGTACTGATCCTAGTGTGCGACCTGGCTTACTACTTGTACTGATCCTAATGTGCGACCTGGCTTGCTACTTGTGCTGATCCTAATGTGCGACCTGGCTTCCTACTTGTACTGATCCTAATGTGCGACCTGGCTTACTACTTGTACTGATCCTAGTGTGCGACCTGGCTTACTACTTGTACTGATCCTAATGTGCGACCTGGCTTACTACTTGTACTGATCCTAATGTGCGACCTGGCTTGCTACTTGTACTGATCCTAGTGTGTGACCTGGCTTACTACTTGTACTGATCCTAATGTGCGACCTGGCTTACTACTTGTACTGATCCTAATGTGCGACCTGGCTTGCTACTTGTACTGATCCTAATGTGCAACCTGGCTTGCTACTTGTACTGATCCTAATGTGCGACCTGGCTTGCTACTTGTGCTGATCCTAATGTGCGACCGGGCTTGCTACTTGTGCTGATCCTAGTGTGCGACCTGGCTTGCTACTTGTACTGATCCTAGTGTGCGACCGGGCTTACTACTTGTACTGGGTACTTACCAGTGCAGCAAAGTACTCTGTTTCTGTCTCCTGGCCGCCCTGCTGCTTGATGACCTCCGTCACGGCCGCCAGAACTGCCAACACCTGCAGCCACACACCAACAGGGTTTCACCCGACGCACAAACGTAGAAAATGGACGCATTCCATTCTATACTGACTCCCAAGGGACGCACAATAATATTCATTGCATCTACAGCGCATCAATAGAATTTACAGGAGCCTGTAATTTCATCCATCAATCATGACCACTGACCACATGATCATTGATTTATTCCAGGCCTTCATGTTAAACTGTGGTTTGGTATCTCAGTGGACAAGCACCATGAAAGCGGACTAGTCTGAACTTGTACAGTGAATTGAGTATGGTTCCCCCCCCCCAGCAAAATTCAAGCAATATGAAGGCGAGGGACACCAGAAATGGGCTTCACAAATTGTACCCATGTCGGGAATCAAACCCAGGTCTTCGGCGTGATGAGCGAACGCTTTAACCATTAGGCTACTCGACCGCCCCTGGACTGGACTTGTACAAGCAGCCACACGCACAGCCACACACACACATACAAGTGCATGCATGTTGCTATCAAAATGCAATAATCTTGAAAGTACCATTAATCCCCATTTCACATCACCCCCATTTCAACTTTCTTAATCACTAAACTGACATTGTTATCAGCATGATCAGGTATCAACTTTGTAAAAGAAGTCGGAACAAAGTTAACATCCTCTTGAAACTTGTTTGTTTGTTGTTTAACGCTGCACACAGCAATATTTCAGCTATCTGACAGCAGTCTGTAAATAATCGAGTCTGGACCAGACAATCCAGTGATTAACATCATGAGCATCAATCCACGTGATAGGGATAAGATGACATGCATCAATTAAGTCAATGAGCCTGACCACTCCATCCCGTTAGTTGCCGTTTACGACAAGCAGTCGCTTTTCACGACAAGCATGGGTTGCTGAAGACCTTTTCTACCTCAGATCTTCAAGGGTATCCTCTTGAAAGACAAATGAGTTCTCCTGATTGTAAAAGCATTCACAAAAAAGATCATATCTATGGGTCCATCACTTACCTCTTTGTGCACGGCTGAATTTGAGCTCCAGTATCGCTGAACTTTACTGAAAGTTTTATTTGTACAATCTGTCCAGTTTGTTGCCCATGTGTTAAATGTCTTCGCACCGACAGTCTGGGTGTCTGTCTGGGCGTCCATGTCAGACATCTTATCATCATCAGCTTCTTCATCATGTTTACTCAGAGCTTCAACTGTCAGTGAACTTTGACCTTAAAAAGATCAGAGTGAGTGAGTGAGTGAGTGAGTGAGTGAGTGAAGGAAGGAAGGAAGGAAGGAAGGAAGGAAGGAAGGAAGGAAGGAAGGAAGGAAGGAAGGAGATGAGGTGAGGTGAGGTGAAATGGGGTTTAACGTCTCGTCCAAGATTATTGCACTTATATAGCGACATGCATGCACGTGTATGTGGCTGCTTGTACTAGTCCGGACTGATGCCGATTTATAGTGCTAGCACACTGAGATACCATGCCGCAGTTTAACATGAATACCCCACTCAGAAACAGTATACTGACTCCGAGCCGACCAGTCCTTGTTTTAGCCCCTTAATGCCGAGCGCCAGACAGGGTAACAACAAGTATCATCTTTTAACGTCTTTTGGTATGACGCGGCTGGGGATCGAACCCCGGACCTTCCGCTCTCCGGGCGGACGCTCTACCATTAGACCACGGAGGCGGTCATGGAAGGAAGGAAGGAAGGAAGGAAGGAGCCTATCAGTAAAATCACAGTCACCAGTGGTCATCAGAAATTGTTTCATACATTGCATCCATGAGGAAATGAACCTAGGACTTTGGCATGGAAAGTCAACACTTATAGAGAAGTGTCACCCAACTACTCCAGTCTTTTCTATACTTATTGGTACCACATAAACCATGTAAACATTAGTGATCCTATGAAACTTGATTTGCTTGTTTGTTGTTTAACCACACTCAGCCATATTCCATCTTATATGACAGCGGTCTGTAAATAATAGTCTGGACCAGACAATCAAGTGATTGACATGATGAGCATCGATCCTAGCAATTGGGATCGATGACATGCATCAACCAAGTCAGCGAGCCTGACAACCTGATCCTGTTAGTAGCCTTTTACGACAAGCATAGTGACCTACTATGAAACTAGTCACGATATGGCTGAAATATTGCCGATGTGACTTTAAATTAACTCACTTACTTACTTTGAAACTTGAAATTAAAAAAAACAAAAACACATGTATATGTTACTATAATGAAAATAACATTTACAATAATTTCTTGAAACTACAGCAAAGACTGAGTGTGCAACGATGTAAACTATAGTGTGGCTGTGAGATCGCTGACTTGAAACTGTAAACACTACCTGATGGTTGATTAAAGAATCTGTGTTTTGCTGCTTCTCTGAATTTCTTCGACTCGGGGTTACTGTTACTGCTCTGTCCTTTCTTCCATGTTCGCCCCTTATTTTTCTTCGAACGAGCCAATTTGTACCCCATGGTAATTACCGTAACCGTTCGTGCTCACACAACTCCAAAAATCTTGTAAACATATCCTGACTGCACGTGTTCAGAAAAACGGAAGTTAGTAAATGCCATCGCAAGCTCCTCACAGCGATAACCGGAAGTGCAAGGGAAGAAACTCTGAATTACAGTGGTTGAATTTGTTTTTCTTACGTCTATGTGCGATTTACGAGTTCAAATCCATGGATTGTATTATTTGAAGAGTTTTTAATCTTTATTATTGATATCGTATTGTTTTACAAATACAAATGTGTGTTTCTTATGGACAAATATTTTCTAAAGCCTGTAAAATCTATGGTAATAACATGATTATTGCATGACATAAATTGTGAACTATTGTTTAATTTGAACTATATGCATGGGTAGGACTACCTGTCTATATCTATATTACATGATATTTGGGTGAGACAAAGGAGCGAAGGAGTGATTACAGCCTCAGCAATCTTGAAGCCGTTCAGGGTCGACACTGAGCAATGATCATTATGACGGATAATTAAATTAATTTTTGTGTTTTTATAAAAGAGATTGTGAAATAGGTAATCAACTTTAAACCTAATTATTGAATTTTGCATTTCAACTATATGATGGCGTACAGGTCATAGGGGCCACACGCCAAAAAGGCCAAAAACCCTAGTCAAAATGGCCACACCTAAAAATCAAAAGGCCAACACAAAAAAGTTACATGAAAAATATAAATATTGACATCATGACCTTTGATCTTCACAATTATATTTATAACATTTACATCAGGTGAGAGGACGAATAACTGTCACTATGCTTATTTTAAGGTGTATTATTGGTGTTGTCATAGTAACATGGCTAACACCTTATTGTCTTATATTTCAAAATAACACATTTCTCTCCAGAAAAGATATTGGTCACTTGAGAAGTGTGATCTACATATATCATGTTGAACTATCAACTGCAGGATTGAAACTTATTTATCTTTATTCTAAATGTAGTAATATAAGTATAGCCCTCTTCTAAAATTCCTTAATCAGTCCCTGCTTGGGTTATCAGTTTGAAATTGACAGATATTGTCTTTGTATGATAATATTTACCATGTGGACCACTCCAAAACCTTTTAATTACACGTTTACAATGTATCTATACCCACGACAGACCAGCAATATTTACTTTGTTTTACAAATCAACCTGTTACTTTCAGGCTATTTTTATCAAAATAAATAAATTCAGTGACATTAAATATTGTAACACTATCCAGTATGGCCAGAGGCTGTGTAGAGGTGAGCTTATTGCGTTCATCAGTAACTTTTAATCTTGAAATATACAGCAACATTGACACTTTTACCTTGTTCTACCCTACCGCCTCAAGTAGAGATTTTACCGGAAGCACAAGCATAGCATCTTTCCTCCAAAATCCCAAACAAATATAATTCAAATACTTAATTCTGGTCTATCATGATTTGCATGTCAGTGAGGTAAAATGGGGTTTAACAAAGTGCATTCAAGATTATTACACTTATAAGTGACATACATACATACATACATACATGCACACGTGTGTGTGTGTGTGTGTGTGTGTGTGTGTGTGTGTGTGTGTGTGTGTGTGTGTGTGTGTGTGTGTGTGTTTTTGTACTTGTCTGGACTTTTTGTCTGGTTTTATACTCCTAACCCATTGAGATACCATGCCGCAGCTTTACATGAATACCCCACTCAGACACAGTATACTGACTCCGAGCCGACCAGTCCTTGCTTTATGACCTTAATGCCAAGCTCCATCTTTTTACGTCTTTTGGTATAAAGCAGCTAGGGCTTCGAACCACTTGGGGATCAAACCACTAAGGTATCAACATTGGATACGATGACATGCATCAACCAAGTCAGCGAGCCTGACCACTCAATCCCATTTTACTGGCAAGCATGGGTTGCTGAAGACCTACTCTAAACAGCTATGACAATAGCTTGATAATAATCAGAATGCAGATAATCGGGATGAATGATAACCCCAAACTGTCACATGGTTACATATGAAATTAGATAATATTTCTGGTCTTCAAGTCACAAAACATTTGCGACTGACCAAGTTGACCCTGCCTCCATCACTATTACCAGGCAAGTGTTGACACCCATCTCAGTGTCAAATGTTTAATGTTATTGTTTGTTTCAGTCAACTCTGACTTCTGTCAATTTTGACCCGACACCTTTAGTGATTAACCCACCCAATCGTCTTATTCGCATGCCAAATTTGGTTGCATTGTTTGGAATAACTATTTTATATTTTCTATGGCCAATAGCTTCCCATCTATCTGTATCTATAAACTACCAAAGTTCTTTTTCAATTTAATTATTCGTCATGTACCCATTTTGTTTTTCTCAAAAAGTATACTCTACTTTGATGTAGGGTATAATACCGGTAGGCTCATGATGAATATTTGGTTGAATTGATATTTTAAGAATTTTTGGAAGAGATTTTAACTTCAGTGCTAATAGACAGATAGATGGACAAAAGCTAATGAAAGTAGTTCACGCTAACTGTGAGCTAAAATATATAAATAAAATCAAAATAAGTGCATCTATTTATTCTATTTTGGACTACATGAATACCTAACACGTCTGTGACCTACATTCAACAAGCACATCAACAAGGCTTTAGTTCACTGTGAGTGGAAGAATCAAGACATGGAGACAATTATAGGTTACACAAAGCTTTCAGCAGGAGCGTGAAGTTGTAACCATGGTGACGAGAAAGCTGTTTCAGCCTTCCTTCCAATCTGCTGTCTGAAACCTGTGACAGTGTTGTACTGAAGGCATGACAGGCCACATACACTCTAAAAAAATATTCCCATAACTTTTGACAAAAATTTAAAGACTTTTTAATTGGTTATGGAAACACTGACCCAAAAAATATTACATTTAGAAATAATCTGAAGTGTCTTATATATTATGTTTCTTTATTTTATATCTCCAAAAGACAAACAAATAAAAAAGCCTGACCTTCAACTTGTCTCAGTTATCAGAGCTCATAGGGAAGTCATTGAAAGACTCGTTATCACTGATTATGTTTGTTGTTTAATGTCGCAGTCATCAATATTCCCATTGGGGGGCACGGGTAGCCGAGTCTAGGGCTGGGATGGTTAACTTGGGTACTTGGGTCAGGTTGGTACTGAGAAGAACCCGGGTACCCACGGGACTACCCGGACCCGTGCTTAGTCATGTGGTATATTGTTTTATGACATTAACAATAAATTTCATGGTTACACTTTATAAGTACAAGTCGCTAATGTTCGCATTTCTTTCTGCATAAAAGTCAACTTTTGCATGGAATGCATGCTTTTCTGTGGCAGTTACGTTTTTGTGACTTGATTCCAAAGATGTACTACAATGTTGAAAACCAAACTTTACTTGTTTGAAAAATACACTTAAATATTGGGGTCACAGGAACTTTAGTTGTTGAGTATATTTATAACATTGACATCAGGTGAGAGGACGAATAACTGTCACTATGCTTATTTTAAGGTGTATTATTGTTGTCATAGTAACATGGCTAAAGTCTCATTGTTTTGTATTTCACACATTCCTTCTGGCTTTAATATCTTTGAGTAAAGACAAAGCTTTAGTCAACTTCAGTGTATGCACGATCAGATCGTTTTATACTATACTACTCAAAAGAAGTTAAGGAACAAACAATTCTTTCATATTACTATAATTTATGTCATAATCTGAGATATTAACCATAGTAATATGAAAGAATCGGGTGTTCCTTAACTTCTTTTGAGTAGTATATATCTAAATACTTTTTGCTTCCCATTTGAACATTTCGTACCTACTCACAGAAATGAAAAAAATCCTTTTTTTCTCAATTTAAAAATCGACACAAAGTGTTACGTAGCTGTAAATACGAAATAACAAAACAACTCGAAAAGTACTAGACTGGATTTGCTAGTTTGATCTCAGTGATCAATACACAATGTACTTTACAGGAGGTAATTTGTCGGCACTTTCAACATTCAAAAATATAACTAAGTCCAAATTGACATAGCAGAAACAGACTATAGGCATTATGCACCTGTTCTCACCTGTCGTCAAGGTGTCATAGGTCACCTTGATCTACTTACACCTGGTTATGCCCTGTTTCACAATAGTCTGTTTTATTCACATTTTTACACACTTTTACGTGTAAAAAGGCATAAAAACATTTGATACGCTGTATTTGTGCCACGGCCCAATTAGAACTAATTTAGTTGTTTGAATATTTACATATTTTGTATATTAACTGCATTTATTTAAGATCTGAGGTCGAAAAAACATATTTTTTTTCATTTCCGTGAGTACTTTAACTTGAGACCTCGTGTGGGTGCCTGGGTAGGGTTGGGTAATAGGGGGTCGGGTACCCGGGTAGTAAAGCTAAATTTGTCCCAGCCTGAGCCGAGTCGTCTCAGGCTCCACAATTTGATGTGCAGTGTTGCGTCCCTTGGGAACGCCAGAAACCATGAAAGTGTGTTCGAATCCTGATTTGCCCCGATTATATTTCCTGGTTTATCAGCACCATACCTGTGCTCGTGGTTTTCACCAAAGTGGTAAACATCTAAGGCCTGCATCACTTCAGGCTTTCCTCCCATATTAAGTTGACATGCTTTGATATAACTGGAATACTGATCAAAGCCGTGTCAAACACAACTGACTCAATATTTTAACTAATCACAGCAGCCTAAAAATAACAGAGGCTGGGCGAACCAGTGACTGAAAGAAGAAGAAATGTCCAATGTTGTCAGGGTAAAAGTGACACACTATCAGTTACATCACAGAGCCTATACTCTGGACACTTACCTCCAGCAATGTAGTGATGGTGACCTATTCTTACCCTCATTCTAAATCTCGTGTCACAAGCTTTCTCAAAGTTATCGTATAAAAATAACTTTTTTCTACACATAAAGCCATGCTAATGTTGGAAAAACACACTGATTTCATAATAACTTACACTTTCAATACCTAATGTTACCCCTCCAATTTGTCCCCATTCTAGACTGCCTAAAGGTTTCAATATCGTACCATCCTATGACAATTTATCTCAATGCTGTCCTATTCTGTTGGTCCAGACTGTCTCAGTTTAAAATGTATTTATAATTGTTACATTGATTGGTCGTTCATTCATAAATGTTGTGATGTTGAATTGTTCACACATGGTGTCTACATGGTCAAGTGACATTGTACACTGAAATATGCCTGTTTACCCAGCAGTTGATGGGCACCCGGTAGGATGTTTGATCTGCATTGACTTCACATCATCAGGACAAATCAGATGAAGTTAAGCAACATCAGTCAAGGGTGGATCCAGCATTTTTAAAAGGGAGGGGTCCAAAATATCAAAATCCTCTCAGATAATTTTACTCCCTAAAACATACTACATTTCGTTTTCAAATGGGGTGGGGGTCTGGACCACCTGGAACCACCCTTCTGGACCCGCCTATGTCAGTCGTGGAGAGTAGTTGAATGTGACCCACACTAAAGCACATGCGACATATGGGGGGTCTCCTTGGCAAATGAGTTTATTTGAAATATAACTGTTCAACCAGCAATGAAAATGGTAGGTTGAAATGGTAATGTGACTGTTAACCATGTAATGATAATAATGATAATGAGTCCATTTGTATGGCGCCAAACTCCATACCAGCTTGTGTGCTCATGGCGCTTACATTATTACCCCAGTCAATGGATCGGTGAGCACTCAATTTTCATTCTCAGCTCCCTGGGGAGTATACAACCCAAGCTAGCTGTGAGGCATAACAGCCACATTACCATCTCATCCTACCGGGTACCCACTCACTGCTGGGTGAACAGAGGCACATTTCGAACAAAGTCACTTGCCAAAGAAAACACATGTGGTACATGTGCTTCGGTGTGGGGCAGGACCGAAGCCCTAGAAACTCTCAGGAGTCAAGCTGCTGAACGTCGTCACCCATCCATCTACTCTCCGAGACCGACGTTGCCTAACCTGATTAATTATCTGTGCACTGTGCACAGGACCATGTAGCACCTCACAAGCAGCTCAAGTTGTATACTACCCATGGCGCTGAGAATGAAAATCAAATGTACATTGATTCATTGAACGGGGTAATAATAAATTAGCCCTTTTGAGCATGCCCGTGTGGTGTGGAAATATAGTGCTGTATTGGGTGTCAGGCTCTGTGATTTTGTTGTTCGATCATTGTTCCCATCAGACAGTGGATCATGTGATCCAGACTTGATTACTTACGGGTCGACATGATATAATGAAGTGAAATGAAATGGGGTATAACGTCACTTTCATGATTATTGTGTGAGTGTGTGTGTCTCTCTCTCTGCTGGTACTAGTCCGGACAAGTGCTGGTTTTATGGTGCTAGTCAAATGATATATCCCACTCAGACCAGTATACTGACTCTGAGCCGACCATTCCTGGCTTTATTCCCTTAATGATGTGTGCCAGGCAGGGCATCAACAAGTACCATCTCTTAAATCTTTTGATATGACGCAGTCTTGACCTTCCGCTGTCCATGCAGGCACTCTATCCACTAAACCACAGAGGCATTCTACATATCCATGAGTGTTTCATTTTATCATTCCCCAAACACCGGTCAATTTTTATGGTCTATTATTCTTGTATTGGTGAAACAAATTTTTTATTAAATGTTTTTCTTTCAGGTGAACGATTAACTTGCCTTTGCATGTATTTGTGATGCATGCCACCATTGTGGTAGGATGTGCTAACCTTTCTGCGAACACCTAGTATCAACATCTGCTTATGACATTACACTGCGATCATATGATACCCTACCCTTTGATGTTGGATGCAAGTTGATGAATTGCAAAACAAACATCGTAAAGTGTGGTCACTCTCCGGTTCGTGGGACACAGTACTGTGTATTTTGCACTGCTGTTAATTGAAATTCACTCTTCGGATCCAGGAACCGGATTTCCGAGAAATGAAGCTTTTATGTAGCAAATATTTCATTTCATGTAAATAACATCCGGTAACCGATTTTCCGAATATCTGGGGTCTGGATAAGCGGAGTTCCACTGGAGTCGGAATTGTACAATGGACTGTTTTTAGTAGAGATTTCTTATGGGGATTAGTGAGTATGGTTTTACGCCGCTTTTAGCAATATTCCAGCAATATCACGGCGGGGGTCACCAGAAATGGGCTTCACACATTGTGCCCAAGAGAGATGTCTTATGATTATGGTCAGGTTTTGTTGCTTTACCAACACTTCACTTAACTTCATATAAGACTATTCCACCTATTCCACATATGTGTAAATATGACAGGTAACTAATCAAGCTAACAATGAGCCTGTGGCCAATCAGGGGAAATTGGCCTTCTTTTTCTCAGTTGCTCAGTTCTCAGTCTCAAAACAAATCACATTTCTCCCCAGGATAATTAATAAACATTTCAATAGATATTCAGTCTTTAATCACAAGAAAACATCTGGTACAACATCTAAATTAAATATCACTTTTCTGTGTTTGTTGTAAGACTCATAGCACACCCTAATTTTATGATTCTTCATTGTTTCCTGCCTATGGATAGAAAGGACGTTTTTCAGGGAAGTACTTTTGCAAATTGGTCCTCTTCTGATAGGGTGCATATGGATCATCCACATAATGTCGTGGTCTGTGCCAGTAATCAGTGGTCATTTTGTCTAAAAGTCTACTCTGTTGTTTGTTGCAAAACAAATGTTGTCGAGAAAGATATCTCCTCGATGGGGACTTTTTCCATATTCTCTTATGTCTTCCTGACTGTGTTCGGATCCAGATACCCCAGTCTAATCTATAAAACCTATTTGTAACTGCCTTGATCGCCTTGGGTTTGCCTTTTCTCTTGCTGTAATATACTTTGTTTCTTTTTGCAACTAAAGTTGGACTTGATGGCTGTAGTAGACATCTGAAACACAAACAAAGATCTTCTTTGAATTAAATCAGATCATCTTTAATTATTCAGTATTCACCCAATGAAGGGAGAAGTATGCAGTCTAACAATCTGAAGGTCGCAAATTCACATCTTGTATTTGTTGTGGTACTGATTCAGATTATGCTCCATTACAGGCAGCCATAACATTGGACAAGGTTCTTGATGACGAATTCTTCTGGCCTATTTGTTTTCTGCTTTCAGCAGAGTGTGTGCACGGAACCTTTGACGACAAGAACCTTGCCCAACACTAAAATATAGTAACTAGGGTTACTACAACATGTACAAAGCAGTGTTAACAGATGCCTGAGAGAGGCAATTGTTTGTTAGCATTCTCTTTATCTAACCACCTTCAATTTGAGAGAAGACATCAAGTATAAACATATCTAATATTTACTTAACAGACAATCAGAATAGAAATATCAGACCAAACAATTATAATGCTTTTAGTATCAATAAAATATTTTATTCATGCTTACTAACCGTGTATTCTGACTCTTAATCGTGGGTTCTGTGTTCATCTTTAGGATTCTGTTTGAGATGAGAGGGCTGGCGCTAAATGACCGACACTGTGATACCTTCAGACTGCCAGAGAACACCCGACACAGTGCCGCAATGTTCCCCGAATCTTTTGGGACAACTGGTCGAGGCTGAGAAACCACGTTCCAGCCTAAGCGCCACATTACTGCAAAGACAAGAAATACAAATGAATAGATATTAGAAATGTACATTTGGTTTATTATGTGGTTAGTATTATTTTGATGGTTTAGTAAGCTTTGGTCTTACTGGTGGCACGATTCCTAACGGCAGCGGCCATCTTGTTATGCTGATCTCTTATCCGAATCCAACCAAAGAAACGTAAGTTATACTTCTCACTCGAGAAGAAAATATATTTTAGATGCAATTTGCAGACCTTTGAAGAAGAACATTGAAATGGGTAATAATTAACTGAAACAGCTAATTTATATCTCAATTGGTAGCATTACATGGTAGGGATGTAATTATTAATAAACACATTTGTCCGGATTTTAAAACGTCCCCCGGATGAAAGTCCATCATGCAGGTGCCCGGAAGTACCGGCTTGGGACTTCCTGTGGAAGAACGTGTGGACCAAGTTTTCACCATTTCTAGTCAAAGAAATGTGGAAAGCATCGTCTGCTAGGATTTCGGTTAGATCACAAGTATGCATTCAACTATATCCATTGTCATTTATCGCTGCTGCATCACTTGGTCTCTGTGTGTAATCCTATTTCGAAATGTCAGTTAGACCTACCGCCGACCTTGAGATTGACTTCACCTGAAACAAATGTTGTGTAGAATGTCACTATCAGCGTCTATTTTGTTCTCTTTTGTGTGATGACATTCACTAGTGTTGACATATAAATATGAATCGTCATCGATTTAAGAATGTCTTGAATAAGGATAATAAATTGCATGAACTCGAAGCTCACATTCCCACTTAGGCAGTATGTGCCAAGAGGTTTTCACTTCACTTGGCTCTTAATTGGTATCATTTTGAACAGATTTCAGTGTTATCATATGGACAACTAGAACTCTTAGCTGAACTGACTAGACTGAACAGAATTTTTCTTGACTGGGGCTTTGTACTGGTCACAGACTGCTTGGGCCAGTTTATCATCAAGTCCAGATGCAACACTAGATTTCAAGGTGTCACTAGATTAAAGGGTGTTGATAATATCAACCACGACTCTCTTGTATCATTCTAGTGTCCCCCGCCGTGATATTGCTGGAATATTGCCAAAAGCGGCGTAAAACCATATTCACTCACTCACCCACTCTTGTATCATTAAAACTTGCAATAAGCTTGCAAAGGTTTGTTTTCAGCAGAGACCATATAATATTATATGGTCTCTGTTTTCAGCAAATATTGTTTACAGTTAATCATGATATCATGTTAGAGAATCCAGATAAACCAATCAAATCCTTACCTTGCCAGTGAATTAGGTCACTGGTTGCCATATTTAAAGTTACATTGCTATGCTTATCTACCATTAACAGACGTACTGCTCCCATAATACTGTGTTAGCAAGCCGCCACTGTCTGTGACAGTGCTAACACATCATTATTTGGCCTTGTCATCACTCAGTATTACCGTAATTTTCATAAATCTCAAACAGATCATATATGCAATGAATCAAGAAAACGGCCGTTATGTTTACACAAAATTGATTATTTCCAGTGTGCCAAGTGTCGCAGGTTCTTCAGCAACACCAAGAACCAACAGACTAATGGCGGAGGAGCACAGCCCACTCCTCCACCCCCACCACCTGCTGAATCGAGGAGGTGAATAGCTCAATACAGCCTCACAATCAACCTGCCTACTTAGTACTTTGTGCAATCTCATTCAGATCTGGTCTTTCATTCTGATACATTACCACTCTGCGTGAAGGTCTTGTCAGGTGAACTTTCTAATAAGCCAATCAGTGTTAAGGCTAAATTCTCGTTACGAATGAGCAAAGCATTCAAACCAGCATATCTGATTTCTTTATGTTGAAAACGAACAAAACTGACAAGTTCCAAAAGCTGTATGCATTCTGCTGTTTCTGAAACCATGAGTATCATTGAAGGAATATTTAAGTCCTGTGTGTGTTTTCATTTGTACACATCAAAATTTCCTAATCAAGGCTGTCAATAAAATTAAGCAGAATCGTTTTAGAAAGCTTACGTCTGATTGGCTCAAGGTCCCCTAAAGCAATCATTTGGATTGGGTGATCAAAGTTTGCTCAGGGTTTATTTGGTGTAATTTTCTATGGAGGTGACCTGCAACATAGAGGTATTGTATGGGGAATAGAAAATCTGATTTTAATGAAAAATTGTAGTTAGTGTATATTGAATATATCATTGTTAATTAAAAAAAAGTAGCTTAATTCCTTGTTTCTTTTCTTCTTATGTAATATCATATATTATTTTACTCATGTTTGTTTGCACTTGAAGACATATTTGAACTTTGCCTTTTTTATAAGTGGTCAGTGATTATCTGCATAAGTTATAGTTTGCTTCCCAAAAATTATTATTGGACATAGAGAATATTGCACTGACCAAAATGGCATTGATATGCCCCCTGCAAAAAGGTCGTATCCAAAACACTCCAACCTAATTTCTTCAAGTTGGGTCAATATTTGCTGTTGTTCCAGCACATAAATCTAACCAATGTAAATACTATAGGTGCAGACCCGTGAAAATCTGGGGCAGAATAGGTCTTCAGCAACCCATGAGGCGACTATGCTTGTCGTAAGAGGCGACTAATAGGATCAGTGGTCAGACTCTCTGACTTGGTTGATGCATGTCATTGTATCCCAATTGCGGGGATTGATGCTCATGATGTCAATCACTGGATTGTCTGGTCCAGACTTGAATATTTACAGACCACCGTCATATAGCTGGAATATTGCTGGGCACGGTTTCAAACTGTGGGAGCAACACCTCTAAGGTCAGTACACTGCATCAGCCTCAAGGACTCTAACACTATTGTGGCTCATCATTAAGTTTTACATGATCTGTTTCTTGTTTGTAGTGGGGGTGGAGTATTCTTCAAGCTCCTGGGTCTGACAACACTGACTACGGGCGGTGTGGTGGGATATGCTTGGTATGACCCAAGCTTCAAGAAAACCCTGGAGGATAACATCCCCTACTCCAAGGATGCATTTGGCTACATCTTTCCCTACCTTCCTGACCCAGCATCTTTCAAGACAGTGGAAGCCCCAGCGTAAGTGCACATATGTTAGATATTTGAAAACTGAACAAAATGAATGACTAATAGATTACCTAGATTGTATGGATTCAATTGTAAAGCCCCTAACAGTCATTCGGAATACACTGTGTTAAACATGTTAAATATTTCATTTTCAATATTAGAAAACACATTCCGTCGGTCACTTTCCTGATCTGGTAAGAGACGCTTTGATTGGTCGGATGAAAGGTCGTTCTGATGTGACCCGTAATGGGATGTCCTCAGATCTTTGTTTAGCGGTAGCGAGAACTAAGATCTGATTTTAATGAGATTGCTGCGCACACTTATTCACGTGATAGTGTTCATTCATGAAGAACATAGCAATGTGAACGATGCCATTAAGCATGATCAAATGTCATCAGAAATTTGTTCTATTCGACTTGAAACGTTTAAGCAGGTGATATTGTTCTATTTATAACATTTGTGAAAATGTCTTTTATATGCAGTCCCAAGTCAGAAGTGAAGCCTCTAGAGTCAAGAGTAACAAAGTCATCTCAGGTAAATCAGCAGTGGTTATGATAACACAGCCTTGGAAATGCAATGTTTTATGATGAGTCTAGTGGACTTGTGGAAATCTTGTTTTACTGGTCCTCAGAGTTTGTAGCTAGTCCTGCTTGAAAAGACAAAAATACTTAATTTGTTTACAATTTTTGTCAGTTTTGTTCAGTTCCAAATGGTAGCAAAATTGAAGCATAAAAAACTGGTTCAGAATTATAGCCCTCAACATGCTCAAATGCTGCTAGTCAGTGAGGACTACCATCCTTGGATTTGTACTTGTCCAAGTTACAATTTGGTAGTCTTGGGCTAACTCCCTAGAAGCTTGTTGATGAATGACTAATCAAGCTAATATGTGTTACCATGGTTACTGTATCCCTAAGGGTCATCACTCATTCTGTCAACCAATTGTTTGTCTGGACAAGACATGACAGTGTTTTTTGTCGAATTCCAAACTAAGTTCTTTTGGCATGCAAACTGCGAAAAAATATGATTTTGTTCCAAATTTGATCATTTCAATGTTCATATTTTTGTAAATTCTGAGGAATTTGGAAATGTTTAATTCATATTAAGAATTTATACTGTCATTTGCTGCAGACTTTGCAGGGCCCAATATCGGTGCAAGTCTTGATAAATCTCTGCATGATAACTTACATACCACCATCATATGGCTGTAATATTGTAAAACAACATTCACTTACTCCAGCATTTTGTGAATGGATTTGAGGAAGAAATTTTGAAGATAGTAGTCTGTCATTGAATATTATGAAGGCATTGTAAGTTTGTTGATTGTAAAAGTTGACGCTCCAAGTTTATCATGTTTATGTTATCCCATTGATGTACAAAGAGATACTTTGTCTTTCACAGAAGCCAACTCCCACCCCTCAGCCAGCACCTAAACCTGCCCCGAAGAAAGAAGGTAAGAACTAAGTGTACCTTTTGAGTTTTGTTTCAAGTGTTTTTCATGTGTGAGTGTACAGAGAACTGGAGATGTGTATTGGTTTGGACCCCACTCAAATACTTGTGTTCCAAGACAATGACCAAGTGTTTGAAAACCTGAAAAGAATTCATGTCACCAATTTCCCAGTGCTTGCAGACACTCACAGCAAATGGTATTGTGTGAGGCTTTGTATGTTTCTGTTATTTGGTCATTTTGCTGGTAAGCCTTGGAGTTGATGTATTTCAGGCTGATATTCTCATTCAAAAACACACACATTTATATGTTTTAAGACACATGTTTGTTTCATTGGTAGGTCTGAAAAAGAAACACATTCACCAGCATGGTGTAACACATCTGGTGATTTGGTGGTAACTAGCTATGAATATATGAATTTACAAGTCCTTTACTCCCCCTGTCTGACTGCCTCCGTGGTGTAGTGGTGACACACACACGCCACACCACATCACACCACACCACACCACACCACACCACACCACACCACACCACACCACACCACACCACACCAACACCAACACCAACACCAACACTAACACACACACTCACACACTAACACTAAAAGTGCAATAATATTGGACTTGACGTTAAACCCCATTTCACCTCACCTTATCCTCAACATATTCACGGCGACATTAAACCACATTTAATCTCACTTCCCATGGTCCACCATTGCAGAAAAAGTAGATCCAGCCGTAGAGAAGGAGCGACAGAAGAGGGAGACACAGCGGCAGTTGAAAGAAAAAGAAGCAGACAATGCAGCCCAAAATGCTGGTAGGTTGACGCTGTTAGGTCTTGATAGATAGAATATTGCAGTTGTTGGGATCAGGATGGACAGACCACCACATAACTTGGCAAATGCCAATGACCTCTGGACTTGTCTTAAATATGTTGAATTTCTAAGGCTGTTTATTGGTAGGGGGGCAGATCGAGGTATGGGTCAATTTAAGGTCATAACAAATTACGAAATGCATTATGAGTCGCATCTCTACGAAGCGATATATTAATATTCATGGTGATGGGGGATCATGGTGTACACAAAACAATGAAGTATTGACAATGCTCACTCTCACTCACTTACTCACTCACCTTGCAGCCCTGGAGGTGATCCTGGAGAACTTGGCGGAGGCAACCAATGACCTGGTGAGGCAGGCGACTGATGCACAGAAGAGAGTTGTCGACACCACCAAGACTCACACACAGCTCCTCAGGAAGGCTATGGATGACACAAAGGAGGTAAGAGATATTCCCTGTGCAAGTCACTGTGCAGAGTTGCATCCCCTGGACATGCCAGAAGCCTGTGACCAAAGTTTGGTTATGTTTCAAGGTTTGTCAGCACCTCACCAGTGCACTATACCTGTGATTGTGGGTTTCACCATGGTGGTAAACATCTGAAACCTGCATCACTTCAGGCTTTCCTACCAGGCATGTGATATTAGAGGAATACTGTTCAAAGTAACCCGTGAAGATTCCGGGGTAGAATAGGTCTTCAACAACCCATGCTTGCCGTAAAAGGTGACTATGCTTGTCGTAAAAGGCGACTAACGGGATCAGGTGGTCAGGCTCGCTGACTTGGTTGATGCATGCCATCGATCCCAATTGCGTGGATCGATGCTCATGATATCAATCACTGGATTGTCTTGTCCAGACTCGATTATTTAACAGACCGCCGTCATATAGCTGGAATATTGCCGAGTGCGGCATTAAACAACAAACCAACCAACCAACCATCTGTTCAAAGTGGTAAACACAACTCTCACTCACTCACTCACTCACTCACTCACTCACTCACTCACTCACTCACTCACTCACTCACTCACTCACTCACTCACTCACTCACTCACTCTTATTTAGCCTACATGGTGGAACCATGGCACTATTTCAGTGTTTGTTTGTGTTGTGACAGATCCTGCAGAAAGACAGTCAATGGCAGGAGGTATCAACAGCCTTTGAAAATCGGGAAGATGCTTTCAAGGAATCCAAGACAACTGTGTACTCAGCCAGGTAGAATCCTATGAGTTTGTTTCATGTTCAACGTCTTTGTTAAGAAAAGGAAACATTTCCTGATGTGTCTTTGTGAAACTCCTCCCTCAACATAAAACAACCCATTCTTATCGTAAAATCCGTGAAGATCTGGGGTAGAATAGGCCTTCAGCAACCCATGCTTTCCGTAAAAGGCGACTATGCTTGTCGTAAGAGGCGACTAACAGGATAGGGTGGTCAGGCTCGCTGATTTGGTTGATCCATGTCATCGTATCCCAATTGCGTGGATCGATGCTCATGATGTCACACACTGGAGGTGAGGTGATTAACAGGATCGGGTTGTCAGGCTCGCTGACTTTGATGATTATTTACAGACCGCCATCATATAGCTGAAATATTGCTGAGTGCGGCATTAAACAACAAAGAAACAAACGTAAGAGGCAACTAACAGGAACAGGTGGTCTGGCTCGCTGACTTGGTTGATGCATGTCATTGTATCCCAGTTGCGTAGATCGATGCTGTCTGAACTCGATTATTTACAGACTGCCGTGATATAGCTTGAATATTGCTGAGTGCAGTGTTAAACAACAAACAGACAATCAAAACAAACAAACCATCGCATTGAAGGAATTAAATGTTGAAATCTGTAAGGCCACTCTGTCTTCATTGGTACCAGAGCCCTTTGGAAATTTTGTGATCATGCATTGTCAACCCAATGTCTTCCGTGTAGTTAAGACTTATACTACTCTAGGATGGAAGTTTGACCATAACACTTGAAAAACAGGCCCCTTATTGCGTCAACAGGCAACTGGAATCTACTAGCAACTTTCCTGAAACAGAACATGTATCATAGATGAGACATCAACTACGCTGGGTTAAATCATGGTTCCCAGAAGAAGCCATTGAAGGTTGGGGGATGTCATGCGCACCCTTATAGTCTCTATTTGCACTGACACCTAAATTACAGTTAGCATTTGTCCAAGTTAGTCCTTTCTTAAGGGGGCACGGGTGGCCCAGTCGTCTAAGGCGCCGCAATTCGCTGTGCAGAGTTGCGTCCCTTGGGCACGCCAGACACCTATGATTGTGGGTTCGAATTATGTTTCTAGGTTTGTCAGCACCATACCCGTGCTCATGGGTTTCACCGAAGTGGTAAACTTCTGAGACCTGCATCACTTCGGGCTTTCCTCCCACATTAAGCTGACACGCCATGATATGACTGGAATACTGTTAAAAGCGGCGTTAAACCCAACTCACTCACTCACTAGTCCTTGCATACAATACGTCCATTCTGGGGATCCTACATTTGTTTTAGTAGCAGAAACATGTTAGTCTGTCTTTAGCATGTGTACATGGAACAGTCTGATAGAATAAGACATGGTAACTGGTTTCCTCCAACAGACAAAACTTAGAGAAATTGCGTGCAGCCATTGCTGATGGTAAACAGAACGTGGTGACAAAGAAGAACAAGGCACTGATCTCAGCCCAGGAAACACTCAACAAGCACCTGGCAGAGCTCGGCCAGGCTTCTTCACAGGTGAGGAGAGCACCAAACACATGCTGTTACTCGGTGAAGGAAAGAATGTATATGGGATCATGACTGGTATATAACTGGGATTATGACTGAGATATATGTGGGATTATGACAGATATATATTGGATTATGACTAAGCTATATATTGGGTCATGACGGATATTTATGGGGTCATGACTGGAATATATATGGGATCATGGGTGGGATATATATGGGATCATGGCTGGGATTATGACAGATATATATGGGGTCATGAATGGGGTATATATGGGATCATAACTATGATATGTCTGGGATTATGACAGAAAAATATGGGATCATGGCTGGGATATACCTGGGATTATGACAAGATATATATGGGATCATAACTGGGATATACCTCGGATTATGACTGGGATCACAACTAGGATATACCTGGGATTATAACTGAGATATATATATATGGGATTATGATTGAGATATGTATGGGATTATGAATGAGATATATATGGGGTCATGACAGGGATATATATTGGATCATGGCTGGGAACATGACTTGGACATATATGGGATCATGGCTGACATATACCTTGGATTATGACTGGGATCATGACTGGGATATACCTGGGATCATGACTGGGATATACCAGGCATTATGACTGGGATATACCTTGGATAAGGACTGAGATCATAACTAGGATGTTTATAGAACCATGACTGGGATATATATGGGATCATGGCCGGAATGTAAATGGGATCATGACTGGGATATACCTGGGATTATGACTGAAATATATATGGGATTATGACTGGGATTATTACTGGGATGTATATGGGATCATGACTGGGATTATGACTGAGATATATATGGGATCATGACTGGGATATACCTGGGATTATAACTGAGATATATATGGGATCATGACTGGGATATACATGATATATTTTGGATATATATGGGATCATAACTAGGATGTATATACAACCATGACTGGGATATATAAGGGATCATGGCTGAAATACATATGGGGTCATAACTGGGATATTTCTTGGATCACAACTGGGACTATATATGGGATATCATCTGGGGTGTACATGGGATCAGGACTTGGATATATAGTGGGATTATGATAGGATTTATAGACAGACAGACAGCGTTATTTGTTTTAGGCCATTTGACCCATTGTACAAAATACATTTACATTATATTTATCTAAGAGTTACCTAATTGATACTTTTTTGTGTGTGTTGAGAACACGTACATTAGAAATTTTGCAAAATTTATCATTGAATCGTTGTTGGATAGTTGACAGAGTCTTTCTAAACAAAAATAATTATGATTAACTGTCTTTGGGATATACATTTCCCGCCGACTTGCATAAAGAGGACAGTTGTATATAACATTAAGTTCATCCTCAATTACATGACAGTGTTTACATAAGACGGCATCCTCCTCAACTGGATATATATTGGATTAAAATTTGGAAATATATCAGGTTAGATGTGGGACAAGACTGGGTTATACTTGGAAGCATGACTGGGATGTGATAATGGCCACAACTGGAATATCAAGTTGTAGTTTATGAAGATGATGTTGGTCTGAGTCACACTTATTGTAGAAAGTGATGTGTGTGATTCAGGTTTCGAGGGCGGAGTCGGAGGCGAAGGTGATGTCGCGCTACAAGGACCTTGTAGACAAGGGGAGGAAGCAGTTCCAGAAGGAGCTTGAAAGCATCTTGCCTGATGTCAAGCTCGGGGACAAGAAAGGTGGGTAGAGAATCAGTGTCAGAGTGAACATTGTTTTACACAGCATATGGTGAGTGTGTTGGGATCTAATGCCATTTTGGGGGGCACGGATGGCCCAGTCGTCTCAGGCGCTGCAATTGGCTGTGCAGAGATGCATCCCTTGGGCACGCCAGAACTCTATGATTGGTTCAAATCCTGGTTCGTCCTGATTATGTTTCTAAGTTTGTCAGCACCATACCTCCTCCAAGCTTGTGGGTTTCACCAAGTGGTAAGCATCAGAGACATGCATCACTTCAGGCTTTCCTCCCACATCAAGCTGACACGACATGATATGACTGGAATACTTTTCAAAGCTGCTTTAAAGCCAACTCACTCACCCTCTAATGTCAGTTTTAATAGTACCTCAGTCATATAACGACGTGTCAGCTCAATGTAGGAGGAAAGCCCGAAGTGATGCAGGTCTTAAACATTTACCACTTTTGTGGAACTCACGAGCATAGAATGGACTAATGCTTAGTCTCTAAACAAGTCTGATCGTGATAGAAACAACCAACTCCATATAAATTGAAAAAGAGCCAAGAGATGGGACAACCTGTGGAAAATCTAGACTTGCTTCATTTAGAGTTATGGCATTACCATGATTACAGTAAGGGCTGGGTGGAAGGGAAAATAATATGGTTCAGGGACTGTGAGAGAGACTGGTATGATGATGACAAACCTAGAAACGTATTCAGATTCAAGCTCATGATCAAGGTGGGTGCTGCAACTCTAAAAGATCTTTGACCAAAAGGGTGGCCCAGTTGTCTAAGACGCCGCAATTCGCTGTGCAGAGTTGGGCATGCCAGAAACCTATGGTTGTGGATTCGAATCCCAGTTCACCCCGATTATGTTTCTAGGTTTGTCAGCACTGTACCCGTGCTCGTGCTCGTCGTAAACGTCTGAGACCTGCATCACTTCGGGCTTTCCTCCCACATTAAGCTGACACGCCGTGATATAACTGGAATACTGTGAAAAGCGGCGTTAAACCCAACTCACTCACTCATTCTGTTGCCTGCTTCAGGTAAGAAGCTGACAGAGGAGGAGCTGAATTCCCTGATCGCCCATGCCCACCGCCGTATAGAACAGCTGCAGAAACAGCTGGCCGAGCAGCTTGCACTGGAGTCTCAGCACATCGACAAGGCTCTGGAGCAGCAGGTGAAGGAGGACGAGAAGCTGGCTGCGATGCGTGTCAAGATGGAGGCGGAGAAGATGCAGGGAGACTTTGGTGTAGAAAAGGAGAAATGGGTAAACACAGCAGGGCATTTCTGTACTGATAGTTGGTAATGCTTCGGTTGACCCCTGAAGATCTGGGTTAGAATAGGTCTTCGGCAACCCATGCTTGCCGAAAGAGGCGATTATGCTTGTTGTAAGATGCGATCAACAGGATCGGGTGGTCAGACTCGCTGACTTGGTTGATGCATGTCATCGTATCCCAGTTGCGTGGATAAATGCTCATGATAATTGCACAAGTGACATTGTTCATTGAAATATGCCAATGTTATTATTATTATTATTTATCGGGTGTCGGGCACAGTGATTTGGTTGATGGATTGTCATCGTACCCCCACAATGTGGATCATTGCTCACAATATCAATCACTACATCATGTATCCCAGACTTGTCTATTTACAGGTCGCTGTCATATAGTTAGAATATTTCTGAGTACCGAGTTAAACAACACCATAAGACCATACACACAAGTCCAGAAGTAATAAACAAACTTAGCTTAAACATCATTGCAACTTAGTTGCGAGGCAGTTATGTACCCCTTCCATGCTTCTGTTTGCTGTAAACAAAAATGTCTGCAGTCTGTTTTTTAAAACCCTTAAATTGCAAATTTCTACTAGTCCTTATGACACCTTAACAGGACTACAGGACTAAGGCCAATTTCTAATGTTGGTCTGTAATGATACAAGAAATATGGACTGGCATGTAAAACATTTCAGTCTGAGTAGGGGAAGCTTACAAAGATTACTCACACAATACAGATTAGTAAAGAAGTTTGAGGTGTGTGTGGGGGGGGTACTTAATATGGCAAATACAGTATTGGAAATCATCTACTGCTGCATGAGTTTGGGTTACCCTCCAACATTAATGTGACCACCAAGTTTCAAGTTGCGTTGTTCTCTACTCACTTCATGTTGAATCTGTCCAGGCATCTGAGGCTCGTGTGGAGTTTGAGCAGGAACTTCGTCAGCAGTTAGCCAGGCAAGCTGCCGCCCACAGCGACCACCTCAAGGATGTGTTGAATGTACAGCATGAAGAGTTAGACCAACAGTTTGAGCGAGAGATGCACACTCGCATCCTGGAAGAGCGACAGACCTTCCAGACCGAGGTGGCAGGATGGATTGCACGCCTCAAGGGCATCGAGACTGCTGTTGATGGTGGGTTCTGTGTGTAGTGGACATGGTGGGATCTGTGTGTAGTGGAGATGGTGGGATCTGTGTGTAGTGGAGATGGTGGGATCTGTGTGTAGTGGAGATGGTTGGTTCTGTGTGTAGTGGAGATGGTGGGATCTGTGTGTAGTGGAGACGGTTGGTTCTGTGTGTAGTGGAGATGGTGGGATCTGTGTGTAGTGGAGATGGTGGGATCTGTGTGTAGTGGAGATGGTTGGTTCTGTGTGTAGTGGACATGGTGGGATCTGTGTGTAGTGGAGATGGTGGGTTCTGTGTGTAGTGGACATGGTGGGATCTGTGTGTAGTGGACATGGTGGGATCTGTGTGTAGTGGAGATGGTGGGATCTGTGTGTAGTGGACATGGTGGGATCTGTGTGTAGTGGAGATGGTGGGTTCTGTGTGTAGTGGAGATGGTGGGATCTGTGTGTAGTGGAGATGGTGGGATCTGTGTGTAGTGGAGATGGTGGGTTCTGTGTGTAGTGGACATGGTGGGATCTGTGTGTAGTGGAGATGGTGGGTTCTGTGTGTAGTGGAGATGGTGGGTTCTGTGTGTAGTGGAGATGGTTGGTTCTGTGTGTAGTGGAGATGGTGGGATCTGTGTGTAGTGGAGATGGTTGGTTCTGTGTGTAGTGGAGATGGTGGGTTCTGTGTGTAGTGGAGATGGTGGGATCTGTGTGTGTGTAGTGGAGATGGTGGGATCTGTGTGTAGTGGAGATGGTGGGATCTGTGTGTAGTGGGATGGTGGGATCTGTGTGTAGTGGAGATGGTGGGATCTGTGTGTAGTGGATATGGTGGGTTCTGTGTGTAGTGGAGATGGTGGGATCTGTGTGTAGTGGGATCTGTGTGTAGTGGAGATGGTGGGATCTGTGTGTAGTGGAGATGGTGGGATCTGTGTGTAGTGGAGATGGTGGGATCTGTGTGTAGTGGAGATGGTGGGTTCTGTGTGTAGTGGAGATGGTGGGATCTGTGTGTAGTGGAGATGGTGGGATCTGTGTGTAGTGGAGATGGTGGGATCTGTGTGTAGTGGAGATGGTGGGATCTGTGTGTAGTGGAGATGGTGGGATCTGTGTGTAGTGGAGATGGTGGGATCTGTGTGTAGTGGAGATGGATTGGATGCCTTGAGACTGCTGTTGGTGGTGTTGGGTGGGAGAGAATAAGTGTCAGAGCTAACATTGATTTACACAGCATATGGGGGGGGGGTGTTGGGTGGGTAGTGAATCAGTGACTTGTGTGTTTGGTGTGTGTTAGAGATAGACTGCATGTTTAAAAGCCTGATAATGGAGATTTCAAGGCTTGTTTCTTTTACAAAGTTTCCTAGTAGATGTGTTTATTTTGCAGACGATAGTAAAATATAAATGTTGTTTATTGTTTCAATATTGAAGTATGCTAGAGAGAACATTCAAAGTTAATGATTGTTCAGACTGATCATCAATTTATGAAAAATGGTCAATCTTGCAAGTTTTATCCCATTGCCAGCACATTATGTAAATTGAATATATGTCATGGATTTCATAGAATAATCTTTTTTCTTCAGGTCGAGCTGAAGCAGAGAAGATTGCCCGAAATGCGCAGGAGCTATGGTTGGCCTGCATTGCTCTCAATGGGGCAATCCGCCTCGGTCGAGAAGAGGGGGTAGAATGGGAAGACAAAATAAAACCATTAGCCAATGAGATTGTAACAATTTCAGATGCTTCAGGCCAGCATCCGTTCGTAGAAACAATCATTCGTACAATTCCCGAGGAGGCCCTGAAACGAGGCGTGTGGACAGAGGAGAGTTTGAAGGAAAGATTCCCTAAGGTGAAACGGATCTGCAAGAGAGTTGCAATGGTCGATGAAACTGGAGGAACCTTGTTTAAATATTTCCTATCTTACATTCAGTCCTTCTTCATATTTGACTCTGTTTATGCCAAGTCACTTGATGATGAAATTGACTTGGATAAATTTGACACATTTGCTATTCTGGCACATGCGGAATTCTGGCTGGAGAAAGGAGACATGGACCAGGCCATTCGCTTTCTGAATCAGCTTCAAGGGGCTCCGAGAAGGGTGGCATCTGATTGGATAAAAGAGGCCAAGTTGATGGCGGAGACGAGACAAGCAGCGTATGCTTTGATGGCTTTTGCGTCAGCTAGTGGACTAGGGACATTGTTTTAACTATAGAATCATGATTAGATTGAAGTCAGGACCAACATTTGTATTTTTGCATGAGTGCTATCGCTATCAGGAGGATATCGATGTAAATACTCCAGAAAGTAGGCACCATTTGGTAGTGCTTCATCTTCTTGTAAATTATAAAATGATTCTGATCTTTTTTGTTAGCAGACTTGGGTGTGGAATGAAACAGATATCAGACGCATGGTACAGGTTTTGATAAGTTACGTTGTTATTGGTGCTGAATGTAGTAAAAGTTCAAAGTAAAATTTGTTAAATGCTTTCACTGCCATGTAAGCATGGTAATAAATTGCTCTTCTTTAGAGATATCATGGAGAATTAAGCCATAATTGCCTTTGTGAGAGTGTAATTGTAACATTAAATTATGCAAGAAATGTGTGATGATCTTACTGATAGAACTGTCAGGTGTGAGTTTAAGTGCTGAATTCTTGTACAAAATGAAGTTAAATGTGATATATCCTCCAGGGATGTTTGTGAATAAATCCCAAGTTTATCCCAGTCGTGTCATCTATTGTTGTTACAACTGACAGTAGACAGCCTACGCCTACAGACATGTCGCGAAATTCACACTAGCCTAAGACATTGTGCTGAGGACAAGTACTAATCCAAATTCTCAATGCTTCAGTTTTGCTACAAATTTGAACTGAATAAGAAAACGGACACACAATGAAAACATGTAATCTAGTTTATTGGGTGTGCAATATTATCTTTTGCTGCAGACTGCAACATTGGTCTCCTTTGACGGGCATTACAAATATTCTGCAGACAATATTACACGTTGCAACATGCTGTGATTTATTATGCGAACTGCAGTTTGTCAACCGAAAGATAATATTGCACACAGCCATGTTAGGTGAGTAATATTTCCATAAACAGACTATCACATTGTTATGATACAGTTTATCTGACAAGAAAAGGACATCCATTGCAGAACTTTAGTTTTTCAAATAAAATAGAAGCTCATATTTTAGGGCACCTGTTTCCAACATTTGCTTTAAGTCAAAGGCTTTTCAGAATACTGTTTTGAGATGTTTCTTGTACGCGGAAAAGTCCGACATGAATGGGACTCAGACGTCCATTCCACAGGAGTGGTATAGCTTTGAAGGAAGATCTGTCTGCGTCTTCAGCTGTGTATATTAATGCCACAGTGACTTGTGATGTTGACGACCTCAGACCTTGCTTTAGTTGGTACCAGGAGAGATTGGGATTGGTGTAATGTGCTCGTCTGTCTCCATCAGGAGTCCTGCAGCTGCACTTTGTTCTCTCTGAAGCTTGAGGGTTAGCCGAGGTGCTCATACATAATGGAATTACAGTAGTCCAGGCATGAGATCGCGAATGCCTGGACTAGCGTCTTGAATGCTAGTGTGTCTATATAATGGTAAATTCAACCAGATGCTGTCCATATCTAGTAAGAACCTGAACATAAGTCCTAGGTTACGGGATTGACAGATTGGGAGATGCATATGGAGGAGTTATTGTAATATGAAAGGTTTGAAAAGCCTGGATGAATATTTGACAATACCTACAATTTTGATACAAGTTAAAGAACATCCAAATTTGAAGACCGTATTCGACGTAATAAGCGCCCAGGGCGTGCTCATAATTAGAAATAGGGGGCACTTATTAGAATATATATTAGGAAAAAAACAGTTGAAAGATGAATTTCGTGGTTTATGCTGATGGTCTGAACTGTTTATATACGACAGACATATTTCTCCAGAATTTAATTGCCCATAATTAAGGGTGCATATAACACACAAGTGTGTATTATACACGAATAAATAAATAAGTTGTGTACATTGGAGGGATGCTAATTGGGATTGTTCACTAGCCAATATATTAGCAAATATCGCAGTGGGCGCTTATAAGAGCGGGGCGCTTATTACGTCGAATACGGTATATGAAATAGACGTGTGGGGTCAACTTCATTTTATATGGGCTGTTCCTTTTAGGTATCACTTCACAAGACAACACAAACACGTGCAAAAAGATGTACATGTTTTATTTCAATGCCAGAAATAAATATCTCATGATCGAAGTTTCTATACACAGTGTAAAACATGAATTGTCTAGACATAGAGCAGCCACATGGCTCCCTCCCTCCCTCCCACACTTACCTGTGTTTGCCTAATTGCACGTTCCACCGAGCTACCACCAGGCAATGCTGCCACACTGTTACACTGGGTACGAGTTGCTGTTAGGAAAGTAGGTCATGGTAGGGATGCCTATACTGGCTTCCAGACAACTAACTACAGTTGGCACCAGAACACAAGAGGTGACACTGAGAACCATGGCAACAATTATTCTCCCAAGTTAGCTGAGTATTTTGACATATGATAATGTTTTGTATTGTAAATGACTGAAGACGTAAATGAAATGGCTTTAAGTACTCAGTTTGCTGCCATCTCAGCTGTTACTCTGAAATGAAATGACACTAGCACAAGTATTAATGCAGTCAATATCAGTGTCAGCTACTGAATCAAAAACAAATTAACATTTCATACTGTCAAGATGATTCAGAGATCATCCAGACATATCATAAATAAAATTTTGCAATTAGAGCACTTAATAACCATTCATGTTAGAATTATATGAGACAGCCAAGCCCAAACAATTTCTTCGTAATGGAAAGATGAATGTATTCGATATTGTGATCAAAAGTGATAAGTCACTGAACTGTTAATATTTAATCCCTGACCACGGCTCAGTGTATGCATGCATGAGCCCTAATTATGGATAATAATATGGCTGCTGGCATGTACAATATCAGCACAGACTGAAATGCTAGAAGAACAGTATAGTAGCATCCTACCACTAACAATGGAAGAGACACGACAATGTAGCAATCAAAATAATCAAGATGTGCAACACAATTTCAATATGTACAAACTGTCATACAAACAACCAGTGGAAGGGAAGAATGCATTTTTGTCATCTGCAAGTTTACAAAATAACAGTAAATATGTATTGTACTGTCAAAATGGACATCAGGATCCATTTCCATTAATATCAAAATTTCACAAATAACATAAGTTATCACAACAGTAAATTGAAAGGTTACAAATTTGAGTATATGGAAATACAAATTTCAAGTTCAAATAAATTCCACAGATGCTAATTATCCAGCCAAACTTCAGACACATCAAGCAAGGATTGCAGAAATGGCAAGACAGAACTAGCTCAATGACTTGCCACATGAAGGAAGGCTTGGATTGTTAATATTCCAATGCTTTTGTTCAAACTACAAAGCAACGTAATCCTTCATGATGTGTTGATGCAGGGCAGAATATGACCCCTTATAGCCAAAGTGGAATTAATTTGGAACTAACAACATTTCATCACCATACAAGTACAATCAAATAGCAGGAAAATTTGACGCAACAGAGCAGAATTCCTTGATCACCTCTACCCAAGGAAATACAATTATTTTCATCTCAGTCTGAACCCCAGATGTAGAACCTCTGCCTCACCTCAACCCGGAAAAGACAATTGCCTTTATCCCAGTCTCCATGCCCTGTGTGGACACTCAGTCATCACACATGTACCACTAAACTGACTGGTAAGGACAGCTGAAAGCAGAATGGCCCCATGAAGTAACTCCAGTTTACTTTTTATCATGAAGCCTGACATTAAACACAAAATTGGATAAAAAATAGTTATGTTCCATGAGAGAACTACTATTCTAGTATGTTAGAACATTTCAAAGATAGCATTTGTTTCATAACAAGAAAACCGGTCCTGTTTTGACAACACAAGGTATGAACAAGGAAATCTTAGATTAAATAGTTCAGTAAAAATTACAAAGAAAGACAAGCAAAGCACACAAAAATACAAAGCTTGTCTTTCTGTCTCATGACCGTGACAATTTTAGGACAATATTTTCAAAAAGGACAGGTCTATGCCAGTGTATATAGTAGACCTGCTGTGACACTGGAAAGGTTCTTCCCCAAGTCAGGATGGACCCTCAGTGACACTGGAGAGGTACTTCCCCAAGTCAGGATGGACCCTCAGTGACACTGGAGAGGTACGTCCCTAAGTCAGGATGGACCCTCAGTGACACTGGAGAGGTACTTCCCCAAGTCAGGATGGACCCTCAGTGACACTGGAGAGGTACGTCCCTAAGTCAGGATGGACCCTCAGTAACACTGGACAGGTACTTCCCAAAGTCAGGATGGACCCTCAGTGACACTGGAGATGTACTTCCTTAAGACATGGCTGTCTAGAATGGTGTCACAGGGGTAGAATTAACTAGATGGATTTACAGATGTACTGTGATCCCATATATAGAACAGCCCCTTTCAATCTTTGTTCTATATTCACTCAGGATACATTAACTGACCAAGACTATCTGGCTAGCAATATTTCCTACCACAAGCATACTGGGACAACGCTTGACTGAGGTACATGTTACCACATGTTTGCTATTCTAGTAATAGCAGAATGATGTTAATGACAAACTTTGGTATTCTGAAATGAGGACGTATTTGTTCTAATTATACTTTACAAATGAGAACCAGCTCTTATAAATCTCAAAAAAATATGTGACCAAGTTTCCACACATTCTCGTAATATTCCACAATGGAAGCTCATGTCATATCACACAGCAACAGTAACACCTCTCACTGTGATAAACTGAAATGAATTAGTACAATATGGTGTAGTTCTCATTGGTCCAGCCTAGTCATGAAACTACACATTCAATAGTATGGCTGACAATATAACATGGATTTCTAATAAAAGTTGAAAACACTGACTAAAACTGTAAATACTTGTTATTTTGGTTAAAATGTACACAATCAACAATCCTCCATGATTAAAACTGAGCGACTACATAATGGATCAAGCAAGGTATAACAATGTGACTAGTATGAATATCTCCCAGGCTTAAAGCATGAGACTTGTATGACATCTTAAATAATCATTACCCAACAAACAAGGTGGGCTCACAGTGACAAAAATTTACATTTTCTCATTTCAAGGTTACACAATTTCTATTACCATATTCAATGCAATAAGCGCCCCCGCTTTAATAAGCGCCAACGGCGATATTTGCTAATATATTGGCTAGTGAACAATCCCCAATTAGCATCCCTTCCGATTGATCAATGTACACAAGACTTATTTATTCGTGTATAATACACACTCGTGTGTTATATGCACCCTTAATTATAGGCAATTAAATTCTGGAAAAATATATCTGTCGTATATAAACAGTCAGGCCGTCAGCATAAACCACGAAATTTATCTTTCAACTCCACCAAAATAATATTCTAATAAGAGACCCCTATTTCTAATTTTGAGAGCGCCCTGGGCGATTATTACGTCGAATACGGTATCTCTACCTGATAACATCACAACTCTTTCAGAAACAATTTTACTCAAGATGTAGAAAACTTATACAGAGATATTCTTGACTACCAAATTTTTACAATACTGCCCAACAATAATTTTCACTGGATTTATTTAAAGAAGTTTTTCTTCCATAAAAGATCTTTGAACTACGTTGCTTATATCATTGCACGAATGAGGTTATAAAGAGTTTCGTGGAAGGGTTTTACAACTTTAATTACAAAACGCTGCAATAATTCTATGACATAACTCTGTGGACACGCAATGTTTGAATGCCAAGTCAAGTAAACCTGATCAAGGATGACAAACATGATCGTTCAAATAATTTGACCTACAGAAAGAATGTAAGTCCCTGGGGTTTGAATGAGAATACAATTATCAGTGATAGAATTGGATTGACAAGGAGGAGAAAGATTCATAAGTAATGTACATGTGATAGAACCACACGATCATCATAGAAAGGCATGTAAGGAAGACTTATTTGAAGAGGAACAAAGAGGCAGATTACAAGGGAAAAAATTCTGGATAATGTCCCATTTGGCAATAAAACAACAATATAACCAGAGCTGTGTGACTGAAATATCAATGACAATCAAGTGGTCGGCAGTGTGAGCAACGATCAGCACCACTGAGAGTGGTCTCCCCTGATGGCACCCACCATACTAGTCCCACATAGCAGTTGTTGTGACCACTTAATCCCACCTTGGCTTTATACATTACTACTTGACAAACCTCAACAAAAACGTGGAAGAACACCATGTTTTGGGACAGTAGGCATTCCACAAGCGATGGAAGAATCAAGTCCAAAAACAGTTGGCTGCAGTGGAGTATGACATTCATGGTCTACATGTATTTTTCAAATGCTGTGGATGTGTTCACATGAGTGATTTCATTGCAAAGGATTAGACATCTCCCACTGCTTATATCTACCGGTATTAATCAGACTTACTTGTCCTACTGATATTGTCCTCAGCAGTAAAAGAAGTGTCAAACCCTAAATTAGGAGTGAGTGAGTTGGGTTTAACGCCACTTTTAACATTATTCCAGTTATATCGCAGAGTGTCAGCGTAATGTGGGAGGAAAGCCCGAAGTGATGCAGGTCTCAGACATTTACCACTTTGATGAAACCCTCGAGCACGGGTATGGAGCTGACAAACCTAGAAACATAATAGCAGCGAACCGGGATTCGAATCCACAATCATAGGTTTCTGACATGCCCAAAGGGATGCAACTCTGCACATCAAATCGCGGCACCTCAGGCAACTCGGCCACCCTTAAAGTGATAAATGTTATCCCTTTGTTGAAACCAATCACTGGGGTACTGCAGACAGTAGATAATTATCATGGCAAAAATGAGATTCAAACCCACACTGTTGATCCTGGCACAGAATTGCAGTATGACAATGCATTGCAAAACATCTGTGGTTCATATGTTTCAGCAGGAAGGTGACATTGAAATGAGCTTTATGGAGACAACCAACAGTCTCCAATAATCATAAAATGCAATTCCGTCAAAACCAACTCTATACTTTTTGTATGGAAAAAAGTTCTAATAGTCATGTAACTGAACTATTTTTAACAATGTTAAACATAATGCTACCCCCTTCCTCATTCCTGTCTCTAAATTGCCACTATACCATAAATCACAACTATCACCCTGACCTGATTTCAATGTCACTGCCTCAATCAACCCTTTGAGATAGTATATAAGTATGTGTAAAAACACAATAGCTATCCTGTGCTACGTCAGAAAAAAATATGCACCTCCTACGAGGTATTTGGATGTTTGACCAACATTGTCCAACACTGTCACATATTTTGAAGGACATCAACAGATTTCAAGCATATTTAGCCCTATTGTTAACTATCACTATCAGGATCTGGAGGCCAGACACTTTGAAAAATACTAATTATATATTTTAAAATGATAATTTTCAAGTAAATTATCCAGGACATTTGTTTCAGAAAAGTGGAGATGGAATAAGAAAAATTCTCACTGTAGAAACAAATGGTTAAATGAGCTACACGGACAATGTTACTCCTTCCTTGTCAAGACAAAGACCAATCAGAAACTCATGAGATTAATGAAGGAGATGCAGTAAACACAACCATGTTAACAAGTAACAGTATGTGTCAAAAAGGGATCCAAATCTCAATTGTTCTATTGCAATTGTGTAAAAATGCACACATAACATCAAAAACACCCTCAACATCAAGTTTGATGAAAATGAAAAAGCTTATTCAGCAATTTTCGCAAGGTCAGTTTTTTACCACAAATATGAAGGAGGCTCTATGTTTTGGTAGCAAGCAACACATCAGACATAAGATTCACATCATTAATTCATTATTACTCAAAATGTTCCAAGGTTCTAATAACAGCAGAAAACTAACTTCACCTTGATAGGTCAGAGAAGATGTTATTATTCATAAAGAGCATCTCTATTGAAAGGAAATCCATGTGAAAATTAGATAGGTTATCAATATTCAACAATATTCAACAGCTTTCACACATAAGCTGGTAGATAGAATAATGAATAAACTGGTTATACCTAAAAATATATATCTGAAAAAAAGCAAAAGAATTCAGCATATCTTTCTCATTGTATTATTGTGAGCATATTTATGACAAAATAACCTCTTTTTGAAAAGTAGAGAAAGTTACTGGATAACTAGAACATGACTAAATGATGAATTCTTATAAATAGAAATATATAGAAAAACAATCAAGAAAATATAGTAAATTTGGCAAAGTAAACTAATAATGCGCTCAACTACCCTTCAACTGCTGTGAAAACCTGAAGTAGTTTTCAGTATCAAGTAATGACAGAATGAAAGATCCTTTATGAAAAGAATAACCTGACAATGTGATCATCAGATTCATAAACCTTTTAAAAAGATATCCAGCAAAAGTTCAAAAAGAGTTTCACTTAAGAAGCAGTTTGTCACATTCTTCAGAAGCAAATATCTAACACTGAATCAGAATCCGACTGCAGCAGTAATTCTCAAAAGGAAATAATAGCATTTGAGGAGGAGGAAGGGGGATATGGGGAAAGAGAAAGAGGAAGGGGGAGAGGGAGAGGAGGAAGGGGGAGAGAGAGAGGAGGAAGGAAAGCTTCATCATACGCCAAACATTGTAATTTGTAAAGAATTAAAGAGGCCCCCACACAAGGAAAATCTTTATTTGTTCAAAATGATTCTCCATTGCATTCCATGGCCAATACAGATAACTTAGAGGCCATTAATAATTCAAAAAGGTGTCATGCCAATGTCTTTAAATCATTTAGCATATACTGCATTAGATGCTAAAATGTTGAATAAATACTTTGTAAGAAATAGTAGGTAAACAGGCAAATCCCTGTAAGTTGTGGGTCAGGAGTCAGTATCATATTCAGATATTCTAACTCCATATATATCTCTGGTAAGTCATTCAAAAATAGCCCTGCAGTATAAACCTGTTACATTGGAAATAAATAATATTAACCTGATTTACCAAAATCTGCATAATTGCAGGATATCATATCATTCCATGATCCAATGGAAATCATCACAGTTGAAACTTTAAATTCAACTCACTTCACACTATACAGAAAGTAACATGAAACAGATTAGACATGGACCATGTTCCGAGGCAACGGAAGAGGAAATGAATTTGGTCCTCTAACAGTCAAATCCAGATTTGATGAAAATAAAGGGATAATAAACAGCAATTACAAAGTCAATAAGCAGCCTGCCAGCAAATGGTTAGTAATTTAACTTATTTGTTTCTGTGAATTCCAAATTTAGAGAAAAAAAACTTATTCCAAAAATCCCTTGGATTTCATCTTATCTGGAGATGACTAACCATATGTCACCATTTGAACACCAGTTTGGATCAACCAAGCTGATTAATACAAATATGTATTGAAATCTACTGGCCACTGTAAGAGATGCATCACAAGCATTTATTGAACACCTAACTTACATAATCCACTTTGTTATCAAGGCTCATTTTTGTTCTCAACAACTTAAAGCTGACAGTTACATAGCACCAGGGACTAACAAATACATTTAGCCAATCTTTATCACTTACTCCCTGATATATTCAATAGATATCTCAAAACTGTTCTAATGTCAAAATTCAATGGACATGATAAAACAGGCTCACATATTTTTTTCAAATAAAATGTAACCTCTAAAAGATAGCCTTAATGATACAGAGATCTTCAATGGGCAAGCAAGTATTCTCTGAGCATCCGTTCTTTGATATGGCAAAGCTTTGATTTGTTCTCAAACAAGAATCTCATGTCCACAGGATATGGGTTGGTAATTGGAACAGTATAGGAATTAGCCTGGATGTAAGAAGATGGTGTTAGTGGTGAACACTCTCTCGAAACACATCGAAACACATCACATATACCTCAGATCTAACTCTTGCCATTCACATTTGCTACACAACAATTTCATACACTGATGTGACGTTGATTACCCTTTCATACACACATTACCTATGAGAAATCAACAAATTTCAGGCAAGGAACTTTGAATAATTCCTGCATATTTTCACATGATTTTCTGGTTTGTTTAACAATTTTGTTCCATGATTGAATTTTCCATGACATAACAAAATAACAAGAGATACCCTCAACACTATTGTCCCATAATCTTACCCTATACAAAAACAAACTGTGACATAATGAGGTTCAACCTTCTAAATCTCCGAACAGGAGGACACGAACAAATGCAGTCACTACAGAAACAAAGCACTTTTAATCCTAGTAATATCCAGTGGAGCTGCATAAAGAAATATGTCAAATTCACACAAACACAAACACAAACTCTCATTCACACAGGTACATAATCGAATAGATACTGCCCCTGCAAGGAGCTAACATAGATAACTATGCTTTATACACTATTGTGGTCTTCCTAGAGGTGATCATGTAAGTATTATGCTGATGTAGGATACCAGCCTACCATTAGCAGGATACAACACTGAGGCCCTTGAGCAAGGGAGATAACCCACCCTGAGCAAGGGGAGATAATCTGGAGTAACTCCTGCCTTGGAATTGGTTTATAATACTGTTGAGCATGGATTCAGCCCAAGTTTGTGTATTATCTGCCTTGGAAGAGAGTGAGTGAAGATGGTAGTGACAAGGATGCTGGTCAAATCTCTTGTAGTTGTTTTCATGATGAACTCGACTGAGGTAGCAATGCAGTAATGATCCGACACTGACAGTGAGGACAGCAAGATGACGACGACAACGATGACGACACCAACAACACAGGAGAAGACACACAGCCAAGAAGCCCAACGAAGCTGCACGAGACTACCATCTGTTTCACTGACAGAGCAAGCATGTCGTCAGCTGAAGGATGGGGGAGAAACAGCTTCTTGATTTGGAACAACACGCTACTGCACCAAAATGAGAAGTCCGGTGCACTGGTGTCAACCTCCTAGAAGTCCTTGGAGATCTGCCTCAAGCTAGCTGTAATTCTGGTCCTACATCTTCCTGGCAGATACATCCAAGACCTCTTGGACCTCACACTAATGTACCCATTGTCATTTGGCAAGCGGATGCATATATATATGTATATATCAGTAGGTTTGCACTCTAGTGAAAAGGTCCAAGTTGTATTTTTTTTGAGTGAACACTATATGAGGCAAGTTGATCTGACCATTTACCCTGCAGTGGTTATTTAGTCACCATGACGACACGACACGCTGACTTAGTGACATTGGATGACTCACAATGGCAGCATTGCCGCTGCCTCACAAGACTTTTCCACTGCTTCAACCATCCAATAGAATCTCTAGAACTGAGTCACAAGATGGTCAATCACACTCTACTGTTTCCATGGTAATGGGCCTTGGGCTGTACCCTGGAGAGGTTAATCCCTTAAGAATAATGATCTCTGTTCTGAAAATGAAAGAGGAATATATATACATCTTCAAACAAAATGATCAGAATAATATGTTCATGCTATAATCGCAGTTCAAAGTAGATCTTCACTGGCTCTACCTAGTCACTGTAGGAGTGAGTGAGATGGGTTTACCATTTCTTAAAAGTGTATTTCAGTTATGCCAGGTTAATGTGGGAGGAAAGACCAAAGTGATGTTGGTTGAAGACATTAGTTTCCATCCCAGAAGTAAATCAAGGATCATAATCTGGGAGAACCTTTTGTATAGTCACAGTACATTGTAGCAAGAGAGCACTGTTATTCTAACTTTTGTTTGTTTGTTGTTTAATGCCGCACCCAGCAACATTCTAGCTATATGACTGTGGGATTAAAACAATCAGGTCTGGACCAGACAATCCAGTGATTGATATCATGAGCATCGATTTAAGCAATTGGGATATGATGACATGCAAAAACATAGTCAGTGAGCCTGACCACCAGATCCCATTGTTCAACTCCTACGGCAAGCATAGTCACCTGTTATGGCAAGCATGGGTTGCTGAAGATCTTCATGGGACATTATTCTAACTGATAATATATGCAGTGATATAGTTTGATAATTACTGACTGCTGCAGAAAACAGCATTCATTCAGGTTTAATGTACTTAGGTTAGTGAATGTTAATACTTACCCTTCGCCTGTGAAATAACCTATCAAAGAAGCCCCGTTGTGGAGGTGGGGGTGGCATGTCTTCTATAAGATCTGGACTAGGTCCTCCATCATAAGCAAACTGATTCAATTCCTTATAGCACTCAGTCTCTATCATCTGGAAAACAGCATGGAATTTAATTTTACACATCTGTCAGGATATGGTTCTTACATCAAGAACAAGAGAGATGATACAATATAATAAACTAATACACTTTCTGTTATTTGATCATTACAAAATATTTATTTCATACAAACATTCTGTTCTTTCTAACTGTGACACTACAAATCTTTCATAAATGATTTGAAACATATTTATGTCATCTCAAACCAAGTATCTACCGTATTTTCTTGAGTATAGTGCGCACTTTTTTTCGAAAAAACACAGCTGTGTAGAAGGGGGTGCGCATAATACACGAATTATGAGTTTGGATGTTTTTTTCCCCCATGGAAAGACATTACCGTGAGCACGAAACACCGGGAATACCATGTCAACAAATCCATACTGAAGTACGCAAAATAATTATGTAATTACACTGTCTGGCTATAAAAAAAGTTCTTTGTATATCAGGACTTATGTTTGTAACTTATTTCATTGATTTTATTCAAAATTCCTTATAATCTGATAATATTGTTTTTATTAATTTCGGCGAAATCGTGTGTGAAGCGATCGGAAGATCGCACAACTCACCGTTATTAACAGCAACCACGGTCAGAATACCGCTATTGACGCCTTGAAACAAACTTTAGTTGACAGGGAATGGATACATATATCATAAATGACATACTTTGACTCGTTAAAAGTCATATTTGTTTTTGTTTGACGATTCTATGTCAACATGAAATTCTCGCGATCACGTATCATGTGCGCGTGAGCCTTGACGGTGACTGGTCAGACATGTTCCATGTAAAAAATAATACCCGGGAATAGCGATCAGCTGCTTCGCTTAGGGTTATTATTATTTTAAATATGTTTATTAAAGGTTGCATATAATTAAGAAAATAATGGAATATATTATTCCTGATAAATAAAATAGTTTCAGATACAATTGTTGCCGATCCTTGCATTAAAAATCTTATAAAGTTATATCATTGGGTGTGTCTTGACCGAATCACCGGTCAATTCCAAGAAAACGTGTGTACAGCTGATTGCTGTTTCCAGCTTAGTTTACGAGAAAATACGCAAGGTAATCTTAATCCCTAAATATAAAACAATGCCTAGCAGAACAATAAATACTATTTAAACGGTAAATAAACATGTCTGGTGATTTTTTATCTCAAATTTCGAATTTGTACTGACAAAGTTTCTCAGCACCCGTTCGTTTGCCGGACTTCGCTGAAAGGGTACGGTGTAAAAAATTTCTGCGCATAATATTCAAATTTCTTTTTTTCCAAAATATTGAACCCGCTAGAGGGGGGTGCGCATTATACATGGGTGCGCACTATACTCAAGAAAATACGGTACATGTTCTGGTGGACTATGACACATAAATCATAAAAGTAACGATCAGCTGACAAGATTTAATTTTGGAAGGAATCTCCTGATAAAGTGTTTGTAAAGAACGACATTACTATTATGAAAAAAAATAATCAAATTTGCAACAATTCAAAGAATACATGATGATGAAAATGAACTTCAACAGGGACAATACCTCACTCTGCCATGGTATGGATACGCTGCCTGTGTTGAACTTGCTGTAGAAAGTGTCATCACTGGCATCTAGGTTGACACCCTTCACAGTGGAGAACTGTTCTATGTCCAACACATCCTTGCAGTATACTGCCCGAGGCTGAACAATTCAAAAACAATCATTCATTTATTTGGTTGGTTGGTTTGTTGTTTAACGCCGCACTCAGCAATATTCCACCTATATGACGGCAGTCTGTAAATAATCGAGTCTGGACAAGACAATCCAGTGATTGAAATCATGAGCATCGATCAACGCAATTGGGATCAATGACATGCATCAACCAAGTCAGTGAGCCTGACCACCCGATCCCATTAGTCGCCTTTTACGACAAGCATAGTCACCTTTTACGGCAAGCATGGGTTGCTGAAGACCTCTTCTACCCCGGAATCTTCACGGGTCCATTTATTTGGATAATGGATACTACAAAAGAGCTGACTCAATATTTTCTGTCATATGAAGATAATTCTTTGTCATACTGAAATGAGCTTAACCATCTTTGAGATAAACTCTTGTACTGAGTAGGACCAGCGTCTCAACTTAACATAAGGGGAAAGCCCAAATGTTGAAAAAATGTTAAATGGCGATGATATATTCCTTTTACGCTGTTGTTTTTTCCATAAAAGGATCTGTAATACACACAAGAAAGTATGGAATGTCATGTAAATGTTCAGGCTTAGTATAGGGCATTAATGAATATTACCTACAGATTGGTTAGAAGTGGATTAGGGAGCATTAATTTGAGATGGGCAGTTATTAGGGCACATACAGTAAATATTAGGTCAATCCGTCCACATTGTCCACATTACCAAAGGGTTACTTCAGTTCAAAATATACTTACATCTGGTACAAACGGGGGCTCACACATCCCAGCCTCTAGCCTTCTGAAGTTGATATTTTTGAAGAATGTGTGAGCCTTCACTTCAGCTGCTCCCTCTGAGTTGCACCCTAACCGACATGTGGGGTTCTTTTGTAGTAACTGTAGAGAATGTGGAATCAATGCATTGAGACAGTGTTATCATACTGTTAATGTCAGATGTTAAATGTTGTTGCTAAAAAGTGAACATTTCATTGAAACCTTTAACAAGTGGTTTCAACTTAATAACTTATCCATATCTAACCGAGTAGCACTATTCCATCTGTAAGTCAGTGGGAATTATTTTTAATGCAATAGTCTGGGCCAGTGAATGTAGTGATTGATGGCATGGACAGCAATGCATGTTGTTGAGGTAGGTTGACACACAAAAGGCTAGGTAACATTGTAACTAGCCGGATATATTCTAAGTCAGCTGTTGCCACAAGAACATGAAATGTGGACATAGTCTGCCCTGGAATCAACCCTCATGGGAACTACACCTGATGTTAACTAGCTAGAACATATTCTTAATTTTAATTTGTACAATATCAGTACAAGCTATTTACTCACCGCTTGACATACCGCCTGGCAGTCTTCTGAGAACTTAGAGGAGTAAGTCTCTGTGTCTTCCTTGACCCGTCGATCTACCTCGTCTCTCTTCACTTTCTCCTTCCGCGCCCGGAATGGCGCCTGAACAACAGAAGCATAGTTGACATAGAAGTACCACAGTGATTGAAACTGAATAACAGAAGCATTGTTCCCTCTTACTCCTTGTAAGTCAAAATTATTGGATCACCTACGTGTTCTATAGCTGGAGAGTGCGCCCGCATAGCGGAAGGTCCGGGGTTCGACACCCCTAGCCTCATCATACCAATAGACGTTAAAAGATGGTACTTGTTGCTACCCTGCCTGGCGCTCGGCACTAGGGGGCTAAAACAAGGGCTGGTCGGCTCGGAGTCAGTATACTGTGTCTGAGTGGGGTATTCATGTTAAACTAAGTCGGCATTAGTCCTAAATAGTACAAGCAGACACATGTGTATGCATGTCTTTATATAAGTGCAATAATCTTGGACGCGAGGTTAAACCCCATTTCACCTTACCTCAAAATTAGTATTAAAAATAATAGTAAAAAAAGTAGTCGAAATTAAGGAGTGATCTTGGGGTCCTTGGGGTTTGATCCTATAGCATTTGAATCTAGGGACTCTATCGATCTCAAATATTCAACATTTGGCTTATAATAAGAACCCCTTGACCATGTTGACTTTCATACTTGATTTGAAACACTGTACATCAGTTATTGACGAATACACTTTTCATCTTGAATATCAATAACTTAAATAATAACAGTGCAACATCCCCTGGCAGTTTTTTACCTTGCCCTCTATCATTTCATATATTATGCATCCTAGGCCCCACCAGTCCGGGCTCATTGTGTACCTCTCGTTCTTCACCACCTCCGGTGCTGAAAAAAAACAACATCACAAGCTGACAGGGAATTCTCCAAGGCTAAATATATTAACAAGAAATTTCTGCATCTACTCAAGTGGTTACTGATAATATCGATGTCTTCCAAAGCCACTGTCCATGCTGCCTGCAGAATTTTTTGTCCTTGATGAGCAAAATACTAAGTTCATGTCATAGCAGCAATAACAGCAACATTTTGAACAAAACATCAACAGGCTTCTTTTCAAAGTCATATGCCCTTTGTCTTATCACAAAGTCGTTAGCATCAAAGCATTCAAAACAAAACAAACAAACAAAAGCCTTGAGGTGAAAATGCAATTTACAGACAGATGAAAAAACATTACATGATATCATGAAATGGCTGATGATTGGTTGCTTGTTTGTTGCTTTATATAGCTCCAGGGTTTTACACGATGCAGGAATGTGTGGCCGGTACACACAAATGTGTAGAATGGACACATAAGGAAATATATACTGTGTCCTGAGGGGCGCAGAATAATATTCGTTGCACTAAATTCTTGACAAGAATTATAGAGTTCCTGTAATTAAAGTAATTACTAAAATCTTACAGTACAGTAGGCTACGTCTTGTCATTATTTTACAGGACCCTTATATTTCCAGTCACTAACCTTGAAATTAGTAATTGGGGGTCTTCTTTACCTGTAGTTTTGTAGTGAGTGAGTGAGTTTGGTTTAACGCCACTTTTAACAGTATTCCAGTTATATTGCGGCGTGTCAGCTTAATGTGGGAGGAAAGCCCGAAGTGATGGAGGTCTCAGACGTTTACTACTTCGGTGAAACCCACGAGCATGGGTATGGTGCTGACAAAGCTAGAAACATAATCGGGGCGAACCGGGAATCGAACCCACAATCATAGGTTTCTGGCGTGCCCAAGGGACGCAAATCTGCACAGCGAATCACGGCGCATTAGACGACTGGGCCACCCGCGCCCCCTGTAGTTTTGTATGTCATGGTGAAACCCTGAAGCACTTACCAATATTCCAGCTATATCTTGGCAGGGTCTAATTAATTGAATCTGGACCAGACAAACCAGTGGCTGACATAATTAACAGCCTCCCACATCACCGGAGTATAAGGCTATGTGCAATGAACCAAGTCACTTAGCCTGACTCATCCAATTTAGTCACCATTTACGACAAACAACAGAATGCTGAGGACCTACAACCACTACACATATTTTTCAGGAAGTTGAAAGTACTTACCCATGTATCCCACCGTACCAACACGCCCCCGTATCAACTCTCCAGCAGGAATTTCTACAGCCAAGCCTAAGTCTGATATTCTTACATGACCTGAAAACACAAAGTGTGAAACCCTCTTGCACAAGAAGTCACTGACATAGCCACTCGCCTGATAGACCGCGACTGGCGACAATCTGTACGGACTGGTTGCTTTAACCCCAAATCTAGTTATTTTACATAAGGCACTAGTCTGGATTGAGCTGCAGGCTAGATGGATAAAACCAATGGTGTCTACCCTTGAATGTGATTCCTGTATCATTCCCTATTCATAAGCTTGAAAACAGGTTTTAGGCAATAGACAGCTTTCAATGTTTAACAGAACACTCAATGCTGCCAAAATGTTTGGACTTCTGATTGTCTCTGATTACATCACAAAGGAAAGATGAAGTGATATAGATTAAATGTAAGTTACATTGTTTGTTTGTTTAATGCCACAATTAGCAATATTCCAGCTATATGACAGCGGTCTGTAAATAATCAAGTCTAGACCAGACAATCCAGTGATAGACATCATGAGCATCGATCCATGCATTTGGGATCAATCCCGATCCCGTAAGTCGCCTCTTACGACAAGCATAGTCGCCTTTATGGCAAGCATGGGTTGCTGAAGACATATTCTACCTTGGATCTTCACGGGTCAAATGTAAATCACAACAATTATTCTTACCATAATCATCTAATAATATATTTTCTGGTTTCAGATCTCTGGAAAGAAAAGACAAAATATTATTTATCACTGTTTTGTTATACATGTCATTTACACTAAAAATTCCATAATATTAACAAATAATTAAAACCTCAGTTGATAATTACTGGACTAATGGTGGATTACTGGTGAGATCTACAATGATCAAAATGATGAAAATGTGTCATTCAATGAGCCAGGGAACCTGGTAAACAGTGATTTTGGAGACGATGGCATTAGGACATTTTCATGATTTTATCAACTTTTGATAGGATATTTCTATACTACCTGTACTTAACTTCAGATAGGGATATTCTGAGTGTCTAGACAGGGTCTGCATGTGGCTGATAGTTGGGAGAAGTTGATATACAAATAGCATATAATACTGCCTTGGAACCGACTCATTTTCAGCATAATAACAATTGATAAGTAATTTATATAACATTCAATGGCTGCTGTCTAAAGTTTTGTAACAGTATGAAATATCTCAGTATCCCTATCAAAGGTTAGTAGTATATATCACTACCACAAGTGAAAAATATCCTCAGGAAATTTTGGATGAAACAATCTGAAACCCTGGCACGTCGCCAGCACAGCATGCTACTAATTCATGCTACTAGAGCACTGAGGCTCACATCTCAGTTCCAGCATCCGTACTGAAGATAGTGCAAGCATTTGTACCTTATACTTTAGTTCCCTTACGCGAGTACCACCAGTGTTAACCAGCCAGGACAACTTAAGTTGATATTTCCAAAATTACCATTACAGTGATCATAAAGCCACTGACAAAATTCATGGAACACTATTACCACTCACATTGCCTTACATTATCTCTGGCTTAAAATGTTTTAAGTAAATTAGACTTGTGGTAAATTCCATCCTGCACTAACTCACCTATAAACTATGTTTTCTTTATGTAAGTCTGCCAGCCCACATGTAATTTCTGCTGCATAAAACCATGCACGTTCCTCGGGGAAGCCTGGGTTGCCCATATTGTGGATGTGGAACTTGAGGTCACCCCCATTCATTATTGTTAACACTAGACATAGAGCTTCCTTTGTCTCAAATGCATAGGCTAAACTAACCTGAAAGAAAACGAAATAGTTTATGAGAAACACATCCACCGACAAAGTTGGTGTCAAGCTTAATATTCAAGGATACAAATGTCAGGAAGTGGTACCAGTTCAGGTACTAGTCCATGTATCATTTGTATAAACTAGTCATAAGCACAATGTTTGTTTGTTGTTGAACGCCACACTCAAGCCAAATGACGGTGACCTCAAAGTAATCGAGTCAGGACCAGACAAACCAGTGATAAAGAAGGCCAATCTCTGCACAAGTCCATCTGACATTGCCTCTCAGTTCCGAGTCCACTCTAAACTGTTGATATTTAAAATATTTATCAACATGAGCCTGTACCCACACCGATATAAATTGGCACTAGTCTATAGTCCTTGCCAAACTGCCCAATAGTTAAGGTATGATAAGGACTAGTAGACATTTGCAATATGAAAGGGTTTTTCTATATGTTATTATAATAAGGACTAGTGAACTAAAAGTTTCTATCGCTGCATGACATAATGTATTGTTACACGTACCACAAAACGAGAGTTGATTTTCTGCAAGATCTGTTTCTCATTAAGAGCCATAGGTTCCCCCTTCCTCTTCTTGATTCGTTTCTTCTCTAGCTTCTTGCAGGCGTACATCTTGCCAGTGGCCCGCACCTGGCATGCGCACACCTCGCCAAACCCACCCTTACCAAGTACTCGATACATCCGGAACGTGTTCTTGGTCACAGGTTGACTGAACAGATAATATATGTCAAACATTAATATCAATTGGTATTATTCTCCACACAGGGAATGTTGCCAATAACTGATGTGTCAAACCATAATTGCAATTTGTAGTACTCTTCTTGTACTACCATAATGTAAGCCATTAACAGCTGATGAGTCTCGTGGTCTCTCCAAGCATTAGGCTGACTTGAGTATTCACATCATACAGACAGAACAAGCCTTAGGAATGTCCCTTGCCGAACTACCTTAAGGTAAGGTCTTGGCAAGCGAAAACATCCATAAATGTTAAATTACTGGGCCCCATTCCTCAAAGCGATCTTAGCGCTACGATGATCGTAAACCTATTTTAAAGTATGGGACATACAATCACCTTAGTGCTAAGATCACTTTGTGGAACGGGGCCCAGAACTTTTATTAAATAAGTTGATGGTCTTTCTTTTTGAAAGTGAATCACAAATTTTAGGAGATTGGTGATGGGTTATTGTAGGGCAGGATCATATAGGCTTGAGGGCACTGTGAATGTTGTGAATTTTATAGCAAACCCGGAAGTACTAGAGAATCTTCATAAGCTGGATGTTACTTCTGTTGATCACGTTTTTCACCCCAATGTAGTGCAATACTTGGGTTGCAAATTGACATATTGTATCATGGGCAATAATACAATGTATCACGATACAGGGGTTGTAAATCAATGTATAGTATCACGGATCTCCTATCACAATTCAATAGACATTACACCACTTATGATTACTTCTTGCACCATCCATAATGAGATAATAATGAGTGTAATGCTTCCATGAATGTTTGTATATGTGAAATCAACATTTATTATCACGTGAAAAAACACTTCACACTTCTGCGTACCTTTCTAACCATTTCCATTGCAAATAGCGTTTGAAAAACATGCTCTCCAGAAATTCTGTGAAGGGTTCAGAGTTCAGGTAATCCTCCATGACCCTGTAACAAAACAAATAGAAATGAGATTTTACATGCACAATAAGAAAACTAACCAAGTCTTTGGGAGCCTAGTCTTCCATCATATATAAAAAAATTATCAAAATGTGTTTGTCAATGATTTCATGAAAGAATATATGTCATAATGTATTTCCTGAGCTAATACTGACATGAGTTCAGGGATTTATCTAGACCTGCTCAAATGACGATATTCAGCTTTAAGTCTGCAGCCAATGTCGGATTCATGTTGTTCTAGTAATAACCAATATTATAGTTTTGAGATGACCTGTACTTCACTAGTAACAGGACCAATAAAGAGGATCGAAGAGGTCATAATGCTAATAAGTTTTACTCTTAAGCATAAACAAAATCAATTTGAAAAAAATCCCCATTTTTACGAAAATATTGATTTGTTCCCAATTAGCCTGCCAAGAGCACCAACTTTGGAATCCTAGATAAATTCCTGTGAGTTTAAGCAAATCAGTAGGAATCACATAAAAAATGGTCCTTTTTTGTCCAAACTCTTTAATTAGCTATGGTGAATAAGGATCGTCTTCAGATATTAAAACAGTGTCCTGAGGCTAAATGGGTCTACCTCACTACATACAGTAAACACTGATATACTGTGATGTCATTAGCATTGGGACATCATATCATACAAGAGTATCCATGATGCATAAACACCCAAAGAGCGAGTAAAAAACAAATTTCTAAGGCTGAGATGCATGCTAGAGACTGCACTGTTCTGTTTCTTTTGACGGACATAGCACACACTGCAAATATTCTGCAGACTGATGATCAATATAATACCTTGCTTACTCCTAATATCGTGAAATCAGGGCCCACTGGGTGAGTTGAAATGGGTTTTAACATCGCGTCCAAAATTATTGCACTTATATAGCGATGTGTGTGGTGTGGTGTGGTGTGGTGTGGTGTGGTGTGGTGTGGTGTGGTGTGGTGTGGTGTGGTGTGGTGTGGTGTGGTGTGGTGTGGTGTGGGTACTAGCCCGGACTAATGCCAATCATATAGTGCTAGCCCACTGAGATACCATGCCACAGTTAACTTGAATATCCCACTCGGAATACTGACTTCGAGCCAACCTGTCCTTGTTTTAGCCCCTTATGCCAAGCGCCAGGCAGGGTAACAACAAGTACCATCTTTTTTAACGTCTTTTGGTATGAAGCCGCCGGGGGATCGACCCTCGACTGTCCACTCTCCGGGCGTATGCTCTGCCACTAGACCCAAGGAGGCTGACTGGCCCACTCAGGATTCCAGAACAGAACAAGTGATTTATCGTTTAGACGATCATAACTCCCATACTAATACAGTAACTTTTGACAGTCTTGTCGCTGAGATGGCTTTGTGGAATAGTTCCAGATCTTCAATACCCTGTTTGAGTTGACTAGTGAGGAAAGGATGGTAATGACGTGCGACGTGAGTCCCGTTCCACAAACAAGTCTTACCGCTAAGATGATCGCAACGATACTTCAACATGGACAACCATATTGTTAAGATCGCATTGTGGAACAGGTGCCTGGCTTATTTTGTGTCAAAGCACCCTGACCATGTGAATGTTTGCTCATATTATTATCATTTTCAGGCTCATTTGCAGCTTAAGACATTCAAACACAATCAGAATCACTAAGATTTAACATCACACTTTCTGTGAGCTACACCAATATTCTACTGCCCTCACCCTGAACATGAGCTGAAGAGTTCCTTGCTTGAATTTTTGACTGCCATGGCCTCTTTGACAGCAAGGATCTGGTTCCCGTTAATCTGACTCAAGTAGTCATTGGACTGCAACAGTATGAACGACAGTTGATGAAAATGTAATAGGATTTGGACATAAATTGCAAACAAGGAACACAAATGCTGGATACTAAGATAGTCGGAATTATGAAACTTGGTATTGAAATTGTCACGTATCATGACCTGCGGATACTTGCTGTTTTGTATTGGCACTGGTGTCAACGATTTTTCATTACTGTAATAAACAGGCTAATCCCCAAACTTTGACAAATGAAACAGACCTATTCTGTCGACCCTATGGTACAAGTATAAATAGGATGTCTTGATACAAATATTTTATGTAACACCAGTGTTGGGATTGTCCTTACAGTTTCATTTTTTAGTGTTTAGAATTGTTAACAGACCGTAGGACAGATAACTTGCCATTTTAGTTGCCCTGTCTTAAACCAGGTGAGCTAACTACTAGGGCTGGTGATATAGATCGATAATCGTAATTATCATCGATGGAAGAAGGTTGTGACGATTATCGATATGAATATAATGCTATCGATAATGACATGTATTTTTTCGACAAATAAAAGTTTTTACTGCAACACATTTGACTTATTTGTTTTGCTGTCCTTGTAATTATCGCTAGATATAAACAGATTCACCCTAACATACAGTTTTCTCCCCTTCGCTTTATGTTTAGTCGCAAATAATAATCAAATGTTTGAAAAAGTAAAAAGTTCTGCTTTGAATCGAACGACGACGCCATTACGTGTTGTTAGTGGGTAATTACAAATGTAGTCACTGGCATCTAAATGCGGAGTCATGATTTTAGAAAATATGTATATTTTCGAAATAGTATGAAGTATCATGATTAAAATAGGTTTCATAATACTTTAATTCTTAAAAAGAATTCTTCCCATTTTATTTCATAAAATTTCAAATTTTATGTCTATTTGGTAACTACGTATTCCAGTCTGTTTCGATTTTGTCAATGATCATAGTTTTCGTTTTTGCCGGTATTCTCAACTCACAGCCCACGTGGGGTTTGACATTTTTACGATATGGCAGCAAAAATTCCTAATTTCCCCGTTATAATCGCACGATGTTTGTTTAATATCAGTCTGCCACCCAATCTATTACGTATCACACCTGTGAACCTAGTACAACCTACTACGTAGCACACACCTGTACACACCTGACATTCACAATGGCGGAATATTTGATGATTTTTTATCTGAATAGTTTCGTGAATACTGTACATAAATGACAAACGACTATATCAGATGAAATTTTGTAGAATTTTCCTATTCGGAATATTCTATAAGTAATACGTTACCACTGTTATACCGAGGCTGTTGTCTCCCACAACTGCTGCTATAGCGAAATCTACCACAGAGATCTCAATTACCTCATGCAGCACGTGCGTAGCAACCTAGCTGCCATGTGACACCCTTCACTCTTGTCTCCTGCGAGAGCAAGTGCTCGGGGGACGGACGGGCGGGCAGCAGCCCAGTGGTAACGTATTACTTATAGAATATTCCGAATAGGAAAATTCTACAAATTACATTAAGTAATACGTTACCACTGTTATACCGAGGCTGACTACCACAGTAGGCGGTGGGGAGCACCTACAACCCGAATCCTGACTGCTAGCGTTCCTTCCGACCAGCGGAAGTAAACACCAAGGCGGAAGCACTCGATGCGCATGCACCTAGCTAGGCGTTACCCTATAGGAATACCAAAGCACTGTCAAGCGCATACCGTAAGGCTCAATCGTCATTGCCAAAACGATTGGTGACTCCAAACGGCCCCACTGGATAGGTATTTCATCGCCGCAGCGGATGAGAACACTGTATCCGCGTGAGCTTAATCTTAGATCAGGTTAAACAGTCGAAAAGAGGGAAATTAATTTCATTCAGACCGTATATCCCAGAGCAAGCCTACTTAAAGTATGCATTAGGCGCGTGACCTAATTCCAGTATTTGTAAGCATGCATCACAAGGTTGGGATACACGACAGACAATTAAAGACATAATTGTCAAAATACAAATAAGGACAAAGCACACAAAAAGCCGCCCTCACCTGTGGTGTGAGTGCGCTGGTTTGCGGGACCCCAACTCCTGTACCCACGGCAGTGGGAACATTGGAGTAGACCCAGATTGACCACCGTGCAAGGTCAGACGCCTGAGGAGTTCGGAATTGCGCTGGGCACACCCCTTAGGTGCCCGCTTGCGCCGCGATCCGCGGGCCAAGACGGTGCACACTCTCCACGACGGCATCAGCGACCTGTTTGAGGTAATGATTGGCAAAAACCGAGTCAGAACGCCAGTAACAACCTCGTAATATTCTGCGAACAGAGATATTCGAGTGTAGGGCAAATGTTGCCGCTAGCGCCCTGATCTCGTGCGGGTTTGACCCCGCTACCGGTAACCCCCGAGACCGGTACGCCAGATTGATGACAGAACGAAGCCACAACGCAATCGAGTTGCGAGGTATGTCAACCGTGCGATTAGGGTTACACGATATGAACAGACGGTCACGCCCTTGTCTACGTTCATTCGAAGCCTTAAGATAATACTTAAGGGCCCTAACCGGACACAGCGCTCTGTCCTCAGTATCAGCAGGATGTAAGATTTCTTTGAGTGATCTTACAGTGAATTCTCTCTCCGTTTGCCCGACTCTCTGATTCTTGGCGACGAAGCCCATGAGCAGGCCCAGGCGGACCGCTCCTTCGTCACCCCTATCGAATCGTACCTTGGCGACATCGAGTGCATGAATTTCGGATACACGTGCCGCCGTGGCAAAGGAGAGGAGAAATGCTGTATTCCAAGTCACATGCCGGAACGAAGCACTATGCAAGGGTTCATACGGAGCTTCCGTAAGTGATTGCAACACTAGGGAAAGATCCCAGGCCGGTGCCCGAAGGCGGCCCTTCTTAAGAACGTGCTGTTTGAAACCCTTGATAATACCCCGTATCACCGGCTCTTTGGAGAGACTGGTACCCATAGCAACGTCCCGTACCGTAGCAACGGACGAGACATAGTTGGCAATGGAACCCCCGGAGAGTTTCCGGGTCTCTCGCAAGTGAGACATGAAACGAGCAATATCCTGCACAGATACCTTATCTGGCGAATGAATGTGATGTTTACAACACCACTTCGTGAAAATAACCCAACGTGCATTATACACCTTCTGGGTAGAATCACGATGCATACTAACGTATGCCCGAGACGCCCGGCGAGAAAAAACTTTACTCCTCAGACGCTCGGTGACAACATCCACGCGTGCAGATTGAACTGCCCTGCGTTTGGATGAAGCTGACGGGTGTGAGGGTGGATCAAGAGATCCGGTCTCACAGGCAGTGGAAGTGGCGACTGCGTGACCTGGGTCAGCAAGTCGGGGTACCACGATCTGTTCGGCCACATGGGCGCGATCAGTAACATTCTACAGCGAACTCCTCGGAGCCGGCTTAGAATGTGTGGTATCAACGCTGTCGGCGGGTAAGCATAAGCGACCAAGCCCGTCCAGTCTAACGCGAGAGCATCGTGATCGATGGCCCTCGGGACCGGGACTGGTGATACAAACAACGGGAGTTGATTGTTGAACCGCGTTGCGAACAGGTCGACCATCGGACGACCCAAACGTTCGCACAGCCACTGAAACACTACTGGGTTCAGCATCCACTCTGTGGGGCTCGGATCCTGAGGCCTCGATAGAGCATCGGCAAGTACGTTCCGCACACCTGGGATGTGACGGGCGCGTATCTGGCACGGGACACTGTCCACCAGAGCGTAAAACTCGAACGTGAGATCGAGTAGCGAGTGACTGTGGGTTCCCCCCAGTTTGTTCACATAGGACACTACCGTCGTGTTGTCGGTCGCCAGCATGAGCCGGGCGTCGACGAGACGATGCTTCCAGTGATTGACTGCGTTGATCACTGCCTTGAACTCGAGACAAGTGATGTGAAGACCTAGTTCGTCTAAGCACCACAGCCCCGAGCTCACCTCCCCCTTTAGATGGGCGCCCCAGCCCACTAGAGAGGCGTCTGTATACAGGGTCAACGTGGCCCGGTAGGGCCGCATAGAGACTCCTGATAAGACAATGTAAGGGACCGTCCACCACTCCAGATGCGGTCGGAGCCGATCCGGGAGGGCGACGGTCGCACTGTTCACCTCCGTTGCTAACAACTGGATTAAAAACCGTTGCAGCGGGCGGAGTTGGAGACGACCCCGTGCGGTGCAGTCCTGGGCTGATACAAGTAGCCCTAACAGCTGTTCCCAAAAGTGAACAGTCTGTTGCACCGCTAAGACTTTGGCAATCATCGCCTGAATTTTGTGCCACCGGTCTGGGGGAACAAAGAGGCGATGGGACACCGTGTTGAACCGACCTCCGATGAACAGCAAGTTCTGAGAAGGGGTTAACTCGCTCTTGGGGAGATTGATAATCCACCCAAATTGCTCCAAGAGCCGACGTGCGAAATCGAGATGGCGTGACAGGGTGTCCGTCATTCGATTTGCTACTAGCGAGTCGTCCAGGTACGCGAAGTACCGGACACCCCTCCTGTGGAGGAACCCCACTATGGGGGTGGTTAACCGGGTGAACAGCCAGGGAGCGGACGTGTGAATCATTCTGAGTTCGGCACTGTCCTACTTGGGAACGAGAAATATCCTGGAGTAAAACCCCGGTGTTATTTCTGGTAGAGCTAACTCCCGTACTGCCCCTTCTCCACCAACCTGCCGATGGCATCGGCGAGGATGGGAAGATCGGTTTCCGAATCGAAACCTGCCAACGGGGCAACGGTGAGCGGCGGATTCGCTTTGAGATCAAGCCGATAGCCGTACCGAATCGTGTTGACCACTCCCAGTAAGTCTGGAGTCTGGCTCCCACTGGGGAAGGAGAGGGGGCCCTGACAGGTTGCGACAGGCGCAACTGTCCAGGGCCAAGTGACTCGGGTTCGCCTAAGGGCCAACCGAAGTTGGCGCTGTCGGCATACGAACCCCTCCAATGAGAGTCACCTGGAGGGGCCCTTGCCGTCCGTCGACGACTTGGGCTTCCCCCAGTTCCCCGTCTTCCCGCGAAAGGGCAGCTGATTGCCCATACCGGAGCCCTCAGGGCAGGGCTACTTCCCAGAGGAAAAAGAACCCGACCCCTTAGACCTACCGGCCGCAACAGCCTGGGGCGCGCTCCGGTTAGGAGCGGCACCCAGGCGCCTATGCAGGGACCCAACAAGAGCAAGTGTGTGCCGAGAGTCCTCGGCAACGTACTCCAGGGAAGCATTTAAACTGAGCAGGCAGTTGTAAATGCGCTGGTCACGGTCCGTGGGAGAACCTTCGATCAGACGGGCCGCTGCAGCCAAGTAAGTGTCTCCGTGAGACATGGAGTGCCGAGCGAGGGCGTCCAGCTGGTGCAAGGTAGCTTGCGTTACCGTAGCAGCCGGTGGGGCACGGACACCCAACCGCTCAACATGGGCCTCCGCGGTAGGACCAGCCTCCACGACGTCGGAGGCAACGGGAGACCCCGACCGGAGGCCGCCGCGAAGGCGTTCTCCAAGGAAGGCTTGAAACCGCGCAGCAAGGTTGATGCGGGGAAAGCCGTGTCGGAAGACTCATCGTATACCTCGGAGGAACCCACAGTCGTGGATTCCCTGCGGTACCGGCCGGGGCATGTCCTCAAAGAGGTCATAAACCATGGCCACGCGGTCCTAAACCGATAGCGGGAGCAACGGTTCGGGGGAAGGACCGGTGACCACGGGAGCCGCCGCCGTACCGGTGGACCCCGCGTCCGACCCCGCGGCCACCGAAGTGGCCGGGGACGGAACAGCCAGTGGCCTATCCTGAGATAAGGCCGCCAGCTTGGAGTCCACAAGTTATGCAAGTAATGCAGCGACGGAATCCCCGGACAGCACACGGGCCGCCAAGAGATCCGCCGCTTTACCGGTGGACCCCGCGTCCGACCCCGCGGCCACCGAAGAGGCCGGGGACGGAACAGCCAGCGGCCTATCTTGCGATAAGGCCGCCAGCTTGGAATCCACAAGTTTCGACAACAATGCGGCGACAGAATCCCCAGACAGCCCGAGGGCCGCAAGGGGATCCGCCGCAGCCGAGGAGGTGGTACCCGCACGGGGACCCCGACCGGACGAACCGGCCACCACAGGGGTGGAGACGGACTGTACATACAGCCGGTACCGCTCAAAATCTGCAGGCCCCAGACCTTCGCACAGGATGCACCGGGTGTCCCCGCAAGGAACCCTGCACCGCGGGCAACGATCGTGGGGATCCCGGGACGACAAAAACTTTCTGCACACCCCATAACTCCGAGGAGCAGGGGTAGAGGGGGTGGATACTGGGGACATATCCATGTCAGACATTGATTGTTTGCTATAAACAAAGAACAAAACATGGTTACAACGCACGCACCACAATGATTCACAAACGAACATTTTCACAAGAAAATAAACGAGCAATGTGAACATATAACATACACATATAACTTTTATTAAAGAAATAAGTTATGTTAACCCCCAAAACATACAAGAACAGGGGAAACGTAAAACACAACGTGCATACGCAAACCCCGCAAGTATATAGAAAAAAGGGCGGGAAAATTTTTCCGTTTGGCAGGAAAATTATAACCAAGTGTAGCTACCGCAACGCCCCATAAAAGCACAGTTTATTAGAGAATAAACTATAATAAATATCACCAAATCTTCAAGGAACGCTTCAGCAGGAGAAAACACGTCTTGCTAAGCAGACGAAGGAGACAAGAGTGAAGGGTGTCACATGGCAGCTAGGTGGCTACGCACGTGCTGCATGAGGTAATTGAGATCTCTGTGGTAGATTTCGCTATAGCAGCAGTTGTGGGAGACAACAGCCTCGGTATAACAGTGGTAACGTATTACTTAATGTAATACATTTAATTTCTCAATTACCGTATTTTCTTGAGTACAGTGCACACCCATGTATAATGCGCACCCCCCTCTAGCGGGTTCAATATTTTGGAAAAAAAGAAATTTGAATATTATGCGCAGAAAAAAATTACACTGTACCCTTTCAGCGAAGTCCGGCACACGAACGGGTGATGAGAAACTTCGTCAGTACAAATTCGAAATTTGAGATAAAAAATCACCAGACATGTTTATTTACCGTTTAAATAGTATTTATTGTTCTGCTAGGCATTGTTTTATATCCCGGGATTAAGATTACCTTGTGTATTTTCTCGTAAACTAAGCCGGAAACAGCAATCAGCTGTACACACGTTTTCTTGGAATCGACCGGTGATTCGGTCAAGACACACCCAATGATATAACTTAATAGGATTTTAAATGCAAGGATCGGCAAAAATTGTATATGAAACTATTTTTTTTATCAAGAATAATATATTCCATTATTTTCTTAATTATATGCAGCCTTTACTAAACATATTTAAAATAGATAATAACCCTAAGCGAAGCAGCTGATCGCTATTCCCGGGTATTATTTTTTACATGGACCCAGTCTGACCAGTCACCGTCAAGGCTCACGCGCACGTTATCGCGAGAATTTCATGTTGACATAGAATCGTCAAACAAAAACAAATATGACTTTTAACGAGTCAAAGAATGTCATTTATGATATATGTATCCATTCTCTGTCAACTAAAGTTCGTTTCAAGACGTCAATAGCGGTATTCTGACCGTGGTTGCTGTTAATAACGGTGAGTTGTGCGATCTTCCGATCGCTTCACACACGATTTCGCCGAAATTAATAAAAACAATATTAAAAGGAATACTCAAGAAAATACGGTATTCTCACTTTATACAAATAATAATTGTCTTTGACGACATGAATCTTAAACTCAGATTGTTCATCGCTAAAAATGCGATGTAACGTGCGTATTGTTGAAACACTGAGTCTCCGGAGAAGTGAATTGCCATTTTTCTGTAATGTCATTTTACCAAAATAGAATTCTTTGATATTTATCGATTATTGATCGATATGTGACTACCGATAATCGATCTGAGTAATCCATATCGATAACCAGCCCTACTAACTACAGCAGTATCTCAATGGGTGAGTCAAAAGTGTGCTTCATTCAGAAAAGGCCCCTGCCTAGTATTGATCATCCTTGTCTTACCTCTGCCTTGAGGTATTTCGTCAGAATCTTCTCAGCCAAGGCCATTCTCTTTTCATCTGGAGCCAACTCATATTCACTCTGCAACATTAAAACACCATTATCATAAATCTAATCTAAAAAACTGGAGTATCTCACACTCCTGAGTCCTCATAAGTTGAGGAGGGAAACAAATCAGACATATAAGACTGCGGGAATGTACAACATGTATGATGGAATAATGTGAAAGCAGTGTGTAAATGCATCATGGTTGGGAGCACCAGGTACTCTCTGTTATCATGTCTCAGTCTTTATAAAAGAGCCCACCTGCCACACTGGGGAGACTAGCAAATTTTCATCCACACTTAACTTTCACGATGATAATCATCTTTGGTTAACCAGGGTACTCTTCACCATTATTATGATGATAAATACCATAGCTTTGATCTGAGCCTGAACAACTTATGTCCAAGCAAAATTCTGTGGGCAGCCCCTGATATAGTGTTAATTTGTTTGTTGTTTAATACCACACTCAGCAATAGTCCAGCTATATGGCAATAGTCTGTAAATAATCAAGTCTAGACCAGACAATCCAGTGACTGACATCATGAGCATTGATCAATGCAATTGGGATAAGATGACATACAAAAACAAGTCAGTGAGCCTGACCACCTGATCCCATTAGTCGCCTCTTATGACAAGCTGAATTTGCCTTTTAAGGCAAGAACGGGTTGTTGTAGACCTATTCTAACCCAGATCTTCACAGGTCCCTCTGATATAAGAGATGGACATGCCGACATCACTTACCAAACAAAGCTATGGCAGCTTATATGGGTTCTGGATTTCAATGTAATAGAATGGAGATCTTATACACTGTACAATCAAGTACTACTGAGGATATAAACAAATTCATCTGTGGGGTTTCATCACAGCTAGTACAGGTCATATACTTTTCATAAAATAGATTTTGTTTGTTTGTTGTTGAACTCTGCACTCAGCAATATTCCAGCTATATGTGGCGCTGAGTAAATGTCTGTAATGTCTAATGTCTGAGTAATGTCTGTAAACAATCAAGTCTGGACCAGACAATCCAGTGATTGACATCATGAGCATCGATTCACACAATTGGGAAACGCTGACATGTATGAACCAAGTCAGCGAAACTGACCACCCGATCCCATTAGTAGCCTCTTATTCATAAAATAGAACCTCTATTACCATGATTACGTCCGATCACTACAAACTACAAACACTGAAACACAAATGCCCTAATTCAACAATGTTTATTTTTTCACAGCAAGAGGCAATCCATTTCTATCCTATCCTGTCAAATCAATATGGGATATGCATGTATTAGGATCACTTGCCTGCCCCTTAAACCATCACTGGATGATACACGCCTGAACATGCTGAAAGATGCTAATAAGCTAATAACCAGTACAGCACTTTTAACTTGGATAGAATGAATCAGGTTATCTCTACTTCAGTAAACTATGGTGACATCATGCTGTAGATTACAGGATATGAGCAGTTCTTTGATGTACTTTATCTGTTTTGAGTGGAGCTGGGAATACCAGTGAAATCATGCCGCCACTAACGACTGCTCTCACAGTTTCAGAATGCACGGCATGGAAGTCCAATATAACATCCACTTATCAACTTTGGTATTGGCAGCCGTGCCCAGTCAGGGTATAGGGGGCATCTCAAACTATTTCATATTTGCGTAATCAGTACTATATGAAAGGCATACATGTTTTCAAAGGTTTGTTTGTTGTATTAAATAATCATTGACAACTTGCATCAGCATAATCTCTCTGGTATTTATATAATGATCTGTGGTATCAGTTTCCACACTAATGAGAATTCTTAATGGACTTAAAAGATATGAGAGCTTGCAAAGTGTAACATCTTAGTGTTGACACGTTAAGCATTTTCAGTATATAGATATATGTCTACAAAAATATGTTGTCTGGTGGCATATTAACATCAAGATCCATCCACATTAATAACGTACATTTTTCTCCCAAAACCACTATATTCAAAAACCAAAACGCTGATGTGATTCATTTCAACACTTGTCAGCATTTTTGATACTTAAAATAACACTGGTAACACATCTAATTTAATGCCCTTTTTCTTTTCTGCAGTTTACTCTGTGACAATATTTAAACGAAATACAAGGCACTTTTAAATGACCAGGTCTAGTCAGTCACTTACCAATCAGACTCTCAGACAAGAGGAAAAGAATAATTATAAACAAGACAAAGTTAATCGTTCCCTTCCCAAACATTACAAACATAATGTTATCATGGTGACACAGAAGCACTTCCTCCCTGCTCCACAGCCTTTAACACTGGTGATGACACACTATTTTATTTCAAACTTATGTAAAACAACATTAGCAGCATTAACCGTCAAAAAAAAATCGTCAGGCTTTGAGACAGTCCCCATAGTAGCCTGAGCATCAAGTATGGTGGATATAAACACAGCCAGACCAAAGTTGGTTAGGATAGACGGGGCCACCCTTGCCTAATGATGACGGATGTCTTCTTAACAGGTACTAGAGCCATGATTACTTGCTTGATGGGGGAAATAAATTTCCATGGTTTGTAGTAATTACTAACACAAAGTGGGCTTGCAAGAAATGGAACAAATTTCTCCCGATTCTTTGATGTCAGAGATTTTGTGATTGGTTGTAAAATAGTCAGGTCAATTTTTCTGCTTCCCCTGCCTGTAGACAGATGATGGTCATAACCTGATAATGTCATAACAACCAGGCATGATCTTGGGGGATGGGAAATAAATGTACACAGTAGTAGTGTTGTGTTGGACACATTTCTAACATTTTTCCTTCAACTTCAAGCAAAGTGTCTGTTCCTTTGCAATATTCCAGCCAAATCACGGTGGTCTTTAAATAATAAAGTCTGGACCAGACAATCCAGTGATTGACATCATGCACATCGATCTACACAAATCAGAAACAATGACATGCGTCAGCCAAGTTTGAGAACCTGACCACACGATCCCATTAGTCTCCTTTTTTAAAACAAGCATAGTCGCCTTTTGCGGTAATAATTACACGTGTGCATATTTTACAAACGTATGTATATTTGCATGGGTACACAAAGTTTCATGCCAACAGGGCATTAGTCAACTCTAATGTCACCCATGGGGTACTAACCCTGACTGGACACATATTGTGTTCAAAGATAATGACAGGCAGTGTATGAATTACTTCCCAAACTTCACTGACCAGTTTGAACAAAAACTGTTAAATGCCCTCATCATATTTGACAAGCCCCACTTTGTGGCTACAGTGATGCTGAGTCAACATTTTCGTTAAGACAAACCGCATGTGAAACCAGGTACACATGCACTGATTCTAGTAATATAGCCGCACAGGACAAAGTGACCATTTCAAAAATATGATTAAACCTTGAAATCCCACAGCAATCCATAAACATCGTAAAAAATGGATATCAACCATTTCAACCAGGCAACTAAACTCAAAAATTTACTAGTCTGGATAAAATATTGCTCTTGTAATGTTAAAACAATTGGAAAATTGGGAAATTTGTACTAGCCTGCACAAAAATGTTCTTGCCCCAGCTAGCAGGCGAGTGTTACAGTCTAATCCTGTATCAACATTGAAAAAGTACTCGAAAATAGAAGTTCCATAACAATGTGCAACGACCTCATCGACCAGAAATGGGCTTCAAACATTGTACCCTTGCACCATGTGCACAGAATCGAACCTTGGCCTTTAGCGTAACTAGCGAATAAATTTAACCATCAGGCTACCCCCATCACTACAACTAGACTGTGTATATATAAAACTTTATTTTAGTATATCAAGGAAAGTTTTAGAGTCAATAAATTAAGATTAGTCGAGGAAACACAACATTTCTTTTCCTTTTATGCTGTACAATATTTCAAATGTATCACAACCATGGCATTCGATCGTTACTTGTTGTCTACCCTGTGTCTCTTCTATTGAACACTGTGAGACATAGTGGCTTGGGGATGATTCAAGATTCAGCTGTACAATAGAGCCTGATGTAAAATAATGTTGAATTGCCAAGCCCCACATGGGATGGATGCTACATACAGAAGATCACAAGGTCAAAAGTAATATCACTGCAAATATCCCACTTGCATGATTGTACAAGATTTGAATAATGCTTTCAGTAAGAGGCCTATTGTTAGACAGGTACATAAATGGAATGAACTGCACTAAACACTGACGATCGAGATTGAACTCCATTTGTTTCTCTTGATCCTAACAGTAAAGTTAGCATGCACTGGGGAGATGACACAACAACTGGCTAACGTTTAGGAAATTATACCATTAACTTGCTGACCTCAAGTCAAATCAAGCAAGATCCTTACTAAATTGACTCAGCAGATTGAAAGCTTTTCAAATTAATTTTGAAAACAAAACTGAAAGTGATGCATAGAACTTGACTTGTTATTCAGAAGCAAGAAGCATTTCATCAGTACTAGCTTTCAGCGAAACACAAAATAAACTTTGGCAACAAACAACAGCTGCATTTGTCAATCAGAAACTTTCAGAAAACATGTGGAAATACATTTCAATCTTATTTCCTAAAGAAATATGTGCCTCTTTACACAGCAACACAACTGACACCATCAAGTGATTATTTGCACAGACAAGCTGGGCTTCATTTCAATTCCAATATTACCATGGTTAATGAAAATAATAAAAACCTTCACAAGGCAGCCCTCACACAATCATGTGAAAAGATAGAGATCTATAACTCAAGTGTCAGTGGAAAAGAAAAATGTGTCATAAAGAAGGGGATCAACTATCTCATGGGAGCCATTGGAAGATGGATTTCGATAGTTGTATATTTTACTCCCTTCAACTGTTCGGAGATGTCCAAGTAATGAACGGAGTAATTCTTTTAAAATTACAACCAAGCCCGTTTTGGGACCATCAGTTTTCAAAACTAAACCAAAATAAAACGGATTAAACCAATTCCATAAAGTTGTAACACGAAAACCGAGCAAACGTATAATGAAAGACAAAGGCTCCTTCTCATAATCCTTATGTAAAAATAAAGGGGTCTCAGATTAAAATT